AAGCTGAAACTATATACATTTTTAATCACCACTATTTACAATTGTCATTGATATCTTGAGATCTGCACGAAATGTTATTGTTTATGCGATACATTTATAAAATTTCTATTGTTAATAATCTAATAGATAATATTTCCAAATGTTGTTGTTGTAGTTATTGTCGTTGTTGTTGATATTAAATATATCTTTTTGAATGTAATCTTCTTTAAATATCTGTTATCTAAATTTATAATTTCCCAATAATCAATAAAAATAATCAATAATAATAATCAATAAATGTTAGTAAAATTCTATTAATTAATATAAATTATTATTTCTTATCTTACTGTTAATCTATTTGAAGCAATTTAAAGATTGTTGGCGTCTATAATTGTACTCCAAATGTAAATGATTTGAAACATTCGATCTCGCTTGTTCGATAGTGACCATATCTTCTTGTAAGATGGTGGTGGCTGCATTAACTTTGATCAAAGTGTTGGTGTATGTTTCACCTAATAGGTAAGCAAATAAGCTTTAGAACAACAAGTTGTACTTGATCAATATCATTTTCTATTGCTTGTCGAAATAAAATCTATTTATAAACTAACTTGACTCTCTATATGATTGTGATGTATATTAGATAATTGCAGTATATTTAAAAATGTTTAAAAATATAAATTTACATACCTCAATAGCACACCTTGGCTTTGTGTAGCAGGCCCGTCTCCAACCGTACTTTCATTGGCATCGCTGAACCCTCTGTCTTGATAATCTTGATGATCATACTATTAATTGGTTGTACTTGAAATGCATTACTATTGCAATAGTTCTTTTACTCTGATAGTATCTTTAATCACGTTGATCCTTGTCATGATTTAGCCAAAGAGTCGAACACTGTATATATTAATAAATTAAAATTAGTTTGTTAGTTTAGTTTAGCATTATAGGAATGATCATTATCTCAATATTACTCTTCAATATGTATCTTTTTAGAACAAAAGTAAAGTTGGCAACAATATAATAGACTTATAATACTGAAATCATTGAATGAGCTTACATTTGAATTGAATCTTATAACTCATTACTTTCTTATATAATTACTATATTCTAAAGCTGTAACATCTTTTAAAATTATAAAATAAATAAATATTGATATTATTATTACTATTGATTACGATATCTTAAGATCTAAAATTGAAAGAAAAAAAAAAAAAAAAAAAAAAAACAATTTGTTGATCATAATCACTGAACATCAAAAGTATTATTTTATTATTTTAATTGTTGTTTAGTTTCATTGTTGTTAACAACTTACAATCATTTATTATTTTAATTATAACTATAGCTTTATTAAACAAAAATTAGCATATTTTATATTTACCTCTATTATCATGCAAACTCTTGTAAAGATAATTTAAAGGTTCTTATTTAATCTACACTCTATCTTTACTGTTTTTTATTCAATATTATATCGATTTAACTTGTTCATAGACACAATACAATATTAATAATGATTCATACAAATTGGATTATCAAATATTTAACTTTAACATATAAATTCACACCAACAAAATAATCATGTATAATAATTAAATTAAAAATAGAAATTATATCAACTATCGATGAATCATAAATTACCCAATTATTAAGAATAACATAACAGAGGAACTTATACTTTGATTATACAAACCTATACATTAATGATTTCAAGCTACTGAATGTTCATCACGATTATTCACACTTGATCTACAATGGTAAGTTGATTCTCAATTCAAATAGCTCATTTTATTCATTATTTATATAATTCGTTTAATCAATCATTCATTAGCTTCCCGTTCATAGACATATATTTATTTTTTTATTTATAAGTCCTATACTACACTATCATTTATTCATAAAATTTCAATAAATTAAATACTATACTATCATTTATTAATTGATTTACTAATATTTTTAAACTTAATGATAGATCAATAATATGGTAATCATACAAACAAATATTCAAGACATTTTTGAATTCTTTTGGGGGGATCTTTGAATAAGACATCTGCTCCACTGACCACACTAACTGTGCTTGAAAAACCTATCGGATCTTGTTGTTTGCACGAATACAATCTTTTTCTGGTCCAGAGATGACAGTTTGGCGACAATTAATCGATTAAATCATTGTAGAAACTCTGGACAGTGATTCTATTGCTCTACTATCTACTTTTCAAACCTCAAATAAGAAGCATTGAACACCTCTGCTATTATTTGGTATGTTTTGTTAAAATTATTTATTTATTATAAATGAATAACTAACTAACTAACCACTATTGCTAACAAGAGAATCGATGAACTCATGGTGAAAGAGAGAGAGAAAACATTAATGCAGAAGCTACATTTATTTTTCTTGAACTAATTAATCATAGTTTCAAAAAACAAAGTCAACAACAATAATAGCAATCTATGGATATAATGCAACTCAATTGGAGGTGTCATATCAATTGACAATGAAAGTGGTGATCACACCTATCGAACCAACAGAGTGATAAGAAATCGGTTAAGAGACTTACAGATCATTAGAAAGATGTATCGGATCAACATATTAAGAATATACAATTTATAATCAATTCACACTTCATCCGATATTTTGAAGAACACACCAATCAATTTCACCTATCAAACTATTCAATAGTAATAATAACAATTTAAACAACGAGAATTACAATTCAAATAAATAATTATATATAATCTATCTAAATAAGTTTTTTTTATTTTTATTTGAGAAAGTAGAGTTGTTGAACGTATGTTTGTATTGATCATTATCGCCAACATCTATGTTGTTTAGATAGTAATTGTCGTTAAAGAACTTGAGTTGATGTTGTTGAAGTATGATTTTAATTGTAACAACAGTTCGTTCCTTTAATACTGGGTGTGTTTGTTGTGGATACTTTTGTATTGTATAAAGATCGAAACGTGAGAAAGAGCTGTTGTTGTTGTTGTTGCTCAATCATCATACTTCGAACTTGTTATTGCTTGTTACATGCTGTTGATTGAAAGTTTGTAAGAGCATCGGCAACTCCAATTTTATTATTGGTTTAATATTAAGATCAATATCTATAGTATATTGATTTATCATTTTTATTGAAAATATAATCTATATAGAGCTAATAATTAAATTAACATACCTCAGTGATATCTATCCTATGTTCTTAGGTCTGGCTTTTTGGTGTTGAAACGATATTAATATGATAGTGAATGTAGGCGGTAGAATTGGAATACATTCTTGTTGACATGGTAAAACGGGTTGCGCTGGTTTTGTCTTGTTCGCAACAAAAGTGATTTCACTCTGATAGTATCTTTAATCACGTTAATCCTTGTCATGATTGAATCCAAACAGTTGACCACCAATATTGTTGTATTTTTCAGAAGCCTCGATACAAGTACCTCGAAAGTATAGTCAATCTAATTGTTACTAAATAATAATGATAAGTAATATTCTATTGATCAATATAATTTACATTTTTAACTTACTCTTAATCTATTTGATTGGAGTCTCTTGATGATTTTCAATGAATTAACCTAACTTGTATTCATTTCATCTCTAATCTTCATCCTATTGCACCATAGACAATCATTTGATATTTGTTCAGCTATTTTGCAAGGCTCTATTAATGATGCTACTTGTGGTGCTGTTTCAACTAAATTGTTCTTCCTCTTTGCGTCTTCTTCCACTTTTGGTATCCAATGCAGTAGAAATCTAAATATATAAATTAACTTGCTTATCTAAATGATGGTATATTAGATAATAAGCAGTATTTACAAATTTATAAAATTTTAATTTACATACCTCATTGCATTAAGAACAAACTTCTTGGATATGTATAGCATGTCCGGTCTCCAAGCAACCACCACTCGCCGTATATATTGACATCTGCTGTCAACAAACAATATCTAATCTAACGTGTTGCATATTCTGTATTAATAAATTAATATTAGTTTTTTAGCTAAGTTTAGTCTTATAAGAATGACATTATTATCAATATTAGTTTAATACTCTTCAATATGTATCTTTTGGAAAAATAAATAAGTAAACTTGAAGAGTGAGTGTGCACTATTATATTGTAAAACATTGACTGAGCTTACATTTGAATTGAATCTTATAACTCATTACTTTCTTATAATTTATTATATTCTAAAGCTGTAACATCTTTTAAAATTATAAAATAAATAAATATTGATATTATTATTACTATTGATAACGATATCTTAAGATTTAAAATGAAAGTAAAAAAAAAAAAAAAAAAAAACAATTTGTTGATCATAAACACTGAACATCAAAAGTATTATTTTATATTTTAATTGTTGTTTAGTTTCATTGTTGTTAATTACATATGATAAAGATGTGCTATTAATCAAAGTTTCAACCTTTTAAATAATAACAAACAACAACAATAATATCAATCTGTTGATGAAATATTAATATTGATCATAATAAAATAGAACTGATATGTACAGTTAATTTAGATTTCAAGAAAGTTTGGTGATGCTGCACCATTTGAAGTAGATGACCATATTCATTTAATAATCTAAATCATTTAATCATTTAAAAACCATCCACCTATTCACTCATTCAACCAATCAACCAACATCGATTCATCTATGCTTAATGACACCAAACCATCAATCTATTCAATACTAATAAAGATAAAACAAAGCAAATTTTTTTGTGTAAAAAAACTAATTTATTTCTGTTGTAATGTTAATAAAATTGATACAATATGATCATCGATATTTTCTTCAATGCACGATGCACCAGATAGGAGCCACCATAAATCAAATTGATAAACTGTTTCATCGTGATTGGAAATGTTAAAGTGAGATGTAAATATTTCTGACCAATCTTGTAAGTAAAATTCTTTAATGGCAGTTGATAGACGAATTGCGAATGTTTCCACAGATGAATGATTGTTGATATCAAGTTTATATGTACCTTCAATGAGATTTTGGTATGCCAACGACTCTGTGAATCTCCTAAGTTGCTCTTGATTATTGCAGTTACATTTAGAGGTCGATTTACTTTTAACCGATTGGATAAGGGTCGATAGATTTTCAACAGTACATGAGGTTCTAATGAGTTTCATCAATGAAAAGAATTTTTCTAATAATTTATATTGCAATTGGTCAATTTTACTTCTTTGGAGACGAGAACCAGAAACTAAAATGCATTTCAAAGATCGGAAATGGTCGAAATCTTCAAATGATTTTAGCATATTACCTAGACTAGATTTTGCAATATCTTCTTTAGAGATAATGATACGACATGAACCAGGTTGACCTTGTCTACCTGCTCTTCCTAAGCCTTGATTTTCAACACGAATGTTTGATGGATAAAATCCAAAGATCACATGAATTCCACCAGCAGACAACGATTCTCTTGTTAACTTTATATCAGTACCACGACCTGCTGTGTTGGTGGCGATGGTAAGAGTTCGAGGTTCGCCAGCTCTTGTAATAATTACTTCCTCATTTTCCATTTGCATTTCATTCAATGTTTGAATTCTATGAACTCCTTCTTCATTTTTAAGTAGTTCAGTAAAGGTTTGAGAATCATTAATGGTTGACAACAATAGTAAAACTGGTCGAGATAGTGAGAGATTCTCCTTGATTTCTTGGATGACTCTCTTTTGGTATTCTTCGTTGTCATCGAATTTCAATGATTGAAGTTTTACTCTCTTTGATGGAAGATAACTTGGCACATCGAAGGTATCAACATTGTAGATTGATTTCAATTCTTCTCTCTCTTGTTCTTCGCCACAAGTTCCAGTTAGACCAAAAATAGTATCATACATGCTAAAGAACGATGGATGAGAAATGGCAGCTGCAGTTAAGCTATCTCTCTCTGGAAGAAGATTATGTTTGACTTCAATGAATTCATGAAGACCATCAGAATATCTTGAACCAATCATCAGTCTTCCAGTGTTATCTTTATCAACAATCACCACTGTGGAATTTCCTAAGTTTTGACCATGTTCATTAGTTTGAGTAATTACATAGTCAATACCCTCTTTCAGGAAGAACGATTGGATTGCACATGACAAGATTAATTTAATTCTTTGGTCACTCATTGATTGAACCCATTCAAGAGTGTGTGATTTGGTTTTTTCGTCATAAGGAAGCTCTTGCACTGATTTCTTCAAAATCTCTCTTCCTTCTTTGATATGGGAATCTTTGACACTCTGAGAGATTTGTTTTTCTTTTTCTTCATCATTCTCGTTTTCATCAACAACCACCCAAGAGATCAAGTGTTGTTTAACATAGTTTGAAATTGGTTGATAGATGAAACCATGGTGTTCTTGAGATGGTATAGCCATTCTTGCTGAGTTGAATGCAGAGTCAATAAATAAACTATCAACTTCATCAACAATGACAATCTCTTTGAGACGTGGTTTTCCATCTGTGAACAAATTCTTGGAACCATAGAGTTCATCTCTAAGTAGAGCAAATTCATAATTTGTATTAGTACCAAACAAAATTTGCGCATTGAATGCTGATTCTGGTGGTAGTTGACCAGTGATCTGAGAGCATGAAATTCCAATCAGTTGATAGAATGATTCATATTTGATGAAATCTCGATATGCTAAATACTCAGAGGTGGTGATAACATCAATCTGCTTTCCAAGCAAACCACAATATGATGTTAAAAGGGTAACTATTGTTGATTTACCTTCCCCAGTCAAAACTTGAGCAATTCTACCACCTAAATCTGAATTACCATCTCTACATAACAATAAACCAATGACAGTGCACATTTGGGTCGAATATGGATATATTCCAAAGCTGAGATAAATCAACCATCTAAGTGCAGACAAGATTTCTACAGATGATTTGACATTCTTAAGATTGAATAATTGTTTTGAATTATCAAATTTCAATTGATTTGATGATTCAATACAAATGTTAATCAATTGTTGTTGTGAGAGGTTTCTGTGTTTCTCTTGATTCTTTTCGACCTCAGTGTAGATCTTTTCAAGGAGAGCAAGATGTTGGTTTGGAAGAGGATTCATGTTTAGAGGTGCTTTAAAATTCTTGATAACTTCAACAAAAGATTTCTGATTAATCTTGGCTTTGATTATTTTATCTTGCTCTTCCCTAAATATTGATCTCAATGATTCATAGGTGTTGGCGTTCAATATTTTAGATTTTGGAATATTCTCTGCCCATGACGATAGAATATTGTCGGTCAAATCAATGAAAGGTCTAAGTGAAGATGATTTCTCTGACATGAGATTAAATGATGTGTGATTGTTCTCTACAAGTTTGACAAGCTTTGAAAAATATGTAACTCCAATCGATTTTAAAAGCTGAGGAACTAAAGAAATGATCTTTTGCATTTCCCTAGCCCACTCTACTCTTGAAGAGTCAAGTATATCACTTCTCGAGATAATATTAAATTTATGATGTGCAAGTACAGTAATAAAGTATTGGATGAGTGCTAGCTTACAACCAACTGGAACGGAAATATTGTCAAACATTTGAATAATTCTAATATTGGTAATAAAGTTATTCATAAATGTTGCATGTACTGGAACCAATACACATCCTAATAAGCCTTTGAATGTTGAGTTGATTGCCAAACCACATGTTGATGGGAGTTGAAGTGTTTGTTTTTCAATGTTGTTTTTACTATATGCTGATAAATGGGAGACTTCAAACACTTGTCTACAAACTAAAAGTGAATCAATCTGAGCTTGACCGATGCAGTATTCAATATATTCTCTGTTCTTTGGAAGGTTGTGAAGTAGTGATGCTTGAATAAATCTTAGATTATCTTGAATACTGAGAGATTTAATTGCCAATTCCATATTGGCAATTCCAGTATCACTTTGGAATGAAAGCTGAAGATCAGTGGGAGGATAAGAAAGGTGATCAAGTGATCGAATCTTATTCTTGGTGTGCAACAAAAGATTAATGAATTTTTTCATTCTAAAAATTGCCAAATTTATAGATTTTTCATCGATCGATGATATTAATCTTAATGTAAAGTGGTTGATGAACCAATTCCACAATGCAGTATTATTGGTACTGATGATTTCAATCACGACTTCTGTAAAAGTTGTTGTTTTGAAGAGCATATCAAGTGGCCATTGTCTTCCAAAAACTTTATCGAATAATTGAATTAAATTTGTTCTCTGGGGATGTTCATACATTGTTTGCAAACAAATAAAATATCTCTCCAATTGTTCATTGTTTCTAAATTCATTCAACCTCGATAATGACTTTTCACTCAAGATTGATTTCAAGAACTCATAATGGTGACTTGTAACTTGAATACTTTGCCGCTGAAGAATATCTGAGCACTCTGAATCATTGATTGGTTTGGGTGGGATTGTTGTGAATGGAGCTAACCAGTCTGAATTTAAGATATCTTTTGATTGAGACTCTGTAAATCCAAAATGAAGGGCTCTATTGAATTTACTTTGATAAGAAAGTCTATCACTCCATTTGATACTCGATGCCAAATTATAAAATGAATTAAATTGGGTGGCTTGGTACATATTCAATTCTTCAGAAGAAAGTTGGAATAAAGAGTTATCACCAAAAATAATTAGATATTGGAGTGTATTTTCGATTCTTGACCAAGCAATTGAATGTGGATTTGCTTTGAAGAATTTGAGAAGTTGGATGGACGGTTGACCTTCTGAAACATCTGATGATGCTTGCATCAAAATATACGAGGAAATAAAGTTGTCTTTAAACATTGAAATTTGTAGTGCATTTCTTCCACCTGAAACACCACTAGGTCTTAGTAGCGAGTCGACATATTCATTGTCCACCGAAATACTTCTAATGGCATTGACCAAACTCTTGATGAATAGGGGTTTGTTATAATTAGATGCAAGCTGAATGGGGGTCATGGAATCAATTCCACAAACTTCATTAACATTTATACCGATTTGATAGAGGTATTCGGTAATATTATGACAATTGTAATATGCAGCAATGTGAAGTGCATTGAATTTGAGATTTGGAACGATACCATAGAGTTCTGTTTGATTCTCCAACAATACCAAATTCTTTGGATTATCTGATGCTACCACTTTAGTCCAACGAACATTTGAATCGTCAGGACTCTTAATGAAAGAATCAATTAAAATCTTTGAGTTGTTGAGGATACCAATGTCTAGTGGAGTACCATGATCACCAAATTTAAATTCGGTTGGTTCATCAATTATTCCACATTCATCAATGAGTGTATTCAAATTATTTAAATTATTTTGATGAGCTGCCAATTCGATTGGACTAAAAGAATCTAACATTTTTGCATTGATTCCTTGTTCCTTTTGAATGCAGCTTCCAGGTGAATATAATCTCAGATTTTCGAAAAGAATCTTGATTGTTCTCAAACATTCTTTACCTGATTATGAAACTGATTGATTCAATGATTTATGATTGTATTTTCCATCTTGATCTACATAACCACCTTTCATAAGCAACTGTGAAACCAAGTTTGAAAGACCTAGACCCGCCATAAATGAAATTGGAAGTATGCCTCGGTGGTTTGCAATTGATAGTGTCGATGTTGAATATGGTAACAAAATACTGCAGGTCAAGTTTGGATTGGGATTTGCATCACTAAGAGAATGGATAAATACACTGTTTCCTTGGTTATCTACCAAAGAGGTGTCAGCTCCATATTGTAGTAGACGTTTGACAACTTGATTTTCACCAATCTGGCATGCTTTCATCAAAGGTGTGCAACCTCCTTTATCACGGCTGTTAATCAGATTTAACATTGCTGAGTGATGATATACTCTCTCAAGTTGAACTAGATCAGTTTGATCCTGGATCTTAAGTTCTTTCAGATCAGAGGGGAACCATTCCAAAATAAAAGATGGAGCTGCATTACACGCAGTATGTAATAATGATTCCTGGACTTTGAGAGTAGGTTTTACTAAGTATTCAGGAGCAATGAATTTCTTATCTCTTGGTAGCTTTCTATTGGAGGATGTTAGATGTTGGAATACTGATTTCTTATCTGTTTTCTGATCTTTCATTTCCTTACAGATTTGAACCTCGTCAATTACCACTCCAAGCGTGTTGGAAAACTTGATGACCAGTTTAGAGTGATTGTCAGATGACATTTTACAAGATTGGAATGCTTCTCTAAGTGCATTTGGTGGAATGAGAGTTAAGAGTAAATCAAAATGTGAAATTGTGATACCCATTGTTTCAATCTTTTGATTGAATAAATAGTCCAACTGCTCTGTATTGTAGTTCTTCTCAAGAATACTCAACAATAGACCAAGTTTCGAAGGATCTCTTGCCAGAGTAAAAAGAATATTGAATTGGGAATGAATTGCTAATGGATCACAACCTTGTTCTAAACAATACTTGAATGATAATGGACAACCACTAAAAAATACCGTATGTAATAATGGTAGATTTCTATCAGTCAAGGTTATCTTGTTTAGTCCTTTAAGTTGCTTGAGCGAGTTGAGAACTAATGTATCATCACTTAGATCTAAATTCTCTTGAAGATTCTTCAAAACTGAAGGATTATTTTCTATTTGCTTTGGAGGAACTATATCTTTTGGTTGGTTCTTTAATAGTTTCCAGCAATTCACAGCATTCAATGTCGAGAATAATTGATAGATCGAAATAGGTGCTTGGTTTTCAAAGAACTTATACTTTTTCGATAGATTAAATGGAGGGAAAAGAGACAGCAGTGCACGATTATCAAACTTCAATGTTTGGTAGAGCGCTTCAACTAAAGTTTCATCAGTTAAATTAGGAATTTTGAATAGTTTTGAAATCATTTCAATATCCTCTTCACTATATCTATTGATGAGTTTAAGTAGAAGTGGTTCTGCAGTGTTCATTGTAAGAATGGTGAAATCAGATGAAGTACCATCGACGTGTTTGAATGCTAAAGATATTTCATCTGAAAATTTCTTTAGAACTTTCTTGGACTGATTATCGTAAGCTCTTAAACCCAGATTGTAATAAAAAAGATGACCAAGAGGTTCTTGTTGGGATTTCAAGAGTTCAAGATTGGATTCCTTAATAAAAGTATAGATGGATTCAGACATATCCAAACGAACAGCACTTTCAACAACTCCAATTCCAAAGTGATTTAACTTTAATCCTCGATTCTGGAAAAGAGGTAGAAGTGAAAGTTGTTCGGTGGAAATCAGCAAGCTGATTATTGAATCACCATTCTGATTGAGTGGGATATTGAGATCGTCATACCATCTAAGTACAATTTCAATGAGTCGTTGAGATCGTCCAGAGATAGCATAATACATCAGCTCAGTTCCCTTTGAATTGCACAATATAGACTTGGTGTCAATATTCTTCAATTTCTTTTGATTGAATAATAATTGAGCACATTCAGTACTGCCGTTTTCAGCGGATATCTCCAATAAACTATTTTCATAAACCAATTTTTCAATGTCAAATGTTGTTCCATTCTTGAATAGAGAAAAGGTTGGTTCAATAAGCTTATAGAGCAATCCTACATGATTAGAACGAACAGCCATTGCACCAATCGTCCATTGTGGATCTGGGTGAATATATTTTGCATCCATTTTCAAGAGAACATCAGCGAGTTCAATCTTCTTTTGCATCAATGCCCATGCAAGGTATGATAGCCTATTGTTTGGTAAAAATCCATCAACATTTAAGCTACCAATGGAATTCAAAACTTTCTCTAATAGAGATGATTCTCCGTAGAGAATGATATAATCAAGAAGTGTGTAGCCATCATGATCCTTGTGCTTCCATGATTCTTTACCAATTGATATTAAATTCCAAGCAATGTCGGTGTAACCCTTGGAAATTGCTATCATAGTTGCTGTTTGTTTCTTAGAGTTGATATAGACTCTGTGGTTTGCGACAACACATTGAGTATGTTTGAAGGTTGGAAGTGCTCTTTCTTGCTTTGTGGGTGGTGGCAATGGATTTACATTGCAATGATCTCCACCATGCGAAAGTAATAGATTGGCAATCTCTGAATAACATTTATCCAATGCCAAAATTAATGGAGTATTACCATTTAATTGTTGGATCGAAGCAGACCAACCTTGACTCAACAGAAACTGTACTATTTCAAAAGAGTTATTCTCTACAGCAACATGAAGCGCTGTACCTTGAGAAGGTAACAAACGATCTTTAACTAATGGAATCTCTTTGATAATATCGTTCAGAGCTAGTTGAGAAACGACCTCAACAACTGTGAATAAGTCACTCTTACGAGCGATATTAGTTGATGCACCTCTGGAAAGTAGGTTTATCGCAACATCCATTTGACCGGTAGTCAAAGCAACATGTAAAGCAGTGTCACCTTCTTGCCATTGTTTGTCAAGCTTACAATAGTTTACCAGTAAATTTGCAATATCACTATGACATTCCAAAATCTGTTTTAGAAATTTAATTAGCATACCTTTTTAATTTCAAATGTGGTATTCATTTTATAGGTTGGTTTTTTTTTTTTTGCACAGCTTTTTTTGAATTCTACCTTATTTTGCAAAATGTACTCAAAAGCTATGCAAAATTTTTTCATTTTTTTGATAAAATGAAATTACACAAATATATCAATAATTAAACTTACCGATGATAAAAGTGGGAACATCATATTATTTGATTCAGTATTTGGATCTGCTCCAAATTCAAGAAGAACTTTAACAGTTGAATAATGATTAGATATAACAGCGGTTGCAAGTGGAGTCAATCCGTAGGTATTCTTATGCTCCAAATACTTGGATCCCATCAAATGAATGAGTGGTTTGATGAGGGTTGATCTACCTCCTGCAGAAGCCAAATTCAATAATGAATTTCCAAACTGATCCAATTCAAATAGTTTATGTTTGTACTTGGTCAGTTGATCGATAAGATACTTTTCATCAATTGGAATTTCAGTCTCTGCAAGAATGGAAGTATCAAGTCGAGAAGTATTGATTTGAAGATCTTCTTCAAATTCATCTTCATCAATATCTTCATTGTACTGATCTATCTGGCAAACATTAAATGAAAATGCAGAGTATGACATTGAACCATCAGTAAAATGTACCAATTGACAAAGTTTGTCATGAGTGAATTGTTTAATATTGATAGCAAAACTGGCAGATTGTGCTTCTGTTTTGGAAGGGAATGTCGATTGGATTTCCAAAGGAGCTAAAACCAAACCACATCCTCCCCAGACTCTTTGATGCTGCTTGTTATCTAAATAGTTCTTGTCTGGAACAACCAACTTTGAAACTGGAAGAAATCCAAGTCCGTTTCCTTCGCCTGTCAACATAGATACAATTGAATTCATTCTAGAACCTAGTGAGCTCAATTTATTGAGGAAATTGGCAAATCTGTCAGATGTCTTTGATGAACTCTTAGAAATAAGATCAAACATCTTATCGTTTCTGGTTTCTCCAACCATTTTCAAAATATCCATATCTCCAATTCTTTCTCGTAGCAGTGTTGTTGTCGACTTTCCATAGTTTATAAGATTATCATCGAAAAACTCTTTGGTAGCTTCGGTTACAGGAGCCAATACCTGTAGCTTCTCGGCAACAGCTAATTCCCATTCTGGAAGTGTGACTCTAATGACTTCATTTATGATATCACAATAACCATGTGATATTCTATCATACATTTGCTTTACTCTGTTTAATTCAGCCTATAGTAATATAAAAATAATTAGTTAACCGATAACATTAGAATATTAAAATAAATATGAATTCAACTTACAGATGTATTGGAAAATATTTTGGTAAAGAAACCCTCACTTTGATATTTCAACCTTAATTGGTCAATCATTGAACGGAATTGAGCCAACAATGAATTGACATATTCATTTCTGCACTCTGAGTTTTCAATTTTGACATTGACTTTGTGTGTCTTTATATCACCTTTGCATCCGCTACAAAAATCCTTTAAAATATGATTTTTGCAAGACTCGAGAATGAGCATGGCACTGATTTTCAAGTCTTCAAGCGAGATGGCATAGTCCTTTAGTTTAGCTTGGAAAGCTTCTACCACATTTGGATCGTTCTCAATCTCTTCTAATCTTGGCCATGGCGCTTGGTAGTTGGCTGCAACTTCATTGTAACGTTCCAACAATTGGATCATTGGTTTCATGACATCTTTCACCAGTGTGGTGTAGACTTGGGTTGAGTTGGTTCCAACAATCATAGAAATCAACTGTAGGAATCCACTAGCTAGCCTCTGAATGGAAGAATTGAGATTACCACCATTGACACCGAGATTCGACAATTTATTTCGGAGTATATTGTTTATGGTTGAACGAATTTCACTTTGAAGTTCGGAATATTTGTTTAATGTATCACCATCTCTTGTAGTAGCTCTAAACAAAGAGTTTAGATATCCATGGAATTTAGTGATTAAAGGCTTGTTCCTTTCCATGGTAGTGATGATTTCTGATACTGTTAATGTTAAATTCACAGGTTCATAGTATCGAACTGGTAGTGGAGGAAGTAAGTTTGGAGTTTGGTCAACTGGTGCATGGTTGTCTGTCAAAGAGACTACGTCTGGAGTTTGTCCACAACCCATCAATGTAGAGATATAAGATGATAAAAACGATATATGTTTGAGAAGTCGGAAGTATCGTTTGCATGGTGGAAGCAATGGCATTTGATCATGGATAGCTTGAGCTGCTTCTTTGTACAACTCCTCTTGTAATTGGTGCTCGATTGGTAGTGATCCAAAGTATGTCAAATAGGCATCTAAGTACTCTTGATAGGCGGGTGTTGGCTCGATTGTGTATTTGACCTCAAAATCACCATCAACCATAAACACACCATCAACACAACTGGCCGATCTTTCTGATGCAAGTATTCTGAATGAAGTCTGATACTTTAAACCTGATACTTTGTTCAAATTCTCAGTGGCATTCAGTAGCATTTGCAGGGCAATATCTACATCACCGGAACCAGAACTTTCGTTTGCCACCATTTCCTTGAATTTCATTTCCAATTCACGCAGTCCATTCTCACCTTCTAATCCCATTTCAAAGGCACGCTCTCTAAGTGATTTATAGTCCTCCAGACCTTTGATGTTCTTCCACGAACCATTGGTGATTTCCTCTTTGATATCGACCATGTGGTTTTTCAATGCATTTGGATCAAGTGTTCTTGTTTTTTCACTCCATCGCATAGCATATTCCTCCTGTAGGAATCCACCATTGATAAATCCTTTCATATAGTAATCGAGGATTAAGATGACCTTTCCAACAAGAGTATTATGGTAGGCTGGGTGTAGAACAGTGTACATACTTCCATCTTGATTGAAATGCAATGAAAAGAATGGAATGGTACCATACTGATGAATACCATTGCATAGTTCAACCATGATTTGTGAGATATCTGATGAACTCCATTCCGAAACATCATTACCATCGGTTTCATTTGGAATACAAATGGTATGAACCGACTGATTGAAACAATTGATATTCTTATCCCAATCTTTGAATCCGTCAGCAGAGGTGACAGCTACACCACCTATCTCACCTGCCATTGCACCACCCTTGGTAGCTGAAGATGGGTGTTGAAACTGGCTAGCTCTATTGCTGCTATTATATGACTTTTCCAAAGAAGAAACTTTAACATTCTGTTGGAACTGTCGTTGCTCGAATTTCTCGCGCACTTCCTTTCCTCTTTGTTCTATATTGGCACGTCTTTGTTGAGATTCAGGATTTTTTTTTTGACCATCCCTCAATCGAATGGCAATTGAAGCTTCTCTATCAATCAATCGACCATTGACCTCGCGCTGGGTTGAACCACCACGGTGTGCCTGTTTGGCTTCTCTGTGGTTCTTTTCATTAACGAGTAACAGATTTCTAGGATCATGCTTCAATTCAGGGTTATGTTTCTTACTGTTGATGTGGTGACAATGAATTACAGTTTGTGGATCATTTGCTCTTCTAGCTCGGTTGATTGCAGTTAGCAATTGACTACCGCTTCTTGCAGTCTTACCGGAAATTGGGCATTTATATTCTTTTGTTTGATGCCACTGTTTGAGTACTTCCCGTTCTTGTTTGTTAAACAATCCTTTTTGAAACCTAGAATCATTTCATTGATTAGTATTATAATATTTACATTATTTACTATTTTAATAACTACTGTGTACCCCCAGTTGCAAGGTTCTTTGCTTCAGATTCAATAACTCTATTCTTTGTTGAAGTCCATCCTGGTCTTTTTATAATAGTGATTAGTTATGATCTTCATTGCAAACAAAAAACATAAAAAAAAATGGACTTACTGAGCTTGAGGTTTGACCTTTGAAGGGTCAATTCTAATGGTGTTATTATTTGTGCTCATCGGATTAAAAATAGTTTGTGTTTTTTTACAAATTTAATACAATAGATAAAAGATAAATGATTAACAATAAATTTACAAAAATTATAAATACTTTCAAGTAAAAACAATTAAATCGTGAGAACAATGTTCAAAACCTAAATTCTTGATTTTTCAACTTAAAAAATGATTAAAAATATAATTTTCAATAGAATAACCCAGGTTTTAAAGAATTCTCCTCAAGGATTTTTAGTTTTTTTTTTACTATTCGATTTGTTCTAGATCTGAAAAGGGAGCGACTATTTTATTAAAACCATTTGAATGATTTTCAATTATCTTTTATAAAAAAACAATAACCTTTTCATCTTTGTAATTGAAAATGTAACTGTAACTCATTTGTTTTATTTGAGATCAACTTGGAATTCTACAAGAGGGTATGATGACATTAGTGCCAATTCATTTTCATCGATGATATCTTTGTGGTCGACAATAAATGAAGCTACTTGGTTATGGAAATATTCAACAGCGAAATCAGGTATTGACGGTGCCATCAAAGTAAACATTTGCAACCAACGTTCAGTACCACCGAGGATATAGCGTTCGTAGCATTTGTGGAATGGATAATCGCGGGCATTGATTACTCCGTTGGAAATTAATTTATTCCAGTAGAGTCTGAGGATTCTCTCTTCATTCATTTGACGATAGGAAATTTCAACATTGGAAATTACAAACTGCGCCAAATCAGTGAATGGACAGAAAACACCTACACCAGCCCAATCTACCAAATAGAATGGTGGTTTATCTGATGAATTGGTTGGTTGTTGATTGACTTCTTCAGCTTCGTCGTTGTTGTAACTTGACTTTCTATGAACTGCAGGCTCTGGATTCCACAGGAGATTGGCACCGTGGAAATCACCATGAATCAAACAGTACGGCAAAGTTGGATTGAGGTTGATATTGAATTGACCTTGGAACTTTTCCCAGTTTGTGTTAGCAAGTGCTTTATCCATTGTTTCAACCAAGACCTTTGACATTTGTGAAGCAGTCTTGCTCTGTTTCAAGTTGGCCCAGAGTTTGCGGATTGTAGAGATACCAAGCTCCCATTGTGAACGATCTTCACCTTTGAGCCACTTGGCAAAATTCAACTCGGGCACATCCAACAACGATGCACGACGCCATGTTTTTGAATGGAAATCGGCCATCTTTACAAAGATCTCCTCCAACATTGCAATGGAATCGAATGTGAATCTTCTGAGGTGAGGTGGCAACTCCTCCTTGGGCTCACCCCAACACTGGTTACCGAGAAGCACACTTCCATTGTATGCCTTTCCATTGCCGAGATCTTCCATCAAAATGATGAAATTTGTAGAATCTTTAGAGATGGAAGCATGGTAGCAACGTGGCATCAGGTCGATTCCCAAGTCGAGCTTGTGCCAATTCAAGAAGAACCAAGCTTCTCTGTGGAATGCCATTGTCTGAGCAATACGGAAATTATAGAAATCCTGCTTGATACATTTGACCAGCACAGTAGATGGCGGTGCCTGACTCGCTGGTTGTTGTCCGGCACGCAACTCCCAAGTCAAGTTCACTCTTGTAATATCACTGACAAAACCACCGGTAACCTTGTCGTTCAGCTCAAAGCCGGTTAATCTATATGATTTGAATGATTTACTCTCACCATTCATAGCCCATTCCAACCAAGACACTGTGAAATCGTTTTGTGTTACCACTTCAAGAGTCAAAGGTGTAAAACTCTTTAGATATCTAATATTCTTACTGATATAATATCCAGCTAAAGTTTTATAATAATCCATTTTTTAAAAGAAATAACTTTGGTAAATATATTTTCAATTAATTGTTTAATTATTGAATTGGTTTAAATTGTAAATCAAAAAATTGAAAATTTAATTTTTTGCTAAAATAATTAAAAATAAACAAATAAAATTGAAATTTCAATTTCTTATTTTTTTAACAAAACAGTCATTGAATGTCGTTGTTTAATTTGTTTTCTATTAATTTTCCTTAAACATATGATTATTTTATTATAAACAACAGTAATCTTATACCAAAATTAGTTTAATGTAACCTAATATATGATTGTTTGTTTGTTTCTTCTTTACAGAACATCTTCTTTCTACAACCCACACCTCAGACAACTATTTTTAACTTTGCCAACCTTGATGAAGCAATATCAAAAAACTCTGATATTCCTGTTTGCAATTCTTGTGCTTTGGTCGAGTGATTCAATCGTTTCTCGAGGATTGGAATGATCTCGGCTTTTGAACGTCCATTCACAAACACCATGAATGTAAAACCATACTTTTCCTGGTAAGCAACATTGAGTAACGCCAATCTTTCGAGCACTTTAGCTTCATCCGACATCGGTTGCTTATCATATCCTTGCTCTTTGTAGGATAGAGTAGATACCTCTGTTGGTTTAGCTCCAATCTTTGGATGTGAATTCAACAACTCTACCCTCTCATCGGGTGTGCACTTTGCCACCACCTCAATAGCGGTTTGAATCAACTGCTCATAGTTCAAGTAAGGTCTAGCTGCTAACATTCCTCTTGCTAAAGGTGGTGCTGTTTCAAACAATAAATTAACAACACTATATATGTATATGATTAAATAAAATAATATTACATTGTTAATTTGATGATTAATGTTAATATATAACATACTTTAAGAAACAATTGTCATCTAGTGTATTCAATCTTTGAACAGCAGGTAGCTTAATGTTTGGAAATGATTTAGATGTTTGAATAAATGTAGGTATTATTCTTTGACCGTGTGATGGTAATGTATGAGAGCTCTCTCTGTTGTAGATGATTTGACCTCTTAGGATGGTTTTCTCGACAACACCATTCTCTGGATTCCAAACTACAAAGTCAGCATCTCTACCGATTGCTATTGTACCTTTGATATCATTGATACCGACAAGTGCTGAAGGTATGTTTGATGCTGACTCTGAGAGAGCTACGAGTGATTCATCTTGGATGCCTTTTGATTCCTGTAGCTCTGATGTTAACAATAGCTTTTCAATATTAACAACTCTATTTTTAAGATGGTTAGCCTCCTTATTTGAAGAGTCTGAAGTCAATAATGAGATATCTTGATTGTTTGCTGTTGAATCAAACATTCCAAGAACACTACCATTAAAGATTCTATTTCTGTAGATGTTTGTATCGGCACCAACTATTAAACCAATATCAATAGACTATTATTTGTTTTATGTTAATTAGTATTTTTAAAACTTTATTCCTACATATCTAGTAAATCTTACTTTATTATTAGTTAATTCATTAACTTTATCAATATTCAAAAGATTTGGTGAATCATTCAAAATATTAATCAAAGTGGTAACACCTTGTTTAGGCATTGAAAGTATTTTCTCATCGAATGATTCTATACTTTCAATGTTGTCAAATCTTACTAAACCAGCCATTATTAGAAGGTTTTCTGTACAATCTAACAACAATTCAGTGTTTGTTAAATAGGTATTGTATGGTAGAATGTCAATGACAACTCCATTTTCAACTACCAAGATAGCCTCACCAACTCTACCATTATAAACAACTCTTCTTCCTCTTATTATTCTTTTTAAACTATTATCACTAGGATTCATTTTACTAATTAATTAAATTCTATAATAATTATTATTTATATGATAAAATAAAGCTAAAGAATAATTATATATAACATGATCCCCCATTTTGTGGTGCAAAGTCAACTTTACAAATAATTATTGTTTAATTAATTAATAAAAGAAAATACCTTTAAAACAACACACCACCGCTATTATTAAAAAAAATTAAACACAAGGAGCAGTAACAAGAGTGCAGCTTTAAAATCAAAAAAAAAAAAAAAATAGTTGTGTGTTAGTTATATTATTATTTGATTTGAACAACTAATACATGTGTATCTGATCTCTTTCATTTAATATGTTTATAATTCTACCACACATTTTAATAAACTATTTAAGTAATATTGACCAGATATGTTTGACTCTAGTTTGTAAAAGATTGTTTGATCTTAGAGATCAATATCTTTATCTACCTTTAATAATAACAATAAATATCGTCATATCAATGATTTCTATTTAAAATCAAATAGAAAGAATAGATTTGAATAATAGAGATAGTATAGACTTACTTTTTAAACCAAAAACTAGAATCAGTGGAACTCGATTTAAACCACCTCTATTTTGATTATGGTAATAACATTTAATTTTTGCTTAATTTGATTATTTACTAATATTAATTGTGTGTTAGGTCAATATTTAGATTTAAAGGATAGTGATTTTGAAGGTATCGATACAATCGGTCTAAGTTGGAATGTATCGACACTCTCTGACATTAGAGGTATAGATAGAGTCAAAAATTTGGAAATATACTCCACCAATATGATAGATTTTGTGTTTCCAAATAATTTGACTCGCTTAACAATCAATTTTTCGTTGTCTTTAGAACCAGAGTATGATATGAAGAAAAATATAATGTTACCTCAACAACTAGAGTATCTATCGATAGGTAGTTGCTACGCCATTGAGAAAGGATTTCTTCCATCATGCCTTAAATGTTTGATTTTAGGTTTTAGTTTGACAGACAATAAAAGAATTGAAAGAGGTGCACTTCCAGCTTCTTTACGAAAACTATCTATACAAACATACACTGGTAATTTGGTGTTCTACGATCCTAATGATGGGAATGTTTTAGATGATGAAGAAAACACCTATATTCCTAAGTCGGTGGTACATCTTTCAGTTGGAACACCTCCCTCCAAGGCAAACACTCCATTCAATCAAAAACTACCGGATACTCTTAAAACCCTGGGATTTTGTTTTAATTTCAAACAGTAGATCGATGGTTCTTTCATTCCCAAGTCTGTCACCCATTTGATGGTACGGTCCCAAAAGTCAATAGTAATCAGCTTCATTCCGAGCACTGTCAAACATCTCACCATTACGATAATGACTGACTACCACCTAAAGCGACTTCCACAATCACTTGAATCTCTTACAATTGAGGACCAGTCCATCTTGGATTTAAATTACTACCAAAGTCTGTAAGATCATTGCATCTACCAATAGATAAATTCCACTTCAATCCAAGTTTGCTTCCATCGATACCAGAGTCAGTTATCGATATCAACGTATCATACCATGACAGTAAGAACTATCTCCGAATAAGAAGACTTGACAACAACAAATTTATGTTCCTTACCGAATCCAACCAAGGATCAATCCTTAGCAAATCAACCAATATCTTTGAACTTCACAAAATAAAATATGGTAAAGCGTTGGGAATATTAATTGGTCGAATATTTAATTAAATTTTATAAAATATAGGATTATCATATTTAGGTGATGTTTTAATTAGGTATGTGGAAGTTGAGAAATGGTCGAAATCTTTTGATTCAATGATGCCACCTTGATTATTCTCGCAGAACAATAGATATCTCTGACCATTCAACCTTCTTAATATAGTTTTTGATGTTTCGTGCAATGTAAATATGTCCATCAGGATGATTGTAGTAACCGTTTGTGGAATTGATTCCAATAGCTTACTTGTCATACCAGCAAATGGGATCTTTAATGTCTTTATCGCTGGTCCTATCCATTTGAAACCAGCTTTATCTTGTCCAAGTATATTATTAATAAAACCTATCGCCAAATTTGCAAGACCAGACTTTTGTGATTTGATTTCCATACTCGTGATCTCCAAGTATATATACTTTAAACATAGAAAATTGATAGTCGCCGGTATTCGTTCTAATTGATCCGATCTTATTAACTTTAGCTGTGTGAGAGTATTGGGAACAACAAACTTGCCAAGTTTTTGATTGAATGTACCGAGTTCAAACTTCTTCAGAGAGCACGGCAATTCTAAATCGAGGGTTTTGTAGTAGCTTATTGTTGTACCAATCATCAACCTTCTAATGGTATTTGAAATATAGGTGTCTTCTAAATCGGTGGAAGTTCTATCATCATTGATTTCTGTTGGGTTGTAGAAAACTAATCTTCCAGAGTATGATTCTAATCCTATTGATTTCAATGAACTCGGAAGTACACCTCTGGCGATAGGTTGGTTGTATGTTTTGTATTCAATCTTTAAAGATTCTAGACCTTCTGGTAACACTCCAATATCAAACTTTGGTGCTGAACTAGCCAATCGCAATTTCTTTAGAGTCAAAGGAAAGAATCCTTTTTTAAACCTGGGTATGCGGCGTGAAAAGATTGTAAGTGATTCAAGTTGTGATGGTAATGCTGTATTCTCTCCAAAAGATTCGTCACTATTGTAAAAATAAAGAGATAGAGATGTGATATTGTTTGGGATGGCGTAATTGATTGCATCACTCAGAGACACACTTAATGACTTGATCCTATTGATAGCTGGAATCTTAAGTATTGAACTGAATTGATTTTCTACGATTATCTCTTCGATATCATCACTGATATCAGATTCCATTAATTGTTCTAATTTATCTATTTTCGTATTATATTTTAAGTTAGATTTTGAAAGATAATTATTTATAATTCTATTAATATGATAGTTACTTACCATTTCCAATATAACTTGAGAATACTTTTGGAACTATAACAAAATCATGTTGACTAACTGATATGATCGTTTTTATTTTGTGATAAGCATCATCTTGATGATCATATGATTCTATTTGATTTACAAATGATCTTAATTTAAGATTCTTTATCATACATCTTGTTGTCTTATCGGTAATGTTTAAAGGAATATATAGAAAACTATTTCTATCTGTCGATATAACTTTTTAGACACCAATGAAAATACGATCTTATCGATATTATCATCTAAATATGATAATATTTTCTTAAACAAAATAAATGGTAACTTTAACAAATTATTGTTATTATTGATATCGTCATTCATTTCTAGTATTACTATGTCTTTTTTAAGATTACTTTTTTAATTAATAACTTGAACAAACATTTCATAATCGAAAAAGGAAAAAAAAACAATACAATTTCATAATGTTATGTTATAAATTTATTATTATTTATTATTTAAAATTTTAAAAATAAAGGATTATCATATTTAGGTGATGATTCGATTAAGTACCCAAAAGCTGGGAAACGGTCGAAATCTTTTGATTCGATGATGCCACCTTGATTGTTATCCGAGAACAATAGAAATCTCTGACCATTCAACCTTCTTATAGAGTTGAAGTGTCGTCAGCCAATGTAATTCTGTCCAACAAGATGATTGTAGTAACCGTTTGTGGAATTGATTCCAATAGGGGTACTTAGCTTGATCATACCTTTCAAGTGGAATCATTAATGTGTTTATCGATGGTCCGATCCAATTGAAACCAACTTTTGTTTGGCCACCAAGTATATTATTAATAAAACCTAGACCAATTTTGATGAAGCTGCCATCTCCAATGTTTTCCATACTCGCGATCTCCAAGTTTATATACTTTAAACATAGAAAATCGATAGTCGCTGGTATCCGCTCTAATTGATCCGATCTTATTAGCCTCAGTCTAGTGAGAGTGTTGGGAACAACAAACTTGCCAAGTTTTTGGTTGAACGATTTACCAAGTTCAAACTTCTTCAGAGAGCTTGGCAATTCTAAATCAAGAGTTTTCTTGTCTCTGTCTTGTGGTGAACCAATCATCAACATTCTAATGGTATTTGGAATATAGGTGTATTCTAAATCGGTGGAAGTTCTATCATCATTGATATCTGTTGGGTTGTAGAAAACTAGTTTTCTAGAGTATGATCCCAAACCTATTGATTTCAATGAACTCGGAAGTACACCTTTGGCGATAGGCTGGTCGTATGATGTGTATTCGATCATTAACGACTTTAGACCTTGTGGTAACACTCCATACTCAAACTTTGGTGCTGAATCAACTAATCGTAGCTTCTTGAGAGTCAAAGGAAAGAATCCTTTTTCAAAGCGGTGCATACGGTGTGAAAAGAGTGTAAGTGATTCAAGTTGTGATGGTAATGCTGCATTCTCTCCAAAAGATTCGGGACTATCATAAAAAACAAGACATAGTGATGTGATATTGTTTGGGATAGCATAATTGATTGGTGCAGTCAATGAAACACTTAGTGACTTGATCCTTTTGATAGCCGGAATCCTAAGTAGTGAATAGAAGTTACATGTGAAGAATAACTCTTCGATATCATCACTGATATCAGATTCCTTTAATTTTTCTAGTTTATCTATTTTTACTTTATTGTTAGATTTTGAATTATTATATCTATAATTGTATTTAAATGATAATCATTTACCTTTTAAAATATAACTTGAGAATACTTTTGGAAATCCAAAAAAAGTCTCTTGATGAACAGCTATTATTGTTTTTATTTTGTGAAAACTATCATCTTGATGATCATATGATTCTATTTGATTTACAAATGATCTTAATTTAAGATTCTTTATCATACATCTTGTTGTCTTATCGGTAATGTTTAAAGGAATATATAGAAAACTATTTCTATTGTCATATAACTTTTTAGACACCAATGAAAATACGATCTTATCGATATTATCATCTAAATATGATAATATTTTCTTAAACAAAATAAATGGTAACTTTAACAAATTATTGTTATAATTGATATCGTCATTCATTTTCTATTAAGTAATTTAATTAAAAGATCTGTATATTTGTTCATGTTAACACCAAGAAAAAAAAAAGCAAAAAAAAAATAAAATAAACAAATAAACCTTATTTTTACAAAGTAAGTTTTTAGTGTAATAGATGATTTTAAGAGTAATACAAGTAAATAAGTTAATAGTAATGAATTTAATGATGGATATAAAACTAATCAAAAAATGAATGATTTGTTTATTAGTTGTGTTTTCTTAGAAGCTATTAATAACTGGTATTCAATCAGTTTAGGCCTCGAGCGGTTGATTGGAACTCCAATTTCAACAGTTATAAATATTCAAAAATATAATATGATAACTGTAACTTTATTGGTCGAATATTTAAAATGTAAAAAATATAGGATTATCATATTTAGGTGATGTTTTAATTAGGTATGTGGAAGTTGAGAAACGGTCGAAATCTTTTGATTCGATGATGCCACCTTGATTGGTCTCGGAGAACAATAGATATCTCTGACCTTTCAATCTTCTTAAAATAGTTTTAGTGTTGACAGACAATGTAGCTTTTTCCGACAAGATGATTGTAGTAACCGTTAGTGGAATTGATTCCAATAGTTTACTTGTCATACCTGATAATGGAATCTTTAATGTGTTTATCGATGGTCCGATCCAATTGAAACCAACTTTTCTTTGGCCACCAAGTATATTATTAATAAAATCTAGCGATAAATTAACAACATCATTGATTCGACCTATCTCCAAGTTTATATTCTTTAAACATAGAAAATTGATAGTCGCTGGTATATATTCTAATTGATTCGATCTTTTTAACTTTAGCTGTGTGAGAGTATTGGGAACAACAAACTTGCCAAGTTTTTGGTTGAACCATATACCTAGTTCAAACTTCTTCAGAGTGAATGGTAATTCTAAATCAAGAGTTTTCTTGTCTCTGTTTGGTGGTGAACCAATCATCAACATTCTAATGGTATTTGGAATATAGGTGTCATCCATATCGGAAGTACTATTATTATTTACCTCTGTTGGGTTGTAGAAAACTAATCTTCCAGAGTATGATTCCAAACCTATTGATTTCAATGATCTCGGAAGTACACCTTTGGTGATAGGCTGGGTAAATGATGTTTTTTCAATCTTTAAAGATTCTAGACCTTCTGGTAACACTCCAATATCAAACTTTGGTGCTGAACAAACCAATCGTAACTTCTTGAGAGTCAAAGGTAAGAATCCTTTTTCAAACTTGATTAAGAGGCTCGAAAAGATTGTAAGTGATTCAAGTTGTGATGGTAATGCTGCATTCTCTCCAAAAGATTGGGAACTATAAAAAGAAAGAGAGAGCGATGTGATATTGTTTGGAATGGCGTAATTGATTGGTGAAGTCAATGACACACTTAATGACTCGATCCTTTTGATAGCCGGAATCTGATGTAATGAATCGAAGTCACGTGTGAAGATTATCTCTTCGATATCATCACTGATATCAGATTCCTTTATTTGTTCTAATTTATCTATTTTCGTATTAATGTTAGATTTTGAACTATTATTGTATTAAAATGATAGGTACTTACCATTTCCAATATAACTTGAGAATACTTTTGGATATCCAGAAAAATAAGCTAGATGAACTGATATTATTGTTTTTATTTTGTGATAAGCATCATCTTGATGATCATATGATTCTATTTGATTTACAAATGATCTTAATTTAAGATTCTTTATCATACATCTTGTTGTCTTATCGGTAATGTTTAAAGGAATATATAGAAAACTATTTCTATTGTCATATAACTTTTTAGATAACAACGAAAATACGATCTTATCAATATTATCATCTAAATATGATAATATTTTCTTAAACAAAATAAATGGTAACTTTAACAAATTATTGTTTTTATTAATATCGTCATTCATTCTCTTCAGTCTTATTAAATCTGTATTGATTATAAAAAATAAAAACAATTTAATTGAATTGTATCAGCAAATAATTTTACTATTATATTTTTGTTTTGGATTTAAGTTAACTGGTGCATGTTATTAAATAACTTAAAAGATAACTCATCGCACTTTTAATCTTTGTTTAAGGACCAAATTATCTCTTCCTCTTTTTTTGTTTTACCAGAAGAACAAACAATACCTCAATAATAAGAGTATAAAAGAAAAAAACGAAATTATTTAAAAAAAATAGTATTTATTTGTTACAAAAAGTTGAATAAAATTTAATATAGATACAAAAAGAAACCGAGTGTCAGGTCTTTGTTTGACTGCAGAATCAACGTTTAAGGAGTAATGATTAACTTGTTTGATGACTTGTAGGGAATATATTTACCCTTGTAGGATGAGAAAAATCTTACTTCAAATTCACCTTGTTGTTCTGGTGCGACAAAAGAAATGACACCATTTCCGGTACCGTTGGTGTATTTTGATTCAATATAGTTCTTGTTGTTCTCCTCACCAACTACATAGAGACCGATCCAGTCGGATGATGAAGGTACAACAGTATTTACTGAATATTCAACTTTAATCTCTTTACCCTTTGAAACGATTGGTGTTGTAACTAAAATTTGATCCAAATCTATAGTAATATAATAAGAAATTAGTAAATGATTATTGTAAAATATAATAATTATTATTATTAATATTTTTACATACCTAAAATTTCAAAAGTGGCAATGGTTTGTTCATTATATTTAGTTGGGTAAACAAAGTAACGAACAGAGTATTCTCCTGGTGTTCTTGGTGATTTAAAGATGGCTGTTCCGGTGTTGTTTGCATAGGTAGAGTCAATATACTTTTTGTTACGTAATCCCTTAGAGTATAAACCGATCCAATCACGGTTGGAGATGCTTGATGGTGCAGCAACATTGTATTTGATGTGGATTTCATCACCGACGACGTGTGCAGAGAGATCGACATCTGGACCAATCAAAATGGAATCACTTGTTTGGAGCAAATCATATTTGTCCTTGAAGAGACGAGCTTCGTAGTTTCCTGGAATGATACCTGGGTAGGTAATGGAACCGTCGTTACCACCTTCGACTACCTTGTAGGTGAGATAACGTTCGTTCTTTGGTTGATGAGTTGGATAGATACCGATCCAGCAGTGGCTGTGAATTTGATTACCCAAGTTGTAGTTAACGACGATAGTGTCAGCCTCGGTACCACGAGTGAGCTTCAAGGACAAGGTATTTGATAATTTGGTTTGCTCGATGATCTCCAACTTTTGGACGAGTTCCTTCTCCAACTTTTCCTTTTCACGCTGGATGATGTCCAATTCGAGTGCCTGTAGCTTTTGCAACTCAACCTTTTGACGCTCCAACTCCTCGATGTGCTTGACAAGCTCAAGTTCGTTTTGTCTCTTCAACTCAATCTCGTGCTTCTTCATCATCTCCTCTTCGGATTGATTTCTTTGTAACAAATCCAACTTGTTTTTGAGTTCTTCGAGTTGACGTTGATCAGAGTCATGCAATCTCAAGAGCTCCTTGTTGTGTTCGAGTTCCTTTTGTCTCTTGGCCTCGAGAGCAATTTGTTGTTCGATGAGTTCCTTTTGTTGTTTCTCAAAAATACGCTTTTGCTTTTCGATCTCTTCCTCTTGCTTCTTCTTCATCTCCAAGTCGATCTTCTCCTTTTGGGCTTTAGCTTGTTCGGCTTGCTCTTCGAGCTTCTTACGTTCGGATTCGTGCTTTTGCAAAGCTTGCTTCAAGGCAGTACGTTCTGCTTCGAGCTTTGCGGCCTCTTCTTGTTCCTTTTGGAGTTTCTCTGCGAATTGACGATCACGTTGTTCCTGTTCCTGGGCGGCCTTCAAAGCCTTTTGGTGTTGCTCTCTCTCTTGATCCAACAACTTGAGGAGTCTGTCTTGCTCGACTTGTTCTCGTCTCTTTCTCTCTTGTTCTTGTCTCTGTTTTTCCTCTTCTTGTTTGATCAATTCTTGTTCACGCATTAAAAGTACCAATCTTTCCTTCTCACGTCTCTCTTGTTCCACTCTCTGTAGGTCCAAACGCTTTTGCTCCAAAGCATCACGCTCTGCTCTCTCCTTCTCTGCAGCAATCTTTTGCTGTTGAATCATTTGTTGATGTCTTCTCAATTGTTCTTCCTTGGCAAGTCTGAGTGACTCTCTTTCCTTCTCCATGATCTCCATGACACGCTTCTGCTCCTCCAATGCCTCGTCTGTTGTCCAGCTATGTACAATCTGAGCAGTCTCTTGAATCTTTCCACCGGTGGCGGTATAGACGTCAAAGATAGCAGATTGTTGCATTGGATCGATCTCACCAACTATATTCTTAATCTCTTTATAGACTTGACGCTTGTCACTGAGCATTGGTTGTGGTTTAGCTGGAGCCGGTTGCCTTGGTTGTTGATATTGTGGTGGTGGTGCAACTGGTTGTTGTACAACAACTGGTGCTGGTGGTTGTTGTTGTTGTGGTTGCTTTTTCTTTGGTGGTTCAGTCTCTGCCAACTCGGCAGCGGCAGCATCAAACTTATTGTTGTGCTTTGCCAAGACCTCTGTAATAGTCTCTTTATCAAAAAGAGTGAAAATATCTGCCAAAGCAGTAATCTTCATATGTAAATCCTCCATTGTATATATTTGTATAATATCTATAAATCTAAATCTTAATAAAATAAATAAATAAATTAATATAAAATAATATTATTATTATTATAATAATGTGTTTGATGTTATTTGTTGTTGTGTTGTCAATGAGATGATGTTGTTTTAAAATAATAAACAAATAAATAAATATATTGAAAATAAATAAATAAATATTTATAAATAAATATAGTCTATTTTTTAGATTACGTATAACAATACCATAAGAATAAATAAATTTTTTAATATAATTTAAATTAATAGATAATGAGGACAACAACACGCAAAGAAAAAAAAAAACACACTTTGACAATTTAATTATTTATATTTTTTTTTTGATTGCAATGTATACCTACTATAAAACTTAATCAATTAAATAAATAAACTTGGTGAATTATTCGTATATATATATATATATTTTTATATTAATGGTGTGAATATTTAGTTGTTGTTAAAAAAACCTTTTTTTGTTTTGTATTTTTGGATTTATTTGTATGAAAAAAAAACACAATTTCAATTTAATTTATTTTTAATTAAATTTTTTTGTTTCCTCAAATTTTTGAGAATGGTTTTCACATTTTTTCTTATTTTTTCTTGTTTTTTTTTCAAAACTTTGAATTTTACTTTTAAATTTAAAATGGATTTAAATTAAATTTCGTCAGTTAAACTTGGTGATCCAGGTTATAAAATAAACCTTTATTATTCAAACAAAATAAAGATAAATCTTTATAAATCTATATTCACAAAACAATAAAAAAAAACAGATTGATTTACACAAAAAGAAAGTTTTTATTCAACAAAATTTTCATTTAATCAAGTAATAATAAATAATAAACTATTTTATTTTAGACAATGTCGCAGTGATGTCAAAGCATTGATTAATTAATAGTAGTAGTGGGTGATGTTGTAGATTGAATCGGGTGGTCTGTTGATAGCGGATCTCAAACCACTATCTCTTCTGGTTCTGGCTGCGACGGCTTTGAAAATTGGACCACTCTTATCTTCGTCGCACTGGAGACATGGGTTGAGTGTGGTGGAGTTGACAGGGATGTTGTTTGGCACCTTTTCGATCCAGTCCTTTAGGCAAATGTCGAGGCAATCTTTACGTGTGTTGAGTGCATCGTACAACCAGATCACAGCACAATTGTGGGTGAGTCCAGCTGACTTTTGAATGCACTCCAACGCGAGGTCGTCCGAGATGAAAGAGATAATACCGCAGTCTCTGATAGGGTTGGTCAAGTCGATGTACTTCATGTACATAGCGAGATCAATGGTATTCGAACAGTATCCACATGGATGAAGATGAGTGACAAAGGCACCGGCAGCTTCTGCTTCGGCAGCCGAAGAGTAGTTGTAGAGATAGTAGGTGGAACGGTCTGACAAGTCCGGGTAGAGCAATCCACAGACAGTCTCATTGGAGAGTGTTGAGTTGAATCCGGCAATATCGTATGGGTTGTAGGTAAGGTTGACTGGTGGATTCAACAGTGTTTTCGAGGCGAATGCATCGACCACAGTTTGGTTGTAGGCAGGTGGTTCAAATCCATCAGCATTATTATTGTTGTTGTAGTCGTAGAACATCATGTCATTGTTGGTCATTACTCTGGTTCTGACCCTCTTTAATGCATCTCTGAAGAGTTCTTCGAGAATCTGCTTTGTGTTGACATCGTAGTTGGCAAACCAATCTGAATCATCCGATAAATATCTGTCGATCTTCTCGATGAATGATTCATTCGATGTTACCTGTCTACTACCACTACTACCCAAACTAAAACTTGCCAAAACAACAATAATTGTACACAATACAACTAATACTAATTGAATATTCTTTTGATTGTTAACCATATTATTTTAAATGATTAATCTTATAACTTTTTTTGATTTTAACTTTTTATTATTTAAATAAATATTTCTTTCTTTTATTAATATTCAATTGAAATTATATATAAATATATATAACTCGTAAATAAATAAAACTTCGTAGAAATAATAATATGATGTTGCAATGGGAACTGATTCTTTTTCATTTTTTTTTGATTGCCTCTTCAATTCCGATTGTCCAAAAAATCTGAAAAATACAATTGCTTTTTTGCTAAAAACACAAATTTGTGTAGCCCAGAGCAAGGTAATCTCTGATATGATATTTTTTTGTTGTAGAGAAATAGCTACATATCTTATAATTCCAAAGATTTCACCAAAACAATGTTAAATTACTTTAAAATCAGTTAAAGTAGATTTAGTATCTCAGGATTTATATGGAACTGGTAATGTTCCATGATTTAATCAGGATAAGACGCTCTTTGAAACAAATCTTTTGCAAAAAAAGATTAAAAAAAAAAAAATCCAAATTTTTGTTTTTTTAGATTGATCGAACGAATCTGTAGAAACCTTTTTATTATTCTTTGATTCCCATTAAAGATTAAGCAAAACACCACAGTCAGTATCTAGATATTTGATTTATTACCCTCTTTGAAATGAATAATCAGCTGATTTATATCTATGAATCCTCCAAACGTTTATAATTAAAGGACAGACATGAAAAAAGAGTTAACCTGGAAAGTAAGCCGATTCGAAGAATTGACAATTAAAGAATTATATGGTATCCTATATCTTAGATGTAAGGTATTCGTATTGGAACAGAATTGCCCCTATCTCGATACCGATTATAAAGACCAGAAAGCATTGCATCTTCATGGATATGTTGGCGACGAACTGGTAGCATATTCTCGTATATTCAAAGGAGGCGACTACTTTGACCAGGCAAGCATTGGTCGTGTGATCGTGGCTGAGGAACACCGTAAATATGGATATGGACACGACCTCATAAGCAGAGCAATAAACGTAATCGAAACAGTATTAAACGAGAAAACCATTGTTATTTCAGCACAGGCCTATTTACAGAAATTCTATGAGGCTCACAGCTTTGTAACTACCTCTGAAACCTATTTAGAAGATGGTATTCCACACATCAGCATGAAAAAAGAATAAAAACCTATATAAATATATCTTTCCTTTCTCTATATTTTTTTCTTATTAATAACTTCAAAGTAAATTTAGATATTGGATTTTGAGAATGTTCAACAGTATTTATAGATGAAACAGATATTGATTTCATTATTATTATATCAGTTAAAACTTTTAAAAAAATGTGTTGTTTGAATATTCAAAAAAAAATAATGTTTCTCGTTCCCGCCCAATCTTCTACTTTGTTCAAATTTATTTAAACTACTGGTCAATATCAGTAAATAATAAAGTTTAAACAATAATGGATATTGAATGTCAAACAAAAGTTGACTATCTACAACAAGCACGTAAAACAACACGACCTTCTACAAAAGGTTTGACAGTCTATAAAGAACGTGGATCAGTTATACTTCAAATAAATAATAGTGCAAAGACATCTTTCAATGTAATATATCGATTGACAAATGTGATAGTGAGCGATAGTATTGACTAATTATATATTAAATTGAAATTGTATACTATATATATATAGTTGGAGGAATCACTTTCGAAATACTATGCAAGTTTTATACATGAAGGCAAAATGACATTGGAGATGGTGTTACCTGGTGGCACCTTTTGTAACATTCTAATATCAAAAGCATCACCGGAACTCCTAACAAAGCTATATTCAATATTGAAAGTTGTTTTAGAATCACCTCAAGATATCATAGATCTTGATCTAGCGAGTAATAAACCAAGTAAAGATGATGAAGCAATAGAAGTATAAGAGAATCAATAGAAACAAATACATAATAACTAAATAGCTTGTACTATAAAATAATAATAATACAGATTAACAAAAATAAGGAAATAGAAATAAATTTAATTATTTATTAATCCTTTATATTCTGTATGACAAACATTAATGTTTGCTTTGTTAGTTAATTTAATATTATAGTACAAATTAATAATTATTTATTTATTTATTAATTAAATTAAATAAATTAAAAGAATATTATATCTTATTATTCTTCTCTAAGTATAGCTTGTTTATCTACTTCATTCAGTATTCCACCACCTCTTCTACGACTCCTATTGAATTGTAAGCTATTGTCACCATTACCATTGCCATTGCTATTATTATTATGGTTATTTTTAAATACTAAGAGTTCAGGTGATTCCTCTGAATCTGTTGCTTCAAGATTGTTTGGAAGTGATCTGACCAAGAAAGATGACGACGATTGTTGTTTGTTGAGTCTTACACCCATTACCCATTCTTTATCTTCCATTGACTTTGAATATCTATTGTTATCGCTTTCATTATTATTTATATTGTTGTTACTATCATTACTGTGACTTAGGAATATATGTTGTTGATGTTGCTGATGCTTATTATTAATAGCATACGAGTGTGTTTTGACAACAGGTTCATGTAAATAGGTGTTTGATTCAATTGATTTAGAGACATTCTTTATCTGATCTGGTGTTGAAATCGGAATATTTGTAACTGCTTTCCATATACCATCATTATGTTCGATACTCCATTGATCTCTTTGTACTATTAATTTAAAATATCAATTAAATTGTATATATTAATAATAAAGTCTATAGATGGATGATATGATATCATATATGAATATGTTTGCTATTTTACCTTTAAATTGTGGGTTTGAGTCAACTAGTATTGATGTTGTAGATTGAAGATCTAACATCCATTGTGATCTTACGTTGGTATTCTCACATATAAACAAATGACTTTTAATTGGACTTACTAAATAGAATGAATTGTCTTGAATAATGAATTAGTATTAAACACACACAATAACAATAATAATAATAATAAATAAATAATAATAGTAATAATATTAATAAGTATATTGCTATATTTGATTAGTATGCTTACCACTCTCAGAATCACAAAAGATGGATGCAGTTACCAATGGTATGATTTTATCGATCTTGTTGATTGCAGGCAGTGGTGTCACCGTTACAAAGTAGTCATTCAGTAGATATACCATTCTAGTTTGTAATGATTGATCTCTCATTGATTTCTTTTGTAATCTACCTTCTCTTATCAACTTTCTATGTGGTTCAACTAGATTCTATAATCATAAAAACAAAATGATATTAATATCTAGCTCTTTTTAAATAGTTGCATGTTATTTGTTACTTACTGAAACAGATAATGGTCCAAAGTATTTATTATGTTGATCGATCAATGATTGTAACTGAATTAACTTCTTTCTATTGATATCCTCTTGAATACCATCGTTTACCACTTGAACTATAGATTTCAATAGATTCGCAGCTGCTTCACATCTCTTTTTATCTGGATGATCTACAGGTGTAGCTTTAAACAATGCTTCTAAAAGCAATATATATCTTGGTGTTCTCTAGCAGAGTGATTGTAAGAAAAAAAAAAAAAGAAAAAGAAAGAGGTTGAATGTTAACATGCAAAAAATAATGATGGTGGGAGTAGGAGGTTGACGAGTCAGTAGCTATCTACTACTTACTTGAATGGGTGCAATTAATAACGATGATAAATCCAATGAATGACATCTTGGATCTTTTTCTTTGTTCTTCAGCCAATTGGCAATGGGCTGTGTACTCTGTCGGATGCGATTCAGTGTTTCGATGGAATGAGTGTAGTTCTCAGAGAACTGCTTGTAGCATTTGAAGAATGGTCCGACATCCAAAAAGATATTGCCAATCGATGATGAAGGAGACCAGTTTTTGACTACAGGATCCAAACGATCGAAGAGTAGACTACTCAAATTGTAGATACTCTCGATGTGTGAGAATATCGAATGAATGTCAGTCTCTGTAATTCCATAGTTCTGATCGTTGTCCTTCTCCAGTTGAACCATCGGTCGCAAGAACAACTCAATTACCGTCGCAAGTTGAGCATTATAATACCTTTCTGTATTCCAAATCTCTTTGGATATCTCTTTTCTCGTTGACTCACATTTTACTATTTAAATTTTTTATTTTTATTTTCATTTTCATTCGAATTATTTACATATATGTAAGTATTTATTGGTGAACAAACAATTTAATCATAGATATTCTATTTTTAAGACACATACAAGATATAATATGTTTCTTTCTCTGTAAGTATGCAATACTTAAAGCTCCCAGCAAAGATTCCATTCTCTCATCCCTAATAATACTGAAAATATTGAACTATATTTGATATATCAATATTTATAATAGATATGAAAGTAGTGGCTATTTTGGTGAAGCTTTGAAATATCAAAATTGCGTTTTCAAAAAAAAAAAACAAAAAAACTGTTGGCAAAAAAATTAAGATTGAAAAATTTTCATTGAAACAAATTGATGAGCCAGTGAACTTTTAATTGTTTTTGAATGCCAGCTGCTACAAAAATATTTTTTGGAATACTTTTATACATCAATGAATAATATGTATTTTTTTACGGTACTTGTACTCAATTAAAACTTTTTTCATACGCTCAACTAACTCTTTCTTTCTGTATCTTAACTAAACTCTAAGCAACTCAATTATGTGTTTCCAAAAAAATTTAACATATCAAATTTTTAATTCCATGCAGAAGCAAATTAAAAAAATTTGAGTGGTTGACCCCCAAATTTAAATTTTTTCCATCTGTCATTGAATGGAATTAAACAAATAAAAAATTATTATTAACATTTATCTCCGATTATTAACCCAGAATTTTTTTATTTTAATAATTGGCACTTACCAACCCACATTATTGGAAAATGACTCAGATACAAATTTGTGGCATAGTTTAATAGCTGTTCTTTGTCTTGAATCGATCTAATCAAACTCAAATTAATATGTGTTGCCTTATTACTATTTTCCTTTAATTCACACATATAAACTTCATTTCAATATACTATTGTGAGGGTAGTTTTTAATTTTTTTTTTTTGTAATTTGTTGTTATTGTTGAATATGATGTTAATATAATGCTCACACTTGTATTATAAAAATGTTCACAATCAATATAAAAATCTCCGATCTCAAACGAGATACTAACTTGGATATAATGTTTAGGATATTAATTTAATAAATAAATAAATATTTATTTATTTATTAATAATTAATTAATTAAGTGAAGAAAGAAGCCAATATAAAGAACAAAAAAGTCTATTCATTTAATTGTATTAAAATATTATTTTTCCAATTAATAAATATGGCTAAAATTAAATTAATTTTCTCCACTCTCTTGCTTATTAATATCTTCTCACTTGTATTATCTGCCAGATGTCAAGGAAGCTCTAGAGATGAATACACCCACGCTATGCGTTTCAAGCTTACTACCGGTAACTTCAAAAAAGTAGCAGCTGAACTCTGGCTAGAAGGTTGCATTTTTGATTTAGCTAATGGTGTTACTGGCTATTCATTTACAAAACCGATAACTGTTTACGATGAATCAATTATTAAGAAATGGACCCCTGGAGAAATTCAATATCTCTTAAGAAAAGTAAATGATAATAAGTTTGTATTATACTTTTGATAACTAATTTAGACTATTGCTTCAAAGAAAAACTAACCAATTACTTTATTATTTTTATTATATTTTTATAGTATAGATTTTCAGGTTTCAGAAAATAGACTTCACCTTTATGTTAGAAAGAGACAACCAAGACCACAAATCCAACCAACAGCAAATCCATCATTCAGATGTCAATATCCAGTTGAGCTTGATCTAAATGTATTCGCAGTGGAGAATGGTGATCGTGCTGTTGCAACCTATAGTGGTACTGCATGTAGGTTACCAGACTCAAAAGGAAATGATTATTGGACATTCAAAGATCCATTGACAATCTATTATAGAAATTTTGTAAATCGCTGGGTGGAGGGCAGTGTATTCGTCTTTGATCCAGAAGAGGATATAGATAATATAGAAGTATACATTTCATCTGATGGTAGAAAATTATACACTAGACCATAAACAATTCCAATAAATAAGTTGTCAACTATAACCTCTTTCAGCAAATGAATATCATATCTAAAATGTTGTTTCAAGAAAATGATGAATAATTATAGAAAAAACATAATGTTTTTGTTGATCCCTAAAATGATTTGCGTCATTACCACTTTCTTTTAAAAAAATTTCTTGAAGAAAAAAAAATTGAAAAAAAAAAGTTCTATTTTTGTTTGTTCATTAGTTCACCTCATTCTATTTATAAGATATTTATTATTGTTTCTCTTGTTTTTTAAAACAATAATTATTCAAACGTAAGTCACTTGATACTTGTAACCTATAACAAATAAGGATCATATCCCAATAGTATGGTTATTTATAAACAGACAGATACAACAGTGTTGATCTAAAAATCAAATCGAAAAAATAAATTCGACCATTTTTGTTTTTTTATTTAATTTTATTATTTTTATTTTATTTTTTTTTAATTAAACTACACACACAAAAAAAAACCAATTCATCAATCTTTTTTTTTCTTCTTTTTTTTTTTATTAAATTAAACAAACTCTATAAACAACAAAATCACTTAGTTTTTCTCTATTGTATTTTAGATTTACAAAAAAACAAATATGTGAGTATTATAACTGTATTTAGTTACCATTGTAGAACACACATTCCTACTATTAGCTAGATATTTTTGTTTATTTTTAAATGTACATTCGATTCTTCTGATATTCTGAATCAATGACCTAACAAATAGTTCTAGAGATTCTGGTATCTGGTACTCGAAAAGAGTGAATCACAATGGCAACAACTATCAATAAACTAAAGGTTATAACCGACTTTAGTTTGTAGTTGTTCAAAATCAATAACAGTGTAGTAATAATAATAATAAGTTAACTTTACTTTATTATATTTTTTATTATTATTTTTGTTAACAATATAACACCAGAAGCACTGCGCTCTTCAGCAGTAGTTCAAACTTTATTGTCCAAAGCATTATTTTATTTAATTTTATTTAATTTTTCCTTTTTTAGTTCTTTTTGTCTTTTTTTTTTTTTTTTGTTTTTTACTCTAAATTTGAAAACTAACTTCTTTTTCTTTATCATTCCAGATTCACTCACATAGGTTATTTATTATTAGTTTCAAGAGTTTTATTTTATTTTTTTTAGCAGCCTGTACACATAAACAAACATATAATATACAAAAATGGCATCAACATCATCCAAACGTTTACAAAAAGTAAGTATATTTTTATATAAATAAGCAAAATCTAGAGTAATAATAAAGACAAATGTCTCAACAACAAAATGAAAACAACAACAAAACAACAAAAACAATCATTATAAACAATAATGTTCAAATTACACTCGATGTAAATCAAATATTAATAGCAAGAAGATATGATTACTAATAATTACTTATTTTTACAATAGGAAATTACAGATATCATGAAGACACCACCCAATTGGTTCTCTGCTGCAGTTGTTGGTGAGAATCTTTATAAGTGGAAAGCAACTTTATTAGGACCAGTATGTTAATATACCAAACAATATTAGTTTTAACTATCTAGATAGAATGTTTTTTTATTGTTAACCTATTTAATTTGTTTCATTTAATCATTAACAGGAAGGATCACCATTTGAAAAAGGAACATTTGAGATTGATTTGGACATTCCAAACGACTACCCATTCAAGCCACCCGCATTGAAATTCACCACCAAGATATACCACCCAAACATTAAATCAGATGGTTCAGTATGCTCTGAACTCTTATCACAAAGCTGGTCACCACAATTAAAGATTCAAGATGGTATGTTGTTATAGGAAATAAACAAATAAGCACACAAACAAGCAAATAGATATACTAATATCACTGCTCTATCTATTATTGTTATTTTTCTAACAGTTCTTTTGACTATTCGTTCTTTATTGACCGAGCCAAACCCAGACGTACCACTCGAAGCTGACATTGCTCAACAATACAAAACCGATCGTAACGCCTTCAACAAGATCGCCAAAGAATGGACCAAGAAGTATGCCAAGTAAATTACTGTTATTATTTTCTATACCTTTACACTCTACACAACACACACAAATCTTTCTATAGATACATCATAATACGTATTAGTAGTAATAAATAAAAAATTAAAAAAAAACAGAAAAAAAGATATATTTAAATATATATTGCATTAATAGTATCAATCCAATGTGTATTTAGTTTGTTTTGATAAATCTTATTAAATCAACTGCAACCATCTTTCTTTCCATTTGAAAATATAATATCGTTGTTGTTGTCAACAAACAACTCGTTCATTTGAAGCACAGATCTATAACCTGGTACACAGGAAAAGGAGACTTTCAATTTGACTGTTTAAAAACAGATGGACATCTTTTTTTATTTTGTTTTTTTAAGGTTTGATATCAAATGAATCTATTATATTCATTGGAATTCCGTGTGAAGTTGGTGCAACAAAGTTTGTTTCGAAACAAACATAAAAAATCTTAATCCAAAAAAAAAAGGGATTCACAGTTATCATCTTTTTGGAACAAACATGCTCTACACTTTTCGAAATATCTCTTGAACAGATTTTTCTTAAGATAAAAAACAAACTAAAAATTGACCAAGATATTTTTTCTTTCGCCATCACAATTTTAAAATAATTTAAAAATAAAAAAAATTATCAATACTCACCAAATACAAGCCACAATTGAAAATAACAATCTTAAAATGGGTTTATCATTATTTTATCACATTATAAATTTATTATTGTAGTTTTGATTTTCAACTATTTATTTATTTATTTATTTTCATTAATAATATATTAGTTATTATCTATTAGTTGTTTATTATAAGATTTTTTTTTTGAGCAAAAACACCAATAAAATAAATTTAAAAAAAGAGAGCAAATCATTTTTTAATTAATTTTTTTTAATCACTAAGTTTTGTTATTTTTTTAATAGATAATAAATAAAGATTTATATTTTTGTTGAATTTCATAATCAAAAAGACAGCAAATATTAGTTACAATCAAATCAGATATGTTCATTTTATAGATCTATAATACAGATTATCACATTATTAAACAAACAGTATATTTCCTATCTCATCACACTCAACATCAGACAATTATTTATTTATTTATTATTTACTTATTTATTATTATTTATAAAAGGAAATTATTGTACAATAATTAGTTGTAGTATTAAAAAAAAAAGTTAATATCAAGTGTAGTATTAAAATTGATAATCGAGGTAAATATTAAAAACTCATAGCAAATAATATTGCTTTTACAAAAAATAAAATAATATCAGATATTTGTATATAAAAAAAATAAATCAATCAACCAATGCAAACATACCAAATCGAAAATGGATCGGCGAAAAGATGTGCACCAAAAAATAAAAAAAATGGTTTTACTTTTTTTTAAGATATTTCGAGTCGAACTTTTCATAATTAAGATAAAACAACACCAACATTAACAGATTAAGGTCCCATTACCAACATCATATATAATGCAAAACAGTGACAATCAGAAAAAACAAAAAAAAAAATCAATAATTGAAACCACGTCACTTGAGATATTTAAACATAATAATTATTATTACATTGATCAAAGACTCGTCTTTTGTCGGCCAAGATAATTTGAATTTACACATTTTCGAATGAAACACACATAAATCTCAAAGTTAGTTGAAAACCATCAAAAAAGCCAAAAAACAAAAAAAAAAAAAGCAATTAAAAAAAACACAAAACTCAACTAAATCAGTTAATTGAAGGATCACACATTAAAAAAAATATTGAAAACCAAATTTTGTTGTTTTGGTTTGAAAACAATATTAACAAAATACACCCCCTATCATCCTATCTTAATAATTAAAATAAACAATTTATTATATTGTTGTAGAATTTGTTATATGTATTATATAGATTAGATTATATTTATAGTTTGTAAAGTCTGTTGTTGTTGTTTGTTGTAGTTGTATTTGAAACAGTGTGTTTTGTATTAGTATTAGCATAGTTACTAAAAATTGTGTAGTTTAATGTGTGCATTGTCTAAACTTATAAGATATATAATAGATAGATTGATAAATAGCAACACCAAATCATAAACTTAAGTTTCTGTTAGATCAATCTAATAAATAACCTCTTTTGAAAAACTCATTGAAATAGCATAGTTATTGTTGGATTAGTTAGTTAGTCAATTAGTCAATTAGTTATATAGATTAGAAAAGTGTAGTAACAACTCAACTCAATTTGTTACTTGAACAAAATCACAACAACATTCAGCAATAATGGAAAATGATGATAAATTAATTAATGATCTAATTAGTAGAATTAATGTACAGGTATGTTTCGCACAGATTCGTCGGAGAGACTGAAAATGAACTATAGTTCATATATTAATAATCAATATCATTTTTTTATAGATAAAATTACAAAAGAATATAAATAGTACAGGATATCAAACACAAGATCAAATACAACAAGATCACATTAGAAAATTGAATGAAGAGACATTGATAAATCTCAGTTCAAACAAACTAAATATTATAGCCTCGGGATTATCAGATTCATTGGAGGGACTTATCAAACGAAAAGATAAAGATGAAACCAACGAACACAACTCATGGGCACAATCATATATATTGAATCTACTCGCCAAGTGTATGGCACATCAATGGTATCATATTGTAAGTATCTCTGTGGCCAAAAACAAAAACAACAACTCTAATATTAAAATTTAATTTCAGAAATCACAATTTAGAAATGTACAGGGACTAGACGAAAAAGAAGCTATTAGACTGAAGGAAAAGGAGGAACAGATATTACCACCACCACTCGAAGAGAATCTGGCAAAATTGATACTGTTCCAGGCAGTCACTTGTTTGATGCGTGCTCTCGTCTCCAATGAGCTCGACACTCAGGTCAACTCGGGAAAGGTCATCTTTCAATTGTCCGCTACCAACTACGAGACGGTAAGCGCAAAGATCGGTGAGATCTTGCACGTCATTGTCAATGGCAAGGGCGAGGCAGACGAGGCGTTCACCAATCAATTCTTCCTGATCGAGCATCTCAACTTGAACTCGAAGCGACTCTCAGAGCTGCTTGACAAGATCACCAAGTCGGCGACACACTTTAAGAAGGAGCGTCATCAGTTCATTCTGAGTCAAGTGCTGCGCAAGGCCGTTTGGAATTGGATCGACAACTACCCAATGGAGTTTGTCACACTCTGCAAGATGTGTGAACGTCTGCCCGGACAGCCTGACGTCCTCTTTGACGTCCTCGACGGCTGGGCCAAGAAGACCGCCCACAAAAACAGCTTTTGGCCGCTGCAAACCATGCTGTTGATCCTATGTCCCGATATCATGTTGGCGATTCACAAGAATGAGAAATCCGCTGACACCGCCAAGAAAGAGTCGTTCCTCGACTCACTCAAAAAGTCGTTGAAAGTCCCGAAGCTTGCCGATGTCGCAGCGATTTGTTATGTCGACATTTGCAAAGCGTCGACATTCGTTTCAAAGTCGGAGATGTCCGCTCTCCGTTATATTGTGCCGGGCATCGAGACCGAGCTGAAGGAGCGACTCTTCAATGTGGCACGCACACCTGATGGTCCCAACGACATTGAATTAATGACCGACTGTCTCGTTTCATTCTTTAAGATATCACCAAGAAAAGTACTGACTCTGATACCAGAGAACCTCGCCGATACGCCACCACACTTCAAGATGGTCCTAGTCAAATCGCTGCTGCGGATCGCACAGGAAGACAGCGCCAACACACTGCCATGGAGTCCGTCCATTGGTGATGCATACGCACTCGTCTCTGTCCAACTCAAACAGCTTTTCAACGACAATCTTCAATCGATTCGTTCATACAATTCTCTAAAGAATGCAAGCGACAAGAAATCAAAAGCACAATTTGAAAAAGTTCAATTCGACACACAAGTCATGTCACTATTAATCCAACTTTTTTTGGCAGATCCAAATCTTTCACTTTATACATCGGTAAGTTGGTTAATTATAAAGATAATTCTTATAAACATCTTTATTAATAGTTAATTTATTAGAAACCAATGGCACAAAATTTAGAAGATATTAGAATGATTATTACAGGATTATGTTATTGTTCTTCACAGTTTCAGTTGCCAGAGATATCGGATGTGGCTGCAGAGACACTTTTAAAGTTCCACAATCCAATTTATATTGATAGTTGGTACGAGAAGAAGATGATTAATGGATTTTGGGAGATAAGTTCTGCTGTCAATGTTTCGTTGGCCAATGCGTTGATCGAACAAAAGGAAACGAAAGCCGGTCAAGTTCAAAAGTTGATAACTCTGCTGGAGGAGATATTGATTCGTCGTAATGCTTTCTTGGATAAATCAAAGGATACACTCCGTCCTGAAGCATCGGTAAGAGACGTCCGTCTGCATGGTAGCACCAAGCTTGAGGTGGCGCTGCTCATTCACTTGTGCTCGCCAGAGCCAGACATCTGCAGTAAGTGCGCCACTTGTTTTGGACTGCTATGCGAGGAGATCGAAATTCTTGGTGACACATCCGATGAGGCAAACAGCATCGTTACCAACTACACCATCTACAAGAAGCTTTCGACAGCAGGTATTCTTCAGACCGGTCGACAACATCAACAAAAGGTGATTCGTTCACTGCTCCGAAGAATCGAAGCACAGACACCGGGTAATTTCGCTGCTTGGGAAGAGGTTTACCAACGTTGGCAAGCACTGACACCACTGCTCGTGCAGTTTGAAGACATCGAGAAGAACAAGAAGCCAAACTCTGTGGTGTTCAACAATAGCAGCAGTGGAAAGACAGGACTGTCTGCTACCGACCAGAAAACAGCAGCGGAAATCAAGCAGGAATGGCATAATTCATTGGGATTCCTTTGTAGTATGTCTGGTGTCACTTTGAATAAAGAGACTACTGTGCGTGTTACCAACGATAAGCTGAGAGTACAAAAGAAGATGGAGCGAACCATCAAAGTAATTGCCAGTTTCCTCGACGAAGTCGCAGAGATGATGGTACACGAGAGTGCATTCATGCGTGAGAGTGCAGTGCTGCTGGTAGGAACTGGATTGTCGCCTGCTGCTTACGCCTGGTTGTTCCGTGTGCTGCAAGACGAGTTGCAATCGTACTTTGGTGACGCCGGACAACTTCTCGATATGTCGGAGCGATGCACTCTGTTTGTTGAGCAAACGATCAGTGTTGTCAAGCATGTCCTCGATATATCACAGGAAGCAGAGGATCTCTCCATCATCACAAGCTTTGAGAACCTGATGCTTCTCATCATCAAGTATATCAATCACTTGGTCACCAACACCAGCATGCGTATCAAGAAGAATTTCTGTGCGTTGCTCGATGTAATGATGTTGAAACGTCACTACATCTCCTTCTCCAAGGAAATGGAATTCAGAAACAGTTTGTTGGAGAATATCGTTGAGTGGACATCCGACTTTGCTATAACACCGCTGTCCAACACTGCCGATGTTCTCAGTCGTATGGACAGCCAGGGATCCGATCAATCCAAGACTGATCAAACTAAAAAGTTGATAAAAGAAGTCGACATTGCTTGTATCACTACTATTGCGTCGTTGTTGCGTGGATTGGAACTACCGACAACCGATGCCGGTGTAAATATGTTTAAGAAATACTTTACATTCTTCACTACGCTGCTTACACGTTGCAAGCAGGATGCCGCTGAGGGATCTACTGCGCTGGCCGACGGTGCCATTAAGAGTTTGAGTAATATGCTCAGTGCCAACATTCACTACGAGTACTTTGTTATGATGGGTTACCACGAAGATCACGAGACACGTGCCGCTTTCCTCAGAGTCATTGCCAACATCTTGAATCAAGGAACTGGATTCGATCCGGTCGCCGACGAACCAGAAGAGAAATACGAGAAGTTTGTAGACATGTTGTTGGAACCAGAGTTTTGTGCATTGTTGGCATTCATCGAGGTGATTCCCATCACAGACTGCGATGAACTCGCACCAATTCTAGTGAATTTCCTTGAGCACAACGACAGAACCATGATGGTACTGAAAAAGGTGATCCACCAAGAGGTAGTAAATACTGAATCGGCCAACAGTTTGTTGCGTCGTAATTCAATGGCTACAAAGATGCTCGGTGCATTCACCAAACATATTGGTCGTCCCTATTTGAAACTAGCGCTGTATCCAGTCATCAATCAATTGATCAATCAAAAGGAATCAATGGAGATTGATCCATCAAGATTGGCACCAAACGAAGATGCCGCAGTCAATGCAAATCGTTTGATTTCACTTACCAAACAATTCCTCACTGCTATTCAAGAGAGTTTGCCACACCTCCCGATTGCACTCCGTGAAATCTCTGCTCATATCTCCAAAGTGGTCGCAGAAGCATTCCCAGGAAATGAAAAGATGGCGATTGGTGCCATCGGTGGTATTATGTTCCTTCGTTTCATTTGTCCAGCAATATTGAACCCCGATTTCTACGGTATTGTTTCAGCGGGTGTTCTGACAGCTGAAACTCGTCGTGCTCTCACTCTATGTGTCAAGTTGCTACAGAATATGGCAAATGGACAACTGGGAGTACGTGAATCGTTTATGTCTGCTTGTAATGCATTTGTCGCCGAGAACATGAAGACAATGGAAGAGTTGCTCGAGTCGTTTGCTGTTATTTCGCCAGATTTGCCAGCTGCTTCAAAGTCGGCTGTCAACGACCAATGGACTTGGGAGGCGCGTGAGGAAGACACCATTATCATGCATCGTCACATGGTTCACAATCTCGAGAAGATAACCAACATGCTATCGGGTCCACCCATCAACCAAAAGGCAGTTGCCGATCACCTCACTCAGGTTCTTCAGAGACTAGGACCACCGCCTGCTCTCGAGAGAAAGAAGAACACACCTGGAACTCGTAGCGCTGCGATCGGTGCAGGAATTGGTGCTGCTGCCAAGAGTGGAAATCACTACGAAGACTTTATGAGACGTCATGAGTCGACCAACATTGAACATCTCAAACAAAAGAAGATATTCTACAAGCAAGGTGTTACCAAAGACAAACTCCCGGTATTCTATTACATTGCGCGTCGTTATGAAGCTAGTTTCGACATGGAGCAGCTTCTCTATTTGATTCTCAAGACCTGTAAGGACAGTATGCGTACTCCCTTCTCAATGGTCATCGATTGTACTCTTATCACTGGTGAGCACAACATCCCAATGTCATGGTGTTCCACATGGATGCGTCATTTCCCACAGCAACTCACTGACAATTTGAAAACCATCTACATTGTCTCACCAAATCATATATTGAAGAAGTTTATGAAGCGTGTATCCAAGTTAATTGGTCGTGCCGCCAAGAAGGTTGTGTTTATCTCGAATCCAGTTCGACTCTTTGAGCATGTGGTGGAAGCGGAACATGGATTGCCTGCCACCACACTGGCAATGGAGACCGATGTCAAGTCCACCTTCTCACCGGTGATCAAATTCTCTGGACAATATCATGAGAAGAACATCACATTGAGAGTCACCAACGATACCATTCAAATGATTTCCTTGAAGCTCTATCCTATCCTCGGTAAACCAACACCGTTGATTGACATCTACCATATCGTTTCCATACATGAAATCGATATCAACAATGTCAATGACGACGACCAAGAATTCTATATTAAATACGAGAGTAACGGACCGAAATCGATGACATTCCGCAGTCCACAGCGTGCGCAGATCATTCAAGCCGTCGTACAGTGTATTGCCCGTTGGAAACTATCGAAACCCGAGAACAAGGTATCGAATCGTGTATTCCGTCCACAAGACATTCCGGGTACTCTATTGAATGTTGCACTACTTAACTTGGGATCGACTCGTAATGCGCTGAGAGTTGCCGCCTACAATATGTTGAGTGCACTCTGTAGAAATTCCAACTTCTCCATCAACATGCAAATGCTTGAAACCAATGGACTTTGTATTCCAAAGAATATCAGTCAGTTTATCATTCGTATCTCTGAGAAACTCTCAAAGACTCAAACTCCACTCACATTAGAATTCCTTCAGGAATCGCTTCATGGATTCACAAAGGCATCTGCCATTGCCAAGCATCTCGTTCTCGATTATATCGAGCCGTGGATACCCAATCTTGCATTGTTCTCTCAACGTCCTAGCTCTGAACACTCTGAACGTTACAAAAAGACAATCAATGTAATCAATCAATTGATTGATCTCTCCATTAAAGAGGTTTCAATGAAGTCGGTTATTCTGGCAAAGATCTGGACAACGTTTGGTCGTCAAAAGGAATCGTTGATTCTGCTTGTACTCAAGTGTTTGGTGCGAAAATGTCAAGACTCTGGTTTTGGACATCCAAATTCTGAGGCAATCTGCGAGATGGTATCGTCAATGGGAAGCGTTGCATCACAGTTGGTATCTGGCAAGTTGATCTCGCGTGTCATTCGTATATTGGAGCGAACCTCAGAACCTCCACACGTCTCTGAACTGTCGGAGCATCGTCTCTGGCCAAGATTGATTGTGTATCTCCGTCTGTTGCTACATCTATCGTTTGACAATTCGATTTGTGCACACCTATATCTCTCTGATATCCTCCATATCATCTGTACACTCTTCTCTGTGGGTAATATCTATGTTCGTATCAGTGTGCATGCACTTCTCATCAACACAATCCACTCGCTCTACACCTATTTCGTTCCAACCTGTAGCAAGCTATCGACAGTGCCATTCCTACTGACAGAGTTTGGACAACCATCGCTTCGTCTGCTCTTTGGTATCAACAATAGCAATATCTCTGCTGCCGATTCACCACCTGCCAACGACAACACAAAGGATCTCGAGCGTATGTCCATTACAAACGTCGATCCCGTTGTCAATGCAATCTTTGGACTGTTGAATGTGTTCAAGGACAACATTGATCAAGCCAAAGTATGGCATTCTCGTTGGCTGTCATTGACAACTCTCGCTGCACTACGTCCAAATCCACCTCTTCAAAGTCGTGCACTTATCACACTCGGTATTATTGCACGTCAATCTCAGCAGCCAGTCAAGGATGAGATGATTTTCGATATCCTCTGTGTGTTGCGTGTCGCCGCCAGCTCTCCACGTGCACTTCAAGATTACGCAGACATTATCGTCGGAGCACTTCAATGTCTCACTCGTCTCTTTGAGTATCTATCACCAACCAGTGTCTTTATTCCATCGCTATTCTGGATTGCCACAACTTTTGTCCAACTTTATGACAGTCGTGTATTCCCAGCTGCAATTGCCCTGTTGGAAACTATTCTCAAGACAATGGATCGTCGTGATCTCTTCACCGACAGCGTTAGTAACACAATGATGTTGGCACGTGAGCCACATGCAGCCATCATCTCGAAACTCGATAATATCACTGGAATCAGTTTTGAGAGTAATTTCGGATTTGCCATAACTTCTCATCTCCTCAAAGGTCTAAAGTATGCATCGACAAAGACTGCCACCTCACGTCTACTCTCGACATTCCTCAATATCTCAACGAAAAAGAGTAGCGGTGCATCGATCCTCGCTTATCTAGGTGCATTGCTCACCACCGAAGGTGAAGTGGCAAACATCGATCAAATCACTCTTTTGGCAGGTGAATCCAGCCGAACTGCACCCACCCAATTACTATTCAATGAACATATGATTCCAGATGCCGACCATGCCGCTCTGCTATTCACTTTGTTGGTGACAATTCTTTCGCACAGCGATCGTGAACACGAACAACTGTTCATCTACGAAGCATTGAAAGAGGGTATCCAATTCATGCCCGAGTCATTCCCAGTGATGTATCGTACTCTGATTCCAAAGATCTCCACTGTCATCTCATCGTCGCAAATCGAAAAGATGATTCAAGCCTGTCTATCGATCATGGTACATATGTTCTCCTTCCAAATGGAATCGCCAACCAACACCAATAAACTTTCGTTGGCTCACCTCAAGAAGATAAGATTCCAAGGTATGCCAGATTGTGGTGCTGGATTCTATCGTCAGTCCACCGTTATCAATGAATCGATACTAAAAGCATGCTCTGAGCTACTCGATTCCATGTGCAAACAAATCGAAACAGAGAACGGCAAGGATGACCATCACGAAGATGATTCAGAAGAGGAAGTACATGAAGAATCAATCGATGAAGACCTTGATGATTTCTCTGACACTGTTGAATGAAATATATAGTTTTTTCTCGAGACAAAACAAATAACCATAAATCAATAAACTTAATAAAGATGTAAATATAATATTTATTATATAAAATGTATTCTATGTTATAGTGACTGAAGAATAGTCCAAAAAAATCCAAAATTTAGAAAAATATCAATATAATTTCTTTCAAATTTAAAGGTCTAAAAGACATTCTAAAAAGAAGAAATATGTTAGTTTTAAAAATTAAGAAAACAACAATAAATGAATTAAAAGACACATTAGAAAATAGAATACTTCTTGATTGATATTAATAGTCAGGTCAAGATCTATTTGAAGTAATTGATATTGGTGAGGATATGAATTGTGTATCGATGTATAATAACGAATGTGTGGAAATTATTTATATAGGATAGGTTCAAGTTAGCAGATACATGGTTTTAACGATCACTCTTACCACATAGTTGAATCCAGACGTCAATAATTGGGAATATAGAATCTCTATTAAAGAAATTATCAAATAGATTTAAATATAGTATGCATTTTATTAAATCTATTCAAAAAAAACACACTTTCGGGTGAGGGGTAAAAAAATCTCAATGAAAAGTCATCACCCTTTTTAAATTAAATCTATCTGTCACAAATTTTTTATCCACTTTTTTTTGTTTTTTACAATAATTAAAGTTAAAAGTAGATAGTTAGAGATTAGAGACAGAAAAAAAGGGATAGAGTACACAAAACAATAAAAAAAAAATGTCTTCTGCTCTATCTTCAAAGACAACCACTGTTATTCAGAGTGGATATCTATTCAAGAAGGATGGCAAGTCAAAACTACCAGGTAGATCACAGGCTTGGAAGAAACGATTCTTTGTGCTTGACAATCAGAGTTTGAGCTATTTAAAATCGGAGAAACCAGAGGCAAAGTTGTACGGTAAAATCGCCATGTCGGACTTACAGGCGATTCAACAACATCAGCCAACCGCTACATCATCACATCTCTGGACACTAGACATTCACACAAAAGATCGTACATACTACCTCTCTTCAAACTCTGAATCAGACATTAACCAATGGACACTAAATCTTACTAGCTTTATTACTATAACAACTTCTACCTCTGTTCAATCATCGAAAATAACATCAAACAACAATAATAATAAAAATGGTAGTTTCTTTGTAAACAACAACAACAACAATAGCAGTAGTGACCAAGTTTCTTCATCAAAATCGATTAATAACAAGAGACAAACAACTGTATTATCTACACCAATTCCAACTTTGTTGAATCAATCCAACCCTGTAGTTAGCTCAACATCGACAACCTCGACCTCAATCACTACAAAAGCAATGTCAAAGTCAATGCCAGTTACAACATCTACAACAACGACAACTACTAATTATTTAAACAATAACAATAATAACAACAACAATAATGATTTTGGATTTGTTATGATAAATGATAATGGTGAACAACCTCCACCTCAACAACAACAAGGACCGATTAATTCATTAAAACAAACCATTACACAAATAGTAGTGAATGCTGTTGCTCCTGCCAAAACACAACAACAACAACCAAATAATATGTCACCAGATAATAGTAATAGCCAAATGACAACATCAGTCAATTCAAATCCACGTACTGTCGATCAGTCCGGTAATAATAATAAGATGAGTCTGTGTGGTGCATCAATTATCGATTATGCAAAGAATTTCAGTTCTGGATATATCACTGCGATGGTTGCAGTCTCGCCAAAGAAGATATGGACAGGTGATAGCAACGGTAACATCGTTACATGGTCTGCTGCATCTGACAAGCTAAAAAAGGGTTCACAATGGAAGAAACATCAACACGCTATCACATCGCTCGTTTACATTCCGTCACAGAATGCTATCTACAGTGCATCGACCGACACTACTATATGTGCATGGCACGAAGACGACTTCACCCTGATATTCACACACAATTCACGTGTACCAATCTACAGCATGATTGAAATCAACGATTCACTACTACTTTATTGTGGATACAGTGAGAACTTTACATCTATTGCATTGTTAGATATAAATGTAAGTAGAATCAATCATCATCAAATTAAACATTATAAGTGTTATAGACTATTGTTTACTAAATTGTTTAATTGCTATATATATAAAGACACAAACAGCTAAAGATATACCATTAAATTCTTATATCCAAATGATTGAAACAGAGAAGAATGCATCACAACAAGTCAATCAACAACAACAACAACAAGGAAAGAAGAAAGTCAGAGATATAAGAAAGTTTTACAAAATTATAAAGTATGACGATAGAATATTGATTGCAACTACATACTCAGAGATTGTTGTTTGGAGTCCATGGGATGGTGATATCTGCCAGATTCTAGAGGTTGGTTATCAATCGATATCCGGCATGTCTGTCATTGGTAATACTCTGTGGATATGTTCATTACCAGACAATACAGTAACAGGTTTCTTTGCTCCACAAATGCCAAACGTTGTTTCTCTATGGAGTTTAAATGTATGTAAAATAATATTACTCAAACACCTCTTACTTATTAACTGACCGATTTGATTTTTGTAATTGAATGTCTAGACATTGAAAAAGAAAAGAAGTTTTGATTGTACACATCCAATTACATCATTCAATATATTCAATGGTTATGTATGGGCAGTTAATAGACATCATATATCTGTATATGAACCAAATGTAATGATTATCATATTATTGTTTTTTTTAGTAAGATATTAGTTATCTATTAACACTTTAAATTGATTGATTTGCATTTACATTATCAAAATAGTCAGGTCAAGGTGTATTTGAAGTAATAGATCTTGGTGAAGATATGAATTGTATATCAATGTATAATAACGAATGTGCATGGGTTGGTGGAAATCATTTATTCAGATTCAAGTTAACAGATACATGGTTTGAACGATCACTCTTACCACATGATTTGAATCCAGACGTCAATAATTGGGAATATATAGAATCTCTATTAAAGAAATTATCAAATAGATTTAAATATAGTATGTATTTTATTAGTTGTTCGATTATCATATTATCGAACCAGTAGTTTATATTACACTACTAACTATGGTTTTTTTATAGATTATGATGGTAGAATATTAGATTTACTTTTGAATATCGGTGAAAGTGAACAGCTATTAGTTTCATTTCATATTATTATTGTACAGACGCTAAGATATCATAATAGAAATCAATCGTGTATTACAGAACAGATATTGATGGGTGAATCATTCAGATTGGATCGAATGGCAAACCTTTTACAATCACATCTTAAGAATAGAAATGATCCACTTTTACATTTATATACAATGAAGACTATCTATTACCTTTGTAATTTTAGTATGTATACATACCTATAACACTATTACAATCATTAGAATATTAATATTAACATACATTATATAAAGATAAATTCTGTACAAAGATATCAATTGAAGTATTATTAAAGTTCTCAATACAATCATTACCACCTGCAGTATTGAAATATACTTTATTGGTTATTGTAAAGCTAATAACTCTACTCACAAAGATACCTGTTATGTTTGGCAGTGTAGAAGAGAACTATAAGAAGATGAAAGACATCCTAGAGTATTACTTTAAAGTGTTGGATCAGCAGTTCTCACAGACAAACGATGATGGTGACTTGATTAAGCATTGTATTATCTACATTCTCAAGCGTATCTATGAACTCGATGACAAGCGATACAATGAAATCATTCTAAAGAAACAGTGTATTCAACCGCTTCACAAGATTGCTCGCGCCACTCCACCCACCTATTTCTCACAGGAAGCACAACACTTCCTGCAATTGCTCATGTCCAACAACGCCAAGATAAGCGAACTCATAAGCAAGCTCGGAGGAATGGTAGTCGACAACAACCTCGATGAACCAACCATGCTCATCTACCAGTTGACCGAGCCACACACCAAGAAGAAGCGTGTTGCCGTCCGACCAGAATCCAGCAGTTCAGGTCCGCTCACATCCAACTCGCCAATCACCTCACTGATGTACACGCTGAATTCGTTGTTACACTCTGTACAAAACACAACACTGAAAAGCACAAAGATCACCATCAAAGAGATCTCAGTGCCAGATTCGTTCCCCGATCTCTTTACGAACCGCCAATCAATCATTCAGCTCCAAGCTATTCTCTATGGATTCCAGGCACACTTTGCCGTTGAACTTACACCAAAGGATCTAAAGATTCGTATACAAATCGAGTATAAAGGACTCTCTGGTGAAGCGACAATAAGTGATCCATCGATACACGGCATTGTAATACTGGGTTTCCATCAGGGATCGGCCAAACCCCATTGGCTGTCATTCCAAGAGGAACCAAAGATTGATTTCAAATTCACAACTACCACTCTACTTAAACCGGTTGATCTAATCATCAAACCTGCAATACAAAGAATCATCAAATCTAAAATGGTTCATCCAAATAAACTAATTATAAAATCTTAATCATTTTATTAAAACATCAACAATAACAACGTCTATAGATTCGTTGTAATCTATTTTTATTTGGTGAGTTTCAGTTATTCCATCTTTCTATTATTCTTTTAATTGATCTCACACAAATAACTGAATCTTTTTACTTTTACTGTACAATTTTATTGATCTTATTTAAAAGATGGATAGCCCAATATTTTAAGTAAAACAAAAAAAATCAAAGTTCGTTGAAAAAACAAAGAGATTAATTTCCAAATATCTATAATAAGAAAATGGTGGTTCCAATTTGATAGGATAAAGATCTTGTTTTTTCAACGAACTTTGATTTTTTTTTTGGGATATTTTTTTTTTCTGATTTTATTTATCTGTTTGGAGAAGGTGATTGATCCTAAAAAATATTGTTTAAGCATTAAAGTTTACAAATTTTTGCAAATATTTTTCAAATAAATAAATATGATGATTAGGATATCTTTTGTACTTTTATTAATTGTATATTGCATAACATTTTGTAGTTCTCAACAACCTTTGGCCTTACATGATGATGATTTGCGAGGAATTATTTGGTTGGCCGAACAGGTAATTCATTGATTATTTACTAGATAGATTTATTTCAAAATTGTTTATTTTATTTTTTCTTAAGTATTCTATAGATTGGAGTGTATTGGGCAGAGACTGTGACTCTATAACCAATCAGAGTCAAGCTACTTTGATTTGTGATGTTGATACAGCTACTGGTTATCAATCTGTTAGTCAAATGTAAGAATCCAAACTTTTTTTAGCCCGAAATATGATTTAATATTAATTTTAAAATACATCACTATGAATTAGTAAAATAAATCAATATTTACCAAAAACCCAAGAATATCCATCAAACATTACAGAATTAAAATTTGCAAACTTGACAACTTTCTACCTGACCAAAGCAGCAGGTGTTGTAGAAAAGCAAAATATAAACATTTTGTCTATGTTGGATGTTCAATCGAATACTAAATTAGTTAAAATAGAGTAATTATCTAAATAGTTAGTACTTTTATTTATTTATAAACAATTAACAAAAAATTATTAGAATTTATAATGTTGGAGTTTTTTTTCCTACTGATTTTCCAGTCCATATACCTTTACTTTCATTGTAGGTACAATATTTTATTTTTTAAATAATTTTGCTAGAAATATCTAATTTTTTCTTAAAAAGATTTGCATATAATGTAAATGTTTCATCTATGATAAATAGGAATATGTTTAAATCACCAATGCAAGAGGTTTCAGTAATAGCAACCAACCCTCCAGTAATAGTTGATTTACCAGAGAATGAAATATATAATACTCTAACCACTTTGTAAATATTTTTTTTAAAATTACTTTACTTTTTTTCAAACATTAATTAACCAATTTGTATAAACTACTTGTAGGAGAATAGATTTCACAACCTATAATAACTATTCATTTAGTGAAGGATTCTTCCCACGATTGAAATTTTTGTAAGTAGATTACGAATTTATTATTAATCTTTTATTAACTTTATTTATAGACAACTTAATCGGTTAAGACCAGATATATCTTTAATTATAGACTCAGATATATTGCAAAGTTTAATTATTCTAGATAAAAAATCATCTGGTGTTATAAGGATTTCTAGAGGTTCATCTTTAACAACTTTGTAAATATAAATAAAGAATTAGAAATATCTTTATAAATACTAATTTAATTTGTTTAAATAGACAAATCGGTAACCAATCAGTATCTCCAGAGAATTTAGGACTATTCCCAATAAATAATTTTGTTAGCTATAATAATAGTCAAAATTTCAAATTCAAAAACTTAATTAATTTAAGGTATTTTTATAATTGTTAGTCTTTATTTATTGGAATACTAATTAAATTGATATCAATAGTAAATATGATGTAGCTAGAAATATCCCTTTCCCAGATGAATCAATGTTTAGCCCTAATACATCTTCAGGTGTATCTTTGTATCTTGGAAATGGAGAAACTGTTTCTACTCTACCTTTATATAATTCAATACGTTTTGCACAATTTTCTGTAACGGGTTATCCTGGATTAACAGGATCAATTCCTTCTTCCTTATGCACTCTCCAAAGATACAATCTTGTTTTAACCAATACCAATTTATCAAAAGCTTCTGATTGTCTTTATTGTTATTGGGACTTGGTTTATTTGACTCTTCCATCTACAATCACTCCACCTACACTATCTTTTGATTGTGGTAAGTACTTTTAGATTCTAATTTAATATATTAAAATATTAACAATCTTTTTTTTTTGTTTCAGTTGTTTCTTTTTGAAAAATATAGATATCAATATTCAAGTGCAATTACAATTAAGTAAATTTTACAATTATTTATTATTTAATATAAAATATTTATATAAATTTTATTATTTTAGTGGTGATAACCTTGGATATGTTGTTCCACCTGGAATTCTATTGGAAATCAAAATTCCAAACACTCAAATGATGTAAGAATCTTATTGTATTTCTCGACATTCTATATCAAAAAATTAATTTTTTTTTCAAGATTTTATCCAGGAGTGAGAACTTCAGGGACTCAAGAGTTTTCCTTTAATACTTATTCTGGTGTTAAGAATCTAACAATCATGTGGAGTGGGGATAGTATGTAAAAGAATTTTTATTTTAAAAATCATTTAACTAATTGTTCTTTTTAGCCAATAGTGTTAACTTGGTTAAAGGTGTTCAAGTTCCCTATGGATTGAATCTTACACTTTTTGGATCCTTTAATATATATGATGATGTGAAAATAATAATGGATGGTATAACAAATACAGATATATTGGTATTACTTGATACTATGTATGTGACATTTAATCATGTATTTGATGATGAAAAGATATTAAAAATTCAAATTCAATCAAATTCAAAAACAAACCCAATAGACTATAAATATAAAAAAGGTAAAATCTATATTTCATTAAAAAATAACTCAAATTAATTAATTTATTTTTAATAGTCTATCCGTATATAAGTTGGATTTCAAATGTTACTAGTGATGGAGGACTAATAACTCTAAATGGAAATTTTGGTGACTATAGTCAATCTGGTTTAAATATTTTGATAAACCAAACCAGTATATGTGTACCTGTATCAAGATCAAACTCTTCAATAGTTTGTAATGCTGATAAACTATCCTATGGTGTCGTACCATTGCTCCTCACAGTTGATGGATATACATTTTCAACGAAATTAAAAATAGGTAAATATTTAATTTTTAGAACCACTCTATCATCTTTTTTCTTATAAAATACTATGAAATAGATCCAGCACAGATTATCATAGATTGTGGAAATACAAAACCATTGTGCAATGGAAATGGAGATTGTTTAGCAGCTGGATATTGTCAATGTTATTCTGGATTCAATGGATATTATTGTGAAAATAGTAATTATCATTCTTTATTTATTCTTTTTTTTTATTTATTTTTGTTGACTATTTTTTTGACTATTTTTTATTTTATTTCATAGAAATATTTGATGGAGGTGTAATTGGTGAAAATACAACAAAACCATCACCAACTTTCAAAGCCAATGGTGAAGAATTTTCATTCAATATGATATCGATTGAAGAATTAGATTCATCAAGAAATGTTATCAAATCAATACCAACAAACAATTGGAATTTTAACACAACAAAGAATTCAACAAAAACAGTAACAAGATATCAATTGAATCATACATCATCGGAATTCATCGAAGCTACAATTCAATATTCATCGGAACCAATGAATGTTGAATTTGCAGGATTATCATATGTACTTCCACCAAACTCAATCAAACTTTCGATATCGATTGATGGATGGACTTATGAATCACTCCTCAACACTTTAAGAGTTGTATTTTCGACACAATTCGATGAACAAAATGATTGTTCATTCGAAAAGAATTCAATTGGAAACAATCAAATCGATAATTCAATCAATTATTTGAAGATTGTCAAGAATGGAATATCATTTTATGGTAAATTTTATGATGTTTCACTTTCCGATGGACAACCAACATATTCATTTGTTGAAGTTGTTAATAACACCAACCCAAATGATATTTCGATTGGAATCAATCTGAGTCAATGTCAGAGATGTTTTATCGATCCAGATTTCTCATTGTTGGTTGCAGTCAAAGATAAATGTGAAGAAAAGAGTAAAACATGGATCATCATCACAGTTGTTTGTGTTGTTGGTTCTGTATTATTAGGATTGATTGTTATTGGTGCATTCTACCTCAGAAAGAATAGAGCTAATCTCAAACTAAAATTTGAGATTGTGCTTGAAAAATTCGAAAAAAAATAAATAAATATATTCAATAAGTCGATAAATATATTAATTTGTTCGAAAAAAACTGACTATATATAATAGCCATCTTTAATGAGTTTCGATGTTGCATCTTTGTGGATGTCAATTCTTTGATTTTCACTGCAACCAAGTAACAATCTATACATGTAGATCGACCTTCACATCTACTAGTCAATATAAGGGAGTTAAGTCATGATGTACCCTGTCTTATTTTATTTTGTAAAAAAAAAACCTAAATGTAAAATTTAATAACACTTATCTTCAAAATCGGTTTTTTTTTTTTTAGATTCTGATTTTAACAAAATATTTCTTTTTTTTTTTCTTCAACATTATTTTTTTTTTTTGATCTTTACAATTAAATGTAAAATGAATAAATCTTTGTTAACATTTATCTTGTGCATATCTTGTATTTCAATAATCAATGGTCAAGCTCTTATTTTGAATGGTGATGATTTGACTGCTGTTCGTTGGTTAGCTCAACAAGTATTTATATTTTACTATACCATTTTTACTTAATTTTTGTTAACTGACGATATATTTTCTAACAGTTTTATATAGATTGGAGTTTATTAAATACAGATTGTGTTAGTATCCAGCAATCAAGTCTTGCACTACTCACTTGTGTTAATGACACTTCGAACAATCAATATGTGACCGAAATGTATGTGTTTTGCTCAAATAAGTGTTTGTTTTTTTTTGTATTAATAGCTTTTCAAGCTCTATTCCTTCAAACTATGTAAAAACAGATCAGCTCGCACCATCAAATACAACCCCTCTAAAGATGTCAAAGTTAAAAACTTTTGTTATAGCATTCCCTCGAGGTATTCAAATACCATCCGCCAATTTACTAGCACTTTTGGATAATGATCAAAATACCAACCTTTGGATGATAAAGTAACTTTTTTAAAATTTTTTAAATATCATCTTTTTCTCATTATATCTATCTTATCTATAGGATCAATACAATCGATATTGGAATCCCACTTAACTTTCCAGTGTATATTCCTTTGACAGATTTGTAGGCTATACTGTATTGCTTCGCATGTGATGAGTACTCACTTTTTTTAAAATCATAGATATATAGACTATGGAATTATATCAGGTTCAACATCTGCCAATCTGTTAGCAAAACCAATGAAAAATATTAGACTTGTTAGTAAAACTCCACCTGTTATCGTTCAATTACCATTAACCCAGAATTATTCCACACTCAGTTCTATTAATATCGATTTTGTAAATTATGATTCATATAACTTTTCACAAAGTGATTTTCCAAGTTTAACTGAAATGTAATATTTTAAATCTTATTATTATATTGTATTGAATATTAACTTTTCTCTTTTAAAAAATTATAGAAATTTTGGTTATATTAAAAAAGATATGAATTTATATGTTCAATCAAAATCCATTAAGACACTGTATTTATTATTTAATTATGTTTATTAGATTATTGGAACTAATTTAATATTTTTAATAATTAGATTAATAACTGATACTGTTCCAGCAAATATAACAATAACAGGTTCAACAAATATTACAAATTTGTAAGATTTACAATTATTATTTTAAATAAAACAAACAATACTAATATTTTAAAAGAGAGTTTAAAAACCAAACAATATATCCAACAGACTTAACTTCCTATTCGATAAGAACTTTCAAATCTCTAAACAACCAACAAGATTTTAAACTCAGTGGCATATCAACATTAAGGTAATTTAATTTTCACATTTTATTTTAAATACCTTTCTTACTTATTTATTCAAATTAACTAGTCGATATAATTATAATGGACCATTCCCAAGTGAATCAACATTTAGCACTACAACATCAATGTAAATTGATCACGAAAACTTTCTGTAGAATATTTCTAATCAAATATTAAATTCTTTATTAAAAGTTTTTTAGATTTTCAAGGTGGTAATATAGCTGGAAGTTTGCCATCCTATACCAACAATGTTTTAATCTCATATTTGAAAATAAATGACTACCCTTCAATTTCTGGTGCCGTCCCCGATAATTATTGTAGAATATATTCAATAACATTAACAAATACAAATATAACATCTGTTCCCGATTGTTTTAAATGTTATTGGAGTAAAGTAAAATCAGGAATGCCAGAAACAATTACTGCTCCTCCAGTTGATTTTCAATGTAGTATGTTGTTAATAATAAATGAATTAAATTTTTATATTATTTCTAATTTTTTTATAAAAGATATAAGCTTAGACTCTAAAATCTATAAATACCAAGGAAATTCAGCAATTACAATTAGGTAAGTACTCAATATTAATTATTTTTTTTACTTTTATTAATATTATTTTGCAAAAGAGGAAAGAATTTAGGTTTTGCTCCACCTCTATCAGACCAATTTAAAATTTTGATCCCTAACGAAGTTATTTTGTAAGTAAAATTTACTTTCAACAATATTTTCAATTTTACTAATTAAATAAATTTATTAGATTCGTACCACCAAAACCTGGTGCTCATAATTTAACTTTTTTACCTGACCAAGGAGCTCAAAATATCACTATCATAGTTGATTCTGGTAAATTTTTTTACAATATTATTTTAATTAATTATACTAAATTTTAACTTTTGAAAAATTAGGAAATACTGTAAATGGTCTTCGATATCTTCAGATTCCAAATGCTATGAAAATAATATTAGACGGAGTTTTCAACGTATCATCAATACTCAATGCAACTCTAGATGGATTTAAGAATGATGACGTAGTTGTTACTGCAAATATAGTTAATTTTACATTTAATCAGGTTTTTGATATTGATAAAACTTGTACTTTTGTATTTATACCACCAACTGGACCAGAAACAATGCAATTTGGTTATAGAAAAAGTAAATGCTTAAATTTTAACAATATTTAAAAATATTGATTAACATTTTCATTTTTTAGATTATCCATTTATAGGAGCAGCATCAAATTTAACAACTAACGGTGGTGCTGTCACACTATATGGAAGGTTTGGATCTCAACCTCTTCCTTACATTTTGATAAACAATGTTGTTTGTGCTCCAACTTCAAAAACGGATAGACTTTTAATATGTATAGTAGGAAGAGTACCAGTTGGAGTTGCTCCATTGTATATAAAATCTGATGGTTATACTTTTTCAACTCAAATGATGGTTGGTAAGTATAATTTGTAGAAAATAAGAGAATAATTCAACATTTTTTAACTTTAACTATTTCATTCAACAGATCCAGCACAGATTATCATAGATTGTGGAAATACAAAACCATTGTGCAATGGAAATGGAGATTGTTTAGCAGCTGGATATTGTCAATGTTATTCTGGATTCAATGGATATTATTGTGAAAATAGTAATTATCATTCTTTATTTATTCTTTTTTTTTATTTATTTTTGTTGACTATTTTTTTGACTATTTTTTATTTTATTTCATAGAAATATTTGATGGAGGTGTAATTGGTGAAAATACAACAAAACCATCACCAACTTTCATAGTCAATGGTGAAGAATTTTCATTCAATATGATATCGATTGAAGAATTAGATTCATCAAGAAATGTTATCAAATCAATACCAACAAATAATTGGAATTTCAACACAACAAAGAATTCAACAAAAACAGTAACAAGATATCAATTGAATCATACATCATCGGAATTCATCGAAGCTACAATTCAATATTCATCGGAACCAATGAATGTTGAATTTGCAGGATTATCATATGTACTTCCACCAAACTCAATCAAACTTTCGATATCGATTGATGGATGGACTTATGAATCACTCCTCAACACTTTAAGAGTTGTATTTTCGACACAATTCGATGAACAAAATGATTGTTCATTCGAAAAGAATTCAATTGGAAACAATCAAATCGATAATTCAATCAATTATTTGAAGATTGTCAAGAATGGAATATCATTTTATGGTAAATTTTATGATGTTTCACTTTCCGATGGACAACCAACATATTCATTTGTTGAAGTTGTTAATAACACCAACCCAAATGATATTTCGATTGGAATCAATCTGAGTCAATGTCAGAGATGTTTTATCGATCCAGATTTCTCATTGTTGGTTGCAGTCAAAGATAAATGTGAAGAAAAGAGTAAAACATGGATCATCATCACAGTTGTTTGTGTTGTTGGTTCTGTATTATTAGGATTGATTGTTATTGGTGCATTCTACCTCAAGAAGAACAAATCAAAGATCAAACTTCAATTAGAAGTTGTAATGGAAAAATTCGAAAAAAAATAAATAAATATATTCAATAAGTCGATAAATATATTAATTTGTTCGAAAAAAACTAACTATTTATAATAGCCATCTTTAATGAGTTTCGATATTGCATCTTTGTGTTTGATTCGCCAAGCATTGAATTCTTCAGACACAATTAAACTTGGCTGTTTAGGATTAGACACTGCAATTGAGGAAAGATATCTTACAAAGTGATCATGACCTTCTGGACTGTAAATCATGCTTTCAGGAAGCTATTATAATAATTGGTAAATAAATAAATTAGTATATTTAGATAAAATAGTGATTTTAAGAAATATTTATACTTACTTTAAGTAATGATTGCATTATTGTATCGATTCTCCACTCTGTTTGTGGATCTTTGATCTCCAGTAGACTGGTCAGCGATGGATATACATATTGATAGATGTTAGGACTGGATTTAAGCAGTATTTCTTTGATGATATTGAAAAAGTGTGTGGAAATCGATCGATTGTTCCATGAGAGATGACCTATGAGTTGTCGGACACTCTCACACCAACCATTTTCTTTTATCAACTTTAGTAGGAAACTCTTGGAGAGAATTGCAACCAAAGTGGTTTCAGAGAGTACAAGTGAATGGCGAGGTGAACCAGCTGGCGGTTGAATACGGTAGGTTGTATTGGACTGAGGTGTCTCCAAGTCTACATAGACATGAATACGAGGACGTGTTCTATCTTGCTCGGTGGGATAGTTGTTGATTTGCGAAGGCAGAATCGTGGTATTCGGAAGCAGCTGACAGCAACGAATCAGATAGCATAGGAACTCAATCATCTTGTTACTCTCATAGATTGCATTGTGGAATGACGGTGCACTCGGGTGTCCTCCCAAGTGCGAAGAAGTGCCACTTGATTGTCCATACATTGCCGGTTGGTAATTAGAAGAGTTACTAATAATACCGGTGGAACCACCAATAGAATTTGGCATGTAGGTACCTATATAGTTTTGTATGAGCTTGCTGATCATACCACGCTGTAGGATATATTCTTTCTCCTTTTCGTTGATAGTGATGACATTCAACAGGAGAGAGAACAGCTGTTGAATAGTTCGTTTCGGATAGTCACGAATACTCTTGGTCAACGATATAAGAGTATTATAGAAACTAACCATTGTAGTGGACATCATATCTTTGGGAGGTGTTGTAGATTGTTGTTGTTGCTGCTGTTCTGCCAAAGTATTCTTTCTTAATAAAATGGCAAATGTTATTATATCTACAAAGGTTTGTCTTGTCTTTTCAAAGAAACAACCAAGAAGTAATCCTTTCAAAAGATTCTTATCGATTAAGTAACGAATGAACCACTCGGCACCTTGAATACTCTCCCTCATCAAACGCTTCAAATGATAAGCCCACACATCCAACAGATTTCTTTCTTTGGAATGTGAATAGATATCGATAATATATCTAGTTGTTAATTTAATACTTGACAATATAGTCACTATAGGAATAAGAAAATAATTAGTAACAAATAATTATAATAATCATTTTCACTTTAACATACATTGATTAGCAGATGAATGTACGGTTGTCGATTTGGTTGGAATAACTGGATCGAATGTTGGATCGTGATTCAAATTAACGATATCCCATATGAAAGTACTAAAGTCACTATCGAATAGATATTTCTCCAAGAGGAATGATCTATTCTCGTTCCACACGGTTTCAAGTACTTCTTTTGGTATCTTTGCTTCTTTGGCGGCTGGAGCGATCGGTTTGCATTGGGAATGATGGTCATTCGAGTTATCGGATCGCTTGTAGAACAACATATATGCATTGCCAGTCTTGGGTCTACGCACCATCACTTGTTTCTGTTGTACCTTGTCAAACTCTTTGACATCATCGAAACCACCGAAGCAATCTTGTTCCAACCGACGGAAGTCATACGGCAGAACGAATGTATCGTTCAACTCGAACCAATTTCCGGTGGCATCCTTCACCAATGTGATATAATGACCGGAATCAGCGGTACCCTGATGCAAAACAATACCATTCAACTCGTAGAGATGATTGATAACCGATGATTTCTTTGTCACACCATTAGCAGGTCCACCATCACTAGATTGTTCAACCGATTCCTTTGTATACGGTGCCATATTAATTTGTTGTGGGAACTCACAATAGTCATTCAATTTAATATTTCTCATATTTTCCAACTACATTAAGAAATAATAATAATAATTAATAAACAGTGGTTCAAACTAATAATCAATAAAATAATTTTTAACTTACATCGAATTCAAATCTCTTTAAATGTAGGATAAGTGTATTTGGTAGTTTATCGATGAGACAACGTTTGGAGATTTCAATCTTTGAGTTACACGAATCACATTTGTAATCTTTTAGACTTTCCTCTTGTACAAAGAGGTCTAGAGATTCCAAAACAGACCGTTTGTTTTTCACTTCCAGAGAGATCGAAAAGAACGGCTCTTCACAATGTGATCTATGTGAACACTCTCTTGGAATGAACTGGTTGGTGAAGACACCACCAAACGCCTCATTCAATATACCTTTGTGTTCCGGTGAGATGTTCTTGAGTGCCACTTCCATTTTGTCGAGGAAAAGATGGAAGAATTCGTAGGCATCCATCTGTACACCAAGATTTATAGGTGAACCATCGTAGTTGGTAATCGATTTACAGAAATTAATGGAATCATAATATCTCTTTGAACTCTCTTGTAGATAGATAAATAGATATTGAACCTGATTCAACAAATTGGTTTGTTGAATTTGTTCTGGTGATGGTTGGACATGTGGAGGATGTACTGATTGACTTGGTGAATTTTGTTGAGGTGGTGATGATGTTTGTTGTTGTTGTTGTGGTTGTGGTGAAGATCCTTCTGTAGATTGTTGCTGTTGCTGTTGTTGAATTCTAAGTATTAATTCATTGAATGTTGGTACTTTAATATTTAGTAAACTATATTTGAGTGATGTTGAATGATAGAGTTGCTGTAGGAGTGAATTCATATAACATGTTGTACCCTGGTTCTTTAGTCCAACATAGTTGTAGATTGATTTCTCACGATCGATCGGTGAGTAGTTCCAATCGGACGTTGGATCGACTCTGTCCATTTCCTCATTGATCAATCGCTCGATCAAGAAGAAATTGTTGTGATCGTTCTTGGCAAACTCTTTCATCAGACGATAACAAGAGAGTCGTGACTCTTTGGTCTTGCAGAGAGGTGGTAACTCCAAGCCATGGTCGTTGGCAGTTGGCGTTTTGAAAAGACACTGTTTGAAAAGGAAGAGCAACAGATCCATCTCCTTGCAAATGATCTTCAAGTGTGGACGTCTTCTCACTAGATTACGAATGATATTCAAAATACCAACCAATATATGATCCTTTGTTTGATTACTGCTGATCTCCCTGATAGGCATATTCATTAATTCCTTTATCAAATTGCTCAACAACGTCTTTACAAAGTCTTGTGACTCTAGATTGTCATTGGGATGTAGTTGTTGATTTTGTTGCTGTTGTTGTTGTTGTTGTTGATTCTTCTGTTGACCGCTAACAATTTGAAGTTGTCCTTTGTCGTCCAACAATATATTCTCATGATTCTGCTTGGGTGACGGTGCAGGTGAGTTACTTGTTGGATAACCGATATTGACGAGTTCAGAGAGTAGACAAAAGAATTGTTCCGCTGTCTGATAGTATTGATTGATATCGGGGAGGAACGACAAGAGACGTGAGAGGAAGAACAGAGAACGTTCAATTCGTACCTCAAGAGTCTGATCGAGTGTAGCTAGAGAGAGCACCAGACGAGTAGCTTTCAGCTGAATGGTATGGTCACGACACTCTAGTAACAACGACTTTAACCAGACAGTCCACTCTGTACTCTTATTCGATTGTATCATCTCAAACTCTCCTCGAGGATCATTCTTTAGAATCAACTGAAGAATCTCCATACCATAGTAATACATCGAATTAAAATCATTGAAAGTCGACTCGTTTGCATTGCCATTCAACAACACCTGTAAATCTGCAGCCGACGATAGCAATTGAAACAATTTCGTAATGAACTGTGGAGATTCAAACATTGGAACAGCTTCTCTCTTGAAAATATACATTGGTACCAATGATAATTCATTTGTATTAACTGTTTTCAAAAAATAAACAAAGTGGATTAATATTAATTATCTATAAATATTTACATAATAATAACAACTTACTTAATGACAATGTAAATAGATTCTTTAATAACAAATTGAATAGTTTCAAATGACCACGATCTGGAACGATAGTTATATCCTTGAGCATCTGAGTCAAGTAGATAACTGCACCTTTTTTAATGAAATTATTCTTTAGCTCTTCAAGCACACCATTTGGATCGGATCCGGTTGGTGATTTATTTGAAGTACCGTTTGCATTTGATTGACCACTTTCAAATGAACCATCTAATATTGAATCCAATGCTTTCAAATAATAAATAGATTTATAAATTGAATTATTTGGAATTAAAGTTTCTAATAATAATAATAATAACGATCGTTGATTGTCAATAACAATTGAAAATATAAATAATAATAAACAAAAACATACCTTTGAAATTTTTAATTTCATTTACAACTTTGGTATTCATTGGAAGTTCTGATACTACATTCCAAGCACCCTCTGCAATCTCATTGTCGAAATCCAATAGGTTGAATATTTGATCGAAATACTGTGGTTTCGAAATGAGAATAGCAAGAGAGTTCTCGATTTTACCACGACCGGCAACCACCTTTGATTTGGTTTCTTGTACCTTTCGAAGTTGAAGATCACCAGTAAGACCAAGTCCACCGAGTTGGTGTTGAATAGATTCCAATACCATCGAAACAATTGGAGTATCATCGAGTACCTCTACATAGTCATCGTCATCATCATCAACATACTCACTGTCTTTTGATGAATCACCTGACTTTCCTTTGTCACTCTTGTCTTTCTTTGATTTTTTATCTTTCTTGTTGTTGGTATCCTCTTTTCCATTGTTATTACTATTGTTGGTAGTAGTGGTGGTAGTTGTATTACTATTATTATTGTTGCTGCTAATATTTGATGAACTATTTCTTTTAACTAATAATGTATATTGTTGAGCACCATTGGAATCGAATATCTTTAGTTCATCCATACATTTATCATCGTCTTTCAACTCTTTGTCACCCAAAAATATTCTGAGTGATCTTACGGCGGGTCTGGGATTACCGTAGATCGCTGCAACCTTTCGTTTGAACATTCTCAGTGTGTCGGTACCGGTGATGTCGGTGATGGCATAGGAATCACCACGATCCAACTTGACAAGATATGGATATTGCTTGTCGGCGTTGGCAGGTGTGCAATTCGATAGCTTGGCAGCGGCATCGTCTTTCGATTGTTTGTTACTCTCTGTGTTTGCAAATGTCTTTATCATAAAGAGTGCACGACAAATACGGTTGATAGAGGTGTGTGATACTGTTTGTTGGTTGTTCTTGGCGTTCAGTGACTTTACAATGTGATCCATACAGACACGAAGGTATTCATCCTTGAACTTGCTGCTTCCCTTGTCGTTGCCACTTTGATACAGTGTATTCAGAGTGTTGATAGCCTGGTCACTTACATCGAGATTGAGTGATCCCAGTGCTGCCGACCAGAGCTGTTGGATTCCCAGAAGATCCAGTGAAACCAAGTAGTAGTCCGATGGCTGAGTGCTGTCGCCACAGTTCTGGTAGGGATATCCATTGGCAGAGTGGAACGAAGGTGAAGTAGTGGGTGAGAGTGAAGGTGAGTGTGGAGGTTGCATCGATTGTGATGAAGATTGCTGTCCTTGTTGTCCTGGTTGCAGCTGATTTGAGTTTGTCGATTGCTGTTGTCCTTGTAGTTGTAGTGCTTTCGGTTTATTACTTGGCAAACCCAGCTGATTGGAGAACAGATCACCTGTGAAAATGGAATTGGCAATCTTCTTTATCTTACCGGATCGCTCATTCACATAGAGGAAATAACGTTCAAACACCGAGTACGAACTCAGTCCCATTATCGACCAATCGAGATTGGCCATCTTGTCCAAGAAGAGGTAACGAACGACCTGCTCGGGGAATGCAATTCTCTCCTTTCCCTGTATCTTTGTATTCTTCAACCAGATGAAGCATGCTTCTTTCTCCTCGGGAGTGATAGCACCGGTGACAAACGCTTCCCAGAGGATATCGAGCTGTGCAATGTTCAACATGATCGACGACTGTGAGAGTATGTACTCGAGAAATTCGAATCTCGCTTGAATCTGAGGTAGATGCTGGAAACTACCATAGAGGATGTTATAGTTGACGCCTTCCAACGAGGAGAACGACAGTGTCGATGAACGCTGTGCAATCACTTTCTTAAAGTTGGCAATCTCCTTGAAGAACAAGTCGAATAGCTTGTACTTGTTTTCCAGCGACTCTATGGTGGCACGTTGTTTCTTGACAAACAACTCGACGATGTTGACAATCAGTGAGAGTGACTGATAGACCGACTGGAATGTCTTGATATTCTCAATGGCCAGCTCAATATAAGTCATTCGCAGTGCTGCACACTCTTGGAGTCGTAGCAGCGACACCAAGAATGTCTTGGATCTATTGATCAGCGATTGCGCAACATTGTCACCGTGACCAAATGTAATATTCTGGTCGCGATCCTGTAACAACTTCCAAAACAAATCGAGACCATACGATTTCTTTGAGGAACCTACATTCTCTGGATGTTGGATAGCAATCATCGATAGATTATAGATAAACTGCAATAGATCATTGTCAAACTCTACCGACTTGAATCCTACAATCGATTTGTTGAAATACTCATAGAAATAGTCCAACTGTTCCAAATGCAAATACCCAAACAACTCTAACAATGCATTGTAAATTGTACTTCTAACTGATTCATGTTTACCCTAATCATCATCCATAAATAAAATTAGTCATATGATCAATTTTTTCTTTTGTTGTTTTAACTTACAATTGAAGAATTCCAAAGTAATTCTAACTGATGATTTTCAAGTTTACCAAATTGGCAGAGAAAGATCATTACTGGTAGACCATGTCTAATGATGTCGGGTTGATCGGATATCTTACAGAATGTTTCGACAATCTCATGTTTCAATATCCAATTCAAGAGTAATTGTTGATCGATTGCAGGACCATTGTTGTTGCTGTTACCGCTGTTATTTCCGTTACTCGATGAACCACTACCAATGCCACTGTTTGATCCACTTGTATTGCTATTGGATCCATTGCTCGAATTGTTGCTGCTACTGCTGGAACCACTTCCACTACTATTGGAACTGTGATTACCACCATTGGAATTGGACGATCCATTACCAACTCCACCACCACCGTTTATATATGGATTATTAATATTGCTACTGGCTGCACCATTGGACGATCCACTTCCAACTCCACTACCGCCACTTCCACCACCATTCGAACTAGAAGAATCCTTTGTCTTTGGTTTCTGCTTATTCTTTAGGAATCCACCGAATCCACTGAATCCAGCTGCTTTCAATTGCTCGTTGTTGATGTACTTGGCCGACTTCTTTATGAAGCGAAGTCCACGAAGTTTGCGCTCCAAGTTTGGACTCTGGAAGTAGCGTAGCGATCGGTTGAGATCAAACTCCTGAAAGATTCTGGCAATCTCTGGGAATGGCAGCAATAGACCAAGCAAACTCTGAATGGAAGTACAGATATCTTTGAAGGCATCTTTGTCGGTGCCGGACAGGTCGTCAAAGTAGATATCGAGGAGATGTGCCAACACCACCTCTTTCAGCTTTGGAATGTACTGGCTATAGAAACCGGGATTGAGATACTCCTTCAAATAGATAAAACTCTTGAGAATCGACTTTAGTTTCAACACTGAGAATGACTTGCTCATCAGGTGATCGAGAAACACCTGAAAGAAGTTAACCTTTTCCAAAATCATAAGGTTTTGATAATAAAATACAGATGTCAATGAATCTTGTTTCTAGAAACATATGGAGGAAATATTAATAATTGATAATTATTCTAAGATCTTATCAGTCAGTCAGTTATTAATATTTACCTTGAAATAGATTGACTCTTTTGTGATCAATGTAGATTGATCAAGTTCGAATTTGATTGAAGAATAGAATGTATGTGATGGATTAAACAGTCGTGCAAATCCAATCCAGAGATCCGGTAGATCCATTTGAATCGATTGAACTATAGTATGAATACATTGTTGAAAGAAAATAATTACATGTTGTTTGAGTTCTGGTGTGAATCTATAATATAATATAATAAATAAAATGTTATTAGCAAACACTGTTTTCACTAATTTTTCTATCTCTCAATCTCTTACATCTTTAAATTGAATGCAGCATATATATATCTTGGTATCCAAACTAAGAATTGCTGAGAAGACTCTATGGATACGTGATTGGTGTTGATCGCTGACAGATGCTCGACCAAAGTTTGTAAGGCACGCAATGGTGCATTATCGTTTCTAATTGCCATTGACTCTATATCTCTTAGGAATCTACCATAGTCAATCGATGCTAATGATCCTGTTGATGATGATGATGATGAAGATGATGAAGATGTTGCTGTAGTTGTAGATGGTGATGAGCTCGTTTTACTATTACTATTATTATTATTATTTACATTGCTACCATCCATTGGAAGCGATGATGATGTTGATGTTATATTTGGTGATGGTGGTGCAGATGATGAATTACTACTACTACTATTATTGTTATTGTTGTTCGTATTAACACTAAGTGTGGAAGTAGCTACAACTGATGCATTTGTATCTGTTGTCGTTGTCGTTGAAGGTAATGGTGGTGTTAATATTGAGGGTGGTGTAGGTGAAGTTGATGTTAACTGTTGTTGTTGCTGATGCTGTTGTTCTTGTAATAGATTTACAGCTGAACTAATATGAAGCTCATTCATCAATGACGATGTTGATGAAGACGATGACAACACAGGAGATACATCTACACATTCATTACTATTACTATTACTACTATCATTATTATTACTATTACTATTTATGTTATTATTACTATTACCATTATTATCTATATTAAATACTTTTATTGAAGGTGGTGTATTTGTATCCATTGATTGATTGATTACAACAAAAAAAAAAATGTAAATTTAATTTAAACCACAACAACAAAAAAAAAGATTGCTAAATTTCTAAATTTCTTTCTATTTTATTTTCTCTATTCTATTTCTTTATATATATATGAATATCTTCTCTATCTATAATCTAATAATATATATTTCTATTTTGTTAAGTTTGTAAAAAAAAACAAAATAAAACAAATGTCGTTGCTCGAAAAAAAGAGATATTTAATTTAATAATATCATCTAATTACTCTATTACTATTATATTATAAATACTTTTTGGTCCACTCACTGTAATTTAATACACTTTTATATAAAAAGATTTAATAAAAAACAAATATAGTATTAAATTGAATACACCTGCTCTATTATTATTAATTTAATAAAACAATAAAAAAAAACAAAAAACAAAACAACAAACCCCACTTTCAACCCCTTGAAAAACTGAGTAAATTAAATTTTAAAATTATCTTTTTAGTCATTCATTTTTTATTATTAATACGATGTCATCAAGTCATCAAGCTTGTTTTATTTTTAGGGTTTTTTTTTGATTTGATTGACAAAAAAAGTTTGAAAAAGGTTAACAGAAACTAAATTTGACTGTTTGGTCACACAAAGCAAAAGTCTTTTTTTTTTTTTTCTTTTAAAAGATTATTATTTATTTTCAAGATTATATTATAGTATCTAACCAGTCTTCTAATGATTGATTTTGATTGGTTTGTTGCTGTTGTTGTTGATTTGATTTTAATACATTTTCATTATTTGATTGATCTGTTTCGTTCTCCTCATTATCTCCATTGGTTTCGTCTTGTTCTTGTTCTGCTTCATCTTCTTTACCCTCTTGTTTTACTACTGTAGGTTCCGACGATGATAATGGTTTTGTAGACTTTAAAATGGAGATAGTAACATCATCATTATTATTATTATTATTAATTTCGTTGTCATTTTCATTGTCTGTGTTATTTTTAGTGTTTTGCTGTTGTTGTTGTTTTAAGTGTCTATTCGATTTCCTTGATAATGATACAATTGGATTCGATGGTTTATCTATATTTACATCATTCTAAATAAATATAAAATGAAATCGATTAATATTTAACATTCGATACCGTGTAGAATGAATAAGAATGATTGATTGATTGATTGATTGACTGATTGATTGGTCAATTCAATTCTAATCAAATCAAAATACTTACAAAATATTTACTATCAATATTTAATCGTTCTGGTATTGAGAAAGAGAGTAACAATCTTTCAATCTCTGTTAGGTTGATCTCACTCTGTTGTTGAATTTGTTGTTGTAATTGTCTTTGTTTCTTATCGATAGTATTATTGTTATTTACATCTAATGAATCATCATCATCATTTTTTGGTATAAAGTCAACTGTTTTTTAACAAGAATAAATAATGAATAGACAATATGATATAATTGTTAGTTAACATATTTGATTTTTAATAATAATAGATTGATTGATTATGTTTATACATACATGTTGAATCTAATAACTCTTGCATATCTAAATAGTTATTCGATTTATCATAGAGATCATTAAGATCATCTATTGATTGTGTTGATTGTTTAACTAGTAATCGCTTACTGTATTTCGATCTACCCCCAGCACTAGAACTGGTTGTTGTATTAGAACCATCTGATTCCTCCTTTTCCAACTGTTGTGCCTGATACTCTGGGTCTTGTTCACGCTCATTCTCTAACTGTTTCTTCTTTCTATATTCAGCAGCTTCTTGTTTCTTATATTTGCCTTTCGATGTATTCTTATCGAGATGTCTCGACGACTTGTGTAGCGACCTAGCAGTCGTCTTTGAATTGATTGGTTCATCCGACATCTCTTCTCTTTATTTAAATAATGCCCAAATTAACTATGTCAATTAATATATAATATAACTAATGATGATAATGATGTTGTTGATTGTAACTTTGATCGAATGATTAAAAAAAAAAAACCAAAAAAAAATCTAAAATTACAATAAAAAATGTGTTACGAATTACATTACATAAAGTCATGGATCTTTCAGAAGATAAACATAGATAATATTCAGAATCAACTTTCAATTAAATAGCCAAATACATTAAAGCAACCTTCTTCTTTCTTAAGATAGCTGGAATTCCAACATCAATTGAAGAAACACCCAAATCATTAATAGATCATTATTTTTTTTTTATTACATTATTATTTTGTTATTTTTGTTATTTGTTGTCTAAAGATTCTAGATTATTTGTTATCACAGATATAATTAACAACCTCCGAAACCACCACATCCACATCCACATCCACAACCACAACCACATCCGAATCCGCAACCACCTCCGAATACATTGACATCACCAAAGATAATGTTGGTTGTTCTTCTTCTTCTACCCCATCCAAAACATTGGTCTTGATTGTCTGAATCAATCGATGATCTACCATTGGATCCATTTATCATAGAGTTTGAGACACTCTCTAATGAATTACCACCACCAATCATTGAAATAGATTCTAATTATTAATGAAAGAAAGAAAATTTTTTTTTAAATGTTAGTTTCTTGTTAACAAATATAAATATATATAAATATAATAAAAAAATACAAAACATACTAATAAGAGTCATTTCTTTTTTATTTTATTTGAATAATAAATGTATTTGATGATTTGAAAATATTCATTTAATCTTCAGTATTTATACTCATCATATCAACTAATATAAAACCATAGACTGTTGACTGATTTTTCTATTCTGAAAATATAGCATCTTGAAATTGTTGACAATTATCTTTTTTTGTTGTTAATACCTAAAATAATAAAGAAATGATTTAAAAGACAGTTTAATGATATTAAATTCAAAACTATTTTCAATTTCTATATTCTACTTTTATTTTTATACACTTTATCTTTTGATCCTGTATAAAGGTGCCTTTATAGAAAATTGGGGATATATTTGATAAAAATAAACTTATATAGATACTTTGTCAAAGTTTATGGAGAGATGAAATGATAGAATGAGATTTCAAAGTAAAAATTTTTAAAGAATAATTTTTTTGTTAATCCTAAAAAATATATTTAAATACTATTGAATCTGTATATATTGTTTCATGTTTTTATATTATATATAAACTATTTATAGTAGTATTAGTAATCTCTACAAATTTTAAAGTGATTTTAAAAGACCTTTAATTTTTTGATCAACAGTTTTTATGAATGCCACACACTTTTAATTTTTTTGTGCAAAATTTTTTGATTAAAATCATGATTGTGATGGATTGATCATTTTAAAAGAAAAGTTATATTACTTAATACTTTTTAAATATTAAACAAACAGAGATATATATTAAAGATAGATAAATAAATGGATTATAATAATGATCATAATATAATATTTGTAACAGGTGGAAGTGGATTCGTTGGTAGTAATCTAATTAAGCGGTTGGTCGATAATGGATATCCTATGGTGAGGGCGATGAGCAGATCGAATCAATCTGACGATACAATAAGAAAATGTGGTGGGCAACCTATTAGATGTTCACTCTCTGACGATCGCTCAATGAAAAACGCTATTACAGGTTGTAAAACTGTGATTCACTGTGCCGCTAAACTAGAAACCAACGCCAACACCATAGAAGAGTTATTTCAAGATAATGTAAAAGCAACTGAACAATTATACAATGTAAGTGTTGTGTTCGTAATAAATCTCATGGTTAAGCAATTGGTTAAATATTGATCAATATTTCTGTCATCACCATCATCACTGTAGATAGCCGAAAAACAAGGTGTAGAAACATTTATATTTATTAGTACAATGGGTGTGATTATGAGTGGAAAAAATATCAATGGTGCAGACGAGGATCAGATGATTCCACCACTCGATGATCTGGGATGGTATAACAAATCAAAGGTATTGGCAGAACGATTTGTATTAATGGAAAGAGGAGAAACAGCGGGAGATGGTAATGGTGGAACGAGAAAGAAACCGATGAAATCAATGGTGATAAGATTGCCATTGGTTTGGGGTCGTGGCGACAACGTGCTTTTCCAACTGGTGAAAATGGCGAAATCGATGCAGTGGTTCTGGATTGGCGGTGGCGCTAATCGCATCTCCATCGTTCACTCGGAGAACGCTGCGTTCGGAATTCAATGTGTGATGGAGCGTGGCGCTCATCGTCAGGTCTATCATCTGACCGACGGCCAACCCGTTCAATTCCGGCAGTTCTTCACCGAGCGATTCACAAGGTGTGGCGTCTCACCGTGGAAACTAAACATGTCGCTGCCGATCTGGTTTGCATGGCTCATCGTTGCCGCGATGTCAGTGGTGTGGCGACTGTTCCGACTACGCGGACTGCCGCTACTCACCAAGACCGGCCTCATCTACTCATCCACAGATTTCATAGTTAGCGATCAAAAAGCAAGAGATACACTCTCCTACAGGAATATAATATCGTACAACGAAGGAATGGATGAATTATTATTAGAATAAAATATTCAAAAGTTAAATTAAGTTTTTACTTTTTAATTATTATTATTATATTAATCTTGTTATCTCTTGTTGTTCTTTCTTCTGATTGATATATTATTGTTAACAAAAAGGTTGCCAATCTAATATTGAAAGTTTTATAAGTTTTGATTTTGTTTGTTGTCGGTATTGTTGTATTTCTTGAGTGCTTCGATTTAGAGGTGTTGCTGGATTCGCTGACAATAGTAGTTTCGTTAGATTGGGTGTTCTACTGCCAAGAAGTTCGAGTGTTTCATTCAACGCCGTTATTTGATTGGCAAAGAGAAACAATGAATCTAAACTATTCAACTGAGGTATACTCTCTACATTCGCTAATAAATTATTTGATAATGATAAACTGTGTAATTATTAACAATATTATCATCATGGTTAGTAAACAACTAAAAAAACACATATTAAACATGAGAACATACTATTGTAATTGATTATTATATTTTAAGATACTACAATCTGTTATACGGTTGGCTCTAAGATCTAATACTTTTAAACAAACTAATTTATCGATATTATCAATCTATTATAACAAAAGTATATAAATATAATTAATTTTAATTGTTGATTTGATGTTTATATAGATACGATATATACACTTTGAATCTTATTCTTTGATAGATATAATTTCTCAAGAGATTGCAATTGATTAAACTCTGCGGGCATCTCTTTAAGTTCATTGTTTATCATGTATAGCTCTGTGATGTGTTTAAAGTAGAACGATAGAGAATCATTCTCTATTCTGGTAATGAAATTACCTGATAAATCTAGAATCTAATATTAATTTGTAGATAAATAATATAACAAAAACTTTAGTTTACTTTTGTTTTAAATCAAACATTTAAAGAAAGAAAGAAAGAGAAGAGATAGATAGAATAGAACAGAACATACATGATAGTTTATCAACTTTTCCTTTTCATTCTTTATAAGATCACTGGTATTCTCTAATACCTCTTTTGAAACATAGTCTTGTTTGACACCATTAACCAATTCGAATCTACCTGGAATCTTTAATGTTGTTTTTGTAGTTGTTGAAGATCAAACATTAATATTAGAAGTTGTTCCTTAACGATCACCTTTGCAAACCATACGAACTATTATACTCATTGTTGTTCAACACAAAAAAATAATTATCAAAAATAAAAAATTGTGTTGGTAGAGATATTTTCGAAAAAAAGAGTGCCTATAAATTAAAATTTTAAGTTATCTTTATTTAGCTACCCTATGCATAATGATAAAATAAAACTAAGTTATTTGATTACAAATGTCATTTCACAAAATATTTATAAATAAATTCTCAACTTTTTTTTAATTTATATTCAATCTGATTTATTTTTTTAGTTTTATTTTTGCCTATTCCCTCATTTAGTATTTCAATTTTTTGTTGGATTTCAAAAAACAGAAATCATTATTGTTATCATAATTCATTTGTTGTAAAGATACTAAACACACATATCACATATTATTAACGACACATACACAAATGGATTGTGATAGTAATAATAACAATAACAAAGTAGATTATAGCAATTTCAATTCACTTTTAAACCTTAGTAAGATCATAGCTCAATTCTATGGTGATGCAGATGAAAAACAGAGATCAGCATCAGTAAAGTTCTTTGTCGACTATCACAACAGCTTTAAATTCAAACACTATATCGATAACAGAGGTTACATTAAGTTCATATTGGATGTACTCTTTGATTCGTCGCTGGCAGTGTTCAATGAGCTCGCCAAATTAAACTGTTTATTACCAAAAGATTTATATGATAGTTTAATCAAAGATAAAAGAGTAATTATATCTTCTTTTTCTTCTCTATTTTAATGTATATCTAATTCTTTCTTACTGTTATTCAATAACAAATAGTTTGTATCATGGTTCAATGCATTGAGTGTGTCAGACAATGCCCAACTTCACCACAGAATTCAAATTCTGTATGATATTTGTCCAAATATATCGGACACTAACTTTAATTTCGAAAAACTCCAAGAGATAGTCCAGAATGACACAGGTGCTGCAGGTGTTGGCAACAATGCAGGTGATGACAAAATGTCAACTGAATCGTTGGCGAAATCTTTGCCAGACATCCTCTTGGAGAAGATCATTTCAAAAACTGTCGATTTCTCCAAACAGAGAAAAAGATACGCGTTGGCCACCAACAAAGTTATCAACTCCACAGAATACTCCAAGGAATTGTTAAATCTAGCATTGGTTTCCAAACACTTCCTCAAAGTCCTCTCAAAATACATCAACAAGTTCCATTTCGAATGGCACAACTATCTCGATGCCAACAGTGAGTATTGTCTGCTGAAATCACCAAAATTCTTTGACTACAATTCGATCCGTTACGTGCCAACCGACAAAGGCGTGGAAGTTGCCAGCCAGGCGTTGTCTGGCGTCGAAACCTTCTATATTAAATCGGACGAGCCCGAAATGCGTCGCGAGGAAGTCAAGCGAAGCGTTGGACCGTCGATGCCGGAGGTCTATCAGGCGGCGATCTCCGAGGATCACTACTTGGTGTATCCACCACCAATGCCGTGCCTCAAGCAAATCATTGTCAAGGGTTACTACGGTGACCACGATGCCTACAGTCTGCTGTTGTCCAACATCATTGAGAACACACTGAACGACGCCCAACACGGTATCGAACACTTCTCACTCTTCATCACCAAGGACGACACCGATGAGTATGCCGATGTCGACTTCCTTCAGCCACTGGTCAAGCTCCACTCGAAAACATTGAAATCAATCACCATCCACTATAACGATATGGTTACCGATGATTATGGAGTTCTCTTGGCAACACTCAAAGAGATTCTCCCAACAATCGTCCAACACAACTACAAAGTGGATATCAACAAAAATGATTACAATTCATTTTTGCGCAATTTCAAAATCTATTGTTATGGAGAAGAAGATGATCAAGTCTATCAATATTTGGAAAAACAAAAAAATAAATACAATCTACATAGTTAACAACTTTATAAATAGTGAGATTAGCTAATTGAATGTGATTTTAAGGTCTTGTTCACAAGAATTCTTGTCAATAATAATGATCAATGACAATGCAGGAGACTCTCACAGATTTCATCAATTTCTCTATCGATTCTTCTCAAAGAATGGACACCAACAAGAATCACTGGATCATTCTTAGATTCTGGTCTAATATACTATCAAACAAAAGATGGAGAATATCATTCGACATGCTATGGAGCATTCTTGGCATTGCTCGAATTCTATCTATCTGGAGTAGACTCTCCATTGCCATCTCTGTCAAGTGTGCCGGACGGCTCTTCTATTCGAAGACATCTTTTCCAACATTGGGTCACTTATAGCTTATTAAGAGGTTGCATTGTCCTGATTTGATAATACGAGTGAACTTGAGGACTGTTGGCAACACGTTCGATCAACTCGATCATCCAATGACAACAGCAACAACTACTCTCCATCTTCGATCAAAAAGCACTCAAAGATCATTCAACGACACAATATCCCAATTGGTGGAGATTAACTTGGAGGGGGTCTGCGATTTTTTGACCTAGAAAGCTTATATCTTTGGAGAGAAGGGTCCAGAGACTGAAGCTCCATCTTCGCTCGTAGAGTTGTTGCGTGAAAAGAAAATCGAGTTGATCGAACGTGTTGCCACGATATGTATAAAATAGTGTGGTAAGTGTGTAGTAAAAGTGCACTTGACTTCTTTTTATTATTATTATTCAACTTTTTGATTTTATTTTCTAACAAAAGTTTTTAAAGTTCTATTATTTTCTATATATAAATATGATATCCTTTAAGGTTGTTCCATTTCAAGATCGTCATTTGGTTTCTCGTTTGAAACACTAATGGTTAACTGATCTTTTGTTATTATTTGACTGTTGCTTCTGTTTACCATTGACCTACTGTCTGTTCTTTCGAGAGTTGCTATCGAACCACTCGAGGTGTCATGCGAGGTGGCGGGTGCCGCACGACTTTCACCCTCTTCATCGTTGAATTGTGTGAGATTTCCATCACTGACGGTTTTACCACCGGTGGCTGTACTTCTCGTCTGCTTACCACTTCTATTGAAGACGTTCGATGTGTTGGCGCCATAGAGATAGATTCTAATGAATTTCGGTAAAAATAGAATACCAAGTGAAATGGTTGTGATAAACAGTACGGCCGAGCAAATAATGGTGGTTTCATTGTTGACCGACTGCGGTGAAATCATCAAACTGATGATTACGAAAATCGAAAACAGTCCGGCATACAGTGTGTTGGCAATGGGTTTACTCTCGTTGAACTCCTCAATGTCGACAGTTCTGATTTTCCACGATACAAATACACCGGTTGCCATCAGCACTCCAAACACTCCCAAGAGCACGTAGAGGATGATCGACGCTGTTCTACCCATGATACAAACGTTGGCGTATTCATACTTACTGAGATCGTTGGCATCCTCTGATCGCCAGTCGACTTGCACCATCTTGATGTCGCCAACAGCCGGCGCGGTCATCAACGCCAGCAGCACAACCATAATCGCTACGATACCGGCTACCCACGGCATCAATTGGTAGTTGGTTACCTTGACTACTCTCAACTCAGAGTTGTCGAAAATCATCCAGATTCTAATGTTCTTAACCACCAGCGATCCAACCATAAGCGCATAGCCAATCGCCAACATCCAGAACTTTGCAACGCAGGAACCGTTGGATGGCGGCAACGCATAAATAATGGCACCAATATAAGTCATAATTCCACCGATAATGATTGTAGCAGAGAAGAAAGGACTTGCCGATCTAATGGAATGAGCATTTCTAAACCATCCAATCATAGCAAGCAACACCAGAGAAAGAGCAATCAGCACACCCGAAGTGATAGTAAATCCATAGAGAATCGAATGCTTTACATCGACTCTGGTAAGAGGAACACTATAGAAACCTTGCCAGTGCATACCATCGTAATCAGAGTTCAGCCTGAAAAACTGACTGTTTGTCAGACAATTGTTGGCTGGTAACTCTGCTCCGAAAATTGAATTGTTCAAATTGTAGAGTTCTCTATTGTATTTATTACAAAAGTATGGATGTTGAGCTCTTGGTACTGAACTTAAATTTTTAATTTCATCCTGAACTTTTTGTTGTACAACTTGTGGAACCTAAATAAATATCAGATAATTAATATTAATATAACTATATTATTATAAAGTTAAGTAATAACTTACATAAAAACCAAATTTATCAAGATATAGAAAACCATTATAAAACTCTCCATAGAATTTAAATGATTTCGATGAATTGGTGATAACTATATTTGCGAAATCGATGAAAACCTGAGTCCAATTATGACAGACACCCATTGCGATTTGCTCACCGTAGATTCTGTTCTGTGGAAATCCGTTGGTTCCCAAACCGAAATAACCTCTTTTGATCATTTGGATGTTGGCCGATTGATCGTCTTGGTTGTTACTGAGGAAATCAATGTCTTTGGCAATGAGCTGATCGGTAGCACCAACAGAGACATCCGGGATAATCCAATCGCCAGTATTATAAATGAGAACCTGAGCGGTTTCATTGGATCGTCTCGCACCGACAAACAGTGCATTGGCATTGTAATTCTTGACGAGTGGTTCACCCGGTGCAATGTATCCAATCTTTCCGGTCTTGGTCATCAGCCCGGCGAAATAACCGACGACGTACTGCATAATTCCAATGTTGTAGGTGGCCCAACTGAGATTTGGAGTGGTCGCCAGACTACCGAACGCCAAGAACTTTACCAGTGGGAATTTGGCAGCGTTCAGTCGGACTTGAGTGGCTACCTCCACCGCCAGCGAAATGATACCGGTGTATCCTTCGTCGACACACCACTGGATGGTGTCGTTCAGCGTGTCGATATGAACATTCGAAAAGAGATCGAAATGCAATATCTCGGTTGCTCTCTGTGCCTTTACTCTTCCTTCGTTGATAACGGCATTGAAACCGAGATCATCGAAACTACCTCCAGTGATGACAGCTATCTTTGTTTTGGTATTGACCGCCGCATCAACCAAATAATTATCACCACAATTAACAATGAAAATTATTAATACTACTAATATTACAAATAAATTTATATTATTTTTAATTCCTATCATTTCTATTTATTTTTTTTCTATAAATAAACAAAATAAATAATATAAATAAGTAAATGAAAAGAAATAGAATAGAAATAATTAATTAAAATAGTAAGTTATTCTATTTCTTTTCTTTTTATAGATATAAATAAATAATGAATTTTGAAATAGACTATTAAATGATTTTATTGATTCGCCATAAGAGAGTACCGCACACGTTGAATAGAATATAAAACATTATTATTAATAAATTGTTTGTTGTTGATCTTTTTAAGGAAAAAAAAGCGGTACCTTAAAGAGGCGACGTTGGTGAGCCATCTTTCAATTCTTTACACCATCAACATTTTGATATCCAATGAAATCAAAAACAGATAGAGTTTTGTGTTGATTTATTTTGAATATTAGCACAACAAAACAACTCGACAAACAATCACTGATGTGTTCATGAATAATTACAATAATAAAAAAACTATGATCACCCACTAATCTCAAATTGAGATTATTGAAACGGTAGATTTTTTGGACAATGATCATCCATTTGATTGGGTGATAGAGAGATTCCGTTTTCCTTTGCAAACTTTACCTACGAATTCATGAAAATTTTTTTTTTTTTCAATTTAATCATTTTTTTCACTATTTTTTTTGGATCAAAAATATCTTTTTTATTTTTTCAATTGCCTCATTTGTAAAAATAATAATTTTTTTTTTTTGCGAAATTAACGATTTTTTTTTTTTCGATTAAAAAGATTAAATCGATCGAATTATCATAAAACAATACTAAAAGTTAAACAAATATCTCCTTTTTTTATTTATTTTGTGATCGATTGAGTAGATATGGTTATTGGTCCACCAAATTAAAAAAAAAACAAAAAAAAATAAAAAAATAAAAAAAAAACAATTATTTGATGGAAAAGTAGTGGCGTCTTTTGAATGATCTTTAGATAGCAGAATGATCAAAAACAATCATCAAACTTTTGAAATTTCTTTGAACTTCCAAAAAAAATCAAAGATTTCCCAAAAATTTTAAAATAAATATTTCATTAAATTAATTAAATGAAAAAAAGTTCAAAAAAAAGTGATCATATGATTTGTTTGATCATTGCATTATCCTATTGTAGATATATGTAAGCGCACAATGTTGTCTATTAATAAAGATGTTAAAGAACAATCACAATCAGAAGCACATACACAAAGTCAGGAAGAATCTATAAACATCAATGACGATGATGATGATAATAAACAAGATAGATCATACTGGTTAACTATACTAGAGAAATGGCATACCAAGCTGATGAGAGAAGCCGAAGCACAACTGTTTATCAATGAGAATACCTATTTGCCAAGCTCACGATTCACTTTCCAGTCCTATCAGATCTTCAAGAAGGAACTAAAGAGTTGTCCAAAGGAATTGTTGGCGGGCGTTGGCATTGCCGAGGAACGTGATATCTTCTTGAAAGAGACAACCGCCGAACATTTTGAAACCAATATCTATCGTGTCGGAACTGTAACTCTACAATCGATACTCAATGGAATCAGAAACAAACACTACTCCAATGATTTCAATGGCTATAAGAACGATCTGCTGCTGTCGATAGGCGATGTCGGATTCGATGAGCGCTCGGAGGAGCTCTCAGAGAGTGCCAGTGAAATGGTTGCAACAGCGCTGTTGAAGCTGAACCAGAAGATTCTACTGGAGTTGTTCGACCTACAAACGGCATTCTCAAAGAAGAGGAGAGTATCGAAACTGGTGGCAACATCCGTCAATGTATCGGAATCGAATCAAGCAAAGACTGATTCACCTCCCAACCAATCGGACTCATCGAAATCAAAGAAACCAAGAGTTGTCGGTGTAATGTCTGCCGCTGCCAAAGCAAAACTACAAAAACAATTGGAATCAACCGCAAAGAAGAAACTACCATTCGATCAACTAAGTGATCAAGATGTAAGAAACAATCATTCTCAAACAAAGTAATCCACAACTAACTAACTAACTAATCTTCTTCTTTAACAATCATAGAAAGAAAAGTTTAGTTTTGAATATATTATGAATGCAATTGATACACCTAGGAGAGTGGAGATTGCAGAGGTTTATGGGATGAATCCAAATATGAAATTGTATGGCTATCAGCAATCTAGTTTGAATAGGATGTTGGAGATCGAGTTGAATCAAGTGGAGAGGAGCGATCCTATGTATGATCCGGTGGTGAATGACGATGGTGAAGTTACTGGTTATAAGAATATTCTAGATGGTACGATACTGGCTGGAACCGCCGACAAACCACCAACTACCAGTTCGTGTAAAGGTGGTATTCTATGTGAGGAGATGGGTACTGGAAAGACAATCATATGTATTGCACTGATACTCTCGACACTTGGAAGTCATGCACAGCCACCGCTAGACGATGGCAACGAATGGGTAGTTACACATCCACCTGCCTACACACAATACGACAACTATGGAAACTTACAAACACCAATCGATTTAGATCAAACAACAACAACAACAACAGCAACAACAACAACTAACGAACAAGATACAATGAATGCAAACGCGATTCTCAATGTTGGATCATCAAAACATCAAACTTTATTCTATCTTTGTGCAGTAAGTTATGTTATGTTATGCTATGTTAACATTATAATATCGATTTATAAATTAACTATTATTTATTTTAAAGAGACAAATTAGAATGAAAGGTATACCTTATGAATCACTTGAATTACCATTAGAGTTTATAGATTACATTGAAAAGATACCTTTATCATACGGATATTTTATAAAGAGAAGAATATCTTTGAGACATGACTATGCTCCACATATTAAGAATTACATATTCTCTGGAACTACATTGATTATTGCACCCGATCAAATACTTTATCAATGGGCACATGAATTAAATAGAGTATGTAGAAAGTTAATGTTAAAAACATTAATCTAACATATACTCATTGTATTATATTAGCATTAACTAATACTTTATTATACTTACTTATTTATTTGTTTTTTAGCATCAAGTAATTAGATATAAAATGATAACAAAAGATCAAAAGATATTGAGTTCAGAACAATTGGTACAGTATCATGTCATTCTGTTATCACATAGCAAAATAAGTAATACAGATAGATCGTGTGATCCTATTCTCGGTGTTTATTGGCTGCGTGTCATCGTAGATGAAGGTCATGTAGTCGGTAACAACTCGACGAATCTCAGTACGATTCCGAGAATCATTCGATCGGAACGCCGATGGATAGTCAGTGGTACACCGATCTCTTCGTCGGTGCTCTCCAATGAACTCTCCAACTTTGGTTCGATAATGAAGTTCTTGCAGTTCTACCCATACTCGATAAGTGATTTCTGGTCGAAGCGATTCTCACGACCGATTAACAAGTTTGTTCCGGCAGCGGTCGATAGGCTGGCGCAGTTGGTCAACTCGATATCGGTGCGTACACCACTCAAGCTGATAGAGCAGGATGTCAAACTACCACCGCTACACATCGATGTTGTACACGTCGCACCAAACACCGAAGAGAAGACCAAATACAACGAAATCGTTTATCAAGTGCAAACCAATCTTTTAGCATCACAATACGAAGGTCCTGACTCACTTTTCTCGGCAAACAACCAACGTTTCGCAATGGAAGTATTTACAAATCTTAGAAAAGCATGTTTCTTTACAATGGGTTTAGATGAAGTATGTATAGTATTCAATCAATCGAATAGTATAATATTATATAGCCTTTATTTACTTTACTTACTTCATAATAATAATATTTATTTAGGCACAAAGATTAATATGTAGAGATGCAGCAACAACAGCAATTCTAAGAGACGATACAATTATTCCAAGACACGATAAGCTTAAACTTTTAGAAATACTAAAGTATATGGAAGCTGTATCCTATGATAAGTATGCTGCTGATAAATCGATAAACATCAATTCATTCATCTTTTTTAAGAATGAAACAAACAATAATAATAAGCCAAAAGAAGATACTACAACAACAACAAACAATTTTAATCACGAAAATGGTAATCATGATACACCATCAAACATGGATCATGAACCAATATCTATACCTAATAATACAACAACTACAACAACCACAAAAGCAACGAAATCTGTTAGATTTAATGATGATATACAAGTAAAAGAGATACCGAATCTAATACAAGATAATAATAATAATAATAACAACAACAATAATAATAATCAAAAAAGTAATAATACAGTATTGGGTATTGTAAATAATATAGATTCAAGTCATAAGAATCAAGAGATCCAATCATCAAAGTTAAATTATATTAAGAAGAGAATAGAGGTTTGTATCCTTTTTTATATTTAATTTTAAGTTATTTTTTATTAATATTTGTTATTATTACTATTTAAATATTAGGAAATAGATGGTCAAATCATTATATTTAGTCAATTCAATGAAATGTTGTACGATATTATATTTATGATTAAGAGTGATATGCCACAGCTGAGGTTCCTTCAATATCATACCGGTATCTCAAAGAAAGAGAGAGCAGATGCCATTCTAACGTTCCAAACGAATCAAGACTACAAAGTGATCGTTATGAATACCGATTTGGCAGCGTACGGTATCAATATTACCAAGGCAACACACATCCTGATAGTAGATCCCATTATGAATCTTGCGAAAGAACGTCAAGCCATTAAGAGAGCTCATCGTATCGGTCAGACCAAGCCTGTCTACGTAGAGAAATTGGTTACCACTGACAGTGTCGATGAGGTGATAACATCGATGGTCGATCGTGACAGAACAGAACAACAGAAACAACAACAACAACAATCAACAACAACAACAACAACAACAACAACAACATCTTCAGTATCATCAACAACAACATCATCATCATCATCTGACCAACAAACTGCATTCGACTCTGTTATAGGAACTGTAAAAGATGAATTCCTATTCAAAGAGGAAAAGAAAGAGGAACAAGGCAAGAAAATTCGTAATCTTCTAAGAGATCTAAAACCAATATCAATCAGCTCTGAACCAACTGATCTTACTTATGACGATCTTGATAGATTCATAGAGCATCATAAAGCTCAATCAGTTACTCCAATGATTATGTAGTAGTATTGAAATCAGTTACACCTTTTTTCCGGATTTATTATTTTTATCAAAAAAATTAACAAATAAAATTTTAAATTTTTTATTTTTATAATAAAAAACGAACAAATTTAACGTAAATCACCACTTAATTTATTTTTATTTTAATTTTTACTTAAAATAGAAATTCTTGTTTATCGAAAATCCATTAATATGATATACCTTAAAAATAGAGACTGTCTTGCAAGTGAAATAGATTATAAATCAATAAAGGGATGACTATATAGTTTCTTGATGATAATTAACTTTTTCCCTCAGCTACAAGTGTTTTTCGCTATGATTTGAGAAAAATTTAGTGTTTATACCAAAAATTTCAGATTTCTAAGTTAACAAAAAATTTTTCACGGTTTGACTTAAATCACCTCTTTTTTTATCCATTTCAGTTGATTCCCTCATTTAAGTATGGATCTAGACTTTGAAACTTTTGATATCCATTTCGAAATATATTAAATAAAGGAAATAGATTTATATTCCAAATACTTTTTTATAAAGAATAATTTTATATAAAAATGTCAAATTACCCACAACCACAACCTTTTCCTCTAAATATGTTCCCACAACAAGGATACCCTTCACAACAAGGATATCCACCACAACAAGGTTATCCAACACAGCAAGGATATCCAACACAACAAGGATATCCACAACAATCACAACCAGAACGACCAAAACAAATTGCTATTTGTGAGTGTTTCCACTGTAGTGGAGAAGGTCATAAACCATGTTTCTTTTGCCATGGATCAGGAAGAAGTAAAATGGGTGGATTGGTAAGTAATATTTTAATTTTATTTTAATTTATAATATCATAGAGCTGTATTCATTGTAATGGAAAAGGAAAAGATAAATGTTTCCACTGTAAAGGAAAAGGATATCAGGAATATGATCCAAATGCTGCCTGTTGCACTATCTTATAACAGTCCTTAAAAAAAAAACATCTAAATTAACTTCATTTATTCTTTGTATATAATAAAATCTTAATAATTTTTTATTTTTTTTGAATCTCAAGTAAGAAAAACTATGTTTTTATGTTCTACCAACAACTTTTTTATTTTGTTTTTTTAAATTATTAAAGTAGGGTAATAGTAGCAGATGTTTTTTAGAAATAAGACAACAAAAATAATAAAAATTAAAAATTTTTTTGTTTTTTATTTTTTTTGATCTTGATAAATCGAAGATCCATTAGTATTTTTACTTATTTTAGAAAGTTAATAATGACAATTAAATGTTTAAATCATCAAAGATCACACAAATTCATTTGTTATCAATGTAATTGTTTGATGTGTTCAAAATGTGTCAGTATTCATAGCAAAGATCATCCTGATCATTTCGATCAATGGGAACATATCGATGATATCAAACATTCATTGAGTACATTAAAATTAGATGATATTATTGACACCCCAACAACAACAACAACCAATAATAATGATGGTACTAAAAATAATAGTAATAACAGTAATCACATTTCACAAATCAATAATAAACTTAAATATCTATGGGAATCATTAAGATCATCTACAACTCTCTATCAAGCATTGTCAACAACAGAGAATGAAATCAAACAACACTTTGAACAATTACATCAATATCTAATCATTGAAGAACATAAACTACAAAGAGATATTGTCAATTATAAACATACAATCACAGATCAAATCGATAATAATGTTATGAATTTGAAATATTTAGTTAATATTATCAATATATTTAATAAATTAAATAGTAATAACGATATTAATAATGATACTAATAGTAGTTCTGATGAACAACCAACAATTGAAGATACAAAAACATTATATTCAACAACAACAATAATGGAATCAATAACAACAAGTTACGAATTCGATTACAATCATTCATCAATCATCATAATCAAACATTGTTCAATGAACATTTTGGTGTATTTAATATTGATTCACTTCTCAAACAACATTCCTCAGATTCATCATCATTATTATTAGATATCATTCATAAATACAACAATCAATTCAATGAATCAACAACAAACACAGACAATAATAACTTAACATTATCATCATATAAATTATCAATCAAACAACCTGATTTCGATCAATTGAATTCAATCATTGAACAATCAATCAAACTTGATAATATTACAACAACAACAAACAAGTAACAATGATAATAAACAATCTTATATTTTCACAACAAACAAACCAAATGGAGTAACACTTATCAACACATCAAACAACTATTCAATTGAAGAATTACAGTTTGATTATCAATTTGTAAATACAGCCCCATCGATTGTTTCAATTGGTGAATATATCTATATATTCGGTGGTTCTGGAAATGAAAACAAATGGATTCAAATATCAGCCAAATCGAAATCGATTGAACATATTGGTGATATCGAAGGAATCAAAGGTGATTGCTATGTGTCAGTTTGTTATGATGGTCAAGATCATATCTATTTGGTGAATGGTGCCAATACAAAGAATAGAATTGATCGATTCAACATCAAAACAATGAAATTTGAGTCATATCATCAATTACCTGATCGATATGATATGCAAGTATCATCAATGATCTTCAAAGGTTCATTATATTCAGTATCATACCACCAAAATTTGATATTTCAATTCGATTTAACAAATAAAACGATAACAGATCATCGAATTGACATTAAACCATTATCAGGATGTCATGATAACAATGGAAATTTCTTCATATTGGATAGAAAAAACCATAGATTCATCAAATACAATGTTGAAACCAAGCAAACTATCAATCTCGATATAAATCCTCACAAAAATGGGTCTACATTTGTGATGTATCATCGAGAATCACCAACATCTAGTTATATCTATTCATTTGGAACTTTTAATCAATGTAATTTCAGATATTCAATTGAATCCAATCAATGTGTACCATTCCTGAGAGATATTGTTAATAAAGATAGAGCTTGTTGTGCATCTACATCAATTTCATTTTAAAATAGTTTAAATAGGTATACCTTTTAAAACAGCAGCAAAAAATAAATTTTTTTAAATAAATTAGATATAATTGTTTCAATCAGATACTATGAATCTAGATTATGAATGTCATTAATATTAAAAATATAAAAATAGAAATTCTAAAAATAATGAATTTCACAAGATCTGATTTTATATTAAACACAAAATTATTAAATTAAATAAAATAATAGATTAAAGAATGAGGAGAAGAAATTAATGAAGATAGAATCAATAGTTATCTCAATCATCATATATTATAGGGAACTTAATCTACTCCCAATAATCTAGTCTATATACAATTATTTAAATTATAATGAATTCATTCATCTTGTATCATTCCAATCAACTATCACTCTAAAATGTATACAAATCTTATAGATAAACATGGTGGACTATCCGGCGTTTCCTACCTCTCATGAGCGTCAAATTTATTATTTATCGTTATATATAAGAATGTAGTAGTTGTAAAGATATGTATTTTCATATGTTTTATATATTAGTTATTCTATCATAATTGTTTCTTTTGTTAGGAAGGTGTAGATTATATAATAGCAAGCTATAGCTCTACTTTTAGTCAGTTATTAATTACATTAAGCAACGACAATATTTAATAGTACAAGTAATACAAGTAGTTAAAGTGCAAGTAATAGGAATAGCTTCAGTCTCATATATCATATAATATATCAATCATGTTTAATTCATACAATCTTTTGTACAAACCCTAACGTACTAATAGATCAATCACATACAAATAATCTTAGAACTTAAAATCAACTATTTTCATTATAATAATAGTATTAGTAATTGACAACAAATAATGAATAATTACAATTCCTCTATATATATTTTTTGTAACCTTTGAATATGTTTTATTTGCATTTACAGAAATAAGACCTATCATCATTGTACACATCACCAAGTAATCGTATAGAATTTATTACAACGACCAAAAGAAACTACTCTACATTTGAGATCTGTTTCTATTTTGTTAACTTATGCTGGTAGAAGAACTATTTAAATAAATAATAATGAATAATATTAAATTAACAATAATGACCCATAGTATGACAAACTATTTGATCACAGGATTACGAGTAAGGCTCAATAATATCACCATATGAAATAATTTATATGTTATCTATTATGAAATTTAAACTGAAGTTCAGTATTAATTTATCAAAACTCGAAATCACAACAAATAACTTGTATTAATAACTATTAATTATATCTTAACATATCTTTAGTAACACCTTCCATAGGAAATATTATCTTTTACACTTATTTAAACAAAAATAAAACTAAAACAAAAAATTAACCACTCTTCATCTTGACTTAATTTATTATTTTAATTGAATTATTAATTTTATTAAAAAATGATTAATTATAGAATATTCACTGTAGATGTTTTATTCTTTGAAAAAGAGAAGAAAATTTCCATAACGTTATTAATGTAAAAATTTAATTTTTTAAATCTGTTTGTTTTATTTTTTTTTTTTCACTGAATTAAAATCAAAATAAATTATTAAAAGTAGTAAAGTTAATTATGACAATTAAATGTTTAAATCATCAGAAATCACACAAATTCATTTGTTATCAATGTAATCATTTGATGTGTTCAAAATGTATTTTCAATCATAGCAAAGATCAACCTGATCATTTTAATCAAATTGAAGATATCGATGAAATCAAACATTCATTGAGTACATTAAAATTAGATGATATTATTGACACCACCACAACAACAACCAATAATCATTGTTCGAATAATAGTAATAGTAATAAAAATAGTAATAATTTCAAATCACAAATCAACAATAAACTTAAATCTCTTTGGGAATCATTAAGATCATCGACATCCAGATATCAAAGATTATCAACAACAGAGAATGAAATCAAACAACACTTTGAACAATTACATCAATATCTAACCACTGAAGAACATAAACTACAAAAAGATATTTTCAATGATAAACATACAATCATAAATCAAATCGATAATAATGTTAAGAATTTGAAATATTTAATAAATACTATCAATATATTAAATAAATTAAATAATAATAATAATAATAGTAGTGATAATAATGATAATAATAATATTAGTAATGAGGATACATCAATTATAACAGATACAACAACATTCTATTCAACAACAACAATAATGGAATCAATAACAACAAGTTCATCATTACAATCATTCATCAATCATAATAATCAAACATTGTTTTATTTTGATAAAAATAATAATTTCAATATTGATGAACTTACCAAACAACACTCCAACTCATCTACATCATTATTATTAGATATCATTCATAAATACAACAATCAATTCAATGAATCAACAACAAACACAGACAATAATAACTTAACATTATCATCATATAAATTATCAATCAAACAACCTGACTTCAATCAATTGAATTCAATCATTAAACAATCAATCAAACTTGATAAAATTGAACCAACTGAATCAATAGATACAACAACAAACAACAATGATAATAAACAATCTTATATTTTCACAACTCACCATGAAATGGGAGCAACACTTATCAACACATCAAACAACAATTCAATTGAAGAATTAAAGTTTGATTATCAATTTGATTCTACAGCTCCATCGATTGTTTCAATTGATGAATATATCTATATATTCGGTGGAACTGGAAATGAAAACAAATGGATTAAAATATCAATGAAATCGAAATCAATTGAACATATTGGTGATATCAAAGGAATCAGAGGTGATATTTATATATCAGTTTGTTATGATGGTCAAGATCACATCTATTTAGTGAATGGTTATGATATACGTAGAATTGATCGATTCAACATCAAGACAATGAAATTTGAATCATATCATCAATTACCTTATGGATATGGTATGCAAGTATCATCAATGATCTTCAAAGGTTCATTATATTCAGTAGCATTCAGTCCAAATTTGATATTTCAATTCGATTTAACAAATAAAACGATAACAGATCATCAAATTGACATTAAACCATGGTCAGGATGTCACGATAACAATGGAAATTTCTTCATATTGGATATGAAAAACAAACGATTCATCAAATACAATGTTGAAGCCAATCAAACAATCAATCTCAATGTTATTCCTATCACATATGAACAGTATACATATGTGATGTATCATCGAGAATCACCAACATCAAGTTATATCTATTCATTTGGTTCTTCCAATGGTTGTAATTTTAAATATTCCATTGAATCCAATCAATGTGAACCATTCTTTAGAGATATTATTAATAAAAATAGAGCGTGTAGTGCATCTACATCAATTTCATTTTAAAATAGTTTTAATAAAACGTTTACCCATTTAAATTTCCTAAAAAATAACATTTTTTTAAAAAAAATTTAATAAATAATCCATTTTTTTATTAATCTAAATAAATTACAAGTCATTTATGAAGAAAAAAAGAAAAATATTTTTAAGAGGTTAAAAAAAGTAGAAAAAACATCATAAGAGTAAAAAGTTAAGAATTTTATTTTCACAGTAAATGGAGGGATATTATTGAAGTTAAATATTTGGCTTTTCTCTATTCCTTAAACTCTTAGCTATTTGGTTCATGAAATTAATCGTTTGCGAATCAAGATCAAACGATCAATTTTTACCTTTTTTTTTTCATCAGCAAGTTTTGCAAAACATTTTTTGAATAATATTCAAAATATAAAAATTTGGTTGGAATGATTTTATTATACAAATAAGTTAAAATAATTTTGTTTTTTTTTTTTTTTGTTTATCTTATAAGATAGTGCAACAAGCAGCATTGGGATCATATTCCTGATATCCTTTACCTTTACAGTGGAAACATTTCTCTCTTCCCTTTCCATTACAATGAATACAACTCTATGATTTAATAAATTTAAATAAAATATTTTAATATTTGTTTTTTATAAAAAAAAATAATAAAAATAATTAAATATTACTTACCAATCCACCGATTTTACTTCTTCCTGATCCATGACAAAAGAAACATTGTTTGTCGCCATCACCACTACAATGGAAACATTCTCTAGTAGCGATTTGTTTTGGTGGTTCCGGTTGTGATTGTTGAGGTGGATATCCTTGTTGTAGGTATCCTTGTGGTGGATAACCTTGTGGTGGGTATCCATTTTGTAGGTATTGTTGAGGATATGTTTGTGGAGGGTAATTTGACATGTTTAAAAACTATTATACATAGAGATAAAATTAAAATGACTTTAATAAGTATTGTTTTTTATTAATAAAACAATTCCAATTTATAAATTTTTTTGTAAAATGAGTATCATAACTCCCTCTGAAAATCAAACACTATTTTTTTTCTCATCCCTCACAAAAAAGTTAATTTTGTTGCAAACTTACCAGTTTTCTTTAATTTTAAATTCTTTCTTTTGGAATCAAAATTTTCTTTAGTCACTGCGAAAATTGTTAAAGAGTATCTTATCCCTGAAGAAATGATCACTTTCAAATCAAGAATCTATATACCTCATGTTTGAATATCTGAATATTGGTCCTTCATTTGGTGATCACTATTGGCTACGCCTGTTAGCAGACCAGGCCGCTGTTTCCTTTGAAAACAGGTCTCATATATATGGGGCAAAACTGCAACGTTCTAATTCATGCTGAATTTCTATTCTTTGAAGTAAGAATGATGATTAACGAGGAAAGAGCGCGAGAATCTAATGATGTTTGAGATTTCCATTCGTGTCTTGGCATGACATTTCAAATCGCATATTGTGAATCTTCATACGTTCTTCACTGGACTTAGTACTAGAAGACCGCAATCGCTTCTATCTAATAGCTATAGACTATTCAGAGTTAGTATTGCATTCATTAGACAGCCACTACTCACTTTGTAGATTTAAATTATTAGATTGAAACAAACAGTCACCACAGATGCTATTTAGTGATAATCATAACAGTCACCACATATCATCTATTTGGTATCGATCTCATCGAAAAACAAATTTATTAAATTATTGTTTTTTACAAATTTAGACTATTAGGAGACTTAAAAATACTAAGATATATAAAACATGAAGTTCATTGATATTGGTGTAAATTTAACTGGTATATCATCTCATCTATATATATAAAATATCTTATTACTTTTATAATATATTCATTATGATAATCCTATCTTTATCTCTTTATTTACTTTCATAGATGATATGTACCAAGGTATCTACCATGGCAAAGCTAAACATCAAGCAGATCTACAGATAGTCTTAGAGCGCGCGTGGAACAATGGTCTCGAAAAGATAATGATTACCTCTGGTCGCATCGAAGAAGTAAAGCAATCACTATCGATCATCGAGCAATACGATAATAAATCGAATCGTCTATTCACCACGATCGGTGTACATCCTACTCGTTGCTCAGAGTTTATCGACAGAGAACAAGAGTATATCGATACTCTATTGGAACTATACACTCAGAACAAAGATAAAATAGTGGCAATCGGTGAGTTTGGTTTAGATTATGATAGATTAGAGTTTTGTCCAAAAGAAACACAACTAAAGTAAGTAATTACAATCAAACAGTCAAATAATCAAACAAACAAACAAACATACTCACTATTAAGTATTAATATCATATCTATCTCTAAATCATAAAGATATTTCGAATTACAGTTCAAATTGGTCGAAGCAACCAAGTTACCTTTGTTTTTACATTTAAGAAGTTCAGCTGCTTTTAATGATTTTGTAGAGGTTATAAAGAAGTATAGACATACATTCACCTATGGTGTTGTTCATTCATTTGTACGTATATATATATATATATATAATACAATACAATAGAATAACAAAAAACAAATACTAATTCGATTATGAATATTCTATCTAAAAATAAACAAAAATAGGATGGAACAATAGAAGAAGCGAAACAATTGATCGAATTAGGTTTACATATTGGTATAAATGGATGTTCTTTAAAGACAGAGGAAAACTTGAAATCAATGGCAACCATTCCTTCTGATAAGTTACTGATTGAAACGGATGCACCTTGGTGCGATATCAGAAAGACCCACTCTGGCTATCAGCATATCACAACTACATTCGAGAGTGTTAAGAAAGAGAAATATCAACCAGGCAAATGTGTTCAAGCAAGAAATGAACCTTGCTACATAGTGTATGTGTAACCTAAACTAAACTTAACTATCCAAACCAAACCCGAACCACCAACACACAATGATCAACATTTTCATCATTATTATTATTATTTTGTTTAGCTAACACTCTTTTTCTTTTCTTTCTTTTAATAATAATAATAATTCGAATAGAAATGTATTGGAAGTTATAGCAGGATATAGAAAAGAAAACAAAGAAACTCTAGCAAATACTATTTATGAAACAACTAAACAAATCTATTTCCCAACAACAACAACAACATCTTCACAATAAATAAAATGTTATTTTTACTTAGCATTTGGGGAATTTTAATTTAATTTTTATTTAAGTTATTCTTATTTTTTATTGATAATTTTGATATCAATAGACTCGTCTAGTGATTTTCTATCAAAAAATATGGTTTTTAATTATTTATATGTTTTTTTCCATAGAATTAAAATAATAGAGATATTTAGTTTTTAATTTTGAAAATATGAAATTATATTTTAAAGTTTATTTAAATTGTTAGAGTTGTGAAAATGGTTGTTGTTTGATTTAGAGTTCTCTAACTAAACGTGAGTGCCATGGACACCATCTGTTTCCTGGAAGGAGTGCACCACCGACTTCAGCAAGATGTTCCTCAGTGTAAGCAATGGAGGCATCACAAACTTCGATGGCAAAGTCAAAGAATGTAATGGTCGATGGATCCAAATAGTATTTCCATTCGAAATTGTACCAGACTCTTTGTTTGACGATGATACCCATGACACCTTTGGTCGAACCGGTGGCGATGATATCACGAGCTTCAGCAATTCTGACTGGATCTGAGAGTTTGATAACAAATTCGTCATGTTCATCAGTGAACAAGAAGTAGGCGCTTCCAGAGGCAGAGGCAACTGCGAGCATAGCCAAAAGCATAATTGAAAGGATTTGAACGGATTTCATTGTAATGGTATTTATATTTAAAATATATTTATATATTTGAATATTTATTTGAAGTTGATTTGATGATTTAAAGTTCTAATTTTCATTTCTATTTATACTTTTTGTAAATTCTTACATTTCATATGATTTCAAAATTATTTAATTTTATAATAATTATAATAATTTGATATAACCTAATAATTTGAAGATACCCGAGTTATAACTCGTCCTACTTTGGAAAAGATTGAATCCCAAGATGTTCAATCAATTAGGTTTTCAAAAAAAAAAAAAGTAAAGTAGAAAAATTCTATAAAAATATATATGTTGATCATATTAATATAGTTAATTTACAATTTTCTAAATTTCTTAATATTCTTTAAAATATTTTTGAAATTTAATAAAACCAATCAAAGTCTCGACGAATCTGAATCAACCCCTTGTTTTGGGTTACATGAATACTTGTTGAATGCAAACACAATTCCCACATCAACATCAAACAGGTTTATTATCACCTCGATGCACCACATTATTCACTTCGGGTGAAAACCAGAGTAATCTTTGGAAAAATAAAAATATCTTTTTTCATTTGAATCAAATTTCGTCGTGTATGATGGTTGCCCAATAATAAAAATGTTGTTTTTTTTCATATCTTTTCAATGTTTACAACAAAAAATTTGATTTATAACCACTGCAACACTTTTTTTTGATTTGACCAATCATAAACACAGTGCAAATGATTATCCTTTTACAACATATTTTTTTGATGAAAACAAGAGTTATATACATTAGTAAATTAAAAATAGAATTAGTGATTTTTTTTTTTTTTTTTTACTATTAAGTTGTTGATTGTTTGCATTTACGAACTATTTAATAACCCAGTTCAACGAGGTGGAAATAAGTCATGTCCTCGTTAATAACGGACATTAGAGATGGGGGTAACTCCATATTTTGATCAGAAATAACATTTATTTTATCTAATTTTTTCTGAATGTAACTCCAACTTGAAGGAATCTCACTATCATCCACTGTTTCGAAATCGATTGTGTATCTTGAAGGATATTCTGATGTTTGTTCTACAACACCACTGATGCTAAACATTAACTCCTCGTTTCTCTATAAACTCTTCTGTTATATTTGAAACAGAAATATTTATGTTTGTTATAAAAGTTTTTTTATAGTGATCATGACCAGCTATCATTTTCTTTTTTGATCACTTTTTTTAATTTTTTTTTATTAAATTAAGATTAAAGTAAAGATTGTTAAAATTGAAGTGTGAATTTTTATTTAAAATAACTATAATAGATAAAAATAATATTACTATCTATTTTATTGAATATAAAACAACAAAAGTATCATAGTAAACCAAAAGATTAACCAATGTAGCTCCATTGTAAGCTATAACCACAATATTTAGCAAAGAGGAAGAGAATTTGATTATTTCTAACCAAATTTTTATCATAAATCATTACAGAATACTCAAATGTGGTTGATTGGTAGTGAATTTATAGAATTTAATGATAACATCTCTACTACATCCAGTGTGTTAGATGATTGACCATTGACAAGAAGAGAAACAAGACAATAGAAAGCTTTGATCGATTTGTCATCCAAGAATCATGTACACTGACCAGCACTGACTTGGAAGTACCTCTTAGCAAAACACCATCAGAGTAATTACAAAAAGTAGCATCACACTCGAATCGTGCATACAAGTTCTTATAGTAGCTTTCCTCGGTGGGTGTCGGTAACAACTGAACCAAAAGCAGGATGTTTAAAAGCGTATCATTGGATCTGCACTTCAACAATACACAGACAGTAGTCTAGACGGTGCAGATCAGAGTGTCAACAGCTAACTGAAACAAATGATTGAATCGCCATTGGCACACTTATCTAACAAATTAAATAAATAATATACTCTAGAGTATTATAAAATTTTAATTAATCATTCAAAATACAATTTTTATTATGTTTATAAAACAACATACTAACTCGCTATAACATCCTAGGTTTAGACAACAATAAGTCCTTAGACATGTACGTCACATAAAGATATCACCAGAGTCACAGAAATGGAAGATCTTGTTCTATTATTAAATCATATACCAAATTAATAGAACTAGATCCAAAACTATTATGTTAAATAAAACCCTACAACCATTTCAAAAGATTATTAATTGTTAAACATAAAATAAATAAATAAAATCTGTTTCATTTATTACCTTCCTCTGACATTCTCTCATACATCTATACTACAAACTATTATTTGGCTGCATACTATAGAAGCTATTAATTATTCCAAATATTCATAAAATGAACACAATCATTTATTTGTTATATTATTTCTAAATCATATAAATTTAATAGAGATAATCGTTCTCTTAACATTTATATTAGAGTTAGAAAGAAATAAAAAAACAGTATAAAAAAATAAAAAAATAATTCTTTTAATTAATCTTGGTATTTGTATACGAAATCTGCAAATAATTTAAGGATTTCCCTATTCGAATATATACAATTAGAATAGACTAGTATAGAGATTATCCATGAATAATTTTTGTTTTATTTAGTAATATTAAATTGTTTTAAATAATTTTTGAAATTTAATAATAATATTTTAATAAGTGATATATATATCATTATATTCTTTCATTGAACTTGTAAATACAAAAGATATTATGGTTTTTTAAAATAGTATTTATTAATTTTGAAAATATGAAATTATATTTTAAAGTTTATTAAAATGGATAGATTTTTGAAAATTGTTGTTGTTTGATTTAGAGTTCTCTAACTAAACGTGAGTGCCATGGACACCATCTGTTTCCTGGAAGGAGTGCACCACCGACTTCAGCGAGATGTTCTTCAGTGTAAGCAATAGAGGCATCACAAACTTCCATTGCAAAGTCAAAGAATGTAATGGTCGATGGATCCAAATAGTATTTCCATTCGAAATTGTACCAGACTCTTTGTTTGACGATGATACCCATGACACCTTTGGTCGAACCGGTGGCGATAATATCACGAGCTTCAGCAATTCTGACTGGATCTGAGAGTTTGATAACAAATTCGTCATGTTCATCAGTGAACAAGAAGTAGGCGCTTCCGGAGGCAGAGGCAACTGCGAGCATAGCCAAAAGCATAATTGAAAGGATTTGAATTGATTTCATTTTATTGATATTTATATTTATAATATATTTATATATTTGAATATTTATTTGAAGTTGATTTGATGATTTAAAGTTCTATTTTTCATTTCTATTTATACTTTTTGTAAATTCTTACTTTTCATTTGATTTTCAAAAATTATTTAATTTTATAATATAATAATCTGATATAACCTAATAATTTGAAGATACCCGAGTTATAACTCGTCCTACTTTGGAAAAAGATTGAATCCCAAGATGTTCAATCAATTAGGTTTTCAAAAAAAAAAAAAAAAAAAAAAAGGTAATATAGAAAAATTCTATAAAAATATATATGTTTATCATATTATAGTTAATTTACAATTTTCTAAATTTCTTAATATTCTTTAAAATATTTTTGAAATTTAATAAAACCAATCAAAGTCTCGACGAATCTGAATCAACCCCTTGTTTTGGGTTACATGAATACTTGTTGAATGCAAACACAATTCCCACATCAACATCAAACAGGTTTATTATCACCTCGATGCACCACAACATTCACTTCGGGCGAAAGCCGTAGAAAACTTTGGAAAAATAAAAATATCTTTTTTTCATTTGAATCAAATTTCGTCGTGTATGATGGTTGCCCAATAATTAAAAAAGTGGTTGTTTTCTGACTCTTGATATCTTTTCAATGTTTACAACAAAAAATTTGATTTATAACCACTGCAACACTTTTTTTTGATTTGACCAATCATAAACACAGTGCAAATGATTATCCTTTTACAACATATTTTTTGATGAAAACAAGAGTATTAAAGAGTTATATTCACTAGTAAAACAAAAATAGAATTACAAATAAGATTTTTTATTTAAGAGTTTTTGTTTGCATTTCGAGTTTAAACTTTAATAACCCAGTTCAACGAGGTGGAAATAAGTCATGTCCTCGTTCATAACGGTCATTAGAGATGGGGGTAACTCCATATTTTGATCACCAATAACATTTACTTTATCTAATTTTTTCTGACTGTAACTCCAACTTGAAGGAATCTCACTATCATCCACTGTTTTAAAATCGATTGTGTATCTTGAAGGATATTCTGATGTTTGTTCGACAACACCAACACCACTGATGCTAAACCAAGAAGCTCCTCCTTTCTCTATAAACTCTACTGTTATATTTGACATTTTTTTTTTTAAAATATATTCTTTCTTTTACAAATTCTGATAAGTATTAATACAAGACAAGGTTATTTAGATCCAATGATCAGCAATTTCTTTTCTTTTTTTTTTTTTTTTTTTGAAAATGTGCAATATGATTAATGAAGTGTTATAATCAGATTCTTTGAAAAACAACAGACTTTTTAAGTAATTTATCAGTACTATCAATTATGGAGAAATAGAATGGCATCCCAACAACAGACAAAGTTGATTTATAAAGAATAACAAGAAACATTTATTTATGTTTTTTTAAAAATAAAATGAGGACACACTGAGATGTTGTTACATTTCTTAGAATGAACTGACATCTAAATCACTGAAATATGGATGGAGAAGTGCTGCCTTTGCAGAGATTCTCTTTGATGGTTCATATTGAAGCATTCTCTGTTTTAATATTAAATAAATAAAATAAAAAAAGAAAAGAGTTTTTGTTATTAGATTTTGAACTAATCATTATTATTATTATTAAGTAATATTGGTGATTGATAACTTACGTTCAAAAGATCAATTGCATTTGGTTCTACATTTGGGAATGTCTTGTTGAGTGGTTGTCCAGGCCAATTCGGGAAGGTACTGAGGAAATCGGGTAAACTGGTGACACCTGGCCAGATCTCTTCGGTTGGTGTACCGAGGATTCTGAATATTCTATAGATTTGGTCGATCTCACAATCACCAGAGAACAATGGTTTCTTATTTAACATCTCTCCAAAAATACATCCAACCGACCAGATATCGATTGGCACCGAGTAGGTCTTTGATCCAAGAAGTACCTCTGGTGCACGATACCAAAGTGTAACAATCTAAATAGCACATAACAAAATAGTTAATATTGTTAACAATATATAATATAACCAAGATTGATTTCAAATTATTTGATGTTGTGTACATACCTCATGAGTATAAATACGAACTGGAATACTGATTGCACGTGCCAAACCGAAATCGGCCAATTTGATGGAACCCATACGATCAATCAAAAGATTCTGTGGCTTCAAATCACGATGTAAAATTCTTTGACTATGTGAAAAAGCCAATCCTTTCAGAATTTGGTAGAGATATGACTGTTGTCATATTAAGAGAGATTTAGTTAATAAAGAATACTAATAAGATAGAGATAGTTAAGTTGGTTGTTTGGTTGGTTGGTTACTTACCTTTATAAGTTGTGGGTTCATTGCTTGAACTGAATCCATATACTTCTTTAAATCTTGGTCGAGGAATTCAAACACTAAATATAATCTATTGGCACAATGTAATACATCATACAAACTATAGTTATATAATAAAAAGTTAGTAAATGTTTTTTTAGATATGAAAAGTAAAGAAATACAACTTACCAAACAACATTTGGGTGTTGAAGTTCCTTGAGCAATGAGATCTCACGTAAGGCAGTACTTGGTACACCGTCATCCTCTAAACGTATCTTTTTGAGTGCAACGGTCTTACCGGTACTCTTCTCTTTGGCTTTGTATACCTTACCGTAGGTACCTTCACCAAGTTTCTCTAACTTTTGATATCTTGACAATCCTCCATCTGGTACTTCCATTTTTCACTTCTTTTTCTTTTGAGACTTTACTTTTATTTAACAAACAAACAACAAAACAAACAAGATACTCTATTCTACTACTACCACTACTACTATTCTATTATTATTGCTACTTTATAACAAAGAATAGAACAAACAACTATTTAAATAAATATATTCTTCTATACAAATAAAATCAAAAATCAAATCAATATAATTAAATGATTGATTTGATAATAGAGATTACAAAAATATTAATATTAATAATAATAATAAACAAACAAACAAAAACTAAACAAAACAAAGTTTAATGAAAAAGGAGAATTGATGTTGAAAAATATAGAATCCTTTAAATTTGTATTTGTGATTATTAATAATAAACGAAATCAACAAATTTTCACAAATCAAATTAACAGTAATGTTCAAAACAGTTTTTGCCGCCAAAATTTAAATAAATCAAAAAAATAAAAAATAAAAAAAGGGAAAAAAAAGTTTTGAAATAGTTTTATTTTTAATTAACAATATAAATAAAGTTTACTATCTTATTAAAAGGTTTTTAGGTACATTAATTATCCATTTATTTAGATTTGCATATTAGATTTCGTTACTTTATATATTTTTATTTTTTTTTTTTTTTAAAAAAAAAGGTTAATTTATTTTTATTTAAATAAATGTAAATTTCAAATGGAATTTCATTTCCCTATTGATTAAGATTGATAAACCAAAATGGGAAGTTCTTAAACAGTACTGATCCAACCAATCAAAACGAACATCTTTTATAGAATAGGTAATAGGTAGGGTTTTGCATCGGGTAGAATTGAATGCTAACCTTATCAAATTAACATAAATAAATAACCGATGATTCTCAACTCAACAAAACAGAACAACCATACTTATACTTAAAAGATTAATTAATCAATCAAAAAAACAATTTCAAAAAAAAAATTAAAAATTTAATTTTTGAGAAATAAAAAAATTTTTTTTTAAAACTGCTTTTTTTTTAACCACTTTTTTTTTTTTTTTTTTTTCAACAGTCACCTCCTCCACTTAATATTTCTTTCTTTATTTTGTTATTTTAATTATAACCTTAACCTTTTTTTAATATAAATTCAAATTTAAACCACACAACAAATATTTATATTATAGTGTACATTTAAACATATAATCATTTGTAAATCTAATTCTCTCTCACTATTATTTAAGAAATATATATAAATATTAATATTTCTCTAAAAAATATATATCAAATATTTTATTATTTATTTATAATCAATTACTATTATTATAATTAATTTTCAAAAATTTTTAATTTTTTCTTTAAAACTTTTATCTATAAACTTAACCAAACCAAAACAATATATAAAGATGTCTACTCATTTGAATCAAACATTAGGTACTTAATCATCAACAACAACTACAACTAATACAGCAACAATAATAATAATAATAATAATGATAACAACAACTTCTCATTTCCATCAATACATGTAACCATCTCATTCAAATGTTGGGTTATTTTGAAAACAAAAAAAAAACAATGTGATTGAGCATATTACCATCGAATATTGCGATTAAGAGCATTCATGGCCACGTAGAGCACAGCAACTCTACAGTCTATCAACTTGTTATTAATATTTTTTTGGTGGTAACATTTCACTTTATAACTACACTTTTTGTATGGAAGAGAGAAGATTGTTGCTACAATCTAAACAAAACAGTGTAAATAAGGTAAACAACAATGTTGATTTTGAAGTACCGACAATTCAAACAACAGTTGTTGTATTTAAAAAAAAAGATAGAATTTAAATATAATCAAACTATTTGATTATAGTACAGGCAGTGCTCTTAATTAAAGATATCACAAACTCTAACAACCTCTCTATTTCTTTCTTTTTTGCTCTAACCTAATCTACTCTGCTATTCCTTTCTTTTTTCTCTCCTCCGTCTTAATAATAAAATAAATAATAATAATAACAATAATCATAATAATCATAATAATAATAACAATAACAATATTAATATTCTCTATTCTTTTCCCAAATTTTTACCATTAAAGACCAAATTATCAAAGATGCTAAGAAAGGTGTAAGTTTTAAAATTTATTATAATCATCTTTATTTAACAAATTGCAAATTACTAATTTACTTCTGATACTTTTTTGCATACCTCTATAGAATAAAAAATCAAACTCAAAGCCAAAGAGTAGAGCTGCTACCAACTCTGCCAAAAGAATAGGATCATCGTCATCGTCGTCTAACAAGCCAAGAGGAGGAGGAGCTGTAAAGTCAATGAAGGTCGCCAGAACTGCACCAAAGCAACCAGCCAAGAAGGATACACTGATCAGTCCAGACAAGATCAAGATTCAAATTTCAAAGTATGTAGCATGTTTATAATAGCATCATTGAATACTAACTTTATTAAATAACTTTTTTTAGCAATAGCACAACCAGAACTGCAAGTGCTCCATCATTTAGAAGCGCACCAAAGAGAACTCTAAGCAACACTGCCTCACCAAAGAGTGCAGTCACCAAGAAAGCTTCCAGAGTTGTAGAAGTAGTTGTAAGTTTATCAAACAAAATCTTCAGATTACCAATCAATTGATCAATTTACTAATCTAATCACATTAAAATGAATTAAACAGAAATCACAAAAAACAACCTCTTTCACAAGCAGAGCCACTGGTGGTGGACGTAGAAACAATACAACCACAAGAACACTCACTTTGAATGATCGTTTCTCAAGAAAGTAAAAAACAAACAAAAAATAAATAAATAAAAACAATATCATCACCTATGTTATATTAAACTAAATCACAAATAAACTTTAGTCGTAATGTTACAACTTTGTTTAATGAAATAACTCTTTATAATTCGTTAACGACAAGATAGACCTTATAAAATGAACGAGTTACTTATCTTATCAGTTATTTTTCTCAAATCATATTAGATCTTCTTGTGCATTGGGTATTTAAGAGAATATTTTTTTTTTAAAAAGCAAATTAAAAACTATAAAACGAATTTATTTTACTCTAAACCATTAATATTTAGCAATGATAATGAGATTTAATCGTTATAGCTCCATTAGTAGCATAGATCATTAATAACACAAAAGAGTTGCAATCTCATGTGGTTTATCAATAGTACATCACGAATAGAAATATCATATTTGAGATTTGATCTACTGTATCTCGATAAACAGGGAATTGATCATAGAGTTGCAATCCAAATTGCAGAAATATACTACTTATTAAACAATAATGTGGTTAATGTATATGTATATAAAACTAATAATGAGGTACAAATTTTAATGTCAGAGGAAGGTAATAAATGTAATAGATTTTTCTTTATTTATTATAATGAAATTGATGTGGATGCACACCATGATCTATTTAGATCATTAATATCTCTAAAGAATGGTTCACATTGATTGGATTCAATTGAATATTTGAAATTATCATCATTATTATTACCAAATGAATAGATATAACTTGATGTTGGTGATTCTCGATGATACTTTACAAATGGATACTGTGCGTTTGCGAGATGATCAGCATTGAGATTGATTGTTTGTTTGGTTTCAACATTGTATTTGATGAATCGTTTGTTTTTTCTATCAAATATGAAGAAATTTCCATTGTTATCATGACATCCTGAGTATGGTATAATGTCAATTTGATAATCGGTTATCTTTTTATTTGTTAAATCGAATTGAAAAAGCTTATTTTGATCCCATGATAATGAATATAATGAACCTTTGAAGATCATTGATGATACTTGACGATCATATCCATCAGGTAATTGATAATATGATTCAAATTTCATTGTCTTGATGTTGAATCGATCAATTCTATTCTTTATATTAACACCATTAACTAAATAGATATGATCTTGACCATCATAACAAACTGATATATTAGAATCACCTTTGATTCCTCTCATATCACCAATATGTTCAACTGATTTCGATTTCATTGATATTTTAATCCATTTGTTTTCATTGGTATGTCCACCGAATATATAGATATATTCACCAATTGAAACAATCGAGGAGTATGTAAAATTAAATTGATAATCAAACTGTAATTCTTCAATTGAATTGTTGTTTGATGTGTTGATCAGTGTTGCTCCATTTGATTTGTGTGTTGTGAAAATATAAGATTGTTTATTATCATTGTTGTTTTTTGTTGTTGTTGTATTTATTGGTGATTCAGTTGATTCAATGTTATCAAGTTTGATTGATTGTTCAATGATTGAATTCAATTGATTGAAATCAGGTTGTTTGATTGATAATTTATATGATGATAATCTTAAGTTATTATTGTCTGTGTTTGTTGTTGATTCATTGAATCGATTGTTGTATTTATGAATGATATCTAATAATAATGATGATGAATCGTTGGAATGTTGTTTGAGAAGTTCATCAATATTGAAATAAATATTATATTCATTGAACAATGTTTGATTATGATGATTGATGAAAGATTGTAATGATGAACTTGTTGTTATTGATTCCATTATTGTTGTTGTTGAATATAATGTTGTTGTATCTGATATAATTGATTGATTACTATTATTATTACAACAATTATTATTTAATTTATTAAATATATTGATAATATTTATTAAATATTTTAAATTCTTGATATTATTATCGATTTGATTTGTGATTGTATGTTTATCATTGATAATATCTCTTTGTAGTTTATGTTCTTCAATGATTAGATATTGATGTAATTGTTCAAAGTGTTGTTTGATATCATTCTCTGTTGTTGATAATCTTTGATATCTGGATGTCGATGATCTTAATGATTCCCAAAAAGATTTAAGTTAATTGTTGATTTGTGAATGAAAATTATGTATATTTCTACCAGTACTATCATTTATTCGTTGTGGTGGTGTCAATAATATCATCTAATTTTAATGTACTCAATGAATGTTTGATTTCATCGATATCTTCTATTTTATGGGCATGATCAGGATGATCTTTGATATGGTTGATTATACATTTTGAACACATCAAACAATTACATTGATAACAAATGAATTTGTGTGATTTCTGATGATTTAAACACTTCATTGTCATTATTAGCTTTTACTAGTTGAATATTATAATCGATGTAATTAAATAAATAATGAAAAAATTTAATTTAGAATGATCACACACTAAATTAAAATATAAAATTAAAAATTAAAATAAAAAATCAAAAATTCAATTTTAACTTAAATTTATAAATTTTAAAACATTCTCAAAAAATAAACATAAACAAGACAAAGAGTTTTTAGTTAACATTTAACAAATATAAATAATTTTATTCAATTAATTTGTCATTGGTCTTCATCTTCTTCGTTTTGATTACTGTCTCTGATTCTGTTGTCATATTTTTCTTCATCATCGTTTGATAGGTCTAAAAATAAAAAAAAAAAATGAAAAAAATCAAATTAAACTTTTAAGTTCCTTGCATTTAATTTGCAATACAAATTTGAAGATGTGCTGAAAATCCAAAATTAAATTAATTTTTATTTCATACTCAAGAATTTATTCTAGTGAAGAAACAGACACTACATCTCATAGAAGGTAAAATGAGTATCTTCATATGCCGACAACGCTTTACGCCTTGATGCTGTTTACCGTCAGGACTGTCGAAGTGCTGATTTAAAGGATCCATACTCATCCATGCAATCTCTCCATCTCTGATGGTAATCGAATGTTTGACCAAAGCCATTGTTGGCTTACAAATTGATCAAAGGTCGACTGTCTGGTCCATCTCTTGTCAATGGTTAATTCTGTAACAAGGTAGTTACGCTTCACCAAGTTTCTTCAGTTGTTCGCTGATGACAGCGGGTGGTGCACCACCGTACTTCGAGATGAGCTGGATCTAGTCGTCCTCGGTTGGTACGGTTTGTTTAAATCGGCCTCGTCGATCGACGTCTGCTGAGATCAATCCGACCAAATGTACTGATATTCCTCTTCGAGTTATCGACACTACTGCTAGATCGACCTTCCTTGTCTGTCTCTACTGTTACTGAGCGGTGGTAGGTCGGCGTGCTGTTCAATAGCGGTAGTCATATCATGTCTCTAAACTGGCCTCTACTGTTCAAACGCGATTCGCTGTTACTCAGAGCCAAGTCATTTTATCATCTGCTCCGGTATCTTGAGTCACCTTGGCGATGCTGAAATAGTTGTCATTAAGAAGATTATCGATAACCTTCTCGATCTTGGTTCGCAGCCATGGTGGGATCGGAGAGATCATTGCTTCAATTTGGAACAAAGTGGCCAGAACCTCTTTGACTACGGTTTACAAGGTGTGAGTGTTGTCCAACACAAGTGTCTCTCTTCTCTATCATCGACCTTTAGTTAGTTTGCGCCGACTGGAAGTACTTAGTTAGAGAGCTTAGACTATCTCGACTAACAATCTACCACCCATATTTAAACTGTAAATGTTTCACTACTCTGTATGTATGGCTGATGTATATGATCAATATGATGCTATCAATCGATCTATCTGTTTTATAATAGTACTTGGTTGACAATTAACTGTATGGTGTTAAAACATGATATGTTAATAAGATGTTGAAGTTACATACATTATTTATTTACAACTCTCTTATTTGCTAGTAGACTAATATTGTCACCAAATTTTTACTATCATATAGATTTGACAATTTATCACTATCTATCTATTTGAAGCTATTGAAATATATTTAATTCGAATTAAATCTTTGTTGTTTGTTCAAAAATTTATTATAAATTATCTTTTTTAAATATTTAAAATGATTTTTCAGACATATAATGATCACTATTTTTAGATATTTTTAAAGAGTGTTGAATAAAATTTCATTTGTTTTCAGACTTTCTTTCTCCTGATCAATTGAAGTGGTTACATCAGTTGTTTTGCGATGCAAACAATTCAAATCAACAATGTCGAATACTTCCATGGAACCATCAAATAGAACAATTATAATAATTATGTGTATTTTTAATAATTTAAATATATAACAATCAACAATCAATATTATATCATTCTAGAATTTGATAATAAATAAAAAAATAACATTATAATGTTACCAATAAATAATCAAAGGTATATATATTGTAAAGATTTAATTTTATTGAATACCAATATAAAAATGTTTATTAATTTGAAATCTTAGATATATCATTCCATTTACATCGAATTCAGAATCTGCATTTGATGAATATTTAGAACTATTAAAAAAGGATCAACAATTAAAATCAATTGAAGATCTTTCACTCTTTCAATCGACTACTTCTGAACAAATAAATAGAAAGTACAACTATCGTAGAGTTATTGTTGCTAGAGATTGGACAGATCTATACCAACCTAATTATCAAGTTCAATCAGAGTTACCTTCAATCGCCACTGATGGTACTGATGATGAACAAGAAAAGAATGTCTTGAAAAAGAAGATAATCATGATTGTTTGTGGTCAGAGTGGTATATTCCTGCAACTTGGATTGCAACTCTACGATCAATTTCCTGTATATAGAGATACAGTAGATCATGTAAATCAACTCTACCTAACAATCTCTGGTTTCAATGTAATGGAAAAGATATTGGAACTGTGCCAACTTCCACCAGACTCTAAAGAGGGTTACAGCCAGCTTCTCGTCAATCCCCTGCTTTTTATTTTTCAAATTGGAATGATTCATCTTTTCAGACACTTTGGTATTGAACCAGACATGGTTTTCGGGCTGAGTTTGGGTGAGATTGCACTTTTCTATTTGTCTGGATCGGTCACTCTGGAGACGGCCGTAAAGATTCTCTATTATCGATCGATCTATCAAAACGAAGCGTTGACTACCTACGGCGGTAAGATGTTAAACGTCCGCATCAACTACCATACCTATCTGGAAAAGTATGCTAGCCGTTATCCAGAGTTGGATATTGCAACCAAAGCATCGGGTATAACAGTGTTGGCCGGTCAACACGATCATCTATTCACTCCACTCATGTTGGAGTTTGAGCGTGATGGTGTGGAGTGTTTCTTCTTGGCTATCGTCGGTACTGTACATTCGCGAGCTCAGAAATTGGTTAAACACAAAGTACTCGATTCTCTGGCGGGATTGGAGATGGAATCGGTCGCCGCCAAGATACCGTGGTACTCGACGGTGTCGGGCGATCGCTATGACCGACCAATCGATGCCAAGTACATCTACCACAACATGAGAAAACCAGTGGAGGTAGAGGCAGCGTTGCAATCGATTGCACGTGACATCAAAGATAGATTCCAAGACTATGTATTCCTTGAGATCTCTGGCAATGCCAACATCCTAAGTATGATCAAACCAACACTTCCAAAAGCGATCGTAGTTGCATCGATAAAGAAAAGACATGATGAAGTTCTACATTTCCTCTACTCACTTGGTATTCTGTTTTGTCACGGATTCGATGTATCTTTTAAATCACAATTTCATGAAGACCAAATCAAACAACACAATCTTACCACTCACACAACCAACAAGTTTAATGAAATCTTAAAGCTCATTCATTTGGATCAGCAATCCAATATTAATATTGATCAATTTAAAATAATATCAAAGTTTATTGATAAATAAATTCGATTTAACAAGCATCAGCACCAGTTGTTTTGTTTTCTGTTTTTATTTTGTTTTTACTTGCTTTGTACTTATGACAACACAAACAGCATAAGTATGAGATAATTGAGTCAGAACTGGTCATTTGATATATTTAGAGGTACCAAACAATTAATCCAATCTCTCTAATCTGTTTGTGTATGAAATCGAATGTTTGATCAAAGATATCATACCTGATCAACTTTCTACTGTCTAGTTAAACTCTTGTATTTCAAAGGTCAATTCTGTAAGAGGTAGCTACTCCTCGACTTTATGACATCACCAAGCTCCTTCAATTATTCTCTGATCTTCCCTCTCTTCGACGAGAACGATCTAATCTTAGGTTGGTTCTACTTATTCAAATCTAACATTTGTCTTCTGTACAATTTTAAATAAAGTCATATCTGTCATCTATTTACTGATAAATCTCAACCTATTAAGAAGGTATTGTACTACTCTCTATACACCAATATAAGGTAGATACACTTTATTTATATACAACTCGAACAGATTGAATAATCTTCTATAAAGATCTATTATAATTATCTAATTAAAGATATTGAAAAAGAACAGAAGATTTAAAATTGAATTAATGTTTTTTCAATATCTATGTTGGTTTGTAGTTCCAATTAACTTCTCGCTGCCACAAAAATTTAATAAACAAGACATTAAAATTATCAAAAATTACATTGACTTCAGTTAATACAACTTCCTTTCGACTCCAATGTAGGCCAGGATCGTTACATAGGTCAAAAAATATTCGTAGGTAGCTATTAGCACAATATTTACTCATGTCAACTAAAAAATATCTCTTCAATAATTTTTAATTTAATATTAAATAAAAGGTATTGATGAAATAAAATATATATATATATTATCACAAGTAATTAACACTTAAACTTTTATTTAATTTAAGTTTGAATTTTTAATTAGTACAAAAAAACTACTAATAAAACATATATATGTATAATTATATAATTAGAGATTGAATGTAAAATAGATATCATTAATCTTTATTTTATCTAATTTTTTCTGAAGAGTGATGAGAATTGATATGTTTATTTGTGGATTGTAGTCAAAATATCATAATGAAATTGAAGTAGATGCACACCACGCTCTATTGTGATTAATAATATCTCTAAAGAATGGTTCACATTGGTTGGATTCAATTGAATATTTGAAATTATCATCATTATCTATACCAAATGAATAGATATAACTTGATGTTGGTGATTCTCGATGATACTTTACAAATGGAAACTGTGCATTTGTCAGAGGAACAGCATTGAGATTGATTGTTTGTTTGGTTTCAACATTGTATTTGATGAATCGTGTACCTAACATGAAGAAATTTCCATTGTTATCATGACATGCTGAGAATGGCAAAATGTCAATTTGATGATCTGTTATCGTTCTATTTATCAAATCGAATTGAAACATCTTATTTTTATTCCACGATATTGAATATAATGAACCTTTGAAGATCATTGATGATACTTGTCTATCGTATCCAACAGGTAATTGATGATATGATTCAAATTTCATTGTCTTGATGTTGAATCGATCAATTCTATTCTTTGTATTCCAACCATTCACCAAATAGATATGATCTTGACCATCATAACAAGCTGATATATCACTATCACCTTTGATTCCTTCGATATCATCAATATGTTCAGCTGATTTCGATTTCATTGATATTTTAATCCATTTGTTTTCATTGGTTGATCCACCGAATATATAGATATATTCACCAATTGAAACAATCGAGGAGTATGTACAAGAAAATTGATAATTAAACTGTAATTCTTCAATTGAATTGTTGTTTGATGTGTTGATCAGTGTTGCTCCTTTTGATTGGTGTGTTATAAAAATATAAGATTGTTTATTATCATTGTTGTTTGTTGTTTTTGTTGTTGTATTTATTGATTCAGTTGATTTAATTCGATCAAGTTTGATTGATTGTTCAATGATTGAATTCAATTGATTGAAATCAGGTTGTTTGATTGATAATTTATATGATGATAATCTTAAGTTATTATTGTCTGTGTTTGTTGTTGATTCATTGAATCGATTGTTGTATTTATGAATGATATCTAATAATAATGATGATGAATCTGAGGAATGTTGTTTGAGAAGTGAATCAATATTAAATACACCAAAATGTTCATTGAACAATGTTTGATTATTATGATTGATGAAAGATTGTAATGATGAACTTGTTGTTATTGATTCCATTATTGTTGTTGTCGAATATAATGTTGTTGTGTCTGATATCAATGAAGTATCCTCATTACTACAAGTATCATTTTTATTATTATCATTACTGTTATTATCACTATTATTATTACTATTTAATTTATTAAATATATTGATAATATTTATTAAATATTTCAAATGATTTATATTATTATCGATTTGATTTGTGATTGTATGTTTATCATTGATAATATCTCTTTGTAGTTTATGTTCTTCAATGATTAGATATTGATGTAATTGTTCAAAGTGTTGTTTGATTTCATTCTCTGTTGTTGATAGTCTTTGATATCTGGATGTCGATGATAATAATGATTCCCATATTGATTTAAGTTTATTGTTGATTTGTGAAATGAAACTATTACTATTAGTACTATTAATTTCATTATTAATTTGATTATTGGTTATAGTTGTTGTGTCAATAATATCATCTAATTTTAATGTACTCAATGAATTTGTGATGTCATCGATATGTTCGAATTTATCGAAATGATCAGGATGGTCTTTGCTATGACTGGTAATACATTTTGAACACATCAAACAATTACATTGATAACAAATGAATTTGTGTGATCTTTGATGATTTAAACACTTCATTGTCATTATTAGCTTTACTTCTTTGAACAAATAACTAAAGATTAATCTGATATATTATAATTAATAAAATGAATCAATTGGAGTTCATAGGATAGAATAAACAAATTAATTAAATAGTAAAAAAAAAATGAAAATCAAATTAAAAACCTAAAAATAGCAATTGTGAGTGTGGTATGCAAAAAGTGTTAATGAAAGTAATAAAACGAGTTATAATCATAAATGTTATACCTAAACATTCTCCTGCACTGTTTGAACAGAAATGATAGAAAACAAAAGAGAAAGAAAGAGAAAAAAAAAGTGTTAATAGTATAAAACAAACAAAGATGATTTAAAAAATATTTTAAATACTATTTTGGTATTTAATATATATATTTTTAAGGCCTTTTATTTTGATCAGATTCCAACCCTCGGCATTACAAAGAATGGATTGTGTTTAGTTTTGTTCAGAGGAGGCAGATTGAACTGGGAATTCGAAAACGACGTCCTTACCAGTCAATTTGTGGTAAACAGCAGAGAATGAGTCGAGCTTGTGTTCGGTGACAGTCATTTCCTTACGATCCAAATAGACCTTGTGGAGCTTGGTACCGTCGAGTCTGTATCTCAATCTTCTTCCGACAATGTTGGTTGGGAAGACGAGGTCGTCTAACATGGCATCGTGGACAGCCTTGATGGTACGGGAGATTGGTACCTTTTGTTGCTTGACCTTGTTGGTTGAAGAAACCTTGTGGATGATTCTTCTTTGGGCAATGAACATAACGGTCTTACCACCCAACTTCTTTTCCAACTCCCAAACCAACTTTTGTTGAATCTAAAATGATAATCGTCCAAACATATACTAAAATTAATGGTTTCGTCCTAAAGTGTTGTTTTTCCTGTTATTTGTTTTGTTACTATTACATACCTTGTGGTAAGCCTTGAGTTGACGGAAGGGGACAAAGATAACGATAGCCTTCTTTCCTTCGGAGACATCGTACTCCTTGGCAGAGACAATTTGGAGATCCTTCAAATCCTTGAAGTCGTTTTGCTCCAAATCCAAGAGAGCTTGGGCGATGGTGTTTTCAGTCTCGGTTGGTTCCTTACCGGCTGGTTTGACAATCTTCTTCTTGGTGGTAAGCATTTTCTGTAGTAATGATAATGATAGTAGATTGATTCGAATTAGTCTTTAATGTTCTTCAATCCCATAGATTAGCTGGTAGACATGATGGATGTGTGATGATGAATGCGTTCCAAGATATATATTGAACCTGTTTCTCCTATCTTAATCATATATCAACCTAATACTAACGCCATCACATCATCACTTCAAGTCTAATCTAAATCTATCTATACTGTGATATTATTTATTATTAAGACGACATACGTAGTGGCCTCTGATCCTTAGATTGAAAAAAAAAAGAAAGAAAGCTATGTATGGGTTAACTCTCACATATTGGACCTCCACTGTCCAGAGAATCGCCCACACACCACTGCGCATCCAAAATTAAAAAAATTGAAAAAAATAAAAATTCAATTCGAAAACGTTACATACATTTGACTTTGAAATTTTGGTGTGCCAAAAGTTTTGCAAACAATAGTTTTTATGAACTATGAATTTGAGTGTGGTAATAGTGATCATCAAAAATAATAATAACACAAAAAAAATTAAAAATAATATAATAATAATTTTTTTTTTTGATTTTTTGTGTCTAACATCATAGTAATTATATAATTATCTTTTTTTTTCTTTAATAAATACTGCATCAAGAGTCACTTTTAAACAAAAGAAAAATAAAAACATTGTATATTAGAGTAGTAGAGTCAGTCAATAGATTGTATAGAATATCCAAGTTGTATAATAATAAAAATAGATTGACACATTTGATAGATATTTTTGATTAGAATTGACTTTATATAATTAATCAGATTTATCATGTCATCAAATCAAGTTGAATTTTCAAATCAACCAGTTGTAATTGATAATGTATGGATAACAAAACAACAAAAATAACAATTACATTATGAATGCTAATTTTTTTTGATTTTGAAAATATTATTAGGGTTCAGCAATTATAAAAGCAGGTTTTGCAGGACAAGATCAACCATCTTCTATATTCCCATCATTGTAAGAGATAGAAATGAATTTATCAATCATAATATCATATTAATATTCATTCATTTTTAAATCATACAATACAATTAAACAATCAATATATTGGATTATCATCATCATCATCATCGTAATCATTATCATTACCATTCATTATGTTATCATAATAATATAGGATTGGAAACCCAAAGTATAAAAAAGTAATTGGATCAAGTGTTGAAAATGATTCATCATATTTCGTTGGTGAACGTATTCATGATATGCGTGGTATATTAAAGCTGAAGCATCCAATGACACATGGTGTTGTAACTCATTGGGATTGTATGGAAAGAGTTTGGAATCATACATATGAACTATTAAAAATTCAATCATCTGAAGTAAGTCATAGACAAATGATATGATATAGTTATTATTAGTGACAGGATGAATATATTAATACTAAACATGATTATAGCATCCAGTATTATTAACAGATGTACCAAATAATCCAAGACTTCATAGGGAGAGAGCAGCAGAGCTATTCTTTGAAACATACAATGCACCAGCACTCTACTTTTCGATTCCAGCGATTCTCAGTTTGTACGCCAGCGGTAAGACAACCGGTATAGTTTTGGACAGCGGTGACGGTGTGACACATGCCGTTCCGGTGTTTGAAGGTTTCGCACTGCCACACGCCATCACTCGTATCGATATCGGTGGTCGTGACATCACCGATCACCTCTCGTACCTGCTACGACGCGGTGGCTACAACTTTAACACCTCGGCCGAGCGCGAAGTCGTCCGCACCATCAAGGAGAAGACATGCTACGTCGCTTTCGACCCGCAGAAAGAAGAGGAGATGCGTGAACTCGATAATACAACCAGTAGTAAACCAGTACAGACAACCTATCAGTTGCCCGACGGCAACTTGATCGATCTCGGTGCAGAGAAGTTCCGTGCGCCCGAGTTGTTGTTCCACCCGGATATCATCGGTGACGAATCACCGGGTATTCACCAGTGTATCGATACATCGATTCGCAAGTCCGACATTGATTTGCGTAAGACGTTGTACGCCAACATCATTCTGGGTGGTGGTTCGACGTTGTTCACCGGTTTCGGTGAGCGTCTTTTGCACGAGGTCAAAAAGCTGGCACCCAAGGACGTAAAGATCAAGATTACCGCGCCACTCGAGCGTAAATATTCAGCATGGATCGGTGGTTCTATTTTAGCTTCACTTACCACCTTTAAAGATCTTTGGGTAACCGCACAAGAATACGAAGATGAAGGTGCTTCTATTTTGCATAGAAAGATATTGTAAACAAAACAAAACAAAACAACAAACAAACATAAATATAACAACAAAACAAAGCTAATTAAATAACAACCTATAACAACAACTAAACAACAACAACAACTATAATAACAATATATAATGAATAGTTATTACTACTATTTATTTTTATTTTTTAGTTTATTATTACTATTTTATAATAATAATCGATTTAATAAACTAAATTAAACTAATTTAAATTAAACTTTAATTGTTTGTTTATCAACAATACAATGATTTATTGATTGATTGATTGATTGATTGTTTGATTAACTAAAGAAAGTGAGTACCTTTGCTAAATCTACATTACCACCGGTTACAATCAAACCGATTCTCTTAATGGTACCGTCTTGACCGTAAAGTTCTTTGAATTCCTTTGATAGAACTGCAGCTAATACTGTTGCAGATGATGGTTCAATAATTAATTTCATTCTATCCCATACCAACTATTAGATTATTAATTTGTTAGTTAACAAATCGTGAAATGAATAAAGATACAAAGTTTAAACTATATATTAACTTACTTTCATTGCAGCTTTGATCTCGTTGTCGTCAACAGTCAAAACATTATGTAAATGCGATTTAATAACTGGCCATGTCAAGTCACCGACGGTTGTCAACAGACCATCGGCAATAGTATTTGGATAACCTTCGAGATGTGGTAGTCTTTCACCCTTTTTAAATGAACGACATGCATCATCTGCACCGGTTGGTTCGACACCAATAATCTTTATCTCTGGATTCATTCTCTTTGCTGCGATTGAAATACCTGAGCACTATTATTATAATTATTATTATCAATGTTTAATGGTAATCAGTTAGTAAAGTATGTTTATAAAAGTATTAGTTTAGTTTAGTTACTTACAACACCACCACCACCAATAGGAACAATAATAGCATCTAAGTTCTCAACTTGTGAGAGTAGTTCAATTGCTACAGTTCCTTGACCGGCAATAACCTCTCTGTTATCGAATGGATGAATCAAAGTAGCACCATGTTCTTGAATCAATTTCTCAACACCACTCTCACGTGCAACTAATGTTGGCTCGCACAATGTAACATTAGCACCATAACCTTGAATTGCATCCAATTTAACTGTATAGTTAAAACATAATAGCGTCTTATGTTAATAATTAAGCAATTCAAAGATAATATTTTGTTATTTCTTTACTTACTCTTTGGAGCATTATTTGGTACTACAACATATGCAGTTGTTCCTCTCATTTTTGCAGCGAGTGCCAATGCTTGACCGTGATTACCACTGCTGTGAGTTACAACACCTTTTTTGAGATCCTCTTCGGTCAGCTTGAATACGGCGTTGCAAGCACCTCTGAATTTGAATGCACCTACCTTTTGGAGGTTTTCACACTTGAAGTATAAATCTTTGCCAGCGATCTCATTGATTGCCTTACTGGTCATAACAGGTGTCTTGTGAACGTACGGTTTGATTCTATCGTAGGCATCTTTGATATCTTCAAACGTAACAGCAAACTCACCGTCACTTTTCGTCTGTGATTGTGATACCGTCAATTCAATATTGTCAATACATTCCATAGTTTTCTGTTAATCAAAGCTGCCTGAGAGGATTATTACTGATTCTGAATAGTTAAGTTTGATTTGCTAATTAATAATTAATCATTTTTTTTTTCTTTTGAAATTTCTCTTTTTTTTGTTTTTTTTTTTTCAAAAAATCTAAAAAACTATGAAGGTTATAAAATTAAACCAAAGATTTTTTTTAATTTATTTTTAAATTTATTTTACACAATTTTTTTTTAATAATAATTTGTATTTTGGATATTTTTTGATTAAATATCCAAAGATATGTCGGGGTAATAACTAATAACTAATTAGACAACACTTTTGAAAAATTTACTAAAATAAAACATTTTGTTTTTTTACCAGGATTGTTACTTTTTTCTAAAAGTCTCTGCTGCCCAACATTTTGGGCTCATCTAAAAAAAAAAACCTCACAAAACCTTTTCAAAGATTATTTTAAAATAAAAAATAAAAAAAAAATCCATTTTTTCATCTTTAGGATATTTTATTTTTCACAATGCGGTTCCCAAGATATAAAACGAATCAAAACTTGCAACTGATTTTTTTTTTATTCAATATCATTTTACATCTTACATCCAAATATAATATTTCAACAATGAAATTCTTTGTATCTGCTTTATTATTTGTTCTCGCTGCTTTGGCAGTTGTCCATGCTGTAAGTTCAAAGCTTTTTTGAAAAAATAAATAATATTAAATAAATATTTTAAAATATAAATATTAATATTATGAATAATTTAATATTATTTTTAGGACGATTATAACTGTCAACAAATGCAACAATTGACCAGTCAATATTTCCCATCTGGAACACAAACCAATTTTATCTGTATTGCCTACTTTGAATCTTCATGGAATACCGATGCTCAAAATCCATCAGGTGCCTCTGGTCTCTGGCAAATCTTACCAGAGCACTGTGGTGAATTGTGTCCACAATGTACTACTCCATCCGATCTTTTCAACCCAACTATCAACGCTCAATGTGCTGTAGCCGTTTACAACGCTCAAGGTTACAATGCTTGGACCACCTGGTCAAACGGTGACTGCAGTGGTTGGAGCAAGTGCGGTAGCTCATCGTCATCCGGTGGTGCCTCATCCGGTGGTTCCACATCCTCTGGTCAATCATCCGGTGGTGCCTCATCCGGTCAATCATCCGGTCAATCATCCGGTGGTTCATCCTCTGGTCAATCCTCTGGTCAATCCTCTGGTGGTTCAGGTAGCAGTGGATCAACATCCTCTGGTTCAGGAAGCGGTGGTTCATCATCATCATCATCTTCTGGTGGTTCAGGATCATCAGCATCATCTGGAAGTGGATCATCATCCTCCTCTGGTAGCGGATCATCAGCATCCTCTGGATCATCATCAGGTAGCGGATCATCAGCATCATCTGGATCATCATCAGGTAGTGGATCATCCTCTGGTTCTGCCTCCTCAGGATCTGGTAGTGGATCAGGAAGTGGTACCACCAACTAAATTTAGGAAAAACAAAAGTTAAATCGAACAGTAAATACATCATTTATTATCGAATTTAAAATACCCAAATAAAATTATAATTAATATAAACAAACAAACAGACAAACAAATACATTCATACTTTTTTTTGAACTTTTTTTTTTTTTTAATTACTTTATACATGAAAAAAATATTTATCTTGAAAGTTGTTTTCTTAAAGTTTTTTCAAGATCAGTATCTACAAATTGATATCCATAGTCCATCAATCTAGAAAATAATTGAAGAATAAATATTAATTTTAAAACTTGAAACTAAATTAGTTATAAACTTACTTGTTTGGTAAAACTCTTTGACTACTAAGGATTGTTTCAGTTGCCATTTCTCTTCCGAAAACAGTGTTTATGACAAACTCTGGTACCCAAAAGAAGGTTGGACGGTTTAGTACTCTACCCATGGTTTTAGTGAATGCGGTGTTTGTAACAGGGTTTGGGCTGGCAATATTAATTGGTCCCGAGACGCTGGGATTGTTGATTGCAAATTGAATGATTTTCAGTGTGTCCTCGAGACTGACCCACGGGAACCATTGTTCGCCCGACGCCATAACACCACCCAGCCCAAAATAGAAGGGGTAGTAAACCATCTGAAGAAATCCACCGGAGGGATCCAAAATGATGCCGAAACGCAGATTGACAACGCGCGCATTGATGTCGGTCAGTGACGAACAGCTGCGTTCCCAGCGATCGACCACGTCCGCAAAGAATCCGGTGCCTTTCGGTGCGGACTCGTCGGTCGGTACACTGACGCTCGTTCCATAGTAGGTGCAACCCGATGCACATATAAAGAGCGGTGGATTCGACATCGATGCCGATGCGTCCGAGAGTAGCTTCGTGCCTTTGACACGTGACTCCAAGATACGTCGCTTCTTGTCCTCCGTCCAGAAACCAAAGATGTTCTCACCGGCCAAGTTCACGACGACGTCCGGGTGCAGTGTGTTGAATGCCTGTACGTCGAGCGTCGATCTCTCAGGATCCCATTGAATCTCATAGGCACTCTTTGGTGGTGATCTCACCAGAGTGTATACATCGTAGCCACCCACCGATTTCAGAGTCTGAGTTAGAGCCTTACCAACGAAACCAGAGGCACCACCAATCAATATTTTCTTTGTAATATTATTCATAAAGTAAAGTTTATTTTGTAATTACTTATTAGATATTGATAATATATTGAAATAGTTAAATGTTACACAAACAATGAAACATATTATTTCAACATTAATCATCTTTATTCATTGTTTTGCTTTGTCATTCACCAAGATCACCCACCATTTTCACATGCGATTATTTTTTATTTTTTCGTAATAAAATTTAAATATATTAATTTTTGGACCTGACCCACTTCACACATGTCACCATATCAAAATTTCCCAAATTTTTATGACAATCAATTAATCTTTAGAAGTATAATAATAACATAGTTTTTCATTCCTTTATTATATAATAATATAAGTTTTTTTTTTTTTTTTTTTTTTTTTTAATAAAAAAAGTTCAACCTTCAAATAAATCATGAATCATTATGCGATCTTTCATAGATATAATGATCATCAACAAAAAAAAGAGGTCATTTTATATAAAATTGTATTATATTGTATAAACTAAGATACATTTTATCATGATATACATAGTTTATAAATTGTATGTCAACTTTTAAAAGGTAGATAATCACGCAAGCAAAGTTGATAATTGTTTATTTTTTAAAAATAAGAATTATAAATCAATATATTTATAATAAAATAGTAATAAATAAATTGTCACACAAATATGTATTCAATTCAATCAATAACACTCCCCCAAAAAAAACATTTATAAATGTGTTACTAATTGATATAATAATAACAAATAATAATAATGATTTTTCAGTGATCAAAAGTCATGTGTTAAGTGTTAGTGCTAGTGTGTGAATATTTATATGTGTTGTGTGTGTATGGTTTATATTATTGCTTTAGACAACAACAACAACAAAAACAATCATTATTGAATTAATATAACAATTTAATATTATTTTGTTGTGAGGCAGTATCTGTTGCCAACTTGACTTATCAATGATATCATTGTATGGGTATGTCAAATAAATATATAAAATAACCACAACAGGTGATTATGATGGTTTTAAATCTGTCTAGAATCATTGTCATATTTATTTATTTATAAAAAATAAGTTGGAGGAAAGAAACATAGCACTTATAAAAATCATATAAGTTTCTTTCAATTTTTCTTTAACAAATTTTAATTTTAATAATCTATTAAACCATTTTTTTTTTAATTAATACATCATACCTCTATTAAATATACATTGAATCACACACACAGGCAAATTAATTAAAAATAAAAAAACGACGATATATATTGTTATCTCTTTTACCCTTTTACCCACCCACTTTTTAAAAATGATAATAATAAATATTTATTTTAAAAAGATTTTCAAACTTTATCTAAATGGAAAGAAATAACAATGTGTCTCTATGAATTCCAAAAGAGTATTTATTTCCAATCTCATTTCTATGATAACAATCCATTTAGTAACATCATTACCACTTTATAGCACCTTCATTCATTCCATTCCATAAAAGGTAGAGATATTTAGAAAATTATCAATAAAAGAGTTAATGATAACAAATTTCTCTGATAACTCTTGTTGCAGAAAGAAAAAAATTGCTAATAGATTCCAAATGTACAATATTAGTACTTCTTCTTGCACATTTTGATTAAGTTTCAGGGTGTTCACTTACTCAATTCTCAAAGTGACAACAAACAGCAAGCTTAAACAGATTGTCTGATTTGTTATCTCTTACCATCTTTATTTTGCAAATCTCATAGTTTTGTGATTCAATCATTCATTCATTCAATCTTTCATTCATAGTTTTATGATTAATTCATATTCATCATACCAACTATAATAAATTAGAATTATAAAATAATAATAATAACAATAACAATACCACAACACCAACACCACTACTACCACCAACACAGTTCCACCATCTATTTCCATCTATAGTTTCAGTAATTAATTACTCCCAACTAAATTCTATTTTATCTACCTACAGCTGTCTATCTGTCTTAAACCACAACTTAAAACAACCAAACGACCAAATCCTTAACCATCACTCTCCAAGCTAAACAACTTTACTTCACTCTCTCCTCTCGAGATATCATTTGCAATATTAAACTATAGTTAGTTACATAATAAGCCATTGATATCAACTATAAGGTTAACTCCTATCGATAGAATTCCACCACTCTTCTTCTTTGCAATCAAGCCTAATATTATTATTCCAACAACAGCAATAACAGTAATAACAATTGTACATTAAAATAACTTTTATTCCAATATTATAAGTCCACAGTTATTATCGCTTTAATTCCACAGTTTGTTTTTGCTTTTTTAGTAGAATAATTAATTGTAGACCCTCTTTGATACATTAATACTCCCACTATCTGGCACCAATATTTTATTAAAAAATCAATCAATCCATCATCATCATCATCAATTAAATATCATTTGATACACACAATACTCTCCACTATCTATTATTAACACATCAATAATAACAATACAACAAAAAATAACCAGCAATATTAATTAATAGTAGTTTTTTTAAATTAATTTAAAGTAATTTTATTTGTAAAAGTTATTATTTTACAACTAATTGTATCATTCTCATATCACCAATAATTATCGCCACAATCCAAAATCATTCCGCTTTTCCCAATATTCTTTTATTTGTAATTAAAGAATAGCTATGATTTTTGGAAAGAGATATTTGTAGAATTATTAAATCTAAAAAAAAAAAAAAGTAAGTAGTAGTAAAATACAAAAATATTTTTATTTTTGTTTGAATCAATCCAATCCAATCAAAATCATCATCTTGCCAACAACCATTAATTAATATTTAAGGCTTTACGAAAAAGTACAACTTTTAAAAAAAAAATGACAATTCTAAGTATGTATTTTTAAAAGGTTTTTCAAAAAAATAGTTTATAATATTTATTAATAAATATCCTTCAAATTATTATTTGTTACTATAGATAATTTAGTTTCCATATCATTTTTCTCAAAATCAACAAAAAGTAGTAGTTGTTTCACATTATCGTTACCAATGTGTAGCAACAATATTATGCAATCAAATATAGAGTTTTCAGCTTCTGTACCGAACAATGATTTAATAGAAAGAAAGATGCCAATTTTTAAAAGATTCCCTCGTGGATGAAAATCATTTCATTCAAATTATATATATATATATAAAATAATCAATTGCCAAATATAATATTATAACAAACATATATTAATTTATGTACATAACCAACTATCTATCTATCTATCTATTTTAACAACAATAACAAAAATTACAATACACTATTTACAATGACAACAACAATTCAATTTCCAATATATTAATTATTTTGGAAGACAAACCAACCAAATCAACAACCTTCAATCAATCACTGTTCTGTTGACAATTTCAAAAGTCACACAGTAAATAGTCAATCCAATCAAATCAAAACCAAATCAACTTTATTTTCCAAAAAAACACAACAATTTTAGAAATAGTATAATATTCATGTAATGTACTAAAACTAATTGCCGACGAAACTCTCCCAAATCCACAAATCCTGATAAATAATTTTATATTACTCGCCATCGATTTTCTTTAAATAGAAAAATGATTAATTATTAAAATATAAATTAATATTAATAATAAATTGATAGAATATATCGATTATATTTAAACACTCCCTATATAACTTAACAAACTTAACAAGCAAATTGAAAGTCTTATAATATATCTTTTGTAACTATTATTATTATTATTATTATTGTTATTGTTTTTTTTATTTTTCGATTGGTGCCATTGCAGAGGTTGGTTGTTGTTTCTTACGTCTTTGAATGACATCGTAGTTGTATACACGAGAGATATTGACATCGACAGTTGTGATTTGATCCTTTACGAAACCGAGATCCTGAATGGTCTCACGAAGTTGTCTATCTGCAGTTTCTTTATTCTTACGCAACACCTCCTTTGCCTCTGTGAATGAGTACTCCAACATCACATTGGCACCCAACCACAAGTATATCGATTGTGGTTTGGAAATCTCTGCTGACGAGTATACACCCTCTGACAATTCATAATTCATACTAAAGGTATCATCCTATTTTGATTTGATTTGTTATTGTTGTTGTTGTTGTTGTTTATTATTGATTGTAGATTATGGATAATAGTAGATTATAGATAGTTAGTAACTTTAGCTAAATAAAAGTTAACTCTAATATCATTTAAGTATCTTGTTCTTACCTTCTTTGTTTCGATTCTATTTACTACATCTATTGTTTCTTGAAGTTGTTTTGCACGATTTGTCAGAATACTGACATTACCAGAGAGTTTCTGTTCAAAGTATTTATATTTTCCGTGACTGTCTTGTAACATTTTAAATACATCCTCTAACTCTTTATCTTTTAAGTATGCTTCTACATCTTCCTATATATATTATATATTGTTATAAAAAGTTAAAAACAAGAGAATTAGTTTAACGTAATCATACAATAGATTATCATTGTAAGTAAACATCATTACATACAATAAAAGTAACAGCAGGTATACCAGATGCACTCTTTTGATCTCTATCAAATAAAACTTTATAAGGACTATCTTCTGCTATTGACATCTTTCTTTGTTTTGTCTTGTTTTGATTGCAAATCAATCTTTATAAATATAAATATATATATATTATCTTATTTTGATAAAAAGTTCACTTCACATCCCTTTTTTTTTTTTTTTCATTTTTTTTAAAATTATTTTTTAATCATTTTTTTTTAAATAACAAATGTAATAAGTAAGAATCATTTAATATTAATGTTTGAAAATAACTTAAATAAGTTAACAATTCATTTTGATATAACATTGTTCATAGTTACTTGCTATCAGTTCAATAATTATAATACCAACAACTATGACTACACAAATCATTTATATTAAAAAATCTTTTTTTTTTACTCTGGTGGAATTTCTCGTTTTTTGAAAATCTGTTTTTTTTTTTACCCTACAACGCACCATCGAAGGGTTGCATATAATTGATTTTATAACTTTTCATTTTTTGTGGTTACTGTTATATGTAATAATATTATATAACATCAATTACACTTTTCACTCTTTTTTTTTTTTTTTGAAACAGCACAACATCAAACATCAACATCTAAAAACAGTAACCAAGTTAATTTCAAAATAACAGCAAACTTAATTATAGTTGTTATATGTATCGTTACAAATATATTAGTATATATTAGTTTCTTTTTTTATTATTATTATTATAATCATTATTATTAGTACTCAATTCAATTCATAGTTTAGTTTAGTTTATATTTTAGATTAGTTTTAGATTAGATAAGTTTAGTTTAAAACTTTTTTTTTTTTATTTATTATATATATATATATACAAGAATGGTGAATACTGAAATTTTAGTAGGTTTCCTATCAATTGGTAAGTAATAATAATTATAATATAAATGAAAGACTATAGTGATCATCTGATTTACTTATTTAAATCGTTTTTATATTTTTTTTATTTTTTTTAGCTGGAAATATACTTAGTATAAGTACACAACTATCTCCAATAAAGTCATTTATAGAAATGGATAAAACCAGAGATCCTGGACTAATGAACATCTATCCAATATTTGCACTGTGTGGTAATTCATTTCTCTGGGTAACCTATGGACTTTTAACCACACAATTTACAATCCTACCAGTTAATACATTTGGTGTATTTATCACTCTATATTTTGTCATGATCTTTATCAGTTCAACCAATGAATATTTAAAGGTAAACATTTCATCAAAAACATCCTTTTTATTTCCAATTCAACTTATCCATAATATTTTTTATTTCCACTTTTTTTTAGAGGCGAAAACTTTCAGCTATATTCTTTGCTTTTGTAATATCACTGGTGGTATTCGTAGAGATAATAGTGATGTCGCTGAAATTGGAAGCATCGATCAAAGTAATGGGATATGCATGTAATGTTGTACTGTTTCTTTTCTATGGATCACCGCTGATGGTGATGTACCAGGTCATCAAAAACAAAGACACCTCGGTGATGTATCCACCACTCTTAATGACATCGTGTCTGGCAGCGATTGTTTGGACCATCTATGGTGTTTTAGTACAAGATAAATTCATTATAGTACCGAATTTCGTTGGTGCAGTCCTATCGTTTTTCCAACTTTTAGTTTACAAGACCATCAATCTAATGTACCCGAAAGGAAGAATGCCACTTGGAGTCGATCCAAATGAGAATATTACTTTTATCGATGAGGAAAAGGCATCTGTAGAAATGGTAATCGATGGTAGATCAGAGTTTGAAGAAAGAATATAACAAGTAAAAGTAAATAATAATATTATTAGTAAATCAAAACAATTCAAACTTTATTTAATTATATCAATATGGAAAACAAACTCAGACAAGTAAATAATAATAATATTTCCAAATTTAAATGTTATTTTTATACTAATATTACTTTTTATTTTTAAATTGATTTGATTTGATTTGATTTTAAAACTAAATGAAAGAGTGTGATATTTTTTTGTTTAAAAAAAGAGGTAAGAAACAAATGTTTAAACATTTGCTTGATTTGGTATTACATTACCATCACAAATTAAATTAGTGTTTGTAATTTTAGTTGTGATGTTTGATGTGTGGTAATGAGTGTTGGTTTAGAAGAGGATGTAGAGGGCAGCAATCATTGAGATGATAACTTGACCAGAGAAGACAACGGAGGAAGCTGAGGAGCTGTCGTGTGACTCTGAGACGTCGGTGGTGGCTGGACCAGTGGTCAATCCAGTGGTGGCAGTGGTGGCACCGGTGATTGGCTTGACAGTGGAGGTGGTATGGTTGGTTCCGGTGGTCAATCCAGTGGTGGCAGTAGCAGTAGAGTTAGAGGAACCAGTGGTAGCGGAAGCAGTTGAGTTGGCAGTGGCGACAACACCAGTGGTGGCAGCAGCGGTAGTAGTAGTGATATTGACCTTCTTGTTGGTAATGAAGACATCGGAACATGAGTAGTAGACATCACCACCACCGTTTCTGGCGTCGAAAATCATTTGGTAGTAGGCTTTGATTGGGTTGGTGAAGTCGAGACCGGTCTTGACAGTGTCGGATAATGGTGGGATCGAGAAGTTGAAGCTACCGACGGTCTTGAGAACGGAATCTTCATCGATGGTCTTCAAAGTGTGTCCCTTACCGTTGACAAACAATTGGATGGTGTAGGTGTTGGAATTGTTGTTGGCGACGGTCCATGGCTTGTATTGGTAGATGACAAAGTTGCTGTCCTTGGTGATATCGATGGCGACTCTGTTGGCCTCGACCGGTTGCGACAAGACGCAGGCCTGAGTGTTTCCACAACCGTTGTGATCAGTTGGACTACAAGCAAGACGTGGAGTTGGAGTCATAAAACCGGCGTTGGCAGAAATACATGATACCAAAGCAAAGGTAACGAGTAAAGAATAGAATGCTTGTCTAAACATTTTTAAGGATTGATTGATGAAAGTAAAGAAAAGAAATTTAAAATACTCTGTAATGATAACAATATATATATAATATTTAGTTTGTTTGTTTGTTTGTTTTGATTGTTTGATTTGATGTTTTTACAATTGTTAAAACAATGAGTATTTATAGTTTGGTTTCCTTTGATTTCAGTCCTCATTGTTGTTTGTAAAATACAGACGATTGAGTTGGTAGAGGGTGTATGATATGAAATCAATGAAAATTCCTTATCAATTCAAGTGATAGAGAATCACTTTCCCACCGCCCTAATCAGAATCTACCCATCCAATCAGACAAACACCCCATCAAAGTTTCTATAATAAATAGACAGTACTTGTCATATTCTGGTAGAGTTTTACCATATTTAGTTGTATTGAAATAAAGGTGTGTTATGTGTGTGGTTTGATTGATTAAATAATAAAGTTATTTTATTTTATTTTATTTTTTTAAAAGATTATTATAAATTATTATATTTTGTGGTCGGGTGTGGTTGTTGTGGTATTTAAATTGACTATAGAAAAAAGTAATAAATATTTACTATCTAGTAATTAAAATAGAAATATGATTGATATTACCATATTTGTCCGGACAATCAACTTTATTATTATCGTCAAACAAACACACACTCAAATACAAAAATGTCATAGGGGTGTGGGTTATATTAAAAAAAACAATTAAAAAAAATGATAAAGCACATTTTCATTTTAATAATTTTAATTACTTTTTAGGATATATTTGATTTTTAAATGTGTGTGTTAAAACTTGTGGGTCTTAATGATATTTTTTAACATTTATTTAATTTTTAATTTTTATTTTCTTTTTTATAATAAAGTTATTGAAAAATAATTAATATTTTTCAAGATTGATTAATCTCCTTGTATGATTACTTTATTATCTCCATTGGATTATTAAATTATCAACACTTTCTTAAAATTTTATTATTATTCTTTTAAAAATATTTATTATTATTTTTCACTATTTTTTTTTTTGATGAATCAATCAATTAATCAATCTGTCAGTCAGTAAAATAATCAATCATAATTATACAAATTTAGTTATTGTTTTTTTTTTTTTTTTGTTTACCTTTTTTATCAATTGAAGATCTTCAAACAAACAAAACAATTATAATTGTTAAATTTAAGTTTTAATTGATTTTAATATTATCTTAAAGTTGTCTTTTAAAATTGTTTTATATTCTTCTCTTTTGTCTATCTTCTTCTTTGTCTATTGTTTCTTGGTTGTTGTTGTTGACCACCTTGTTGTTGTTGTTGATCATCCTCATCTTCATCATAAATCATATCAACATAATCATCCAAGAATCCTCTTGCAGCTTGTGGTTGACCTCCTTGTTGTTGCTGTTGTTGTGCATTCCATGGGAATAGTGATTGTATGAATCCTAGTAGTGGGTTGTTAGGATCGATGTTTGGTTGTATTTGTTGTAGTTGTTCCATGAATCGTTGTTCCATTGTTTGTTGTTGCTGCTGTTGAACTACTTGCTGACGTTGTTGAATGACTCGCGGTGCACGATACACCTGATAGCCAGCACCGATTCCACGTCGTGGATCCTGTCCTCTTGGCGGTTCGATATTGTTGAATCCCTCGTTTCTCATCATCTCAATGACGTCGGGTGGCAGTCGCTGCACGACATCCGAGTACTCCGAGAGGAACAGATGGTCAAACACCGACTGGTCGACAACACTATATTCCTTCAGCACCAGCTGTACCGATTCCTCCACCGCCTTGTCCTTGGCATCGACCAACTTTATCACCTGCTCGACGTTCTTCTTCAACCACTCGATCGTTGTCGGCTGTTGTTTCCACAGTGGATGATTACGCTCCACGTACAAAGCGATGAGATGCTCCACCGGTTTCAACAACTCGTTCGTCGACTTAAAGTATGGATGTTCCTCCAAGTTGAATGGCTTGCCATCTTTAACGATCATCAGACTTGCCTGCAGCTTCTGAAGCAATGGTTTCAAAACCATTGGGAATCTGATCAACGCCTTCTGTAGCAGTTTATCAGCGGCATCTTCATTGTTACCACCGCCACTACCAACCAACATAAACTGAGCCAAAGCACCATTATAACAGAAATTCGGTAACAAATCCAATGTCTGTGTCATCGATGGAGTCAACTTGCCAACCTTTGTATAAAGCTCCACCAAATATTCATATTGCTTCGATTTCAGCGCATAATAATCTATAATCAATCTAACAAACAAAGGATCGCTATAGTCCAAAGACAACAATACCTTACTATTATATTACAAACAACAACAACAATAACAACATTAATATCATGACACCTTCTTCAAACTTGATTATATTATTAAACAACAAACAACTTACCAAAACTCCAATGCAGTTCTTGGACATGCTCTTCTACCTAAGATTTGAATATGTCTAAACACTGAAAGGAAACATGTTCTAATGATGATGATTGAAGATTAGTAAAACAAACAGTTAAAACTAACTTGCTAATGATAGTTACTTGTTTTCTTGATGTTTATATTCAAGTCTGGATGTTCCAGAGGTTGGGTTGAATAGATGATGCCAACAGTATTCGAATGCAAAGATGGCACGTTCTACAAAGTCACCGGCGTGTTGGTAGTCAGCGGTTTGCAGACACACCTGGCTGAGTTGGAGTAGTGAATCGACGTGGTACGGATGATAACGTAGGAGTTCGGCGATGTGCATTGGATCGTGCGATGCCAACACCTCGTAGAAATCCTCTTGCAGCCGACGATAGCTATCACTCCACCTAATGGTAAAGTAATTTACATCGCCCTCGGTACGATCGAGTTCCATTACGAACGACTGAATGATCTCCGGCCACTCTTGTTGCGGCGCGACGAACATCCAACTCTTCTTCTTCATCATATTGACATTGGTATGAACGTTGCTATTCTTTTTCTTCATCTCTTTCATATCGCTCTTTACAAATCAACACAACAAACACATTGATATTGTTAACAACATATTTTAAACTATTATCATTAAAATAATAATAATACTACTACTTACAACTTTACAACCAAATAACTTTTTCAATTCGTTCGATGCGTTTAGATGTTTTGGATCTACAGATAGTATCTCTCTGTATTTCTTTTGTTCTTCATTCTGTTGAAAACTATTGTTTGTAATTGTAGAGGTTATTTCATTTACAAGTTTATCTATATCATCTTTATTATTATTATTATTGTTTTTACTATTGTTATTGTTGTTGTTATTATTATTATTTGTCTTTGATTTCTTCTTTTGTTGTTTCTTCTTTTTCTTATTATTATTACTATTATTATTTGGTTGTTGTTGTTTTGACTTTATCTTTGATTGTTTATCATTATCATCTTCATCTTCTTCATCTTGATCTTGATCTTTATCTTCATTGTCATTGTTATCATCATCATCATCATCATCATCAAGATTCAACATTGAAAAGCTTGAAGCAGTTGACTTTTTCTTTGATTTACTTGATGAAACTTGAATTTCCTCTTCACTTTCCTCTTGTTCATCTACATCGTCTACTACCTCCTCTTCAAAGTCATCTTTGACTTTTTTTAACTTTCTTAATGCTCTTGATGACATGTCTTAATAAATAGCTGAATAAACTACTACTATTACTACTACTTTGATAAAAGGGTATTCATATAATTGTAATTGATCCAATCAACTTTATTATTATTAAAAAAAAATTAAATAAAAAAAAATCTTTATTTAAAAAAAAAAAAACAAAATTGTACAATTTGAATTCATTTCTATTTTTTTCTTTTCTGTTAGTTTTCTCACTTTGTTTTTGTATCATTATCTCTAAATCTTTCTTTTCTTATTCATTCTTTCATATTATTATTTATCATTATCACCACCGTCAAAATTGTGTCAATATTGTTTCTCATTTTCATCAATAAAAGTAGAAATCATGATTATCACATAAGATTTGATTATTTATCATTTTCAACAGTACTACTTATAAGTAGTACTGATAAAAGAATTAAACGATTGTCATGACATGCACATATTCAACAGGTATGAAATTGAATTGACAAAAAACAGTCAATTATAAACAAGTTAACTGTTGACAAAGAAGAGTGATGTATCACTGAAAATATCATTTTTCGACTTCACCAACCAAAACACTCACATTCTCACTCATCTAAATCCAAGATATTAAGAAATTTGGATTATATTTATAACGACCCTAAATCAATCTTTAAGATTTTTTATTTTATTTTATTTTATATTATTTTATTTCGTTTAGTTTTTTTATATTGCAAACGATCTTTTATGACTTAAGTGCCAATCTTCTGAATTGACTTGTCAACCACTTTTAGATTTTTTGCAAATTTCACAAAAAAAATTGATTTTTTTTTTTTTATTTTTATAGTACCCAAACAAAATCAAAAACAAAACCTATTTATTTATTTGTGGTCTATTTTTACGAGCAATTCCAACGATATTTTTTTTTTCGTGGTTTGTTTGTTGACTTCCTAAGGTTTTGTTTGATCAATCCGTAAAACTTAGCTTGTGAGGTCATTCCACAATACATTTTTTGTTTTTTTCAATAAACAAACCACAGAACAACACTTTACAATTTAATGTTAATTTTATTCTTTTTCGTTTCTATGAATGGTTTGTTGGTATTGAAAGTCTTTTTTCTTAATCAATCTTTATCTTTAATATTTATTTTTTTACAAATAAATATTTATTTATATTTATATTTATATTTTCATAAATAAAAATGAAAATATTTAAAATTTTTTCTATTTCTTTTTTATTTGTAATAATAATACTAACTGGTTTGTATTTATTTATTCAAAATTATTCAACTATTGTTAATTTTAAATTATCTAATATTTATTTATCTATTTATTTATTTAATTAATTGATCAACAGTAAAAATAAATGGTACTATTAATATTATGGCTAATACACCACCATATTTCAATGGTGTTGATACAACCAGCTGCGGTTATTTTTACCAGATTATGGTAAATTCTAGTAATTGGAGTTTCAAAAATTATATAGGTGGTTTTTCAATTACTCCGTCTCGCGCTTCTTTTTGGTCAGCTAAAAACACATCTTTTGTAACTTTTTCAATGTATGCCATCAATATACTTTCAACATTAAACTCACTAGACTATACTGCTACTTTAAATACTATGACTTCTCAAGAATCAATTCCCATCCCAACATGTCAACGTAAGTGTTATCTGTACAGCTTTTCAAAATAATTAAAGTTTATTAATGTTATTGTATCACTCATCATTCTACTTTAGCATTTACAAATTTCAGTTTAGCAGCTTCACCTGTTTTCCAACAGGATAGTCGTTCAATGCGATTTGTCCAATATCTTAAAATTAGCAATCCGATGAACCAAATTAGACCATCTCTAGGTGTACAAGCGCCAGGATATTGGAATGATCAAAAAGTTCATTTGACATCACCATTCCCCTCCAATTGGGTAGTTATATCATACAAAGCGGCAAGCTTACAGAATTTCAATGGACAAAGTGGTACTATTAACCCAACTACTTTAACTCAAAACACCAGTCCTATTCCAATGAATAATCCATACAATAGTAAGTCAATTCATTTAATTTCAATATTTTTATAAATAACAATATCGGAATCAATTTATTAATTTTGTTATTTTATTTAAACGATAAGATGTTAGAACAACAGTATTAGGTTATAATTCAAAATCAATTTCCAAAACAAAGCTATTTGCTCAAAGTTTTGTTATGAATATTGCCAATTTGAATTCTGCACTGGGTTTCGGTAATATGGCATATGATGTTATCTATTATCCAGTTCTTGGAAACAGGGCTAATGCTACCTACCATTTATTTGTAAATGCAACTGGAAGCTCTGGAGCTATACCTCTGAATCTCTTTGACCAAACATACACTAACAATCCAACGTTTTTTGGATTTGCAACTTCTTTCACACTTGTAAATGTAGGAAGCCCCCTATCTTCGATAGTACAAGATAACACCGTCAATTCTTTTATCCTTAATATTAATTTCGTTTTGGATACAATTGGTTTGTCACCGGTATCCACCACATACAGCATCCCAATCACCAACAATATGTATTACCCAGTTGGAATCAGATCGGTGACAAACAATGGAATCAATGGTGCTTCCTATAAATTCTCTTTCGATTCACTCTACCCGAATGTAACTTTCGTTGATAATGTTATTGTCAATTATTACAGCAAGATGATCAGCAACATGCCACTTTCATTCACCTGGACACCAACTCGTATGTTATTTATTATTCATTAATGGTTTAACAAAAAACACAAACAACAATAATTTCTAATTTAATTTATTCATATTTTTAGCTCCAACATTTTCTGGTATTTCAATAATGATTCAAAATTTTCAAATATTCCCAGTTTCATCATTCACTTTTGTAGTTCGATTGGATATGTTCAATACACAGTTTTTCGGGGTTCAACAAATAAATCTTTACAATACATACTTATATGGATATCATTTGGTAAAAGGAGACATAAATAATGGAGTATTTGAAACTGTTATTGATTGGTCTGGAGAGAAATTTGACCAATTCATTTTCCCAACTTCGTATTTCCCAAAGAGAGACAGTGGTATCAGTATGGAAAATCAAGCAATAAACGATATGTTCCAATTTATTCCATATTTACCTTCACAATTAAGTAAGTATTATTTCTATATTTATTAAAAATATTTCTAAATATATATTTATATATATGTTCTAATTCTATTCTTTAAATTTTCTATTTTTAGCACAATTCACAGTTGATGATATTACATCATTCAAATTCGAACCAAATGTTGTTGATGTTTCCAATGGAACAGGATCAACAACACTTATTTTCAACTTTGCAAACAGCAAAGTAACCGATCGACCATCAATATATTTCCCATCATACTCACATCTTCCAGGAATCATTGACACAAACAATGTATTCACTGGATATTATAATGCATCAACAAATATGTTTAATATTCCAATTACAATCAGACAACAACTATTTTCAAGATCACTAAATTACAATTTAACAGCAGCACCATCATATATATCAAGAGATTTAATCTCATTAAAATTTGGATCAGATGCTTTTATAAATGTTGTTTCAGATTGTAAGTTTGAAATAGTTAACAATTTAAATACAAATCTAATTAATCATTTTCTTTTAAAATAGATGCCGATGAAATGGGACCAAATGTTGAAGTTCTTAAACAATATCCTGGAAATACTGTCACTGTACAAGCAACTGATGACGTTACAATTGGTTGGGACTTTATACTCAATGATAAACCAAGTGGATTCAGTCATGGTGTTGCAATGATTTCCTCAAATCTCGATATTATTCCAATTAATATAACATTTAATTCTCTCAACAATACCGATGGTGATGAGTTTTATGGAAATTACTCAATTCGTTTACCGATAAATGGAAATTGTAGAAGTCAAGTATACCATATCGATTTGGTTCTTTACGACTATCTTGGAAATGAAGCTGCCTCTAATTATGGAAACTCAATCACACCAAGATTAAATCCATTCTTTAAGTTGTGGGGTGATTTAACCAAAGAAGCACTCACAAATATTACTGTGAATTGTGCGATCACTCCAGATATCATGGCACCAGCAGTCACTGCTTTCACACTCCTCACACCAACGATTGATGTCGGTTCAAACAACAGAATATTCCAAGCTACTTTTACAGTCACAGATGATCTCTCCGGTATCTCTACAAATCCAAAAGACTATCCAGTTGTTGTATTATCCTATCTCTATGGAGAGAATACAATTTTGACAAGCACTCTTTCTTCAACAAACGGATTGTCCTCAACATTCACAGTGAATTCCCAACTTCCATATGGATTTGCAATGAAAGGAAATTACTTGATTTCAATTTATGGTGTTGTTGATAAACACAAGAATCTCGGTGGAATTACATCTTCAGAGATGAAAACAGCAGGAATGACATACTTTGGAACAACAACATTCGGTGTGACCACACCAGTTTTAGAGACAGCAGACCGTCTCACAAATGTTGGAGGACCAATCTACATTCGTGGAAAGAAAATGGGATTCGATTCAGATACAGTCTCTTGTCAAATCAACTATGGAGCAGGATATCAGAGTATTCCAATGAATCTTCGTTATCCATCTATTTTCTTGATCAATGTTGCAGCTGTTACTGGTTCATCGATTAAAGTTCAATTGACTGTGAACGGTATTGTCTCGAATGAACTTGAAATCTTCAAGTTTGTTATTCCACCACCTGGACCACGTCCACCACCAAGACCAACTCTAACTCCTACTTCAACCTCCACAATCTCAACAACTGGAACAACTTCAACGACAGGAACATCAACATCTACAACATCACCTACCTCCACTACAGAAGAACCAACATCTACAAGTTCTACTACTTCAACGACAGGAACATCTACATCTACAACATCAACTTCAACTTCGACAACAACAAGTACAACATCAACACCAAGTCCATCACCAGATCCAAAATGTCCAGGTGTAACTCCATGTTCTGGAAATGGAATATGTATTGCAGGTGAATGTTTTTGTAATAATCCTTGGTATGGACCTGATTGTAATTCGAAGAATCATGTTATTCCACCTCCACCAATCAATCCTGATCAACCAACTATAAACAATACCATTCCATCAGGAAGTGATGCACTAGCATATATTGTCAGTATTATATCAGTTGAAGAACTTCATGAGATTTCTGCCAACCAAGAAGTGATTGCATCTTTCAAACTTGCCAACTGGACAATGACCAATTTAACAACGGAAACACAATTCCTCTATCGATATGATGTTTCAGTTAAAGAGTCAACCAATATCACAGTTGATGTAGAATACTTCCAGAATGAAACAACAATTGTGTTTGGAAATGAGAACCTCACAATGTTACCTTCAACAATCAAATATTCAATCTCGATGACACCTTATCAATTCCAAGATAAACTTACAACACTTCAACTTATCATGTCAGCCACTATCGAAACAAAAGCAGATGATACATGCTCAGCGAAAACAATTGGTGGTGCTGCCAATGATCTCCAATGGGTCAAATTGAATATCGACAAGCAATCACTTTATGGACGATTCCTTAGATTTGCGGTGATTGATAATATTGTTCAACCAATCTCCAATGTCTTGCTGGACTCTGAAATGAGTCCAATCGATACAGAATCAAGTGTTCAGACATTTATTGGTATCAATATCCCACAATATGAAAATGGAATTAAACTCGATCCCGATTTTTCAGTTCTCATTGATAATGATTCACCTACAGATTCGAAATGTAAGAGTAATAATAAACTTAGTGCTGGTGCAATCGCTGGAATCACTGTTGGTGCTGCTGTATTCTGTGCATTGGTAATTGGAGCTGCCTTTTTGATAAAATCAAAGTTAAGAGCAAGAAGATTCAATATCAAATTGAAAAAGAAACTAGATTCACATAAATAACTAAATAATAAATATTTAAGAAAGATCAACTATTTGATCCACAATGAATATACCAAAAAAATCAAAATATATTTTTTTATTGTTTTATTACCTATCTATATTTATCACTATCAATTACAATTATTTCTCTTTTGGTAATAAAAGAAGATCTCAAATTATCTAAAATTACTCAATAATACTGTTGACAGAATTCAATTTACCCTTCAGTTTTAAAGAGGTATTTTCGATTGGCAAAAAACAGTCAATTATAAAGTAAACTTTTTTGAAAAGATGATACCAGCCCATGAACTAAGACAAAATATCCTTTTCGACTTCAAAAATTTATAAACATAAATCTTTTTGTTTTGTTTCATTTTTATGTGACTTTCAAAATATTCTATTACACAAATATTAAGAAATTTGGATTTGGAATGAATTATAACGACCCTATTTTCAGTTCTAGATTTTTATTTATTTTTTTTACCAACTATCTTTTTTGACGTAGAATGAATCCACTTAACTGACAATCTTCTGAATCGTCTTTTGATTTTTTTTAATTATTTTTATTTTTTTTTAATTTTTTTTCGTGATTTTTACAATTTTTTCTTGAGTTTTTTTATGATCTGGTACCCAAGTAAATTAAATGTGGTCTTGTTTTACGAGCATTTCCAACGATATTTTTTCGTGATTATCTGTTTTCAATCGAGTTCCTAAGATTTGATCGTAACTATGGTTCCACAGTACATTTTTTTGATTTAATATAAATTCCAAAATTACCAGTTATCTGACTGGTATTGAAAGTCTTTTCGAACAAACAATCTCATCTTTTATCTTTATTTTATATATTTAAATAATATTATTTGATGTACAAACAAATAAATAAATAAATAAAAAATAAAGATAAATAAAAAATGAAAATATTTAAATTATTTTCTTTTTCTTTATTATTTATAATACTAATACTAATTGGTTTGTATTTAATAAATATAAAATTTTTTTTTTTTTTTATTAATTAATTTTTAATTTTATATATATTTATTTATTTTTGTAAAAAAGTAAAAATAAATAGTACTATTAATATTATGGCTAATACACCACCGTATTTCGTGACTGTTAGTGCCACCAGTTGTAATTATGTTTACCAAGTTATGGTAAATTCTAGCAATTGGAATTTCAATAATTTTATAGGTGGTTTTACACTCGGTTCATCATACACTTCCTTTTGGGGAGATAAAAACACAACTTTTGTAACGTATTCAATGTATGCCTCCAATGTATTCCCAACAATAAATTCCTTAAACTATACTGCTACTTATAAAGCTATGACTTCTCAAGAATCTATTCGAATCCCAAAGTGTGAATGTAAGATATATTTTTTACAAAAAATTGTTTTATTCAAGAATATTTATTTATTTTATTATTTTTTTTAAGTGTTTACAAATTTCATTTTAACAGCTTCACCTGTTTTCCAACAGGATAGTCGTTCAATGCGATTTGTCCAATATCTTAATGTTAGTAATCCGATGAACCAAATTAGACCCACCCTAGGTATGCAAGCGCCAGGATATTGGATTGATACAAAGGTTCAATTGACATCACCATATCAAACCAATTGGGTAATTATTACTTACAAAGCTACAAACTTACAGAATTTCAATGGAAAGAGTGGTACTTTCTACCCAACTAGTGTAAGTCAAAATACCAGTCCTATTCCACTCAATAATCCATACGATAGTAAGTTTGTTTTATCATTGGATACTATCATTTTCAATATAATTAAATCTTTATTTTATTTAGATGTTAGAACAACAGTATTAGGTTATAATTCAAAATCAATTTCCAAAACAAAGCTATTTGCTCAAAGTTTTGTTATGAATATTGCCAATTTGAATTCTGCACTGGGTTTCGGTAATATGGGGTATGATGTTATCTATTATCCAGTTCTTGGAAACAGGGCTAATGCTACCTACCATTTATTTGTAAATGCAACTGGAAGCTCTGGAGCTATACCTCTGAATCTCTTTGACCAAACATACACTACCAATCCAACGTTTTTTGGATTTGCAACTTCTTTCACACTTTTAAATGTAGGAAGCTTCCTATCTTCGATAGTACAAGACAACACCGTCAATTCTTTTATCCTTAATATTAATTTCGTTTTGGATACCATTGGTTTGTCACCGGTATCCACCACATACAGCATCCCAATCACCAACAATATGTATTACCCAGTTGGAATAAGATCGGTGACAAACAATGGAATCAATGGTGCTTCCTATAAATTCTCTTTCGATTCACTCTACCCGAATGTAACATATAGTGACAATGTTATTGTCACTTATTACGGCAAGTTAACCAATATACCACTTTCATTCACCTGGACACCAACTCGTAAGTTATAAACAATCAAAATCATTTTTTTTCTCATTTATTAATTTGAATTTTCTTGTTTTAGCTCCTGCTTATTCTTGTTGTAATTCAGTTATGATCCAAAATTTACAAATATTCCCAGTTTCATCATTCACTTTTATCGTTAGATTTGATATATTCAATAGACAATTTTTTGGAGTCCAGCAAATAAATCTTTACAATACCTTCATGTATGGATATCATTTGGTAAAAGGAAACATAAATAATGGAGTATTCGAATTAATTGTAGATTGGATAGGAATGGAATTTAACTCTTTTATTTATCCAGTTTCTTACTATCCAACTAGGGATGGTGCTGTTACTGTGGAAACTCAAGCAGTTAACGATATGTTCCAATTTCTTCCACAAATACCTTCGCAATTAAGTAAGTATTATTACTTTATTTATAACTATTATTGTTTTTTCTAATTCTAATCTTTAAATTATCTATTTTTAGCACAATTCACAGTTGATGATATTACATCATTCAAATTCGAACCAAATGTTGTTGATGTTTCCAATGGAACAGGATCAACAACACTTATTTTCAACTTTTCAAACAGCAAAGCAACCGATCGACCATCAATATATTTCCCATCATACTCACATCTTCCAGGAATCATTGACACAAACAATGTATTCACTGGATATTATAATGCATCAACAAATATGTTTAATATTCCAATTACAATCAGACAACAACTATTTTCAAGATCACTAAATTACAATTTAACATCAGCACCATCATATATATCAAGAGATTTTATCTCATTAAAATTTGGATCAGATGCTTTTATAAATGTTGTTTCAGATTGTAAGTTTATAATAGAAAAAGTTATTAAAGATACTATTTAATTAACCATAGTTTATACTTCAATAACAGATGCCGATGAAATGGGACCAAATGTTGAAGTTCTTAAACAATATCCTGGAAATACTGTCACTGTACAAGCAACTGATGACGTTACAATTGGTTGGGACTTTATACTCAATGATAAACCAAGTGGATTCAGTCATGGTGTTGCAATGATTTCTTCAAATATTGATATTATCCCCATAAATATAACATTTACTTCTCTTAACAATACCGATGGTGATGAATTTTATGGAAATTATTCTATTCGTTTACCGATAAATGGAAATTGTAGAAGTCAAGTATACCATATCGATTTGGTTCTTTATGACTATCTTGGAAATGAAGCTGCTTCTAATTATGGAAACTCAATCACACCAAGATTAAATCCATTCTTTAAGTTGTGGGGTGATTTAACCAAAGAAGCACTCACAAATATCACAGTGAACTGTGCGATCACTCCAGATATCATGGCACCAGCAGTCACTGCTTTCACACTCCTCACACCAACGATTGATGTCGGTTCAAACAACAGAATATTCCAAGCTACTTTTACAGTCACAGATGATCTCTCCGGTATCTCTACAAATCCAAAAGACTATCCAGTTGTTGTATTATCCTATCTCTATGGAGAGAATACAATTTTGACAAGCACTCTTTCTTCAACAAACGGATTGTCCTCAATATTCACAGTGAATTCCCAACTTCCATATGGATTTGCAATGAAAGGAAATTACTTGATTTCAATTTATGGTGTTGTTGATAAACACAAGAATCTCGGTGGAATTACATCTTCAGAGATGAAAACAGCAGGAATGACATACTTTGGAACAACAACATTCGGTGTGACCACACCAGTTTTAGAGACAGCAGACCGTCTCACAAATGTTGGTGGACCAATCTACATTCGTGGAAAGAAAATGGGATTCGATTCAGATACAGTCTCTTGTCAAATCAACTATGGAGCAGGATATCAGAGTATTCCAATCAATCTTCGTTATCCATCTATTTTCTTGATCAATGTTGCAGCTGTTACTGGTTCATCGATTAAAGTTCAATTGACAGTGAATGGTATTGTCTCGAATGAACTTGAAATCTTCAAGTTTGTTATTCCACCACCTGGACCACGTCCACCACCAAGACCAACTCTCTCACCAATATCTACCTCCACAACAGATTCAATTTCGACAATGACACCAATTACAACAACTTCAACTACAGATTCAACTACCTCCACTACAGGAACATCAACATCTACAACTTCAACTACCGATTCAACTACCTCTACAACAGGTACGTCAACATCTACAACCTCCACTACCTCTACTACAGAAGAACATACATCTACAAGTTCAACTACAGATCCAACTACTTCAACCACAGTAACATCTACTTCTACAACCTCCACTACAGAAGAACCTACATCTACAAGTTCAACTACAGATTCAACTACCTCTACTACAGGAACATCAACATCTACAACATCAACTACCTCCACTACGGAAGATTCAACATCTACAAGTTCAACTACTTCAACGACAGGAGCATCTACATCTACAACATCAACTTCAACTTCGACAACAACAAGTACAACATCAACACCAAGTCCATCACCAGATCCAAAATGTCCAGGTGTAACTCCATGTTCTGGAAATGGAATATGTATTGCAGGTGAATGTTTTTGTAATAATCCTTGGTATGGACCTGATTGTAATTCGAAGAATCATGTTATTCCACCTCCACCAATCAATCCTGATCAACCAACTATAAACAATACCATTCCATCAGGAAGTGATGCACTAGCATATATTGTCAGTATTATATCAGTTGAAGAACTTCATGAGATTTCTGCCAACCAAGAAGTGATTGCATCTTTCAAACTTGCCAACTGGACAATGACCAATTTAACAACGGAAACACAATTCCTCTATCGATATGATGTTTCAGTTAAAGAGTCAACCAATATCACAGTTGATGTAGAATACTTCCAGAATGAAACAACAATTGTGTTTGGAAATGAGAACCTCACAATGTTACCTTCAACAATCAAATATTCAATCTCGATGACACCTTATCAATTCCAAGATAAACTTACAACACTTCAACTTATCATGTCAGCCACTATCGAAACAAAAGCAGATGGTACATGCTCAGCGAAAACAATTGGTGGTGCTCCCAATGATCTCCAATGGGTCAAATTGAATATCGACAAGCAATCACTTTATGGACGATTCCTTAGATTTGCGGTGATTGATAATAATGTTCAACCAATCTCCAATGTCTTGCTGGACTCTGAAATGAATCCAATCGATACAGAATCAAGTGTTCAGACATTTATTGGTATCAATATCCCACAATATGAAAATGGAATTAAACTCGATCCCGATTTTTCAGTTCTCATTGATAATGATTCACCTACAGATTCGAAATGTAAGAGTAAGAACAATAAGCTTAGTGCTGGTGCAATCGCTGGAATCACTGTTGGTGCTGCTGTATTCTGTGCCGCTGTTATTGGAGGTGCAATCTTGATAAAATCAAAGTTAAGAGCAAGAAGATTCAATATCAAATTGAAAAAGAAACTAAATTCACATAAATAACTAAATAATAAAAGATAGTTCGATCTATTTGATACTACATCATTCAAAACATCAAAAATATCTAATTTTTATTGATTTATTAATGTAGATGAAAATGGTAAGGAAGATTGTTCTATTCAATCAAGAGATAAAGATGAAAGATTGATTCTAAGTCTGTCAACAGCTCCAACGCAATGAATGATTAAGTTTGGTCCATTTGCTGCATTAGGTGCCAGGTTGAGCGGTATAGCAATGCACAATACGTTTGGATAATTCTCATCGAGACCTTTGTAGTTGATTGTACTTACTGCAACAAGATTTTGGAAATAAACTTGTGGCCATTGGAGTTGTTGGAGTTTAAGACGCTTTTTCTCGAGAGCATTCTGGAGATCTTCTTTTCATCTGGTAGGAGACCCTCTGGGTTGGCCAATCGTTTCTCTCTCTTTGGAATGTCCGACTGTAGTTGATTGATCTCGTTGGAGACGTTGCTTTGTTGGACAGCTACTTGGCTGGCAAGATAGGCAAGATAGCATTGCAGTAGAGATACACATTACCGCCTTTACTATCAAATAAGATACCAGACTGTACACCGAATGTAATTCAGCGACACATCTTTCTTTGTTGACATTCCAGTTCATTGTTTTCTCCAATGAGATAAGGGCGTACTTGTACCATAAAGTCTGGTGGTATTTTATATGGTCTATTATCTTTTGTGTCATCGGAAAGACTTGCATATCTATCTGCAGATATGAAACCACAATCTGCTATGCTTGAAGTGGATAAAAACTATTAACAATCTCGCGCTCTCTTTACTTTCAATGTTTTGTTACTAATACTTACTGTGAAACTTTGATCCCATTCACTTTGTATTTAAATATAGTTTTCGATCCAATTACTGAGCCATTAACATTGCTATTTTTGTTCTAGTTGCGCAACTGGCTTGCTAACTCTACACATTGATTGTCAGGTCGTCCAGCCATGTATCTGATCCACAAAACAGTACTTCCTTCAGTTTCTATACAAAGTTGGTTATTGAACTGCTCAATCTCGCCGAGTGGGTCAAAGAGCTTGCTAAGAATTAGAGGTGCAATGTTCAGAGGTGTTTCAACTGGAATCTTAATCTTTTGTACTAGAGGGTCGTAGTCGAATATTGGTACTTGGTGGTTGAGATTTACTAATTTACTATATGAATTAAATCAAACTTCCAAAGAAGTCGTAAATATTCAAAGATATGATGTTCTACTTCTTCTTCTATTTGATTATTATTATTATTACTATTATTTGTATTCATAGTGTAAATTGAAGGAGATGTCTAACAAATGTAAGGTAGATAAGCATCTCTGCTGATGTTATATTAAATATATATTTAATATTAACAAAACAAAGACTAGTTCCTGCATCTTTCTTCTCACTATCTTATTTTAAAATAATAAATTTAAAAATATTTGAATATTCTTTTGATTGGTATCTATTCAAAATAAAAAAAAAAATTTTTTTAAAGTTTTTTATGTTTACAAAACTAACTTCTTCAAATTATCTCCATCCATCTTTTAAACTTTGCATTCCTGACTTTAATTTTTACAATAGATCAGTTATTGGTTTTTAAAAACAATCTAAAGAATAAAATATAATTTATTAAAGTTATATTATTTTATTTTTATTTTATAACTGCTAATCACAAAAAAAAAAATGTTTTTTTTTTGTTTTCTTTTTTTTTTTTTTTTTTTTTTATCAATTCAAAAAAGTTCAATTTGATTTAAAGATCTCGGTACATTGATCGTTTATAATAAATAATCAATAGAAATAAATCGAAAAAACAAGTAATTGAATCATAGTAAATGACTCTTGAACTGGTACTATTTTTCAATGGGAATAAAATGGAAAGATTGTTTTCAACATTCGCCATATTTAACCATTTTACATTCTGCCGATTAAAAAAAGTTGTTCAATCTCTGATTTATGCAAAAATTTAATTCGTAAAAAATGCTGAAATCGGTAATTTGAAAAAATTTTGTTTAAAATTTGCATTCATCTTAAGATCAATCCATCTTAACTTTTTGAATGACCCCCAGAAATTTCGAAAAAACTTTTTGTTCATGAAACAGTTAAATGAAAACCAAAAAAATCAAAAGATTTTTTTGATTTTTTGTAAAATCGGGACTCACGATCAATATCTATTTTTTTTATTTTTTTTTATTTTTTTTTTTTCAAATGTAATCGTTGTTTCGATCTCTTCAGAAATGATAAAGTGGATTAAAACTGATCTTTTAAGAACATTTTTTTTTTTCTTCAAATCCAAAACAAAATGTATAACAATAAAATATGGATTTTATTATTTTTATTATTTCTTTTTAAAAATGGTAAAATAAATTATTATTTGAATCTTTTATTATGAAATATTCATATACTAATGAATTAATATATTTTAAAATAAAAAAATAAAAAGTAAATTCACAAATTACAAGATATATGTACCCTTATCCAACAGCAATTGAACTTAATGGTTGTACTGCAAAATTACTGGGTGGTTATAAAGTAAACTCCTCTGCTTCAGAGAGTATTTTTATCAATCCAACAAACACTTCTTTTACCTATACAAAAGGAGCTGCTTCCGTGAATACTATAACAGACTATGTATTGTTCGACATAGGAATTTTGAAACTTTATGAAGGTTTGAACAATCTCACTCTAACTGTTACTGGAAGATATTATGGAAGTTCTACTGATTACTACGGAACTTTGTTATGTAAAAGTAAGGAGATATATAGTTTTTTTTATTTATTTGTTTTAAAAATAAATATTAATATGTTTTATATTTATTTCTATTAATAGTACCACAAGGACCATTTACGATTTCAAGGCAATCAGAGCTCTATTATGACGGATTTGTTTTCTATCAATATTTATATTTAGACAACCCGTTATATATGTCAAAGACTGATGTGAATGCCAATTCTTTTTATTCTCTTACCACAACAGCACCAAATTACTGGATTAATTCCACACCGATGACTCTGAGGCCAACCAATTGGGTGAAATATACTTTTTCTAGTACCTCTTTTTTAAGTATCGCCACTGTTGGAGCCACTCTCACAGGATCTGTTTTCAATACTTTTAAGACATTGATTGATATTAAAAGTCCTTATCTTGGAGATTGTAAGTTTTTTTATTATTTTTTAATTTTTTATTTATTAATAATTTCTTTCTTTTTTTTTTTTATATATAGATGTTAGAACCACACAGGTTAAAGATTATTATTATTATCCTGTTCCATACAGTAGACCAGTTGATACATTAAGTTGGAGTGTTATTTTAAATATTGCCAATTTGAATTCAGTGGTTGGAACTGGAACATTTAACCAATCAAACTCTGTTTTAATTCCACTTTGGGGAAATCAAACTACTGGATTCTATAATGCATTTTCAAGATCATCGATTGTAAATGTCACCAATATCAATCCTTTTAATTTATATATCGCTGATAGTTCAGTAGATCTATTGGCAACTTTGTACGAGCGTACCAAACTTTTAATAGCAAACACCCCTGTTGGATCAGCCACTCAAGATGCAATTTCAAACAATTTTATTGTTAGTTCAAGTGTCTATATCGATGCGTTGGTCGATAGAATATTTTATGCCTTCCAAAACCCTAGCCCAATGAAAATCAGAATGGATTATCCTTTTGGAATTGTCTACAATGCAACTAAATATCAAGTGAAATTCGATTATCTTTATTCAAGTTTTAGAGGTCAATTTACTATGGCATCTTTGAATCAATATTTCAGTTACCAAGGTTACTATTACTATTTCCAAACTTTCTTCCCACTGTGGAGTCCAACAAGTAAGTAACAAACAATGTTTGTAGAATTATTTAATTTGAATCTAATATTAATCAAAATAATTTTTAGTGCCTGTTGTACCAACTGCTACCTATGGTCAATATGTCGTAAGTGGAATTTCTTTCAAGAAGATTTCTAGTTTTACATTTGTTGTAAGAATTAATACTGCCAGTCCACATGGTTTCAGAATATTAAATATTTATGAACAAAACATCAGAGATTACGATTTAATTTCTGGAGATCTTACAAATGGACAATTGGAAATTGTTATAGACTTTTTGCCAACACAATTGGCTACTTTTTATAAAACATATTCTTACATCCACTTTTATGATTTCCAAGGAATCTTTGATTATGATTCCGATACTTTTAGTATCAGTCCATTCTCTAACCCAGTGGATTTTATTGTACCTACTGTTCCACCAGGTTTAAGTAAGTATTATTATTTTTTTTTTCTTTAATCTTTAAATTTTTATTTATTTATTTATTTTTTATTTAATTTATTTATTTTTTAGCTCCTTTGGAAGTTGATGATATCACCTATTGGAAATTCGAACCAAATAATATAGATGTTTCAGATGGACCAGTAAGAACCACTTTGATTTTCAATTTCACCAATGGAACACCAGATGATATTCCTAGTATTTATGTACCACCAAGATCTCAAAGTCCAGATTCAATCAATCCAAACTATATTTACAGAGGATATTTCAATGAAACTACCAAACTCTTTAATATTCCAATTTATATTAAAGAAAAGACATTCACTGGTACTTTGAAATATAATTTAACTGGATACCCAGCTCAGATTCCATATGAAATTATTAAAATTAATTTTGGATATGATGCTGATTTGAATGTAACATCAAGAGGTAATGTTTATTTAAGAATAATATTTATAATTTTTTATTAATATTTAAATATGTTATTTTATAGTTGGTGATGAAATGGGACCTATTGTAACAAAAATTGTTAAAGCCTCAGGATCTACTGTTCGTATACAGCCAAATACCAATGGTACAATCTCTTGGAATATTACCATCAATGATTCAAGTGGTTTCAAGTATGGTGTTGCTATGATCGTATCAGACTATGACATTGGACCTACCAATATTACTTTTAGTGGTTCTGATGTGAAATCCGGAGATAAATACAATGGAGTCTATCAAATTTCAAAGGAGATCAACGGTAACTGCAGATCCCAGACATATACACTACACTTGGAGTTGTTTGATTATCTCGATAACATGGCGAGTTCCAAGTATTATTTCTACTCGAGTGCCATCACCCCAGTATATTTCATGTTCAATACATCGGATGCTATGTACATGACAACTATTAATGTTGTTTGCTATGTCCCAGTAGATGATACTCCACCAACTCTATCCAACTTTACATTGTTAACACCATCAGTGGATGTCGGTCAAATCAATAGAGAGATCAGTGCAATTTTCACTATTTCCGATATGGAGTCAGGTATTGCTTTGGAACCAAAGAACAATCCATACCTTTATGCCACTTCTCATTTCGGATTGCACCATAAGATGGCTTCAACATTGGTATCAAGCGACGGTCAAAATGCAACTTACCAAGTGAACGGTCAACTACCATATGGTTTCGGAATGAAAGGAATTATTCTCTCCATCTATGGTGCATTCAATAACCATCTCTCTATAAATGGTTTCCCAACAAGTTATTTGAAAACCAATGGATTCTCCTACTATGTATCAACCACTTTCAATATTAAAACTCCAATTTTGGAATCAGCAAACAATGTTTCTATGGATGGAGGTTTGGCTTTTGTTCGAGGAAGAAAGATGGGATTAGATACAGATATTGTTACTCTTACAGTTTATTATGAAAATGAGACTTTAGTTGTTGCACCAACAGCTCATTCCTCTACTATTTTCACTGTTCAAATCAGAGCTGGAAATGATAGTGTCACAGTCAAGTTGAATGTCAATGGTATCGATTCAAATCTACTTACCATTAATAGATTTGTCATTCCAGTAGCAATTCCAGTTCCACCAATTCCTCCAACTCCAACTCCAACCGACCCAACACCATCTCCAACCAATCCGACATCTTCACCAAGCAACACACCCAACCCAGTTGTTTGCCCAGGAAAGACACCATGCTCAGATCATGGTAAATGTATTGATGGTGAATGTGTTTGTAGTAACCCTTGGAATGGTCCTGATTGTTCCTCCAGAAATCATATTCTTCCTCCCCCACCAATTCAACCATCTCAGCCAACAATCAACAACACCATTCCTTCAGGAAATGATGATTTCAACAAGCTTATCAGTACAATCTCTATCGTTTCTCTGAGAGAATTATCATCTACAGGAGATGTCCTTGTAACTCATACATTATCAAATTGGACAATGTATAACTTGACAACCGAAAAGAATTTCATTTTCAGATATGAATTGGTATTAGAAGAATCAAATGTTACAGTTGACATTGAATATTTCTTTAATGAAACAACAATAGTGTTTGCCAATGAGAATATCACAATGTTACCGTCAACTATAAAATACTCAGTTTCGCTAACACCATATCGATTCAAAGATAATCTTTCTACACTCCAACTCGTGATGTCAGCCGCATTAAGTTCAAACGATGACGATACATGTTCAAAGGTGTCTTATGGTGGTACCAAGGATAATCTCCAATGGATTAAATTGAATATCGACGAACAATCACTCTATGGAAGATTCTTGAGAGTTGCAGAGATCGATGATGCAGCGGTATCTATCACCAATTCACTGCTGGACGAAGAAATGAACCCGGTAAATACAGAATCGAGTGTTCAGACATTCATTGGTATCAACATCCCACACTTTACAAGAAATGTAAAGTTAGATCCAGATTTCTCTGCCTTGATTGACCAAGGAGATTTAACCAACGGTAAATGTAAACGTTCAAGTAAACTTAGTACTGCTGCAATTGCTGGAATAACAGTTGGTGCTGTTGTATTTGTTGCAGCCGCTGTTGGTACTACTATGTATTTTGTAAAGAAAGCGAAATTCAATGCAAATATCAAGAAAATGGAAAAGAGAATGAGTCAATTAAAGACAAATAGTGAATAAATTAATGTTAGAATAATAAATTAGTTTTTAATAATGTCTGTGTTTTGTATTTTTTAATTTGGGTCCGTACAGATAAGATTAATTGATTAAATGTTTGTATGTTTTAAATTTATTAAATTTTAATTTTAAGTTTATAATTTTAATCCAAAACGAAACTCCCAACCTTCAGCTTGCATTATATAAAAGAAATTAATGATATTAAGAGTTGTAAATATATATATGTTAAATATTGGTGAAACGTGTCTTCATTTTCCAATCTTAGTAACCTGTCTTGATTTAACATCAGTCAACATTACTGTTTATAAAGCAGATAGATCGAATGATAACAGCAGCAACAGTGAGATCTGATGCATGGTATTTTAGTTCTTTTAACAGACTCTTGAATGACATACATGACAGATCATGATAATATCAGACAAGGAAGTAGATTAAGCAAGTCGTACAAATCGAGGACAAGATCCACGAGCTCGTCGAAGACTTGATGCATTGCAGCGTAGCATCATCATTGATCATTGGCAAAGAGTGGAACTAGACATTCAGTGAACTTTGTTATTTTTATCAGTATAGAATGGCTCTGGTAAAACAATCCATTAAAATCAATAACATTGATTAGATTCATTCTGGTAAACCGACAAATACAATCTCAGTCATTCTACACAGAGACAAACGCATTGAGAACAAGCCAGCAGTACCAGTAGAAGGAATGGGTCAGTGCTCAAGGAGTTTGCGTGATCACATTAGACTCTTCAATTTAGGCTATTGTAATAATAATAGAAAGCATATCTTACGCCCACTCGGACGGTGATAACGTTATGAACCTAAAAATTTAATTTTTTTTTTGTTTTTTTTTATTATTTTTTACAAATTTTTTTTGAATTCATGATCAAGCAAGATTTTTTGAAAAGATTCAATATTATATTCGAAGTGGTGAAGTTAAACACAGTTAATAATGACAATGAAATGTCTAAATCATCAGAAATCACACAAATTCATTTGTTATCAATGTAATTGTTTGATGTGTTCAAAATGTGTAACCAGTCATTACAAAGATCATCCTGATCATTCAGAATGGGAACATATCGATGACATCAAACATTCATTAAGTACATTGAATTTAGATGATATTATTGACACTGAGAAAACAACCAATAATCATATTAATAATGATAGTACAAATAATAATAGTAATAATTTCAAATCAAAAATCAACAATAAACTTAAATCTATATGGGAATCATTAAGATCATCGACATCCAGATATCAAAGATTATCAACAACAGAGAATGATATCAAACAACACTTTGAACAATTACATCAATATCTAATCATTGAAGAACATAAACTACAAAGAGATATTATCAATGATAAACATACAATCACAAATCAAATCGATAATAATATCAAGAATTTAAAATATTTAATAAATATTATCAATATATTTAATAAATTAAATAATAATAATAATGATAATATTAGTGATAATAATAGTAATATTAAAGATACATCAATAATATCAGATACAACAACATTATATTCAACAACAACAATGGAATCAATAACAACAAGTTCATCATTACAATCATTCATCAATCATAATAATCAAACATTATTCAATGAACATCATAATTATTTCAATATTGATGAACTTCTCAAACAAGATTCCTCAGATTCATCATCATTACTATTAGATATCATTCATAAATACAACAATCAATTCAATGAATCAACAACAAACACAGACAATAATAACTTAAGATTATCATCATATAAATTATCAATCAAACAACCTGATTTCAATCAATTGAATTCAATCATTGAACAATCAATCAAACTTGATCGAATTAAATCAACTGAATCACCAATAAATACAACAACAACAACAAACAACAATGATAATAAACAATCTTATATTTTCATAACACACAATGGAAAAGGAGCAACACTGATCAACACATCAAACAACAATTCAATTGAAGAATTACAGTTTGATTATCAATTTTATTGTACATTCAACTCGATTATTTCAATTGGTGAATATATCTATATATTCGGTGGATCAAATAATGAAAAAAAATGGCTTAAAATATCAATGAAATCGAAATCAATTGAACATATTGGTGATATCGAAGGAATCAAAGGTGATTATTTGATATCAGTTTGTTATGATGGTCAAGATCATATCTATTTAGTGAATGGTCACAGTACAAAGAATAGAATTGATCGATTCAACATCAAGACAATGAAATTTGAATCATATCATCAATTACCTGTTGGATACGATAGACAAGTATCATCAATGATCTTCAAAGGTTCATTATATTCAATATCATGGAATCAAAAAAAGATGTTTCAATTCGATTTAACAAATAGAACGATAATAGATCATCAAATTGAGATTACACCATGGTCAGGATGTCATGATAACAATGGAAATTTCTTCATTTTAGATATAAAAAACAAACGATTCATCAAATACAATGTTGAAACCAAACAAACAATCAATCTCAATGATGTTCCTTTCGCAAATGGAAAGTATATATATGTGAAGTATCATCTCGAATCACCAACATCAAGTTATATCTATTCATTTGGTAATAAAAATGATGATAATTTCAGATATTCAATTGAATCCAATCAATGTGAACCATCCTTTAGAGATATTATTAATAAAGATAGAGCATGGTGTGCATCTACTTCAATTACATTATAAATTATCTAATAAAAAAAGATTTAGAACTAAAATAAGATATAATATATGTGAAAAATAGTTAGTTATTTTATTATATTATTTCATCAACTAGTTTTTAATCTACACTTTATCTTTTGTGTCTTTATCGATTTTAAAAATTATCTATTCATTAATTACTTGTTATCTCATTTTATTTATTTACAAATTTTTTTTGTTGACCAATACACCCTTTTTAAGCATCGATTATTCAATGGTCATTTATTTATTCATTCACTAATATATAGATTCTTTCTTTATTCTATATATAATTGATCTATGAATAGATATATTTAACTTTGTTAAGATAGATCAAGAGTGATCTCACAAAAAGATATTCAAGAAAGCATTCTTTGAAAAAAGAAGAAGATCTACCTTATTTGTCCAGAGATGGCATTTGCTGACAATTTCTCGATTAAATCATTGCTTAGAAACTCTGAAATGTAATGCTATTCCCACTCCACTATCACTTCTAAATCTCAAACAAAAAGCTTTGAACACTTTTGGATAGTATTATATTAGATTAATATTGGAGACAGAGTAAGTATTATTAACTAACAACTATCGTTATATAATAGTCCAACTAACATATTCTAACAAATAATTTAAATATACCTATATTTTTTTACGTTGTATTTAGATGTTTTAATTTAGTTCCAATACGTCATATTCCTAGTATTTGGATTTTTGGTGTGGCTGCCGGGCGAGGCGCCACGGCCACAGACAACTATTAACTTTTTGAAACTTCAATAAATTTTAATATAATTTTTTGGTGTGGCTGTGATACAAATTAAGATTCTATCATTAATTAAGGTTTAATAAGGTTAGGGTACTCTAAAATGATAACATTGTAATTATTGAAACAAATAACACTAAACTATACTGCAGTTGATGTGAAATAATAAATAATAAAATAATTGTTTTGGATGATCACAGGTGTGGATCACAAATTATTTTTTTTTTATTTTTTTTAAAAATTATCATTTTGATTTGGAACTTCATATTTAATAGTTATAATATCATTATTTGTATTTTATAGATGTTATTACTTGTTTTTTAAGTCAAAATATTAAATTTATTTGAAGAATATTCGAATGTAGTTCCATACTTGTAAGTTATAACCACAATATTTAACATAGAGATTTGATCATTACTAACGCAATTAATTGTAATAATAGATCATTGTAGAATACACAAAAGTGGTCATCTCTGAGGTGGTCTATTGGTTGTACATGTCATAGAATTTAAAGATAATGATAACATCTCTACTACATCCGGTGTGTGCTTGGCGAATGAATGTATTTGAATTCGTAGTAGCACTACTTGACTGCATACAATGTTTCAGATTGTTTAGCTGCCACTAAATAGCCTGATGCGTATACCATGAGCAGTCTGTTATGCATGATAGTTCCTGTACGTCAGCAATAGCAACAGAGTTATACATACGATCTAGCTATTGTCGATATCTCTCAAAGGAATGACAGGTACATGGTCGGATTAAGCAGTTAAACGGAATACCATCGGACAACACCTGATGCAGAAAAACTTCTTAGCATTGACATTGATTAGATTCATTCTGGTATACCGACATATACAATCTCGTTCTTTCAATGCAGTCACGTGACTCACAGGCAATCTACACAGAGTCAAACACGTAGAAAACAATCCAGCAGTACCAGTAGAAGGAATGGGTCAGTGCTCAACTCGTGAATTTAGGCTATTGTAGTAATAATAGAATCTCTTACATCCACTTGGACGGTGACAATTGAACCATATGCATTGTGTTTAATCGAGGTGATGAGTTTGATCTGCACTCCAACAGTTATTGACCTGTTCAATATGGTGTCCTTACTTATCTCGAGCAGAGTAACTAAAGTTAGTTGGGTGATCACCTCACATGTCAGTCACTCTTTTAATTTAAATAAACTTATCCACTATTATAATCTGTATTTTCATATTTATTTATTCGTCATACACTCATTTTATTAGTCACCGCTAACATTTGAATGAGGCACAATACGCGAGATTCCATAACACGTTACATATATCTATATACGTTACAAAGATATATATGTAACGTGTTATGAAAGTAAAAATTTAATTTTTTTGTTTTTTTTTTTACAAATTTTTTTTGATCAACCTAACTTATTTGGATCTTTGATCATTAATTAGTTTTTAAAAAGATTTATTATAATATTCGAAGTGGTGAAAGTTAAACACAGTTAATAATGACAATCAAATGTTTAAATCATCAAAGATCACACAAATTCATTTGTTATCAATGTAATTGTTTGATGTGTTCAAAATGTGTAACCAGTCATTACAAAGATCATCCTGATAATTCAGAATGGGAACATATTGACGACATCAAACATTCATTGAGTACTTTAAAATTAGATGATATTATTGACACTGAAAAAACAACCAATAATCATATTAATAATGATAGTACTAATAATAATAATAATAATAGTAATAATTTCAAATCACAAATCAACAATAAACTTAAATCTCTTTGGGAATCATTAAGATCATCGACATCCAGATATCAATCATTATCAAAAACAGAGAATGATATCAAACAACACTTTGAACAATTACATCAATATCTGATCATTGAAGAACATAAACTACAAAGAGATATTATCAATGATAAACATACAATCACAAATCAAATCGATAATAATATTATGAATTTGAAATATTTAATAAATATTATCAATATATTTAATAAGTTAAATAATGATAGTACCAGTGGTAATAATAATAGTAATAACGAAGATACATCAATTATACCAGATACAACAACATTATATTCAACAACAACAATAATGGAATCAATAACAACAAGTTCATCATTACAATCATTCATCAATCATAATAATCAAACATTATTCAATGAACATCTTGATTTATTTAATATTGATGAACTTCTCCAACAAGATTCCTCAGATTCATCATCATTATTATTAGATATCATTCATAAATACAACAATCAATTCAATGAATCAACAACAAACACAGACAATAATAACTTAAGATTATCATCATATAAATTATCAATCAAACAACCTGATTTCAATCAATTGAATTCAATCATTGAACAATCAATCAAACTTGATAACATTCAATCAACTGAATCACCAATAAATACAACAACAAACAACAATGATAATAAACAATCTTATATTTTCATAACACACACATCAAAAGGAGCAACACTGATCAACACATCAAACAACAATTCAATTGAAGAATTAAAGTTTGATTATCAATTTATAAATACATACAACTCGATTGTTTCAATTGGTGAATATATCTATATATTCGGTGGATTTTTCAATGAAAACAAATGGATTAAAATATCAATGAAATCGAAATCAATTGAACATATTGGTTATATCCAAGGAATAGAAGGTGATTGTTTAATATCAGTTTGTTATGATGGTCAAGATCATATCTATTTAGTGAATGGTCACAATATAAAGAATAGAATTGATCGATTCAACATCAAGACAATGAAATTTGAATCATATCATCAATTACCTGTTAGATATGGTGTGCAAATATCATCAATGATCTTCAAAGGTTCATTATATTCAGTATCGTTCGATCAAAATTTGATGTTTCAATTCGATTTAACAAATAGAACGATAACAGGTCATCGAATTGATATTACACCATACTCAGGATGTCATGATAACAATGGAAATTTCTTCATATTGGATAGAAAAAACCATAGATTCATCAAATACAATGTTGAAACCAAACAAACAATCAATCTCAATGATGTTCCTTTCGCAAATGGAAAGTATATACATGTGAAGTATCATCGAGAATCACCAACATCAAGTTATATCTATTCATTTGGTATAAATAATGACCATAATTTCAAATATACAATTGAAACCAATCAATGTGAACCATCCTTTAGAGATATTATTAATCACAATAGAGATTGGTGTGCATCTACTTCAATTACATTATAAATTATCTAATAAAAAAAGATTTAGAACTAAAATAAGATATGAACCGACTTTATTTGTTTAGAATATGCTTTCTTTTTGTGTGATCACTCTTGATCTATCTTAACAAAGTTAAATCTATCTATAGATAAATCAATTAATAAATGTTAGTATTGTTTGATTTATTGAAAATAAGTAATCAATAAATATATAAAATAAAGAATCAATATGAATAAATAAAAAAACCATTGAATAATCGATGCTCAAAAAGGGTGAATTGGTCAACAAAAAAAAATTTGTATATAAATAAAATGAGATAACAAGGAATTAATGAATAGATAATTTTTAAAAATCGATAAAGACACAAAAGATAAAGTGTAGATTAAACAATAAGTAAACTAGTTGATGAAATTTATCTGTCTAACAAGCGTTAATATATGATATTCTATTCTTTTGTTTATAAACCTATAGAAATAATAAAATATTTATTACTAAAATGATAACAATATAATTATTACTGAAACTAATAAACTAGTTAATGAAATAATGAATAATAAAAATAACTAACTGTTTTTGGTGATCAAATTATTATTTTTATTTTTTTTAAACGATCAAACAAGAAATTAATGATATAAAGTGTTGTAAATATGTATGTTCAATATTTGTGTAAAGTGTCGTCATTTTCCAATTTCTTACACATGTCATGATTTATTACCAGTCAACATTTCTGTTTATTAAGCAGATAGATCAATTGATAACAGCTGCAACAGTGAATAATCAAAGTGTACTTAATATAAAGAATATTATTTATACAGCACACAATGAAGTGATTTGGTATTGATCATGAAAGTTGACAGCATACAATGTTTCGGATTGATTGCTCTCCACTAGATAACCTGATGTGTATACCATGATCAGTATGTTAAGCATGATAGTTCCTGTACGTCAGTCATACAGAGTTATACAGCACACCAATGTACCACCACTCAGTAACAGTAGAGATCTACCGAGTTAGTGTATAGCTCCGATCGACCGGTAAGGTTAATATCAGCCGAGGAGGTAGATTAAGAAAATCTTACAAACCCAGACAAGATACACGAGCTCATCGAAGAAAAGACTTGATGCATTGCAGCGTCATCATTGATCATTTAGATGTGTTCAGATGATCTTTGTTTTATTTGTCAGTATATAATGGCTCTGGTAAAACAATCCATTACAATCAATAACATAGATATAGATTTAGATATCGAAGCAGTCAAACTGAATGGTATTGACCAGCACTTACACGAAAGAACATCATAGAACGAACAGAACTTCTTTGCATTGACATTGATTAGATTCATTCTGGTATACCGACAAATACAAACTCAGTCAATCTACACAGAGACAAACGCATTGAGAACAAGCCAGCAGTACCAGTAGAAAGAATGGGTCAGGTGCTCAAGGAGTTTGTTGCGGTACAACATCACATTAGACTCGTGAATTTAGGTTATTGTAGTAATAATAGAAAGCATCTCTTACATCCACTTGGCCGGTGATAACTGAACCATAGCCAGGTTAAAAATCGAGGAGATGGATATGCACTCCAACAATCCAGAGAGTTGTCTTGAAGGTACATTATTCAAGAGTAAATCGTTGTCTGCATATCTTCCATCGTTGTCTGTGTGGAAGATATGCCTCTTTACCTTCTCACAGCATCGAGTATTGATCAATATGGTGGCCTTACTTATCTCGAGCATAGTAACTATTAGTTGGGTGATCACCTAACATGTCAGATCACTCTTTTAATTGAAATAAACTTATACATTAATATTATAATCTGTACTTTTTCATATTTATTCGTCATATTCCCATTTTATTAGTCACCTCAAGGAACTTAAAAATTTATTTTTTTTTGTTTTTTTTTCCAATTTTTTTCCAATTTTGATCCAATTTTTTTGAATTCATGTTCAAGCAAGCGAACATAAGTCATAATAAAACACAAAAACCACAAGTAATTTGTTTTTTGAAAATTCATTTTTTTATAGCTAAGCTTTGGTGTAAAATTTCTCTAAGTAGTTAATAAACTTATTGCCTCATATTAATTTTTGAATGATATTTAATTATATTAATTAATTTTAATTTTTTTGTGGTTTTTGTGGTCACAAAAACCCCAAATTTCACAAAAAACGTAAAAAAATTTGAATTGTGACTTATGTCCGCCAACAAGCTAACATCTGTGATCATTAATTAGTTTTGAAAAGATTAATTATAATATTCGAAGTGGTGAAAGTTAAACACAGTTAATAATGACAAATAAATGTTTGAATCATCAGAAATCACACAAATTCATTTGTTATCAATGTATTTGTTTGATGTGTTCAAAATGTGTAACCATTCATTACAAAGATCATCCTGATCATTCATGGGAACATATTGACGACATCAAGGATTCATTAAGTACTTTGAATTTAGATCATATTATTGACACTGAAAAAACAACCAATAATCATATTAATAATGATAGTGATAATAATAGTAATAGTAATGATAGTACTAAAAATATTAATAGTAATAATTTCATTTCACAAATCAACTATAAAATTACATCTCTTTGGGAATCATTAAGATCATCGACATCCAGATATCAATCATTATCAACAACAGAGAATGAAATCAAACAACACTTTGAACAATTACATCAATATCTAATCATAGAAGAACATAAACTACAAAGAGATATTATCAATGATAAACATACAATCACAGATCAAATCGATAATAATATTAATCATTTGAAATATTTAATAAATATTATCAATATATTTAATAAATTAAATAATATTAATAATAGTGATGATAATAGTAGCAGTGGTAATAATAATAGTAATAACGAAGATACCTCAATTATTCCAGATACAACAACATTATATTCAACAACAACAATAATGGAATCAATAACAACAAGTTCATCAATACAATCATTCATCAATCATAATAATCAAACATTATTCAATGAACATCTTGATTTATTTAATATTGATGAACTTCTCAAACAAGATTCCTCAGATTCATCATCATTATTATTAGATATCATTCATAAATACAACAATCAATTCAATGAATCAACAACAAACACAGACAATAATAACTTAAGATTATCATCATATAAATTATCAATCAAACAACCTGATTTCAATCAATTGAATTCAATCATTAAACAATCAATCAAATTTGATAACATTGAATCAACTGAATCAATAAATACAACAACAACAACAATCAACAACAATGATAATAAACAATCTTATATTTTCATAACACACGATGAAAAAGGAGCAACACTGATCAACACATCAAACAACAATTCAATTGAAGAATTACAGTTTGATTATAAATTTAATGCTACATACTCCTCGATTGTTTCAATTGGTGAATATATCTATATATTCGGTGGATCAAGCAATCCAAACAAATGGATTAAAATATCAATGAAATCGAAATCAGCTGAACATATTGGTAATATCGAAGGAATCAAAGGTGATTGTTTAAAATCAGTTTGTTATGATGGTCAAGATCATATCTATTTAGTGAATGGTCACAGTACAAAGAATAGAATTGATCGATTCAACATCAAAACAATGAAATTTGAATCATATCATCAATTACCTGTTAGATATGGTGTGCAAATATCATCAATGATCTTCAAAGGTTCATTATATTCAATATCATGGAATCAAAATTTGATATTTCAATTCGATTTGACAAATAGAACGATAACAGATCATCCAATTGACTTTATTCCAAAATCAGGATGTCATGATAACAATGGAAATTTCTTCATATTTGATAGAACAAATAAACGATTCATCAAATACAATGTTGAAACCAAACAAACTATCAATCTCAATGCTGCTCTTCTCACCAATGGACAACAATCATTTGTAAAGTATCATCGAGAATCACCAACATCAAGTTATATCTATTCATATGGAGAATCTAATGATGATAATTTCAAATATTCAATTGAAACCAATCAATGTGAACCATTCTTTAGAGATATTATTAATCACAATAGACAATGGTGTGCATCTACTTCAATTGCATATTAATTAATTTAACTTATTAATACACAATAAAATAAATAATTTGAAAAGAATTAAATATATTTTAAAAGTTACTTTCATTTCTTACTTTAAATATTATATTAAATTTTGTTTCTTCTTTTGATTTCTTTATTAATTTATTAATTTTCCAATCAGAATTCTCTAGAAATTATTAAATTGATTTATCTATAGTTTTACTTTGAAGATTTTTATGATAGATCCATGAACAGAGCCCATAGCCCCGGAAAGGTGCTCTGTTCAAACTGTTATTTAATGTTATATTGGATGTATGTAGGGTGATAGATGACGATAGTTAAATTTAGAATAAATTTATAATAGTCCAACTAACAAGTATTCTATACTAATAAAGTCGGTTTATATTAATAGCTTTTTAGTTAGATAATAATAGATAGACCATATGTTAATCGAATAATTCGAATTCTCTCAGATGAACAACAACTGTAAATTCTACTTCGACATTTTAATATCATCACTCAACCCCCAAGATAACTCAAAAATCATAACAACAATTTATTCATAACAATCAATTAATAAATGTTAGCGAAATAATGAAAAATAAAAAAATGAAGTGATGATCATTTTGATTTTCATATTTAATAGTAGTTATAATATTAAAAGAAATTAATGAGTTGTATGTTCAATATTGGTGTAAAGTGTCATCATTTTCCAATATCTTACTACATGTCGTGATTTTTCAGCAATCCACCTTTCTGTTTATAAAGCAGATGCTCTAGATAATGTCAATGACAAAAAAGATAACAACGATACCAATAATAATAACAATAACAATAATGACAATAACAATGATGATGATAGAGCTATTGTGATGGTGATGGTGACCATTATTTAGATGACGATGATGAAGAAGAAAAATATGACAGTGATCAAAATGAAGAAGATGAAGATGAAGACGAATGACAAATTAATTAATTGAATAAAATTATTTATATTTGTTAACTAAAAACTCTCTGCCTTGTGTATGTTTTTTTTGTTTTTGAATGTTTATCCTATGGTCCTTGAAAATCACTCTATAGATAAAAGTGTGTAGTTCGCTCTTGATTATTGTCCGTACCAATAACCACATCAGGTCTCCAAGGTGAATAGCCTCTGGCCAGATCGAATGATAGCCGCATCAACAGTGAGATCTGATGCAAGGTATTTTAGTTCTTTTAACAGACTCTTGAACCAACAGATTTAGAGAAGTTTATTCTAATGTAGTTCCATACTTCTAAGTTATAACCACAATATTTAAAATCGAGAGAGATTTAATTATTGCTGTCCCAATTGTTTTCAGAGATGACATTCCCAGTACCTCGGTTTGTTCTTCTACCTCCTTGGCTGATATTAACCTGACCGGTCGATCGGAGCTATCGATAATAACTCGGTAGATCTCTACTGTTACTGAGTGTGATAAGCACTTAAACGAAAGAACATCATAGCTTAACTTGTTTAAGGATCAAAAAAGTTCATGAAATTATAAATAAATTTATTTTTTTTGCAAATTTTTTTTAAATCGAGACAAGCTAAGATTCTATGATCATTAATTAAGGTTTAATAAGGTTATAATATTTGAAGTAATAAAAGTTAAATACAAGTAAATATGACAAATAAATGTTTATATCATCAAATATCACACGAATTCATTTGTTATCAATGTAATTGTTTGATGTGTTCAAAATGTGTAACCAGTCATTACAAAGATCATCCTGGTCATGCAGATAAAGTTGATAAGATTGAATCAAAATCATCATCAATAAATACAACAACAACAAACAACAATGATAATAAACAATCTTATATTTTCATAACACACCAACTAAAAGGAGCAACACTGATCAACACATCAAACAACTATTCGGTTGAACATTTACAGTTAGATTATCAATTTATAAATACATACTCCGCTATTGTTTCAATTGGTGAATATATCTATATATTCGGTGGATTAACCAATGAAAACAAATGGATTAAAATATCAATGAAATCGAAATCAATTGAACATATTGGTGATATCGAAGGAATAGAAGGCGATTATTTTATATCAGTTTGTTATGATGGTCAAGATCATATCTATTTAGTTAATGGTGCCAATAATAAGAATAGAATTGATCGATTCAACATCAAAACAATGAAATTTGAATCATATCATCAATTAATTATTGGATATGGTTGGCAAGTATCTTCGATGATCTTCAAAGGTTTATTATATTCAATATCGTTCGATCAAAATAAGCTATTTCAATTCGATTTAACAAATAGAACGATAACAGATCATCAAATTGACATTACACCATACTCAGCATGTCATGATAACAATGGAAATTTCTTCATATTAGATAGAACAAACAAACGATTCATCAAATACAATGTTGAAACCAAACAAACAATCTATCTAAAAGCTATTCCTTTAACAAACGGAGAGTATTCATGTGTTAAGTATCATCGAGAATCACCAACATCAAGTTATATCTATTCATTTGGCTTTTCCAGTAATTGTAATTTCAAATATTCAATTGAAACCAATCAATGTGAACCATTCTTTAGAGATATTACTAATCACAATAGACAATGGTGTGCATCTACTTCAATTTCATTTTAATAAATTAATTCTATCCTTCATTTTACATAGTATTATATAAAAATTTAATTGAAGTATATAGAGTGTCATTTTCCAGTGATTTATCATACATATATGACAGAAAAAAGTTATTAGAATTACTGATTGTTGTTAATATATAGAATTAAAGACCATCTTAATATTAATTTTTAAATTTTTATCTATCTTGTGGATGAAACTTAAAGAGTTCTTTATTTTATGATCTCTTCCGTAGTTCGTAAGCTCAGCTTAGGAATAAGTATATTCCTAACAACAGTACTGTTTATTAACCAGATAGATCGAATGGTAGAGCAGCAGGAACAGTGAGATCAATGAACGGTCTTTTTGTTTTGTGTATGAGAGATTTGATCATTGCCAACCCAATTGTTAATAAATTTAATTTAATAATTACCTTCACTACTCTAGAGTAGTAGATGATGATAGTTAGAGTTATAATAATAATAAATAGTAAAATACAATTAAATAATTTAGAGTAATAAGATATAAAACTATACCAAATATGAATGATGTGTTTATTAGGTTGTCGATTGGTAAAGAAAACATCTCTAATAGATCAAGTGTCATGATAAATGCCAAAAGATGGGACTAGAAGGTAGACATTTGATCGATTTCTTGTTTGCAAAATTACTATTACTATTACTATTTATTGTTTTTTTATTATTTATAAGTGTTGTTGCTATGGTGGTGATGACGTTTTGAATATCTTTGGAGAAGAATAATTTATTCAATGATTTAGCTGTTGATGTTCATATGAGTGAATTTGAATCTATAGTACTATCTACACACTGTATATCGGTCTATATTAACTAACTAAAAAAAAGATTTAGAACTAAAATAAGATATGAACCGACTTTGTCTGTTTAGAATACTTGTTAGTTGGACTATTATATAACGATAGTTGTTAATTAATAATACTTACTCTGCCTTCAATATTAATCTAATATAATACTATACAAGAGGTGTTCAAAAGCTTCTTGTTTGAGATTTAGAAGTGATAGTGGAGTGGGAATAGCATTACATTTCAGAGTTTCTAAGCAATGATTTAATTGTGAAATTGTTGGCAAACGGTCATCTCTGGACAAAAAAAAAAGGTAGATCTAATATCTTCTTCTTATAATCAAAGAATACTTTCTTGAATACCTGTTTGTATGATCACGCTTGATCTATCTTAACAATCGTTAATTAATTAGTAAAAATATTTATAAATCAATTAATAAAATAAATAAAATGAGTGCAATCAATCGATTATAAGTATGATTGAACAAAGTAATTAATGGATAAACAAATAAGTGATTTAAACAATTTCAAAAAGTGTTCACTGAATGAATAGTAATTTGAAAAAGAATCGATAAAGACACAAAAAACAAAGTGTAGATTAAACAATAAAGTTATTAAACTAACCATTCAATTTATCTGTCTAACAAGAGTTTATATTTTATCAATTATTAAATATTCTTTTCTTTTATTTATAAACCTATAGAAATAATAAACTTTATATTTCTAAAATGATATCATTGTGATTATTATTGAAACAAATAACACTAAACTATACTGCAGTTGTGTGAAATAATAAATAATAAAATAATTTGGATGATCATAGCTGTGGATCACAAATTTTTTTTTTTTTAAATGATCATTTTGATTTGGAACTTCATATTTAATAGTTATAATATCATTATTTATATCTCGCCACTAAATAGCCTGATGCGTATACCATGAGCAGTCTGTTATGCATGATAGTTCCTGTAAGTCAGCAATAACAACATAATTATATATACGATCAAAGGAATGACAGGTACATTGGTCGGATTAAGCAGTTAAACGGAATACCATCGGACAACACCCTACAAATGCAGAAAAACTTCTTAGCATTGACATTGATTAGATTCATTCTGGTATACCGACATATACAATCTCGTTCTTTCAATGCAGTCACGCAATACATAGGCAATCTACACAGTGTCAAACACGTGGAAAACAATCCAGCAGTACCAGTAGAAGGAATGGGTCAGTGCTCAACTCGTGAATTTAGGTTATTGTAGTAATAATAGAATCTCTTAAGTCCACTTGGACGGTGACAATTGAACCATAAGCATGGTGTTTAATCGAGGTGATGAGTTGGATCTGCACTCCAACAGTTATCGACCTGTTCAATATGGTGTCCTTACTTATCTCAAGCATAGTAACTAAAGTTAGTTAGGTGATCACCTCACATGTCAGTCACTCTTTTAATTTAAACTTATCCACTATTATAATCTGTACTTTCATATTTATTTATTCGTCATACACTCATTTTATTAATCACCGCTAACATTTGAATGAGGTACAATACTCGAGGATCAATAACGTTATGAACTTAAAAATTTAATTTTTTTGTTTTTTTCAAATTTTTTGTGATTTAGACTTTCAAGAAAAAAATTTGCTTCTATGATCATTAATTAGTTTTTAACAAGATTAATTATAATATTCGAAGTGGTGAAAGTTAGACACAGTTAATAATGACAATGAAATGTTTGAATCATCAGAAATCACACGAATTCATTTGTTATCAATGTAATTGTTTGATGTGTTCAAAATGTATCTTCATTCATAGCAAAGATCATCCTGATCATTTCGATCAATGTGAACATATCGATGACATCAAACATTCATTGAGTACATTAAAATTAGATGATATTATTGACACCACAACAACAAATAATCATATTAATAATGAAAATAAAAATAATAATAATAATGAGTTTCGTTTCAAATCACAAATCAATAATAAACTTAAATATCTTTGGGAATCATTAAGATCATCGACATCCAGATATCAATCATTATCAACAACAGAGAATGATATCAAACAACACTTTGAACAATTACATCAATATCTGATCAGAGAAGAACATAAACTACAAAGAGATATTATCAATGATAAACATACAATCACAAATCAAATCGATAATAATCTAATGAATTTGAAATATTTAATAAATATTATAAAACTATTTAATAAATTAAATAATAATGAAAATAATAGTAACGAAGATACCTCAAATATTCCAGATACAACAACATTATATTCAACAACAACAATAATGGAATCAATAACAACAAGTTCATCATTACAATCATTCATCAATCATAATAATCAAACATTATTCAATGAATATAATAATTATTTCAATATTGATTCACTTCTCAAACAACATTCCTCAGATTCATCATCAATATTATTAGATATCATTCATAAATACAACAATCAATTCAATGAATCAACAACAACACAGATAATAATAACTTAAGATTATCATCATATAAATTAACAATCAAACAACCTGATTTCAATCAATTGAATTCAATCATTAAACAATCAATCAAATTTGATAACATTGAATCAACTGAATCAATAAATACAACAACAACAACAAACAACAATGATAATAAACAATCATATATATTCATAACACACGAATCAAAAGGAGCAACACTTATCAACACATCAAACAACAATTCAATTGAAGAATTAAAGTTTGATTATCCATTTAATGGTACATACAACTCGATTGTTTCAATTGGTAAATATATCTATATATTCGGTGGATATTTAAATCCAAACAAATGGATTAAAATATCAATGAAATCGAAATCAATTAAACATAAAGGTGATATCGAAGGAATAGATGGTGATTATAATATATCAGTTTGTTATGATGGTCAATATCATATCTATTTAGTTAATGGTGCCAAAAATAATAATAGAATTGATCGATTCAACATCAAGACAATGAAATTTGAATCATATCATCAATTACCTGTTGGATATGGTCATCAAGTATTATCAATGATCTTCAAAGGTTCATTATATTCAGTATCATACAATCAAAAAAAGATGTTTCAATTCGATTTGACAAATAGAACGATAACAGATCATCAAATTGACATTATACCATTCTCAGGATGTCATGATAACAATGGAAATTTCTTTATATTAGATTGGAATAACAAACGATTCATCAAATACAATGTTGAAACCAAACAAACAATCAATCTCAATGCTATTCCTCTCGCAAATGCACATTATCCATGGGTGAAGTATCATCGAGAATCACCAACATCAAGTTATATCTATTCATTTGGTGCATCTAATGATCGTAATTTCAAATATTCAATTGAAACCAATCAATGTGAACCTTTCTTTAGAGATATTATTAATTACAGTAGAACGTTGTGTGCATCTACATCGAATATATATTAATTAACATAATAGCTTATAAATACACAATTTAATAGAGAAATATATCCTTCTCTGTAGATATAGATAGTATAATAAAACACTTTTAAATTCTATATTTAATTATAAAATATTATTATCCTTCATTTTCTTTTTTTAAAATTTTCTAACAAGGTTCAGAGAAGTTTATTTGTATAGACACATATGAGGTAATAGATGATTAGTTACTAGAGTAAAAAAACTATTAGTTGGGTGATCACCGAACATATCAGATCACTCTTTTAATTGAAATAAACTTATACATTATTATCACAAGTGAAAATTTTTATATGGGAATCGCATAAATTTTTTTTAATATGGACACCCAATTTTTTTATTTTCTTTATTTTTATTTTAATTAACAATTATTTGTTTCAAAAAATAAATATACCTATATTGTTTTACGTTGTATTTAGATGTTTTAACTAATAATATTGTCAAGTAAAACAGAGGAAAAAAAGAGTAAAGCTTGATCAAAAAAGTTTAGCCATTAAAACAAAAAGGATTGGTTTTGGTTAACTAATTGTAAGTAGTAATATCACAGATCACAATATATAGAGTCTAAATAGGATGAATAGTCATTTATATGAAGTAAAAGTGATATTTAAATAGAGATTCAAATGGGTGGCGTGGATCGAACATGTACTTTAATAAAACACAGATATAAAGATAGAAATTGCGATAGTCATATATAAAGTGAATATAATCATAGTCATGGACTAAGAAAAGGTGGTATTTATGGAGATACGATGATAATACATATATATATAGGTCAAAGTGAATAAAGAGAAATGAGTGTAATAATGTCTGTGTTTTGTATTTTTTAATTTGGGTCTGTACAGATAAGATTAATAGATTAACTATTTGTATGTTTTAAATTTATTAAATTTTATTTTTTTATAATTTTAACCCAAAACGAAACTCCCAACCTTCCTCTTGCATTATATAAAAGAAATTAATGATATTAAGTTGTAAATATGTATGTTCAATATTGGTGAACGTGTCGTCATTTTCCAAATTCTTACTAACATGTCGTGATTTAACATCAGTCAACATTACTGTTTATAAAGCTTATAGATCGAATGATAACAGCAGCAACAGTGAGGTATTTTAGTTCTTTTAACAGACTCTTGAACCAGCAGAGAAGTTTATTGTAAAGTAGTTATATACTTGTAAGTTATAACCACAATATTTATCATTGAGTGAGATTTAAGTATTGCTGAACCAATTGTTATCATAGATGACATTCGTAGTAGATCTACTGACAGCACACAATGAAGTGATTGGTATTGATCATGAAAGTTGACAGCATTCAATGTTTCAGATTGATTGCTCTCCACTAGATAACCTGATGTGTATACCATGAGCAGTCTGTTATGCATGATAGTTCCTGTACGTCAACCATACAGAGTTATACAGCACACCAACGTACCACCACTCATTAACAGTAGAAATCTACCGAGTTATCGATAGCTCTGTAAGTAACGACATGATCAAGGAAGTAGATTAAGCAAGTCGTACAAACCGAGGACAAGATCCACGAGCTCGTCGAAGAAAGACTTGGTGCAGCGTAGCATCATCATTGATCATTGGCAAAGAGTGGAACTAGACGTTCAGCTGAACTTTGTTTTATTTATCAGTATAGAATGGCTCTGGTAAAACAATCCATTAAAATCAATAACATAGATTTAGTTTAGATATCTAAGCGGTCAAAAGGAATGCCATTGACAAGCACTTACACGAAAGAACATCATAGCATGAACATAAGAACTTCTTTGCATTGACATTGATTAGATTCATTCTGGTATACCGACAAATACAAACTCAGTCAATCTACAGAGACAAACGCATTGAGAACAAACCAGCAGTACCAGTAGAAGGAATGGGTCAGTGATCAAGGAGTTTGTCGCGGTACAACGTCACATTAGACTCGTGAATTTAGGTTATTGTAGTAATAATAGAAAGCATCTCTTACATCCACTTGGCCGGTGATAACTGAACCATAGCCAGGTTTTTAATCGAGGAGATGAGATGGATATGCACTCCAACAGTCCAGAGAGTTGTCTTGAAGGTACATTATTCAAGAGTAAATCGTTGTCTGTGTGGAAGATATGCCTCTTTGCCTTCTCACAGCATCGAGTATTGATCAATATGGTGGCCTTACTTATCTCGATCATAGTAACTATTAGTTGGGTGATCACCTAACATGTCAGATCACCTCTTTTAATTGAAATAAACTTATACATTATTATTATAATCTGTACTTTTTCATATTTATTTATTCGTCATACACTCATTTTATTAGTCACCGCTAGGAACTTAAAAATTTATTTTTTTTTTGTTTTTTTCAATTTTTTTACAAATTTTTTTGAATTCATGATTAAGCAAGCTAACATCTGTGATCATTAATTAGTTTTGAAATGATTAATTAAAGTATTCGAAGTGGTGAAAGTTAAACACAGTTAATAATGACAAATAAATGTTTGAATCATCAGAAATCACACGAATTCATTTGTTATCAATGTAATTGTTTGATGTGTTCAAAATGTGTAACCAGTCATTACAAAGATCATCCTGATCATTCATGGGAACATATTGACGACATCAAGGAATCATTAAGTACTTTGAATTTAGATCATATTATTGACACTGAAAAAACAACCAATAATCATATTAATAATGATAGTGATAATAATAATAATTTCATTTCACAAATCAAGAATAAACTTAAATCAATATGGGAATCATTAAGATCATCGACATCCAGATATCAAAGATTATCAACAACAGAGAATGATATCAAACAACACTTTGAACAATTACATCAATATCTAATCAGAGAAGAACATAAACTACAAAGAGATATTATCAATGATAAACATACAATCACAAATCAAATCGATAATAATATCATGAATTTGAAATATTTAATAAATATTATCAATATATTTAATAAGTTAAATAATGATAATAGTAGCAGTAGTAATAATAATAGTAATAACGAAGATACCTCAATTATACCAGATACAACAACATTATATTCAACAACAACAATAATGGAATCAATAACAACAAGTTCATCATTACAATCATTCATCAATCATAATAATCAAACATTATTCAATGAACATCTTGATTTATTCAATATTGATGAACTTCTCAAACAAGATTCCTCAGATTCAACATCATTATTATTAGATATCATTCATAAATACAACAATCAATTCAATGAATCAACAACAAACACAGACAATAATAACTTAAGATTATCATCATATAAATTATCAATCAAACAACCTGATTTCAATCAATTGAATTCAATCATTAAACAATCAATTAAATTTGATAACATTGAATCAGCTGAATCAATTAATACAACAACAACAACAACAAACAACAATGATAATAAACAATCTTATATTTTCATAACACACGAATCAAAAGGAGCAACACTGATCAACACATCAAACAACAATTCAATTGAAGAATTACAGTTTGATTATCAATTTTCTTCTACATCCAACTCGATTGTTTCAATTGGTGAATATATCTATATATTCGGTGGAGAATACAATGAAAACAAATGGATTATAATATCAGCCAAATCGAAATCAATTGAACATATTGGTGATATCGAAGGAATCAATGGTGATTATGATATATCAGTTTGTTATGATGGTCAAGATCATATCTATTTAGTTAATGGTCTAAATATATCGAATAGAATTGATCGATTCAACATCAAAACAATGAAATTTGAATCATATCATCAATTACCTGTTGGATATGGTATGCAAGTATCATCAATGATCTTCAAAGGTTCATTATATTCAATACCATGGAGTCTAAATTTGATATTTCAATTCGATTTAACAAATAGAACGATAACAGATCATCAAATTGACATTACACCAACATCAGCATGTCATGATAACAATGGAAATTTCTTCATATTAGATGTGACAAACAAACGATTCATCAAATACAATGTTGAAACCAAACAAACAATCAATCTCAATGCTATTCCTCTCGCAAATGCACAGTATCCATTTGTGAAGTATCATCGAGAATCACCAACATCAAGTTATATCTATTCATATGGTTCATCTAATGATGATAATTTCAAATATTCAATTGAATCCAATCAATGTGAACTATTCTTTAGAAATATTATTAGTCACAATAGAAATTGGTGTGCATCTACTTCAATTGCATATTAATTAATTTAGCTTATAAATACACAATAAAATAAATATAATTTGAAAAGAATTAAATACATTTTAAAAGTTACTTTCATTTCTTACTTTTAGTTTTAAATATTATATTAAATGAGAGAATTCGAATCTTTCGATTAACATGATAAATCAATTATTTCCAAGGTGGATTTTCCATGGTATTTATTCTGTTAGATTTCTTCGACATGTGCAGTTGCCCAATCTCAAAAATCTATTGTTGATTAACTAATTTGGTATTCATTGTAGATTAACTTGTTGATTATTTCTTTATGTTAATTTTGGTAGATTGATATTTGGTTGGTTCACTCAATGTTGATATTATTCGAAGAAATTTAATTATTGTTAACAGTTGGATTATTAACTTTAGTTATTTGAAATCGCGTCAGTATATATATAGTTTGTGATAATTGAATTCGTAATTATTATTGAAGTGTGAGTTGATTTAATTATTATAATTCTAAAATGTTAATTCCTCAAAGTTAGACATACATAGTTATACAGCACGCCAACGTACCACCACTCAGTAACAGTAGAGATCTACCGAGTTAGTACATAGCTCCGATCGACCGTCAGGTTAATATCATCCAAGGAGGTAGAAGAACAAACCGAGGACAAGATCCACGAGCTCATCGAAGAAAAGACTTGATGGAGGGTAGATTCATCATTGATCATTTAGATCTTGACGAAGACAAATAGATCGAAGCATGACGCTCTTACAGAATAGACCAATGACAAGGAGAGGAACTAGATGTTCAGCTGATCTGTTAAAAATCAAATAAACCCACACCTGACTAGACATAGGGTTTAGGGAACTTTTTCAATTTCAGTGTTTTTATAAATTTTAAAAACAATACTTATTTAGACTCAAAATTCCAAAAATTGTTTTTTTCTAATTCCACCTCTTCTAAACTCTTTGAAAAATTAATATATTGTCGAGAAATATATGCAAAGCTACAAAAAGGGGGATTAACGTGCAACCCTCGAGATGTGTTGTCGAGTTTCAGACTTTAAATGATACATCGACATGCTATAACCAAACCCAAGGAATTTATACCAAACAAAATCTATTTTCATCTTGTTATTAAACTCGACCAACTTAGTCTACTGGTGATTAAGTATCACTATGTTAAAGTCAATTTAGGAGAAAAAAAGATAACAAGAGTGCAAAAAAAAAAAAAAAATGAATTTTAAAACATTTTTATTCAAATGGTAAAAGATAAGTTGGAATTCCATAACAAATACAACTTGATCCAACCAAGAATTTCCAGGTACAAGATCTTCTTGATATTGAAAGTGCTTCGGATATATCGAGTGAATTTTCCTCATCCTCTTTTGCTTTGATATCTTCAAACCATTTCTCAATAAAACTTTGAACCATTCTATCAGAGTCCATTGAAGGGATATCCCAGAGATGACCAATGACAGTAGGACTACCAGCCAACAGAAGATCAAGAATGACACCAGTCGGTTCGTACTCACCATGCTCTTCCAAACTACCACTCTTACAACCAAATAGCAGTGAGACTGCGCATTTCTTTAACTTTTGGATGTCGTCACCCGGATAGTATTGTTCACCACTACCGTGACCCATATACAAATAAATGTGATGCTCCTCAAGCGCATCACGATACTCGTGTTTAGTTGGTGCTCTTCCTCTTATTCCTTTCCAGTTGGCACAGGTCTTATCAAACATTTTAGCAAAAGTTTTCTCTGTATTAACCAAATCACCTTTTGGATTCAAAATATAGAAAAGACTGTTTGGATCGACCTTGGAATAGTGTGTACCATTTCTATGTTGATTCTTCATAGTTAGAAATTGGTGGAAAGCAAAAGACGGTAGTCTGTAAACTGATGAATCTCTTAGTGGATCGATTGATTCAATTGGGAATAGTTGTAAATTCTTATCCATTATCAAAACCATTGGTAATTTATCATAAGATTTTACATTTTCAATTGATTCCTTAATTGTTTGTGTACCGGATCTAAATAAATTTATAAATAATAAAATTAGTAAATAATAATAATTTATTAATTTAAAAAAGTTACTTTCTTTTACTTACTTTTTGGTTTTAAATATAATATTGAATGATTTAATGATTGCTTCTTTTGATTTCTTTATCAGTTTCCAATCGGAATTCTCTTCGGCTGCACGTTCAAGATAATCTTCGGATTCAGGATGTAGATCATCGATTGTTTCGAATCCAAGAAGATCGATAATGGCCTGATGTAGATGTGCTTCATTAATGTATGCCAGCGACATGATTAGACACTCCAAGAGGCTAACATTTACAACTTTCGACTTAACATCAGTCTGTAATGTTGCCAAATGGGCAGTGAGTGAAGGAAGTTGATCTGCCAACTTCTCTGACAATAGCGAATCGTTCAGAGTACCCATGAATAATGATTTCCATGCTCCAAAAACTCCATCCAATGATAATCTCAACTGATCTACCTCTGACTCCAATTGTCTTCTACGCTTATACCATTTTTGTCTCATGGCATCTGTCTCTGGTAAACCAGGTTTAGGTGTATTATCTTGATTGTTTCTTAGATTTTCATTGGAAAGTGTTTTCATATCAGCTCTTAACTTGTCGATAAATGGTAATATTAATTTTGGATCGTCATCCTCTTCTTCCTCTTCCACATCTTCTTCCACATTCTCTTCATCCTCTTCCTCACCTTCTTCATCCTCTTCCTCCTCTTCTTCTTCTTCTTCATCTACTTGTTCATCTTCATCTACTTGTTCATCTTCATCTTGTTCTTCAACCACATTGGCAGAGAGTGAAGAATCGATTTGACAAACAGTTGGCATTCTTATTCTAATTAAAATTGGTTGTTTCTGACCCATTAACTTTGTCAGTATAATCGACATTTGATCAACATCAATAAAGATATTGCTCACAGACCACTCTGTAGGCAAATCGGTGTTGTAGAGCTTCGCCAACTCCAAACTATATTGCTTGTTGTCCAGTTTTGTTGGCAGTGGAATGCCACCATCCCAATTAAACCAACGCTTTCTCAACTCTACCAACTGTGGACCTATACGATCTTGTTGTTGCTGTTTGTTATTATTATTACCAGTACTATCTTCGACATGATGATGTACAATCGATTGTATATCATGTCTAAATCTAACACCCATCGATAGATTCAAAAAGTGGATAGCTACGTATGGTAGTAACTGTCCAGTGGTGCTGGCAATGTAACGACAGAGCAGCGATGTCAATTTAATGATATTATAACGACCACACTGAGAGAATGCCTTTAGAAAGAGTGTTCTCGCTTTCAATATCAGCTTGTTGGTACCGGATGTCAATGCTTTCGGAGTGAGATAGTGTTTCCAGAGATGATCACGCTCCTCTTTGGGCACAGACAAGTAATAGGCACGACCCAAATGAAACTCTAAAATCGATAGAGTTATCGGATTGACAGATCGTTGTTCTTCGACTCGTCCAACCAATTCCTCCAGCGATTCAATAGCTTCATCGTATTTCTCTTTGATAATCATTATCTTTGCCATCTTTGATTGTACTCTCGCTTTTATCGATAACAATGTTGATTCAACTTCAACAGTTGCTGTTGTAGTAGAAGTAGTTGTTGATGTAGTTGTTGATTTCTTTTTCTTCTTGCTATTATCGGCAACAAAATTGATTTTTGAATTTGGATCGATTTGTAATCTCTCAAGAAGATTTTGAATCTCATTTGTTATTTCATTGTTTGCCAACTTTGATTTATCACTAGATCTAACTTTGTTTAACTTTAACAATCGTTTTTCTTTTGGTGTAGAATCACTCCTATTTTAACAATAATATGTATATTATTAATATTCTGACTATATTGATAAGGAATCAATTCAATCTACTACTTACTTGAATGTTAATGTTTCTTTAAATCTTTCTAATAGCTTTTGGTTTGATAGGAAACTCTCGATAGACTTTAAACAGTTGCTATAGATCTTTCCAGAGTAGGAGGTAAGATTCTGTCGTCGGTAGAGATCACCGAGGAGCATGTTGGCCATGAGGTTTATCTTTTGAATTCTCGGTTCTTTCGATGCGTATGGCTCCATTAGGGCGATGGCTCGCTCCAAGTGGATCTTTGAATCGGTGTAGTTGTGACGGTTGTAACACAGCTCACCAAGCTCAACCAAAAACTCACAGGTGATCTTGATTGAACCGTAGATATTGCCAATGAGCAAACCTCGCTCGTAGTGATACTGTGCTTCTTTGGGACGACCTCTCAACTCGTAGATACTCGCAATATGCAGCAGCGAATCAATAGCAATTCTCAGGCATCCCCATTTAGATACTTTACCATGATATACTAAAGTGACACGATCTTCTAATTCAGAGTTTGAAGAGGATGTAGCGGAGAGTGGTGATGATGTTGTTGATGAAGTTGAAGATGACGATGACGAGGATGAGGCTGTTGACGATCTTGAAGAAGTACTAGCGGTGTCAGATTGAATGGATTGCCTACCACCCCCACTACTTGAAAGTATTGCAACCTTTGTTTCCAATGGAATCATTGATTGGACATTCTTTAATATCTCATTCGATAGTTTCAATGCCATGTTGGAATTGGCTTGTTCTAGGTAGACGAGTGATGCCAACTTTGTCAATCTGATAAACACTGGATTATCGATAGTCTTACTCGATTCTTTAACCGCTAGTTTCGATTGTTGATACAATTCAATGATTTGACGATGGGAGTCAGTCGATGACGTTGACGTTGATGACTCTTGAGAGTTGACAAATTGCAACTCCAACTGACAGATCTTGAATGACAATTCGAAACTATCGAGATTGAAAGGACATCCATTGCTCTTGGCATCGTCTAGCAACGACCGGTACAACTGCAGATTGTGTTGTGCCATCGAGTAGTTTTCAATCTCCACATAGAGCTGACAGAGCTTCGAATAGCAGTGTGAACTCTGATCCAAGAAATAGTAGGAATCCCTCGGGAATAGAGATATGAGGAATGCCAGTGCCAATTCCAACACCATTGCAGTCATCATCAGATCACCTTCGTACGAATAGATGTCACCGATGGCATGTAGTGTAGATATGGTAGTCGATGGATTAACAAACTGATTGGCTGAGCCAGGAAGTAGTCTTCCCCATTGTCTCAACGCACATTTCAATTGTTCACCAGCGACTGTATCGAATCCAGATTGTTGTTGTTGTCTCTGTTGTTGATCTTCCAACTTATTATCACTAGTATCTGAAATAGTTGAACCTTCTACACTCTCAACATAACGAACACCACTCTTGAGTATCTCTGGATCGTAGTTTTGATTTTGTTGTCGTTCAATCCAGACTATTGCCAACCAGAAATGTAATTTTGCCAATTCATCGCCGATAGTATCGTAACCAATAATATCTCCGTTGTTGTTGCTTGTTTTGTTTGACTTTGCTCTCTCAAGAAGATCCAATGATTTAAAAAGCAACTTCTCTACCTCCTCCAATGATTGACCGGGATGCAATCTCAGTAGCTTGGCATGTTCAACAAGATACCGACTTGCAAGAACAGGTTGTTCATCAACGTCTACACTCGCTAGAATTCTCTCGATATTCTCTATTCTAATAGCATTGTCAATGGTGTCCAATGAATTATACATATTGATAATTAAATCATTGCAATTCACTTGGAACAGTACTGGTAAATCTCTAATTAAATCCACAATGAAAGGAATATCACTAACAGTAAACACCGCTTCGTCATTATCATCATCATCATCGTTTTGTTGATGATGTTCCAACATCGCAAATTGGCATCTTATGAAATGTTTCAGAATTGAATGTATCGTTATGTTTGTTGATTGTTGTGAATCTTCTTGTTGTTGCTGCTGTTGTTGCTGTTGTTGTTGATATCTAGGTGGTACAGGCATAAACATTGACCTCAATTGATTGATATCTATTTCCAACTCCAAATTGCCGCTATTGTTACTATCTAGTAGAGTATTGAATTTCGATTCGAAATACCATTGAATAAGATCGGATGTATACTTTAATGAACGTTGATGTTGATTGTACTTAAAGAGTAGACGAACCAGTCGGTAACCTTGTTGTAACAACTTCTCTGGATTGCGAGGTGTGATCTTCTTGTTCACCAGGTAGCCCTTCTCCAGATACTCAATGGCATTCTCAGTGTCGGCGTCTTGTTTCGATATCTTGGCACTGACCAAATGCAACAAACGGACCAACTCCTCCACCTCAATAACACCTTGATCGGCCAACGCACTATAGTAATCCACCAATCGTATCATCGGCTCCTTCAACAACGCTATTAGCTTCTCAACAGAGAAATTAGATATCAATACTCTAACATGAAACTGTGCCATATCAATTAAATATTTCTAAACAAAACAATTGTAATAAATTTTAGTATTATGTATTTTGATAAATATAATATTATTATTTGTTATTTTTTACCTTTGTAATTATTGGATCGAATTGTTCTAGTGTTCTAAGCCATTGGATTTGAAGTATTGGAAGTTGATATATAACAGAGAGTTTGGTTGCAATCGATTCAAATAGATTATTATCTTTGAGCTGACAGAGTGATGCAACGATATGGTTGTAGCAATCAACACTCATTCTAAACGATCTGAGAGTATCCACTTTCGATTCTATAGTATTGATTTGATCGATTTGAAATGCTAATTTATCGCTATCTTTTGATTTTGTTGCTGTTGTTGTTGTTGTATTTACAATAGATTCCAATTCAACCAATATATTTATAATTGATTGTTCAACTTTTTTAAAAGAAAATAATAACAATATTAATAAATTAACTTCTTATTAACTAACTAATCAATTTATAATAAGTTTAGTCATACATACTTGATTTTAAATTTGAATTGATTGTTGTTGTTGAATGTTTCAACAATTGTGAAAAGTAAACTCTCAATTTACCAAGATGATTTGTAATTTGGAGTAGTAGAATATCGAGAGTGAATATCTTTGATTGTGGTTGTGACTTCATATGTTTGACTAAGTGATTAGACTTGTCAATAATCTCTATTGCATTGTTTTGATATGTTTCATTCTGTAAATATAACATTTAAAATGTAAAAATATTTTGTTAGATAACTTTGTTATTTTGGTTATTGAAAATAAAAATAAAAAATAGGATACTTTACATTATTTATACTATTTGTAATAAAGAAATTTGAATGAATATGCATCCATATTAAATTATAGATATCGAATGGTAATGCGCTGATTGATTCACTATTCTCTGTCGTTATTGATAATAAACATTCCATAACTGATGCTAATATATTTAATTGTGTAACTATATACAGTTTTAATGTTTATGTGTTAATTAATATTTGTTTTTCATTGTTGCTGTTGTTATTGGAAACTTACCAAGTTTATATGCTCTTCTATAAAATAGATAAAGTTTGTTATTTAAAAACATCGATTGTTTAGATTTACTTAATATCGTAAATGTAAAATAAATAAATTGTATATAGACATCTACATTTCCAGAAACTATTTTAAAATATAATAATTTATAAAAATATTAATAAATTTAGAAGTTGGTCACTACTCTGTATTGTCATATTATACATACTAATATTTGAATCAAATGATAATAATCTATTATAATATTTTGGAAATAGAGAATCATTGAAATTTGGTTTGTTTTCTGTTGTTGTTGTTATTGTTGTTACTAAAGTCGATGTTATTTCCAACCAATTTGATAATATTTCACTTATTTTCTGGAATAAAAATGGAAATGGAATGATTAGAAAAAAATAATGTATATATACATATATGAATGAATTCACTTACTTTGGTTGAAAAAGTCATTAATAATTCATCGTAGAGTTGCATTTTAATATAATTTAGATGTAGGAATAGTTTCTGATAGAATTGTGGATCTTTGGCGTTGGGATAGAGTTCGCGACACTCACTGAGAATCACTGCGAATTGATCGGCCAATTCGATTGCCAACTGACTCTGTTTGTACTCTGCTACTAGGGTGATCAACTGTAACCACTTTTTGAAATGCAGTGGATTGCCACGAGCCATCGCTGACTCTCTGCTGTTGACAGTCTCCAATACCATTCGATAACAACTGATCAGCGTCGACATACCCTCTTTCAACGGTAACTTCTCTTTCAGTGCAGATTCCAACCATTTCTGTACGGAATCAGAGAATACATTCAATGATTTATCATTTACATTTCTAATTTACATACAAAATAGATAGATGGCGTTAAAAAATCAATGAATGGTTATAAATAAAGTAAAATAGCTCTAATAGTTACTTTGTAATTATTAATTGCTTGAAACGATCTTGTATTTGTTGATCGGATGAAGCAGACCTTTGAACAATCGATCTTAGTCGTTGAACATCTTCGAATATCGCTTCGAAACTACCATCGGTTAGCTTATCCATTTATTATATAAACTATTATATTTTATAATAAATAATTTGGTAGAAATGAAACTGAACTTGATATTAATAATTGATATTGATATTGATAATTATTATTATTATTATATTATTTACACATTGATATCTTCTATTTGCAAAAGATTCAATTGATTGTTACTTTGTTTTGATGGTGGTTAATAAATAAAAATTTTAAAAAAAGGCGCCTTTTTTTTTTTTTTTTTGATTCCTCGTTTGACGATCATTTTTCTCAAAGATATTAATAGATAGGTTCAATCATTTATTTATTTGATTTGGTCATTTTATTTGATTATTTTTCTTTAGAATTTGCGCAACTTCAATCGATTCTTTTAATAAAGAAAAACAACAATCAAGAAGCTTCTTGTATAAATAGGAAAAAAGTAATCATGATGAGTTATGTTGAATGTTGGTTGTTTTTGTAATTCGATTTTAATTATCTTTAAGTTGGCATGACCAAAGTGATGCAACTATTGACTACTGCTGTTTATCTACTTTCGAAATAGTGTTTGTTGGTTTGATCAGCGATTGATTCATATGGTTTTTCTAAATTTTTTGAAAGTCTTCAAACAAACTAAAGAGGCTTTGGATTTCCAATTAATTAAAACATTAAATTCTCTTAATAATAATCACTTTAGATAAAAAAGAATAATATCAAAAGTAACAGCAAGTTTAGAGTAAGGTATTTAGCATTATTAAATTAAAACATAGTTTAGTTTAGCCAATGGTAGATAAGACTGTATGAAAGAGAAGACATACAGAATGACACTCTATTACGTTTCAAATTATTATTCTTTTTATTATCTGATTTTCATAAGTTTTATTTAGAACCTACAGTTGTTTTTAATCTCTTTAATCAAACAAATTCAAACCATCAATCTTCAATACAATGAATTAAAATTTAATGTTATTATAATCTTTTAAAAATAATAAATAATTAATTTTAAATGAATAAAACTATCTTGTATTTTATTGATCTGACCAATCAGAACTTTGAATAATCGATCGAGTTGTTGAACATCTTCGAAACTATCATCTATACTAACACGATTCTCAATAGATTTAGACATATAATGTCATAATAAAAAATAAAATAAAAATAAAAAAGATTGGTGAGCTAGTTGTCTTATGTTGAATGTTGAAAGTTGGTTGTTTGATTGTTTATTTCCAAACAAACTCAGCGTTTGCTTTGTGGAATAAAGAGTCACGTCCGTTGAGATGCATGACTCCGTCTTTGAAATTACATTTACGCTTGTTCTTTACTCTGGTAACCTTTTCATATTGACACAATACAAAGTGTTCAATCACAGGATCTGGATCATTGTCTTCGTCGTCATCCAAATCACTACCCAATGACTCGATATTACTATTATTATTATTATTATCTGGACGATGTTCTTCCAACTATATATATTAAATTAATTTAATTTGTTAGTTATTACTACTATTATTAATGTAAATAATAATAATAATTTTACTTACTAAAGAATCATCATCTAATTCATCATCGTTACCATCCAATTGAGGAATATTAATACTAAAACTACATTCTATATCTTGTTTTCTGTCTTTTATCTTTTGTAAAACTAAATTGTCTATATATTCTTTTGTGTGTTGTGGTGGTTCCTCTGAGGAACCGTCGTTCTGAGGGATGTTCATGATGGAACGCAGTGAATGAGAGGAACCAGGTGCTGGTAACTCCATATGTGGCAATCCACCAGACTCTCTTGTTGGTGGCATAAACTGTGATGGTCTTCCAAAGTTTGATGGTAGATTATTGTTGTTGTTTGCTGCTGCTGATGGTGGTGGTGCATTTGTTGTGGTGGTAGTTGTAGTGGTTGTTGTTATTGGTGCTCCTGGTATATTATTAAATTGTCTCAATGTATTTAATGTCGATCTAACATGTTCGGGCTATTCAAAACATAACATAACAAAACAAGTCAATATAATTAATGTCAAAAGCAAAACAACTTAAACGTAATATACACTTACTGTTATATCGGATGATGGTGTTGTATTGGTTGTTGTGGTTGAACTACTATTGTTGTTGTTTGGTGGTGAATTTGAAGTGGATGTCGATGTTGGTGATGAATCTTTATTGGCAGCGGTAGTGGCGGCAGTCGATATGTTTGCAACTGGTGTACCTGCAGTTGTTGTTGTGGAAGTAGTTGATGGTGGTGGTGTTGGTTCCTGTACAGCTCCAGATTGCATCAATCTTGATTCCCACATCTAATAAGAATAATAATAATAATATTGATATTTGTCAGTATTAGTATGTGAGTGTATGTTTTATAAAACTCAAATAGTAAGATATTACATGTTGTAATTCAGCAATAATTCTATCCTCAAGACCCTCATTGACAAACTCGATTCTGATATTTCTAATAACATCATCAATGATGTATCTATATACTGATGTGACACTCATATTGTTTTTGTTTACTTTTTTGAAATTAAAAATAAAATTATGGGTTGTTTATAATAATGTGATGTGATTAATGAAATGTAGTAGTGTAGCGTATGTTTAAATAAAAGTGGGTTGATTGTTTTGTTTTGTTTTGTTTTGTTTTTGGGGGTGTAATGTAATATATTTAGAAATGATTGATTTTTTTCTTTATATATATATTAACTTTAAAAGATAGATAAAGAAAGATATTATATTATTATTATAGTATTTTATTTATTTTTTTATTTGTTTTTGTAAATTTTGATTTTAATTTTAATTTATTTTTTTATTTAAAATTTAATAAAAAACTGAATGAACTGTGTGATGTTTGATTTTGATTTGATTTGATCTTGAATTCAAAAAGATGAAGAGTTATTAACTAAATCTAAAAAACCTTTCTTTAATAATAATAAAAACCACAAGATGATTGTAATTTATATTAAATATAGTTGTGGTTTATATTTATATGTTTATAAAAAAAGTTAAATAACAAAATGGTTATATTTTTTTAAATTTTCAAAATTTTGATTTTCAGAATGGGTTTTTTATATTTTTTTTTATTTTTTTTGAACTTCCAAATCACAAAATAAACAGATTTATATCTTTATTTGTTACTTTATTTAAAATTACATTTATTTTAATCATTAATTTCAAAAAGATAGTTTTAAATTCCAACTAGTGGTTACTGTTAAGAAACAAAAAGAAATAAATATTATTTTTTTAAAAATTAGATTGTGTTTAGTTAAAAAGTAATTGATAATAAATATTTATTATTTAATGAAATACATAAATTACATATTTTGTTAACAAAATACAACAAAATTTATAACTAACTTTGAAGTTAATGATTAAAATAATTGTAATTATAAATATTTATTATAAAATAAAGAAATAAAGTAATAAATCTGTTTAATTTATAATTATTATCAATTGTTTTTTAATGAAATAAATAAATTTTTATTCTTTTATTTTGAATCGATTTTTCATTATTTAAAATAATGATGGTAAGTTTGTTGTTGTTTAAAATTGATTGATTCGGGTTGTAAGTTTGATTGTTTGTTTGTTTGTTTTATGCATCTTCAAGTTTCAATTTTGGTACGATGTTCATTGCTTGTAGTTCTTGGAAGAGAAGTTTGCATGCATAGGGAATTTGGAGGGTCGATACTTGGAGTGTCGATTTACAGTATTGACACCAACCTTCGTAACCGAGGAATCCGCACTTCTTGCATGCGTACACTGTGAAACGATCGGAGCTGATCATGAGACGCTCCATAATCAATGCACTCGCTCCGTAACCAATGAGACAATCACGCTCCATCTCACCAAGACGCAAACCACCACCACGTGCTCTACCCTCGGTGGGTTGACGTGTCAGCGTCACAGTTGGACCACGTGCACGTGCATGCATCTTGTCCATAACCATGTGTTTGAGTTTCTGATAGAATATCGGACCGAAAAAGATGAAACATTGCAACGGTTCACCGGTGACACCCGAGGTAACGTAATCTTTACCACCGTAACTGAATCCCTTGGAGATGAGCACCTTGGAGATGTCTTCGACTTTGTCACCGCCAAAGCACGTACCATAGCCGAATCCACCACGGAGAACTCCGGCTTTACCGGCGAGCAGCTCAATCATCTTTCCGATGGTCATACGCGATGGGAAACCGTGAGGATTCATAATAATATCGGGACAGATACCGAGGTCGGTAAATGGCATGTCCTCTTGCTTGACGATGATACCGCAGACACCCTTCTGTCCGTGACGACTCGAGAATTTGTCACCGAGTTCCGGACGTCTAGTGGATCTCATTAGCAACTTGATTAACAGTTGATCGTCATCGCCCGTTGTCAACATAACCTTGTCGACGAATGCCGGATTCTCATATTTGTAGGCGGTGTACGACGACTTGTAACCGGAATCGGGAATCTTGTCAGAGTTGGCGACAATGTCGACGGTGTTGATTGGTGAGTATTTATTGATGAGGATCTGTCCTTTCTGTGCAAGTTCACCGGGTTTGGCGATACCGTCTTCGTCGAGAAGCGCAAACTTTGGTTGACGCGAAGTCTCTGCGTTGGGCGGAATGATACGATCCGCCGTCTGATTGGCATACTTCTTGACTGCGGATACTTGCTTCTTGAAAACGATACAACGACCGAATCCACGATCCAACGATGCTTTGTTCATAACCAACGCATCTTCAATGTCGTAACCGGAATATGACATGACGGCGACAGTCGCGTTGTGACCAGCTGGCAACTTGACGTAGTTGACCAGTTCTAGTGTTCTCGTCTGACACATCGGTCGTTGTGGATAGACCAACAGGTAGAGGAGTGTGTCGATACGCGACAACTGATTGTAGGCGATGGCACCGATCGCTTGCTTACCCATAGCACATTGGTAGGTGTTACGTGGCGACTGGTTGTGGTGAGGATATGGAATCAGGGCGGATACACATCCCAACAGAGTGAACGGTTCAATCTCCATGTGTGTCGTTGTCTTGTTGACAGCGGATTCATTCCACGCCAGAAAAGAGTCGTTCTCTTCGTTGACGTCGAGATACTCTATCAAACCCTCACGAATGAAATCGTCGAATGTTCGCAGTCCGTCCTTCAGTTCTTCGATGTGGAATTGCTGGACACGAGGACGTCCGTTCTCCACGATGATCATTGGACGACACAATCTACCACCGTCACAAGCTATACTGACTGTTTTGTGCGCTTCATTCTTACAGATCGAGATAAACTCACGGATACGACCGGCACGACGCATCTTTCGCAGAGTATTTACAAAGAGTGTCGGTGAGTTGTGAATACCGATGATCTGACCGTTCAAAAACACAAGGAATGCTGTTCTACTGTTCAACTCCTCACCGGTAATCAACAGAATATCCTGGACACCCAGATTGTATGCCAAACGAAGTAGCGGACCTTCCGGCTCATCGGTGGTGACGTGTGTCATCTGCGCAAAGTTCTTTACCAAACCACAAGCTTCACCTTCCGGAGTGTCCGACGGACACAACATTCCCCATTGCGACGGTTGCAGTGAACGCGGTCCAGAAATCTTTCTCGTCTTTTCGAATTGCGATTGAATACGCGTCATCATACCGAGCGCCGAGATAAAAGAGAGACGCGAAAGTACCTGCGTCACACCGGAACGCTCCATCTTGAAACGCTTCAAGTTCCACTGTCCCGAACTGATAGCATGAACGAATCCATTGGTTAGAGTCTCTGTTCTGATGATCGATGCAAAGTCAAACACCATCGCACGGTTTGGCTTTAGGATAGCTTGATCCGTCGCTTTCTTTAGTTCCGCCAGGAACTTCTTAAAGAGATCTTCAAAGAGCAGCGAGATCAACTGACCCGACAACTCCAAACGTTTATTACCATAGTAATCTTTATCGTCCAGCGTGGAACGATCCTTTGTAGCAATGATAATTCTACGTATCATCAGCGCGACGTAGATAACCTTCAAACGGAAATTGTAACGCCTCACCGGCACATGATTCAGGACGACACCCGCCAGAATATCTTTTGCTTCCTCCGACTTTGATTTCTTGCTCATTCCCCATGGTTTACGTATCGATTTGATGCGCGCACCTAAATAATCGAGTGCTTGCGTCTGAGTGTGAACTTTACACTTGTTGCACTCCTCGAGCGACGACGCTATCGCATCGAGGAAGATCTCCTCGGAACCCACTAGTTGCACTACCTCCTGGTCAGTCTCCACTCCCATACCCTTGAGGAAAATGACCACGGGAATATCCTCTGCGAATGTATTGTGTTTGAGGTAGAGCTTGCCGTGTTTCATGATGATCGAAGTACGCGACTTTCTCTCGTGTGTCGACGACGTCACAGTGGAGCACGGCACACCCTTGGCGTCGGTCTCAATGATGATACGATTCTTTGAGAGTTGCTCGTGATTCAAGATCACCTTCTCATTGCCACGCACAATGAAATAGCCACCGGGATCCAACGGACACTCGCCGAGATTCGCCAGCTGCTCGTGCGACTTGTTGGTCAACACGCAATTCGAACTCCGCAACATAATAGGTATACGTCCAATCACCACATTCTTACGTCCGACGATCTGTTTGCCTCGAACATACTCTAGATTCACCGTGATCGGTGCACTATATGTCATATCTCTTAATCTACATTTTTGTGGTGTCATCGATACCGATTCATAGTTCTCCTCTGTCAAAGCTGGCATTCCAACTTGAATCTCTGTAAACCTATTGTATGTTTTCAAAAGTAGGTAGTTAATATCAATCTATATTCTTTCTGATCTACTCTCTTATCTATTCTCTATTCTCTATTCTCTATCATTATATTACATACTTTGCATAAAATGCAGGATCAACTTCAGTTGTTAGTTTTTCGTTTGCTTTAACAATCTTTTTCATCTCTACATTTATAAAGAAATTGAATGAATCTATATGTTGTTTAACTAAACCTCTACACTTTAGAAATGCAGGTACCAATTTCCATTTTTCCTATTTTATTGTTTAATATATTATGTTAGGTTTCATTCATTTTAGTTAGTTTTGTTTGAAATAGAAATAGATCAAAGTAGTTATCTCAATAGATAACATATGTTAATTAACATACCTCAATTGGTTTTATATGATCTGTTAGTTTTGATTCATCATAGAGATCATCCATTGATCCACTTTGATATGGTGATTTTAAACTACTGTTATTACTCATTATTATTATATATATTGGTTATTATATTATATTCTCGATTATCTATCTATATACATAGTATTTTTAAAATCGATCGATTATTTAAAATAATTTCTCAATTTAAATAAAAATATGTTTTTTCAAGATCTTCTCTTTGTTTATGTTTTTTATCGCATTATGAACATAAAAAAAAACCGTTAAAATTTGAAATATTCAAAAAAATTAAATAAAAAGAAAGAGATAATGACTGTGTACAATATAAATATCATTCACATGCGGAAATTTGATTTATTTTCGTTACTAATATTAATTAACATGATGATATTAATTAAAAACTAAAATATCACCTCCACTCTGTTCAATCACTTAGCAATGCTGACCAGTAGCATAGGAGCCACTCCTTCATCTGCTTTTATAAATCTGTGAGGTAGAAATCCTTTTGATGCAATACAATAGTAGAATTCCGAAGATCCATCTTCCAATGAAGTCACTTCATTTTGTTAATTTAATGTACTTTAAAAAGTTATAACATTTTATATTCATTAAAGCTAATGCTAAATTAAATATACAATTTTGTTTTTAATTAAAGCTATTAAATTTAATTAATAAAAAAACAATGATTTTACACAAATAACCCTCTTTCTCAACTGTATATCTCCGATATTGATAAGTGATATGAATAATAAAAAAAACAATAATAACAATAATAATAATTGACTTATGGTTAAGATGATAATAGAGAAACTAATCTATTACATGTTAAGTTATAAATTGGTCTTTAACATTTTTGTCTTTTTATCTTAGGTAGTTCAGTTAAGACAAGTTAAAGTGGTTGATTACACAAAAATTAACATTAACATTTATGTTAATTTTAACCTTCACATTTTTTAAACTTAAATGTTTATCAACAAAATTATTTTTAAACTTAAATGTTCACTTTTCAACAAAATTAATTTTGTTTTATAAAAAATTAAGTAGTTAAATGTTGTATTATAATATGATTTATTCTCTTCAGAAAAAAAAAAAAGTTAATTTTGTTCTTTTCATTTTTTAAAATAAAGTTTGATTTATAAATACATAAAGAAAGTTAATCATGACAATGAAATGTGCAAATCATCAAAGATCATTTGAATTCATTTGTTATCAATGTAATTGTTTGATGTGTTCAAAATGTATCTTCAAACATAGCAAAGATCATCCTGATCATGCAGATAAAATGGAAGATATCGATGACATCAAACATTCATTAAGTACATTAAAATTAGATGATATTATTGACACCACAACAACAACCAATAATCATATTAATAATGATAGTGATAATAATAGTAATAGTAATGATAGTACTAATGATAATAATTGTACTAATAATAGTAATAGTTTCAAATCACAAATCAACAATAAACTTAAATCTCTTTGGGAATCATTAAGATCATCGACATCCAGATATCAAAGATTATCAACAACAGAGAATGAAATCAAACAACACTTTGAACAATTACATCAATATCTAATCATAGAAGAAAAAAAACTAAATAAAGATATAATCAATGATAAACATACAATCACAAATCAAATCGATAATAATGTTAATCATTTAAAATATTTAATAAATATTATCAATATATTTAATAAATTAAATAATATTAATAATAGTGATGATAATGATAGTGGTAATGGTGATAATAGTAATAACGAAGATAAGTCAATTATAACAGATACAACAACATTATATTCAACAAAAACAATAATGGAATCAATAACAACAAGTTCATCATTACAATCATTCATCAATCATAACAATCAAACATTATTCAATGAATATAATAATTATTTCAATATTGATGAACTTCTCAAACAAGATTCCTCAGATTCATCATCATTATTATTAGATATCATTCATAAATACAACAATCAATTCAATGAATCAACAACAAACACAGACAATAATAACTTAAGATTATCATCATATAAATTATCAATCAAACAACCTGATTTCAATCAATTGAATTCAATCATTAAACAATCAATCAAACTTGATCTAATTAAATCAACTGAATCACCAATAAATACAACAACAACAACAACAAACAACAATGATAATAAACAATCTTATATTTTCACAACACACCGATTAAAAGGAGCAACACTGATCAACACATCAAACAACAATTCAATTGAAGAATTAAAGTTTGATTATCAATTTAATGGTACATACAACTCGATTGTTTCAATTGGTGAATATATCTATGTATTCGGTGGAGCTTACAATCGAAACAAATGGATTAAAATATCAATGAAATCGAAATCAATTGAACATATTGGTGCTACCGAAGGAATCAAAGGTGATCAAAATATATCAGTTTGTTATGATGGTCAAGATCATATCTATTTGGTGAATGGTGTTAATATAAATAATAGAATAGATCGGTTCAACATCAAAACAATGAAATTTGAATCATATCATCAATTATCCGATGTATACGGTGAGCAAGTATCATCAATCATATTCAAAGGTTCATTATATTCAGTATCATACAATCAAAATAAGCTATTTCAATTCGATTTGACAAATAGAACGATAACAGATCATCAAATTGACATCAAACCATACTCAGGATGTCATGATAACAATGGAAATTTCTTCATATTAGATATGACAAACAAACGATTCATCAAATACAATGTTGAAACCAAACAAACAATCAATCTCAATGCTGATCATCTAGTAAATGCACAATATCCATTTGTTGATGTATCATCGAGAATCACCAACATCAAGTTATATCTATTCATATGGTTCATCCAATGATTGTAATTTCAAATATTCAATTGAATCCAATCAATGTGAACCAACCTTTCGACATATTATTAATCACAATAGAGATTCTTGTGCATCTTCTTCAATTACATATTAATAAATTAATATTTTTTAGTTATGATATACCATATAAATTTATTTTACTTTCAACAAACTCTAACCATACATTTATTTTTATTTGTTTTTTTACAAAATAAAATAGGTTTTTGGACAACAGACCAGAGTGAGTGGAAGAAATCTTAAATCTAAAAAAGTACATCGTCGGTTATTAAGACCATATACAGGAAGAGAAGGACTGTGAGTCAAAGAGGTTAAGTGCTGCAAGAAAACTTGAGACTAACTAGTTGATTTCAATCCACAGTCGAACACAGAACACTGATCAAGAGCCAATCACTTAACAGTTATTAATAGATGATCGATAAATGATATCTGAAGAAGCAGCAAAGGAAGCATTAATAGAAAATGAGTTTCAAGAATTGGGTAGTGGACAATCATTTCGATGCTACCTATGATGAAAATACCGATGACAAGATGACAACAATGACTGCCGTGAGAATGAAATGGTGGAAAATTAAACAAATTAACTCAAACAAGTAAATAAAGAGATACTACAAAACGAAAGAAATGCATCAAAATCTACAAAGATAAATAATTCTATTCAATATAACGCATATGAAAGAACCTATGTTCCTCATAAACGATAAATAGTTTAATTCAGTACTGTGGAATGACTTATTTTGATAACATTTTTCTTTATACTTCAAAAGATTCTTGGATTAGTTGAAAAAATATTAATAAAAAAAAAATAAAATAATAAATATAACTATTTAACTTAGAGGAAATAGTCTTGTTAATCTGCAAAAACAATCTTTTCAAACAAAGTGGTATGAGATTTTTACAAATAATCAAAGATATTTTAGATTTCACTTTTTATATTTTGTGTATAAAAATGATCAATTACCAATATATTAGTTTTATTGTTTTAAAATAGTAGTTTAAATAATGAATAGCAGTAGTATAATCTTCAAAACATTAGTTGTATTATTGTCTATAGTAGGTGTGTGTAAATGTGATTCATCATACTACCTAGTAATTGCAAATCTAGCAAATTCCAATGGTGATTGCAGCAATGTACGCAATGCCTTCAGCTATCAAGTGAACACCTGTGCCAATGGAATGGCCACTTACTGTTCACCCGGTGACGATTTCGGTACGATCGCAGAATACTTTGACAACGATTGTTCGTCGGGTATTCAGAACATCATTACCTATAAGATCGGTTGCGACGGTTACTCGCTGGTCGCCTGTCAGCAGACTCCCTTCAATAATCAAAGCGCCACTATCTATGCGAGATACGACGATTCCGCCTGTCAGACTGAACCCACCTTTACAGAGGCATTCGCTGTGAAGGTTTGTTTTGAAGGTGTCATTACTACTTGCGACGATACATCGACCACCATCACCACCTATGAAAACAACGACTGCTCCGGTAAATCAACGTCATTGACAAACACTTTGAAAACACAATGTCATATGGGTACACAAGGATACGAACAGAGTTGGTGTAGTAATATATAATTAGTAGGTAGGAAGTGAAGAGAAATGATAATTTTACATAAATAAAAACAATAAATCTTTTACTATTACCAAACAAGGCTGATTCCAAATTTGGATTTTCAAACACTAACTATCATTACTAATCATTACAACTTTATAAATAAATATTTAAAGGTAAAAGATATCAACATAAATTAATATGATACAAATTTATTATTTTTTTTGTTTTTTTTTTTAATAAAATTTTAAAAAAACATCATATATGCCTAATATCTTTTTTGAAATTAATAGATCATCGAATGAAAAGGATATAGAATGATATAAAATCACAAGACAAATCTAATGATATAAAAATTATTAAAAAATAATTCGAATCTATATTTATCTTTTTGTAATAAAATATCATTTTTAGATTCATAAATTAAAAATTATTATATTTATTAACTTTGTTAGGTTAAAGTGTTTTTCAGTTTAAACTGTTCAATTCGTTATCAATAACTTCTAAATAGATAGATAGTGATAAATTTATTGATAATTATACATAAATATAATAAATAGAATGGTAGTGTCATTTTTAACAGAGTTGTAAATAAGTAAGTAACTATGTTGGTGTATTGGTGTATAGAGTGTTTTCATTATCCAATATCTTATTAACAATTTGTGATTTATCAGTATACAGACAGATGACCGTCAATTGTACTGTAAGCAAAAAAAAAATAAATTAAAAATAAAATCAAACAACCTTTTATAGATTTTAAAACATCTTAATTTATATCTCTATCTTAAATACATTTGGTTTTTAATTATTCTTAATGCCATATCTAGTAATAACAGACTCTGTTTACAGCAGTTTGGTGAGATAATAGCATTCCGCATTAAACGCAAGCTTTTTAATCTAAGTGTTTGTCAGATGGAGAATAATAAAAGATCAATATCACTTATACTATTACTAGCAGTTTCTACAGTGAAACTAATCGCTTACAATTAATAGTTTACTTCTCTACAGCACCGTCACTATACATGTCGTTCTACAGCACCGCCACTATGCATGTCATTCTATAGCACGTTACTATGCATATCAAATATACCGTTCAAAAATTAATAAAATACAATATCAATTTGGTACTCAATTATCTATGGAGGCTATGGTAACTCAATTACATCATGCCAAACTCCCAATCATCAAATATTGAAGTTACTCATTATCTTAGAAATAATGGTCAAAGAAATTAAAAAATAAAAATTTTAATTAAAGCTTTTTTTTCTATGAACTTAAAAATTTAATTTGACTTTTTTTTTTTTAATTTTTTTATTGTTTTTTTTGATCTATTCGATATCAAAATTAATTATTAGAGGTAGTAAAAGTTAAATAATGACAATTAAATGTTTAGATCATCAAAAATCAAACAAATTCATTTGTTATCAATGTAATTGTTTGATGTGTTCAAAATGTATCTTCAAACATTACAAAGATCATCCTGATCATTCAGATAAAATTGAAGATATTGATCAAATCAAACATTCATTGAGTACATTAAAATTAGATGATATTATTGACACCACAACAACAAATAATAATAGTAATAATTTCAAATCACAAATTAACAATAAACTTAAATCTCTTTGGGAATCATTAAGATCATCGACATTCAGATATCAAAGATTATCAACAACAGAGAATGATATCAAACAACACTTTGAACAATTACATCAATATCTAATCATAGAAGAAAAAAAACTAAATAAAGATATAATCAATGATAAACATACAATCACAAATCAAATCGATAATAATGTTAATCATTTGAAATATTTAATAAATATGATTAATATATTTAATAAATTAAATAATATTAATAATAGTGATGATAATAATGATAGTGGTAATAATAGTAATAGTGAAGATACCTCAATTATACCAGATACAACAACATTATATTCAACAACAACAATAATGGAATCAATAACAACAAGTTCATCATTACAATCATTCATCAATCATAATAATCAAACATTATTCAATGAATATAATAATTATTTCAATATTGATGAACTTCTCAAACAACATTCCAACGATTCATCATCATTATTATTAGATATCATTCATAAATACAACAATCAATTCAATGAATCAACAACAAACACAGACAATAATAACTTAAGATTATCATCATATAAATTATCAATCAAACAACCTGATTTCAATCAATTGAATTCAATCATTGAACAATCAATCAAATTTGATAATATTGAATCAACAGAATCAATAAATACAACAACAACAAACAACAATGATAATAAACAATCTTATATTTTCACAACTCACTATGAAAAAGGAGCAACACTGATCAACACATCAAACAACAATTCAATTGAAGAATTAAAGTTAGATTATGAATTTTATGGTACATACTCCTCGATTGTTTCAATTGGTGAATATATCTATATATTCGGTGGATCTTACAATCTATACAAATGGATTAAAATATCAATGAAATCGAAATCAGCTGAACATATTGGTGATATCGAAGGAATCAAAGGTGATTATTTTATATCAGTTTGTTATGATGGTCAAGATCATATCTATTTAGTGAATGGTTATGATATAAATAATAGAATTGATCGATTCAACATCAAAACAATGAAATTTGAATCATATCATCAATTACCTGTTGGATATAATCATCAAATATCTTCAATGATCTTCAAAGGTTCATTATATTCAATATCATACAAACAAAATTTGATATTTCAATTTGATTTGACAAATAAAACGATAACAGATCATCAAATTGACATCAAAGCATACTCAGGATGTCATGATAACAATGGAAATTTCTTCATATTTGATAAGACAAACAATCGATTCATCAAATACAATGTTGAAACCAAACAATCAATCAATCTCAATGCTGATCATCTAGTAAATGAAGATCATTTATTTGTGATGTATCATCGAGAATCACCAACATCAAGTTATATCTATTCATTTGGAGAATCTAATGATTGTAATTTCAAATATTCAATCGAATCCAATCAATGTGAACCATTCTTTAGAGATATTATTGATCACGATAGAGAGTGGTGTGCATTTACTTCAATTTCATTTTAAATAATAGTTTTATTAAACATAGATAGTGATAGTTTATTTAAAATAATAAATAAAAGATAAACTATTTTTATTCTTTACTTTTTTAAAGATTAGTTTGGTTTTAACTATTTCGTTTGTTAATGATACAAATTTATTAACGATCTTTTATTCTTTTATCTTTTGCTTAATCTTGGTTTGTTCATTTAGATATTCAATGATTTCATCGAGGTCCAACTTTTTGGCGATTCTCAATGCATTCTTTAAATATAGATCTGGGAAGTTCTGATGGAAATATTTTACAATCTCCAATGAATTGTGCTCCACTGCAAAAACAAGGGCTTCATCGGTACAATTGATCTTGGTATTCTTATGTAGGAATTGAATGATTTCAAAGTATGAACGGGAAGAAGCGAGTTCAAAAGCTTTGTCAGTACATCCATAATTATATGAAAGCAACAATTCAATAGTCTTGATACTACCAGTTTCTTTTATAATTCTATTAACGATCGATTCTTTACAACGTTCGGTTCTATTCTCGTGAATCCATTTCAATGTTTCAAAGAAACGAATATCTGCCCATTGATCTATCCTTACTGCCAATCTATTCATTTCTTCAACTGTGATTGTTGCTATTGGACTTATATTAAAATGTAACCATTGGACAAGAGGAAGATGACCATTTTCAACAGCTATTCCCAACAGTTTATTATTTTCCTTGATTGCAACAACAGGATTGTTTTTCATAATATCATAAAGATATTGAACAATCTCAATGTGTCCATTTCCAACTGCTCCTCTCATTGCCATTTTGGATCCTCTTATTTGAGTATTATCTATGATCCATTTCACTGTTTCGAAGTGACCATTGGTCGCAGCACCATCTAGCGCTTCGTTAGTCATCTGAACGGTGGTATTAGCGTGAATCCACTGAACGTTTTCTAGCTTGCCATTGGTCGCCGCCGTATCGATAGTTGTCGAATTGAAGCCAACCTTTCTTCTTTCCAATAGCCATTGAAGCATCTCTAAACTGCAATGACCAGCTGTCAGATGAATGATGGTGTTGGAACATCTACATTTAAGGTCAAACAATATTTTGAAGATTTCAAAATGATTGCCTTTGGCAGCCAACTCCAACAATCGAATATCATCGGTTTCGAGTAGATTCACGTGTTTCTCTGCTAAGAATTGAATGACATTCAATCTACCACCGTTGATTGCACTCATAAACAAATGACTGTTATACTTTGAAACATTTGAACCACAATTTGCAAGCAACCATTGGAGCATTTCTAAGCGAGCGTGATAAGCAGCCTGGTTGAACGCAACAACATAATTACTCTGAGCATTAGTGAAAAAGTATGCTTTCTTCTCAAATTCCTTTAGTAGTGTGAAATCGTCGCCGGCAACAGCATATCTCATGGCATAGTCAAATTCATATGGATACGACGGATAGCTAGCCATTAAGAAACGAACTATATCAAAGCGGTACAACGATGCTGCATAGATGAATGTATCTTTGAATACCTGATCTTGTTGATGTGGTAAACCTTGTTGAATTATATTCTCTAAACACTGTTTTAAAGCATCAAAATAGTTATAGTCAATCAACAATCGATGTTTTTTGAGCAATTCACTCCACTTTAAATGTTGATAGCCACTCTTTTCAATAATAAATCGCAAAGATTCCGATATTTTCTTTTGTAAAACTCGATTACTAAAAAAAACTAATGAAAATAATGATTTATTCATTTTATTATTTGTATCTATTTGATATTTATAAATAAATATTTATAATAATCATTGAAGTATATATTTAATAAAATTAGATTAAATAAAATTAAATTAAATAAAATTGAATTTATTCTTAAAAATCGCTTCAAAAAAATCAGATATTTTTATGATTTTTTTTTAATCGACTGTTAAAATAGTTGGCGCCTTTATTAAATAAATATTTTATTTTATTGTTCAATTACAGAGTGAATATTAAATCTGATTGTAATTGAAATCTTACCTTAGTTGACACCTCTTCTTTAAGATATCTCGATTCTTTACATTTTTGTTTCTTTGAGTCTGTTATCTCTTATGATTCTCATTATAATACAGTAATTTCAAACGCGGTGGTAATCTATTCTGCTTGTTCTCTGGTAAGTAAACCAATCAATATTTAGTAACATCGTATGTTTATCAAAGTGTTCTAACCTAATCTAACATTTCATAGATATTTAAATACATTTAATCAGACACTTTTTCTTTGTTAAAATAGGTTATTTTGAAAATAAGAAATTTATTTTTATTTATTAAAAAAGGTTAGAGTTATGAAAATTGTTGTTATTTGAATTAGAGTTCTCTAACTAAACGTGAGTGCCATGGACACCATCTGTTTCTTGGAAGTAGTGCACCACCGACTTCAGCAAGATGCTCCTCAGTGTAGGCAATGGAGGCATCGCAAACTTCCATTGCAAAGTCAAAGAATGTAATGGTCGATGGATCCAAATAGTATTTCCATTCGAAGTTGTACCAGACTCTTTGCTTGACAATGATACCCATGACACCTTTGGTCGAACCGGTAGCGATAATATCACGAGCTTCGGCAATTCTGACTGGATCGGAGAGCTTGATAACAAATTCGTCATGTTCATCGGTGAACAAGAAGTAGGCGCTTCCAGAGGCAGAGGCAACTGCGAGCATAGCCAAAAGCATAATTGAGAGGATATGAACAGATTTCATTGTAATTTAAAATAGTAATTATATTTTTAATATTATTTAGAAGTTGATTTGATGATTTAAAGTTCTAATTTTCATTTCTATTTATACTTTTTGTAAATTCATACTTTTCATATAATTTTCACTATTTAATTTTATAATAATAATAATAATAATTAGTTGTAACCTAATAATACTTGAAACACTTACCCGAGTTATAACTCGTCCTACTTTCAAAGATTGAATCTCAAATGATTTCATAAGTGATATGATTCAGTTGTTTTAAAATAAAAAAATTGTAGAAAAAATATAAAACAATTTGTTTGTTGATAACTATAGTTATTTAAATTTCAAAATTTCTAATCATTTATGCTCAAGAAAAGATCAATCAAAATCTTTTCATATACTTGTTTTGAAGCAATAAGGATTCATATAACCCAAAACACAATTCCCACAAGAACACTAAACAAGTTTACGATCACTTCGATTCACCACACCACAACATTCACTTCGGGTGAAAACCAGAGTAAACTTTGGAAAAATATGAATAAAATATCTTTGTAATTTAAATTTCGTCGTTGGTGATGGTCGCCCAATAATAAAAAAAAGCTGTTTTTTCAATGTTTACAACAAAAAATGTGATTTATAACCACATGCAACACAAAACAAAACACTCTAATATGAAGGAATCACTTCCATCGATTATGTATCTTGATCTACAACACAACTGTTGCTATAACATGAACCTTCTTTATCTATAAATTCTATTGTTAGACATTCTTTATAACTTTTTTATAAATGATTCTCATAAAATTTTATAAATTTCTTTGACGTCTGAGAAAAATAATGATCTGTCTTGTAGAGATTTTCATAATCGATAAATACTAACTTATCTTTTACAGTGTTATAGTATACCAACAGATAGATATGCTTAGCATGAAAGTAAAATGACTATCCCAAAAATGATTGTATTCTTAAACTTTTTGATAATTTTGGTATCAATAGACTCATCTAAGGATTATCTATCTATATATCTTTGTTTATTAGATGAAATATCGATTTCAAAAAGAAAAATAGAATTAAATATAGAATCTTATTATTTTGTGATAATTTTGATATCATTAGATTTGTCTTGTTTTATATCATTCTATATGCTTTTCATTCGACGAACTATGATTTCAAAATGATATAGTGTCTATGACACTGGATATGATTATTTATAATTAATCATTAATTATAATATTATTATTAGCAAACAGTTTATAAATCAGATAGTCGAATGATAGTTATAACATTAACTGTAGTAATGAGATCTATGAACGGGCTTTTTTATTCTTTTAACAGACTCTAACCAAAATTTAGTTTCATTCTTGTAAGTTATAATCATAATATTTAGCATTGATAGAGAGTGAGAGATATTTGATCATTGCTAACATAATTATTATCATAGATGATATTTCTACCAGTTTGAACAACAGCCACCATACAGAGAGATACTTTTGAATCACTATATTAGTGGATGGTAGATGCTTATTCGAGATGATATTGTATAGTTTGAGATGTCTAACTAGGTAACTCCAGTCGGAAAAGTAACCAATGGTAGCTGGTGAGGCAACTTTAAAGTATTGGTCTCAATGGAAGCAGTATCTCTCCATTGCATAATGGTGTCCACCAAACCTAAAAGTAATATCAATGCTAACAGAGGAGAGGAACCATTTGATAATCATCTCAATAACAGCTATATCAATATCGCCAACTGAACTAAAGCTATACAGATGATAGAATAGAACTTAGTGGGTACCACTCGATGATCTTAGACTTTGGCTCTGAGCAAGATATACCGAAGCGCATTTGAACAGAGCCTACGTCAGCTTTGATATGCAAGCCAATGGATTTGACCACACCGCTATTATTCAGCACTCCAACTTTACATCGCTTAGGAACTGTAGAGACATCGAAGATAGATAGAGAAATGACAGTGTATTTGGTCAATTTGTAAGACAAGATGCATCTCTGGTTAGATATTCGATAACAAACATCACCGACAGAGATGGATAGATTGGATCGCATTGTTTGATTTTCTGTAGTAAAAGTAGAAAGGTGCGTATTTTACGCTTGGATGCAGCACAATCTGTCTGGACTGTTGAAGTGCTGCTCAAGGACTCAATGGATAAGAGATGCTTTTTTATTATATTTATAATCTGTATGTATTATATACTTATGATAACTATAAAATAGATAAAAGAATGAATACTAACTTGTTATCTTTTAAAAGAGTATAAAACAATAGTGTCATAGTAAACCAAAAGATGATAAAATCATATACTTGGAAACAACTATAAATTCGATCATTATACGTGGTTCTCTTTTAAGACGTTATACGATGAACAGATCTATCAACTTTTAAAATATTGTTGGGAGAATCATTGTTATAACAGTCAACAGAGTGGTAATGGTCGTGGTGGCAGTGGAAGTAGTGACTGTGCTTACTCACAAAGAAGAATTGTAATTTGTTCATGTCTTCATCGGTTCTTAGCTTGTATTTAACAAAAGACAGTTGAATTGCAATAATACGTTGGTAACAAAGAAAATGACTATCCCAATTTTTTATTGTATTCTTATTATTATTTAATAATTTTGATATCAATAGACTCGTCTAATGATTATCTATCTATATATCTTTGTTTTATTACATTAGGTGTCGATTTCAAAAAAGATAAAAAAAAGATAAAAATGTTTATTATTTATAAAAGAAATAAATTTTTGTAATAATAATTATTATTCAATTGAACTTCAAATAGACAGAGAACAAGTGAAAAACTTTAACAATGAAGTCAAATCAAAATAAAGATCTGATCAGATATTTTTTATAAAAAAAAAAGATCATCTAAGCGTCTAGCAGATCAAGATTGTTGCGATCTTAGTTCAAGCATAATCATTTGCTACTTGTTGAGTGCTTTTTATTTGTTAAAAGTCAATAAAAGCTAGTGAGAAAAACAAATGGCGACTGCAAAACACTATTTTGGCTATGACTAGTCAAGGGTGGGGGTTTAAATGATTTTTAACCTTTCTGAATGAAAAATATAATAATAAAATGTGCTGAATGAAGATTGCTTAAACACACCACCCAACTCTGTTTTTAGGTTTTAAACTTAAAAGTTTAATTTGATTTTTTTTAATTGATTGGAAATTAAAAAAATTTGAGTGGTGTCCGAGTGAAGTTTTTATAAAAAAATATACCATGATCTATTTTTGTTTATTTATTACAATAAATCACTCTTGCAAGTTACAATTATGAAAACAATGAAAAACTAGCAAATGTGTTATTTTATAGGTTGGGTTTTTTTACGCAGCTTTTGTGTGTTTGGCAATAATAATGTGAATGTTCAAAATGAAACTACACAAATGCATGTACCCAAAGAGAAAAAATGGGAATTTTTGAATAAAGTTAATTTGTTTTACATGCATTTTTAATTTTTAAAATTAAACTTTTAAATTAAAACCACCAGGTGAATGTATAGATTTACACCCAGTCAAAAAATTAGTTTTTCACCCACTTCATACCCCCACTTTTTTCTAAATATTCACTTGGTGGTTTTAACTTAAAAGTTTGATTTTAAATTTTTTGATTGCAAATTAATTTTATTGGATTAAACCTAAATATTTAGTTCACAAAACCATTTAATCATTAATAAAAAATTTTGTCAACTTAAATATTTTTATTTTCTATATTTTATAAATAAGAAATTTAATCACTAAGTTAATAATGACCAAACATCAATGTTTAGATCATCATAGATCATTAGAATTCTTTTGTTATCAATGTAATAGTTCGATGTGTTCAAAATGTTTCACCATTCATTACAAAGATCATCCTGATCATTCCAATTGGGAACATATTGATGACACCGATCTTTCATTGAGTACATTGAAATTAGATGATAATAAAGATACTACAACAACAACAAATAATCATATTAATAGTGATAGTACTAATAATAATAATAATAATGATATTAATAATTTCTATTCACAAATCAATAATAAAATTAAATCTCTTTGGGAATCATTAAGATCATCGACATTCAGATATCAATCATTATCAACAACAGAGAATGATATCAAACAACACTTTGAACAATTACATCAATATCTAATCATTGAAGAAAAAAAACTAAATAAAGATATAATCAATGATAAACATACAATCACAAATCAAATCGATAATAATATAAATCATTTGAAATATTTAATAAATATTATAATAATATTTAATAAATTAAATAATATTCCTGATACTAGTAAAACATTTGAAATATTTAATACATTAAAGAATAAGAATGTTAGTAATAGTAGTGATAATGAATCAATTATTACAGATACAACAACATTATATTCAACAACAACAATAATGGAATCAATAACAACAAGTTCATCATTACAATCATTCATCAATCATAATAATCAAACATTATTCAATGAATATAATAATTATTTCAATATTGATGAACTTCTCAAACAACATTCCAACGATTCATCATCAATATTATTAGATATCATTCATAAATACAACAATCAATTCAATGAATCAACAACAAACACAGACAATAATAACTTAACATTATCATCATATAAATTATCAATCAAACAACCTGATTTCAATCAATTGAATTCAATCATTGAACAATCAATCAAACTTGATAACATTGAATCAACTGAATCAATAAATACAACAACAACAAACAACAATGATAATAAACAATCTTATATTTTCATAACAAACCATTCATGTGGAGCAACACTGATCAACACATCAAACAACAATTCAATTGAAGAATTAAAATTTGAATATCAATTTCATGGCACACATAACTCGATTGTTTCAATTGGTGAATATATCTATATATTCGGTGGATCAGTTAGTCAATTCAAATGGATTAAAATATCAATAAGATCAAAATCAGCTGAACATATTGGAGATATCAGAGGAATCAGAGGTGATCGTAATATTTCAGTTTGTTATGATGGTCAAGATCACATCTATTTAATTAATGGTCTAAAAATAAAGAATAGAATTGATCGATTCAACATCAAAACAATGAAATTTGAATCATATCATCAATTACCTGATGAATATGAAATGCAAGCATCGTCAATGATCTTCAAAGGTTCATTATATTCAGTATCATGCCTTCAAAATAAGCTATTTCAATTCGATTTGACAAATAGAACGATAACAGATCATCAAATTGACATTAAACCATTCTCAGCATGTCATGATAACAATGGAAATTTCTTCATATTAGATTTAACCAATATTCAATTCATCAAATACAATGTTGAAACCAAACAAACAATCAATCTCAATGTTCTCCCCTTGTACAGAAATCAGTTTCCATTTGTGATATACCATCGAGAATCACCAACATCAAGTTATATCTATTCATTTGGTTCATCTAATGAATGTAATTTCAAGTATTCAATTGAAACCAATCAATGGGAACCATTCTTTAGAGAGATTATTAATGACTATAGAGATTTTTGTGCATCCACATTAACTTCATTCTAAAAAAAAAATGAATGAATATATCAAAATAAAACTACCCTTTTTAATGCCTTTAATTTTTTTATTAATTAATAATAATTTATGTTGGAAATATAATTCGGGATGTTAAAATGAAATCTGTAACAATAAACCCAGTTGCAACTAACCAAACAATCAATTTATCAACAGCTACACGAATCAAACAAACATATATCTAATGGGAACTATCATGTAAGAGTTTTTGTTGTTGTTGTTGCAGTAGCCCCAGCACACTATCATATTCTATTAATCACTCATTTACACATTCATTCATAGGGAGTCATACATCCATTTTGTTTGTTGTTTGATCAAAGAAAGCTAGTCATTGGCAAAAAAAAACAACATTATTTTTTAATTTTAAAAAAACCATTGAAGATGTTTTTGTGATTTAGTTGAATGTTTTTTTTATAGTTATTGTTTATTGCCGCCACTTTAAAAAGTGTCTGTTCAATATTCTTCCAATTTTTTTATCATTAAAAAATGAAAAAACTCAGATAGTATCATTGTTAAGTTTGATTAATTTAGTTACTGTCAATTTTTTTCTATATGACCTCACTCCTACGATTTGTTTGTTTCATTTAAAAAAAAAAAAAAATTTTAAAAATATCTTATTTTGTTGTTATAAACTTAGTTTTTTTAAAAAAAAAAATTATCATTACAACAATCATTTGTAATTTTGATGTAGGTAATCAAAAAAAAAAAACAGAGTTTCAAACTTCTACGTATTTAATTCAAAGATAGTAGCGTAAGATCTATGAAGCTATGTCAATATCGCCAACTGAACTCAAGGTACAGATGAAAGAATAGAACTTGGTGGAAGCACATCATGGTACCACTTGATGATCTTAGACTTTGGCTCTGAGCGAGATATATACCGAAGCGCATTTGAACAGAGCCGACGTCAGCTTTGCTAGATGCAAATTCAGAGATATGACCACACCGCTATTGATCAGCACGCCAACTTACCCCGCTTAGAGACATCGAAGATCAATCTAGTAGTAGTAGTGTCGATTTAAGAAGTATGACAGATGACACTGCATTTGGTCAATTTGTCAGGAAAGATGCATATCAATTTTGAAATTTTTTTTTACGATCAAATTTGCGTGTGGTCAGTTAAATTTTTTGTCACGTTTTAGTAATTTTAGGTAACAAAATAATAATATGTTACTATATAAAAATCATAAATCAACTATGATTAATAACATTGATTTGATTAATATAAAATATATCGATTGAGAGTAAGTTAAGAATTTAAATTAATCATCAGTTACCATGGATGGAGTTGGGAAGCATCACTTGTTTTACCACCAAAAGACGAAAGAAAACAGAGAATGCTCAGCGACCGAAGGAAATGAGTTTGACGATCTTCATCTTAAGAGAGATCTCTTAAGAGGTATCTTTGAGAAGGGATACGTCAAGCCATCGCCAATCCAAGAGAAAGCAATCCCTATTGCACTAACCGGTAAAGACATTATGGCCAGAGCAAAGAACGCGAAGAGCCTATGATTACGTCAACTTATTAATGGCCATTATAATAATACCAAAAATGTTTGTTAGTTTAATTTTTTCAAAAATGATCATTATTATCAATATCGCATCTTTTTAAGTAAGTAAACTTGAAGAGTGAATGCGACAAAAAATAAAATTTACAATACTAATAACATTGCCTGAGCTACATTTGCTTCTAATTTCTTAATTAAAACAAGTAGTAACATCTTTTAAAATTAAAAAAATAAATAAATATTGATATTATTACAATGGATATGATAAGAAATAAAATGAAAAGTAAAGTAAAAAAAAAAAAACAAAAAAAAAATAATTAATGAACTTAAACACTTTGATGTTTTACTATTTTACTATTTTTAATTGTTTTTTAGTTTCCTAGTTCTTAACAACAATTTTCAATCATTTATCATTTTATAAACCAAAGATTAGAATATTTATTTATATAATAATAAAAATATAGATTTCCTAACAACTATGTTGCAAAAACAGAGTAGATATATAATTAAAAATTAGTTTGTGATAGATAGATAGAAAAGATATCTATAAGATTGATTTATCGAATTTACGCTTAAGATATTCAAATTCTTTACACCGTAGGCATCATGTGTAAAGAATTGTTTGAGATCACTCTTGCTTGTTCCCTGTATTTGTCATCTCCATAGTTCAACTTGCTGAGATCACCTCCAACTGCGCTCACGGCCATCACTTGAATTTCACAGGCTTTGACCTGAAAGAACATACGAAGGAAACACTCTTGTATTGTGCCACCTAGAGTGAGCAGACCGTGATTACGAAGTATCAAGTTCTTAGCAGTAGGACCCAAGTCTGCTTGTATATGCTTCTGCTCGTCTAATCCAACAGAAATACCCTCGTAGTCAAGATAAGACACTTCACCACAGATCATGGAATTCTGACAAAGATTCTCTAGTAGACCGCATTTCATAGATGACACTGCAACACCTTCATTATTATGAATGTGAATAGTTGCATGGATTTCCGGTCGAGATCGATGAATGGCACATATCCAGTAACATTGATACCATGTTTAGTTGAACCCAATTCAATTATATTTCCATCCAAATCAACCTAAATCAAAATTTTCATTAAGTCCAACCAACATTGCAGCCATTCGATAGGCAGCAGCCAAATCAATTCTAATCTTTCTCTCCTCATCACTTCATTTCTTTGCATTTTGAGAAACGTGTACCTCTGCAATCTTTCATTCTAACTAAAGTTTGTACTATATTTACACTTTCTTCTTCTGCTTCTCTTTCTTCTCGCCTCACACCGCTAATTACCCTACCATTGGAAGGAAGAGACAACGAACTCAATAAGATCATTGAGATGGAAACAAGAATAATCATCCATTCAACGTCATCTATGGTGCTCCAGGCATTGGCAAGACACGTATCCTTGAGAGCATTGGCGATTATACAAAAAAGTCATCCAATTTTTTACCTACACGCCAGATCAATATCAACATTTCTTTCAACAACAAAACACCGTACAAACCCAATAGCATCGTGGAATCCTCAGCAAGACTCAGTTTGTGCACTCGAATCCTCTTCAGATACTTTGTCGATGGCTCCAACACAACGTCATTCGATAGTTTTGTCAACGACCTCTTAGAATAATTTGTTCACGAAAAGATAACTACCGAGCTCTGCTTCCGTCACTACAGTATCATTTAATGAATAAATCCACCACTTTATTCAGTCTAAATTTGAATCATCTTAGTCATGGACTAAAAAAAGGTGGTATTTATGGAGATACGATGATAACACATATATATAGGTCAAAGTGAATAAAGAGAAATGAGTGATTTAAATGCATCAAAAATATCTTATAAATAAGTATATTTCAGTCATAGATTTCAACTTAAATCATTCTTTACTAATCAATGTGATGTACTATAGAACATAGAATCGAACTTAATGATGCCAAATCAATTCTTTGGTGGCCTGTGACCCATGCATATCGATAGTTTAGATAGTTATAATTAGATTGCTCATTTAATTCGCTTATTGGGTTATCCTATACTTTAAGCAACAACAATACACATACTATATATTAGTATTTAATTTAGTTCCAATACGTCATATTCCTAGTATTTGGATTTTGGTGTGGCTACAGCGCGGCGTCACGGCCACAGCCAATACCCAACTTTTTTAAACTTCAATAAAATTTAATATAGTTTTAATATGTTATTGATCTACTCATCTATACCTTATGTTTTTAATTTCATTAAAAAAATAGAGCGTTTGATGGTGCATGTATCATAAAATGTTGTTCGCCGTTTACTCATTTTGCAAAGTTGGTGGCGATATAAAAATTTCAAAATTTACGCAGAAGTCGAACTGAGTTTTTTTATATGGTAAAAATTTTCACTTGTGTTTTAATAAAAAGTTGAATGTCTCAATTTTTATTATAAATACATGATTTTCAAAGATCTATATTTCAATATATTTATTACTTTCTAAAACAAATAAATGAATATATGTCTGATGATTTGATACCTCTGTCCTGTTTCTCAGATTTTTGTTGTATTAAAATGAAATTGATATAGATGCACACCGTCCTCTATTCTGATAATTAATATCTCTTAAGAATGGTTCCCATTGATTAGATTCAATTGAATATTTGAAATTACAATCATTAGATGAACCAAATGAATAGATATAACTTGATGTTGGTGATTCTTGATGATACATAACATAAGGAAACTGGTGGTTTGTGAAAGGAATAACATTGAGATTGATTATTTGTTTGGTTTCAACATTGTATTTGATGAATCGTTTGTTTGTCATATCTAATATGAAGAAATTTCCATTGTTATCATGACATGCTGTGAATGGTAAAATGTCAATTTTATGATCTGTTATCGTTTTATTTGTCAAATCGAATTGAAATAGCTTATTTTGATCGAATGATACTGAATATAATGAACCTTTGAAGATCATTGATGATACTTGACGATAATATTCATCAGGTAATTGATGATATGATTCAAATTTCATTGTTTTGATGTTGAATCGATCAATTCTTTTCTTATAATAAAAACCATTCACTAAATAGATATGATCTTGACCATCATAACAAACTGATATATCAAAATCACCTTCTATTCCTTCGATATCACCTTTATATACCATTGATTTCGATTTCATTGATATTATAATCCATTTGTTTTGATTGAAAAATCCACCGAATATATAGATATATTCACCAATTGAAACAATCGAGGAGTATGTACTATCAAATTGATAATAAAACTTTAATTCTTCAATTGAATTGTTGTTTGATGTGTTGATCAGTGTTGCTCCATTTGATTGGTGTGCTATAAAAATATAAGATTGTTTATTATCATTGTTGTTTGTTGTTGTTGTTGTATTTATTGATTCAGTTGATTCAATGTTATCAAATTTGATTGATTGTTCAATGATTGAATTCAATTGATTGAAATCAGGTTGTTTGATTGATAATTTATATGATGATAATCTTAAGTTATTATTGTCTGTGTTTGTTGTTGATTCATTGAATTGATTGTTGTATTTATGAATGATATCTAATAATATTGATGATGAATCTGAGGAATGTTGTTTGAGAAGTTCATCAATATTGAAATAATTATTATATTTATAATTATGTTCATTGAATAATGTTTGATTATTATGATTGATGAATGATTGTAATGATGAACTTGTTGTTATTGATTCCATTATTGTTGTTGTTGAATATAATGTTGTTGTATCTGTAATAATTGATTCATTATCACTACTATTACTAACATTCTTATTCTTTAATGTATTAAATATTTCAAATGTTTTACTAGTATCAGGAATATTATTTAATTTATTAAATATTATTATAATATTTATTAAATATTTCAAATGATTTATATTATTATCGATTTGATTTGTGATTGTATGTTTATCATTGATTATATCTTTATTTAGTTTTTTTTCTTCTATGACTAGATGTCGATGTAATTCTTCATAGTGTTGTTTGATATCATTCTCTGTTGTTGATAATTCTTGATATCTGAATGTCGATGATCTTAATGATTCCCAAAGAGATTTAATTATATTATTGATTTGTGAATAGAAATTATTAATATCATTATTATTATTATTAATAGTACTATCACTATTAATATGATTATTTGTTGTTGTTGTTGTGTCTTTATTATCATCTAATTTTAATGTACTCAATGAAAGATCGGTGTCATCGATATGTTCCCATTTGGAATGATCAGGATGATTTTTGTAATGAATGGTGAAACATTTTGAACACATCGAACTATTACATTGATAACAAAAGAATTCTAATGATCTATGATGATCTAAACATTGATGTTTGGTCATTATTAACTTAATATAATATATATAATTTTTACTTTCTTATTTTATAAATATAAGAAATCACTAAGTGACAAAATTTTTTATTAATGATTAAATGGTTTTGGGAACAATATTTAGGTTTTATCTAACAAAATTTTTAATTGTTTTGCAAAACAAAACTGGCTCTGAACAACTTTCGCATGGCAATTAATTTTAAAAAAAATGTAAAAATTAAAAATTGGTGGGGTTAATGTGATCAGAGTGGTTTTTTTTTATTTTAATCGATTTATGGTTACAAGCAAGAGCAATCATTAAAAAGAATCAAATTAAACTTTTAAGTTTAAAACCTAAAAACAGAGTGGGTGGTGTGTTTAAGCAATCTTCATTCAGCACATTTTATTATTATATTTTTCATTCAGAAAGGTTAAAAATCATTTAAACCCCCACCCTTGACTAGTCATAGCCAAAATAGTGTTTTGCAGTCGCCATTTGTTTTTCTCACTAGCTTTTATTGACTTTTAACAAATAAAAAGCACTCAACAAGTAGCAAATGATTATGCTTGAACTAAGATCGCAACAATCTTGATCTGCTAGACGCTGAGATGATAAGGTAAGGAGGCGTAATGTAATTGTGCATATAGGGAATTATTTTATTTTTTATTTATTTCAATTTTTTTAATTTTACCACATTTTGTACATTTTTTTAATTCCTCTTTTCCAAACAAATAACAATTTATCTATACAGTTAGAGCTACAAACAATGTCAGAGGAGCAAACAGAGCAGTCCCTTGCTTTGGTGCTCTCCAAGGCTGGTTGTACGTCAATCACAGCAGCCTCATTACTTCGGAATGGCTACAAGACTCTGATTCTCTCAAGGCTGCCGTCAACAATCCAATTGCATACCCAATGCTTCTTATTCTTCAACCGATTCCATTCCTCCCTGCAGACATCACAAGTCTCATTGAATAGTATTTATATCCATCATACACTCATCCATTAAAACATCATATGGTCTTCGATACCACGCCTTCCAATCAGTGGACTAATACTCAAGTGATTGAATGGCTCGACCAGTCAGTGACTCTCGGGGTTCCTGTGGAGGACACAGCACCTTTCAGAAGATATGCTGGTGCTATGTTGTCAACAATGACCAAGGAGACCTTCAAAGAGAAGTCCAAGTCTGGCAGTGAATTATACGACAATCTTCAATCGTACAAGGCCCCTGCACCTCCATCACAAGGTATATATCTACATCACAAAAACACTATTACCCATCCAACCTAAATATTCTAACTAACATATTACCTTCTATCACTTCTTTTTCTACCTTTTCATTCTCTTTTTTCTTTTTATCTTTCACTCTCTTCTTATCTTGTCTTGTATTATGTTTACACTTTCTTCTTCTCCTTCTCTTTCTTCTCGCCTCTCACTCCGCTCATTACTCTACTGCATTACCTATTTCGCATGTTCTTGTCTTTACACCTCTCTCTTTTCTACTCCCTCTCCTTGTTCACAACTCTCACACCTCTCATTACTCTCTACCAATCATATTACTTCAATCGTTTCTTACAACCTATTCATACACACCCTCTCACGCTTATCCACTACTTATTCTTACAAATATTTACTTTCTTCTTCTGCCTTTACTTCACTCTTCCCTCCACATATTCATATATTGCGTGCCAATCAATAACAACGTTTGTGACTAACAAACACTTGTGTCTTCTTTTTCTTTCTCTTTTCTTTTCTCCTAATCTTTCTTCACATACTTCCAACAAGACATCTACTTATACATATCACCTTCATTCTTCCTTCATACCAATTCATACATATTCCCACTTTAAATTTAAATAGGCATACCACCAACATCGTCAAACATCAGTGAACATTTACAAAAGACATATGGGGATCCAAAGTCCACGCACAAAGTATGCTCTGACATCATCGTACGATGCGCACTATAACATCTAACTTACATTTCATTTAGTTCACCTATAACTTTACTCAATTTATTGGCCGACAAATAATATTAATCAAATCGTAAATGCAGTTTGTATGCGATTTAAGACCATGAAATCAAACATAAAGAGTGACCAGAGCATGGTGGTGATTGCTGGTCCCCCTGGAATTGGAAAGAGTCGTATCCTACAAGAAGTCCCTCGGCACTTGATATCAGCTGCTGAGCTACCGAAACATCAGATCACGGTTGCTATCTCCTTCAGCAATGCTACACCTTTACAGTCTACAGAGATGTCTGCTGGAGTCGCCATATCCACACGAATGCTGTACAGTTACTTTATTGGAGGACTCGGTGTCAACTTCAATCACTTTATTCGCCAACTCGAAACCAAGTTCGTGTTGAGAGATCTCACTCCATCTTTGGCATTGTCTATCATTGTCGAGCACTACAGATTAACAATCTCACCGGACATTGACATTGTCAATGACAAGGAACAATTGGCAAACTGGCAAAAACAACAGATAATGTAATGGTCTTGATAGCTTTGGACGAATTTCAGAAAGCACTCATTGAATCAGATGATCATCATATCAGGATGTCATACCTCAAGAACGTTATACTGGAATTGTTGTCATTAAGTGGAAGCAAGCAAGACACTACAACAACTGGGATCTCAACACCATCTGTTCTGTTGGAGAAAGGTACTTTTGTCTATATCATGACGGCTGGTACCATTCTTGAACCCATTGACCACATCATGAGCAAGGATTCTGGATTACCATACACATTCATCTCGCTTCCTCTCTTGACAAGGGAGGAATCTCGTATCATTCTCTTTGACTTCCTCTCAAAGTCCTCTATGAGCAACACTAATTCTGGCAGAATTCCAATACCTCCATCATTCCTCACAACACTGGATACAACTGGGGGTTGGCCAAGACCCATTGAACTGTTCTTGAGAACTCTTGTTACCAATCCTGCAGACATTGACAAGCCAAACACTCGACACGAGATCAATTGGACAACAATGGACGCCCCAGTTCGAAAGCTGTTCGAAGCTACTGTCACAGAGTTCGATCGCACATATCCAAAGCTAACCTATAAACCCTATTTCGATATTATATTGTCACATGCAATCACTGAACATCTAATATTAGCTCAATGTCCGCTTGATGATGCGCCTTCATACATAAACTTTGCAAAGCGATGGACTCCTACTCCTCGAATAAATTGGAGAAGAATATATTGATACAACCAATAAATTATCATTCCAAGATACCTACCTTGCCAATCTTTCATTTTTTATATATTATCAGAATGGTCTGTAAGAGTGATGTTCTAGGAAAGCAGGTAACTTAGTGGTGAGAAGTTTGCAGTTGTTCCAGTGTTTGTTGAAGTTGTCGATTTGTTTGATATTCTGTTGGTATTTGAGTGCCAACTCTTAGTTGTTGTGTTGGACCAGATGGTGGCCATTTCTATGGATTTCTCTCATACATCAACTTCCATCTTATATTGTCATTTAAAATTGTTTTTTTTTTTAAATTATCCTTGTACTACCATTAATGATAGTCAAGGTGTAGAGCTTGATATTACCCTACAGTTCGAGTTTATTTATTGTTGGAGCAACTCAGCCACAGGTCGGCTGAGATGGCCATCTTTTTGAGTAAGGGATGATGTTCCCATTGATTTGGTTTGGCAGACGGAGTAATTAAGCCACTTAGAATTCTAAGAGGGTACGTGTGTAAACCACTCGGTGTTCACCTATGATAAGCCTGCTATTTACTGTCGGTGTCAACTTCATGGGGTCAAAGATAGTATTGAAGAGTAGTATGTGGCGTGCTCCTTTCAAGACGGGAAAATATGGAAAAACTCGGAATCGATCCCACGTCCCAAGTTCTCTAAGGCTTACTTGTTACAAATTACCTGCTGAGTAAAAGGAGATATCTTGATTTCTAGTATTTATTGTAACATTACTTATGTACTAACTTAGCTAGAGAGAGAAGGACTTCATATAAAAATTTAGCAAACTTTCTCTGACATAAATGCCCGGTTAGCTCAGTCGGTAGAGCGCATGGCTCTTAACCGTGTGGTATATATGGTAATGCTAAATAAATAATAATTATAATTTACTTTTTTACAATTGTTACACTTATAATTATATTAATAACTGGTTAATAATGATTACTAATATATTATTATCATTCATCATATATATAGATGAAGAAGAGAAAGAAAAAGTTGTAATAGGATCGGTAAGATCAAGGAAATCAATACAGAATACATTGACTGCATCGTTTGAGATGACAGAGATGGATGAGGATATTGAGAAAGAATACAGACAAACAGCTCTGTGAAATCTATACTAAATAAACTATCTAACTATCAAAACTTAATTATTATAATAAATAAACAGAGTTATGTTGTATTTAGATGTTTTAACTAATAATATTGTCAAGTAAAACAGAGGAAAAAAAGAGCTTGATCAAAAAAGTTTAGCCATTAAAACAAAAAGGATTGGTTTTGGTTAACTAATTGTAAGTAGTAATATTCACTTGGTGGTTTTAACTTAAAAGTTTAATTTTTTGATTGCAAATTAATTTTAATGGATTAAACTTAAATATTTAGTTCACAAAACCATTTAATCATTAATAAAAAATTTTGTCACTTAAATTTTATAAATATAAATAAAAGAAATTTCTTTAAACTTAGTGATTAAAGTTAATAATGACCAAACATCAATGTTTAGATCATCATAGATCATTAGAATTCTTTTGTTATCAATGTAATAGTTCGATGTGTTCAAAATGTTTCACCATTCATTACAAAAATCATCCTGATCATTCAGATTAATGGGAACATATTGATGACACCGATCTTTCATTGAGTACATTGAAATTAGATGATATTAAAGACACTACAACAACAAATAATCATATTAATAGTGATAGTACTAATAATAATAATATTGATATTAATAATTTCATTTCACAAATCAATAATAAAATTAAATCTCTATGGGAATCATTAAGATCATCGACATTCAGATATCAAGAATTATCAACAACAGAGAATGATATCAAACAACACTTTGAACAATTACATCAATATCTAATCATAGAAGAAAAAAAACTAAATAAAGATATAATCAATGATAAACATACAATCACAAATCAAATCGATAATAATATAAATCATTTGAAATATTTAATAAATATTATGTTCTAAAATTAACATTTTAGAATAATAATAACCAAATCAACTGACACTTCAATAATTTATTAAGAATTCAACTATCACAATTCAAACAGTTTATGGACACGATTTCAAATAACTTAAATTAATAATCCAGCTGTTTAACAATAATTAAATATATTAGAATAATATCAATATTCAGTGCAATCTACCAAAGTTAACATAAAGAAATAACCAACAAGTTAATCTACAATGAATACCAAACTAGTTAATCAAGAACAGATTTCTGAGATTGGGCAACTGCACTGGTACCGAGCTAGAAATCCAACAGTATAAATACCATGGAAATCCATTATAGAAATTAATTAATTATTCAACATTATTCAACATTACCAAATATTATTCTTATCTTCAAATTGTAAAATAAATAAATTATTATCTTTAAATATTATACTGTAAATTATATCTCTAAATTTTATTACATTTATTAAATCTATATTCCTCATACCAAAACTATTCCTAAAGTAATTCCTAATCTTATATCAAAGTTGTAAGTATTATATTTATATGTTTATATGTATATTATAATATGATATTATTACCATTGTAAAAATAACATATTATAATAATATTTAATAAATATATTAGTATTACTGATACTAGTAAAACATTTGAAATATTTATTACTTTAAAGAATAATAATGATAGTATTAATAAAGATACTAATAGTAGTGAAAGTCAATCTATTATACCTGATACAACAACATTATATTCAACAACAACAATAATGGAATCAATAACAACAAGTTAATTATGTTCATTGAATAATGTTTGATTATTATGAATCAACTATAATCGCTGAAAATAATAACAATTCAGTATCATCATATAAATTATCAATTATCATATATCAGTTTGTTATTATGATCAAGATCATATCTATTTAATTAATGGTCACATTATAAAGAATAGAATTGATCGATTCAACATCAAGACAATGAAATTTGAATCATATCATCAATTACCTGTTGGATATGGTCATCAAGTATCATCAATGATCTTCAAAGGTTCATTATATTCTGTATCATACTATCAAAATAAGCTATTTCAATTCGATTTAACAAATAGAACGATAACAGATCATCAAATTGACTTTACACCATTCACAGCATGTCATGATAACAATGGAAATTTCTTTGTATTAGATTTTACAAACAAACGATTCATCAAATACAATGTTGAAACTAAACAAACAATAAATCTCAATCTCCCCTTGCACAACAAACAGTATCCATTTGTGATGTATCATCGAGAATCACCAACATCAAGTTATATCTATTCATTTGGAAAATCTAATGAATGTAATTTCAAATATTCAATTGAATCCAATCAATGGGAACCATTCTTTAGAGATATTATTAATGACTATAGAGATTTTTGTGCATCCACTTCAATTTCATTCTAAAAAAAAAATGAATGAATAAATCAAAATAAAACTACCCTTTTTAATGCCACTACTTTCTGAACACCAAAACAACAAAATTCGGATATCTTTTATTATCTGTATTTCATTCACATTCCTACCATAAGCCAAAACCACACCAAAACACATAAGTAAAAAAATAATAATTTTCTTTTAATTTTTATTGTTGATTTTTCGTACCATTAAAAAGATTCCAAAAGATCGTAAACACTCCAATTCATCTCCAACAGTAATTATAATATTTGTTTAAATCTATTAGATTATCAAATTTTGAAAAAAAATCAAATGAAAAAATAAATATTTTGCACATATTGGTTTTTTGTCGAAATTGGACATAATATTGCTTTTTTTTGTAAAATTTGGCAGTTATAATATTTGTTTAAATCTATTAGATTTGAGGTTTTTTTTTGCTGTTTAAATCAATTTTTTGTAAAATAGCTATTAGAAATAAGTGTAAATTATTACAAATTATTGCAAATTATTGCAAAATATTACTTAGAATGAGTACCACTAAAGAATGTCCATTTTGTAATGAAAACATCACTTTAAGAGTCTATGACAGACATGTAATACCTTGTTATTGCAAGTATTGTGATTCTAATAGTCTAATTAGAGATTGTACCTGTAAGAGCTGTAATGAATCACGTCCACATCCAACTTCAGCCCCTCTTTATCATAATACTATTTCTTCATCAAATATTACATCATCAGCAACACCACAATCACCATCATCTACATCACAATCACCAGTACCACCACTAGTCCCAGTACTACTACCACCAACCTCAAGTCGCACCCGTAATGATAACAAGACATGGAGAACTCCAAGACAACAAAAGAGAAGTTGAACGACGTCTATGCATTCGAGGATGAGAACAACATTGCTCAATACTTGATCGAAATCAAGCTCCCAGAGGCTACAGATGATTTGTATTCGTCAACAATTGGTCTATTTTAAATTGAAATAAATTAATATTAAAACGTTCATATTAATTAATTAATTAATTATATTGATTATAATATTATAAAAAAATAATTTTTGAATTTCCTTTTTTTTTTTTTTTTTTTGATAAATTTATAACATAATTGTAAAAAAAGAAAAAAAGAAATTAAATGATAGTTTTTATAGAATAAACTGATTGTATGAATAATAAAATATTAAGACATCTATATATTTAAATATTATTCTATTTAATTGAGAGTACCGGATAAATTGACGTTAACTATTTTCAAAATTTGGGGTTTCTTATTTTCAAAATAATTTAGTATTATTAAATTAAATATATACAAATATCACAGCACGTCCTATCCATAATGTGTATAGATGGTTATTTTTGGTTTGTGATATAACAATAGTAGTGTTTTTGTTTTATTATTATATTGAAAGATGATTATTTTCAAACTTCTTTAAAGGATTGAATAGAGTGACCTGTGATAGTTAATTCACCATACCAGATCAAACTGTAGTAGTATTCATACTATCAATCAAAAATACTAACAGGGTATTGACGAGTGTCGTGGTATGTTTTTTGAATATCTTGGTTGGGGTAATGAACTTGTACATTGACAGCTGAATAGTCTCTACTATGACAGACATGAATGAGCCCAACACCGCTCTTTGATTTGATTTGTGTGTCTATGGGGCCACAGGTAAAGTTAAGGACCCAAGTTTCATCAGCATTTGTTCTATTTTTGTACTCGAGTGCAGAGTCAAGATGCGCTTCAACTCCTTTTGGATTTTGATGTGCGACCAACTCTAAGACTACTGACCAATTTCTATACTTGATAAACATGTCAGCTCTTCTGTCTGCATTATAATCTGAAGACGAGGTGATTTCAGGGTATATAATATTGGGTAAGTTTGACTGATGGGCAATGAGTTGGTAGATTTCAAAGTGGTAAACAGACTCAGAAGGGACCAATGCATCCCTTTGATAGCCATTGGAGCGATTCTTCTTGAGTGATCTCGTATCTATAATGATATCTTTCCTGACTTGTTGGAGGGAGATTATAATAAGAGAAACGACATCAATTTGTTCGAGATGTTTCGTTTTGAATGGAATTGCGATGCGACCATCAACTCTACTTCTCAAGTTGCTAAAGAAACAAGTAATATTTTTCAAAAATTTTGATCTAATACAATATCTGTCATTGAATGCTAAAAAGATAGGTGAGTAAGAAGGGTTTTATGACATACGTGAGTTAAATTTCGTACCTGTTAAGAATCCCTCAGCCGTTAGGTATTGAAAGTATTTTTCATTTTCATTGTTGCTTTCTACAAAATCAGGATAAGACATCACACAACTAGCCAAGGCCTTTCGAGCATTTTCAAAGAAGGGTCCATTTGAGTTGAGATGTACACACATTTGGCGAATTGTTACATATGATCTAACTTCTTTAAATATGCCAACAGTTGAAAGCATCGTCCAATCGGAATCGTCAAATGTAGTTTTGTTTTTTGCGCAAATTGTTTGAATAATTCTTCCACAATAATTAACTAATCCAGGGTGCCTTGAAGCAAAAAGGTAGTAAGTATATAGTCTATTGTTGCAAAGTGATGTACATACCCACTACAGAAGGAATATATAGATGAGATGACTTGACGAGGAAAACTGACTCCACTATACTTCGAATAGAGGCCAAATAGATCGGAGACATTATTTAAGGTGAATGATGACAGTTCAAGTGAATTTGGTGTATTAAAGGGAGATATTCTAGTTGTAGTCATTTCTAAAAGTGAGAAAGTTCCTACCGATATAACTGACTTGGTATTTGGTGAGTATGGTGGCAATATTATGTTTAGATATACACTTACATGTAATACTTTTAGTTCTGGCAATGTCTGCTTCCAAGCCCTGAGTTGTGTCAAAAGAGAGTTGAGAACTGGTGATTCCATATCATTTCTTTCATACATCTGATCGGGAAATATGGTATCAAATTCATCTATAAATAGTACAACTTTTTTATTTTGAAATTGAGGTAAGCCTTTTGCAAAAAAATATAAAACTCCATCCAATCCATCAATCGGAGTTGCCAGCTTCATTGAAAGTGTTAAATCGCGTGCAAATGATGTCCAAAAAGACTGGGGTGTATCAAATATGTAGTTTCTATCGAAAGATAATCTAGAAAATTATTAGGATTATTCTTAATCAATACTTTGATTTACATACACTATGGGAATGTAATCATTACGAAGTAACTCTATTATCCTATAGACTATGGTTGACTTGCCAGAGGACCTTGGTGCATACATACATATATAGAGTCCAGATCGAATTTGTTTAATTAGTTCATCCGTGTTTGTGTCAATCCAAAAGTATGTTGTGTTTCTATCTTGTGGTAAAATTGCACCGTTGACTGAGAATTTCGTAATTCTATCTGTGACTAAAAATGATAACGAGTATGATTGTTACAAACAAGAGGAATGAAAAAAAAAAGTAAAATGTAGGTAGAGAGAGAGAGAAAGAGAAAGAGAGAATGAAAAGAGGAATTAAATACAAATTAGAGGAAATATGTGGTATGTAAAAGAGTTGAATAGAAGGATTTAAGTAGTGAAAGAGATAAAGATAGAGAGAGATGAAGAGAGAGAGTGAAAGATAAAAAGAAAAAAAGAGAATGAAAATGTAGAAAAAGAAGTTATAGAAGGTAATATGTTAGTTAGAATATTTAGGTTTGATGGGTAATAGTGTTTTTGTGATGTAGATATATACCTTGTGATGGAGGTGCAGGGGCCTTGTACGATTGAAGATTGTCGTATAATTCACTGCCAGACTTGGACTTCTCTTTGAAGGTCTCCTTGGTCATTGTTGACAACATAGCACCAGCATATCTTCTGAAAGGTGCTGTGTCCTCCACAGGAACCCCGAGAGTCACTGACTGGTCGAGCCATTCAATCACTTGAGTATTCGTCCACTGATTGGAAGGAGTGGTATCGAAGACCATATGATGTTGTAATGGATGAGTGTATGATGGATATAAATAATTGTTTAAAGGAATTAATATATGTATTATATTGTTGAAGAGAAGGGGAAATATATAGATATCTATAAATTGTGTATTTGTATGAATAATGGGAATGGAAACAAATAAATGAATTTTGTGTGAGGTTTATAAAGTTTTTTAGAATTAAATTTTAAAATTTGGGAAAAAATAAATAAAATTCAAACACTAACTGTTTAATTAAGTAGAAGAAACCCCTGAATTCAAGATAACCTTTGGTTACATAGATGACATCTTCCGTTCTAGAAGATCTCTCAACGTAGAACCATCTGCACCACCAACACTATCAGACAAAGACATGGATATAGATTCCTGTTAACAACAACAAAAACAACAACAACAACAACAATAATACTTCTTGAATGTTACAAGAGAGGGAAACAAGGTAGATACCTCCACGCGGTGTTTCCTGGTAACGATCATCCATGTGAAGACTAGTTCAAGAACTGTAGTCTCGATTGACATCATTCACTTGTTTCCAATGAGATAACATATCAAGGTGGCATAATTACTATAGATAAAAATAAATTTTTATATAATATTCCTGATCAATTTTAATATTTACATGGTTTTATTTTATTTTGTTTATTTCTTTTGATACTTGTTTTTTGATGTTGTTTTTGGTGTGTTTGTGTAGCCAAATTTCTTGAGGGTGTTGAGTTGTGATTTAGTTAATTCGATATTGGGATATGACTTTGAGAGGAATACTAGTGCACTTATATCTTTTTCGGCAGCTTCGACTATCTCTTTGTTTTTTGGTTGCAACGAAGGTATATTCTTCATGATGTAATTGAAGAACATGACATTCCGCAGTAGTAGCTTTAGAACTTGTCTTACAATACCAATCTTCTCTATTGGATTAGGATCATTCTTACCTACGAGCGATAATACATAACCGTACTTATCTTTGATAAGTTTGATAATATGTAGATGATCACGACTGATAGCATTTGCCAGCAGGATCGCGAGGAAATGTCTTTTAGATGAATGTTCGCTCGTTGGAAAGTAGGTATCCATAAACATTGTGATCGTAGCGATACAACCGTCTTTTGCTATTTCCTGTACGCAGAGATCGTCCAAGTTACGGACCGATGTTGACATGAACAAATTACAATTCTTCTTTGTGTAGTGAACACGGTCTCCACTTCCACTGCCACCAACACTTTTACCATAGCAATGATTCTCCCAACAATATTTTAAGTGATGAAACATCTGGTCATCGTATAACGTCTTAAAAGAGAACCATGTATTATGATCGAATTTATAGTTGTTTCCAAGTATATGATATAATATATCATATGGTAAATCAGTTGGTTTACTATGACACTATTATTTTTGTTGTTGTTATTAAATGAAAGATAACAAGTTAGTAATCATTTATTGCTATCCTTTTTGATAAATATATATAATACATACTTCACGTTTAACAATCTCTACAGATTCTAAATATCTTAATATCTCCAAACTTTTCGGGTCGTAGTAAACCATTTGTGTTTTAATACCACTCTTTTGCCAGAGTTGAAATGAATGTCTGATTAAATCCAATTCACCATAGTTTAGTACGGCTTCGAATATGTTCTTGGCAGACTTTTCACGTTCGTACCACAGAAAATGACTATCCCAAAGATGATCTAAAAACTCTTTCTTTTGCTTGGACGACATTGCACCAACGATGATTCGATCGAAATAAAAGTAATCTATGTCATAGCTACTGCTTATTGTTATCAGATATTGTAATAACTCCAAGTTCATGTATTTGACTATATTCCTATGATCTGCAATCCTCCTATTGATTAGACTTGGCATCACCAATGATATATCGTTGAACTTCATCGCATAGAACATTAGATCCTCTTCATTGACAACAAAGATAGATAACAGTAATTTCCACAGCTTTGAAAAACTAACATTATCTACACCTACTGTCTCTAAAGTTTGAATGTAATCTTCTTCCACCAACGATATTTCATCAATCTCTTTGAGTATAGTTGCTAAACGTTGTTCTGAATGACTATCTTGATTTGTACTCTGTTCATTAACAACAACACTTCCATGACATTGTTGTTGTTGTTGTTGCTGTTGTTGATATTTATAGCCTGTTAACTTTATGAATTCGTATAGTAGTTGAAATTGGTAGACTATTGTTGTACCTGTTTGTTTCCTGATTGAAAGGAATCCAAAGTTTATCAATGTCCTTGAGAGATTCGATATGTCCAGTAAATCGTATTCATAAAGATATCTTAGTTCGTCGATTGTGATTGTTGGATAATAGAATCGTTTGGTGATCGATTTATACTGTTCCGATGTCGGTCGGAATTCCAACATCAAGTATTTCAATGCCAGTTTGAATGCATCGGTATCGGTATAATACGCTTTCTCCAACAGCTTAATATCGAAACAACTGTAGTATTCCCTATACTTTGTCGAGAGAACAATCGCCGATTCAACATTGCCTGCATCTACCAACAACCGGAATATCTCTTTCGGTAGCTTCACCAGCGGTTGCTGGTCGATGGCAGCGCGGTAGTTCATAACGGTCTCCAAGAATACCGGTGGCGCCAGCGAGACAAGTCGACTGCTTTCGAATTGCATCTCATAGATGAATTGATCGCCATAGTTGACTAGCAGCGCCTGGTAGAATCTCTGGTTGTCCGGCGTGTTGTCGTGGAAGTACTTGAAGAGTAGACGCACCGTATTGGTCTGTTGGAGTGTTCGCAGCAGCAGATACTCGTGGCGCAACACCTTCTCGCGCAGTAACCGGTGATACCCATTACTGAGCATCCAATGAACATTGAAAATCTCGTAGTATCGCTTCGAATCTGATTTAGCAATGCTAAACACCTGATTGAAAATCGATTTCAATATATAACGATTACTCCAAACCAACCAAAATCCATTTTCACCTCTAGAGAACTTTGATTTTATGGTTTCTTTTTCATTTATAATACTAATATTATTATCTATATCTCTGTTATATATTTGATCGTTTATATCTGACATTGATATTACTAACAAAAAAGGAAATGATCGTGGACCACAATTTTTTGAATTTTTATGATCGATCAAATTTTACAAAAAAAAAAAAACAAAAATCTTTGCAAAGATTTTTATATTTATTTAATGTTATTTTTTCTGAGAAAAATGTGGCGTGCAGATGAAGTATGTCAAAGTAAAATATATCATTTTTTAATAAAATATGATTTGTATACCTATATTAAGTAATGATTATTTCTACAGATCTCCTTTAATTCTGAATGAAATATATTGCTGAACTAAAACACTATATTATTGGAAGGAATAGAATTTATAATTGTTCTCCTTTCTGAATGATACACCAACCTATTAAATGCCATCTCTTTTGAATACGTCTGAACATTGCAACTTTTTCACTTTTGTTCGTACAGATCGGTTTCAATAAAGCGAGCTTGGCAAGATCTTTTTTAACAGCGGTAACACGACAACCAATTGCAGTCAGTCCAACAATAATCATCAGAGTGTCACCTTTGGATAGTTTTCTGATTTTACTCTCGCTCGTTCTCGGCCGATCAAGTAAATGGCGTAGCAGAAAGAAGCTAATCTCCAAACTGATAGAGATATCTGGTAGCTCTATTCCTACGCGACCCAAAACTCTTCCAGCTAGACGATCGCTTTTACACAGAGAAGGATCAAGCTTTGTTAGAACACCAATCAAACCACCCGGTACTGCATATTGTAATTCATTATCCTCTGCAAACAACGATACTATCTTTGAAAAGAGTGGTGTGCAACTGAATGTACCATCATGATTCTTAGTGATAATACCTGGTCGAATTTCAATGTCGTCACCAACCCTTAAGATACCACTTAGTAACAAACCACGAACTGTACCACCTTTCATTTCCTCCGCTTTCCTATAGGGTGCATTCATATTGAAAGAACGAACGACAATTAGATGAGGAGCGGAATTGTAGTTGTCGCTTATTGGTGAGGTAGGTATCTTGGTTACAACATGCTCACACAGAACATCTATATTCCACTTCAACTGTGCACTAATCGGTATGATAGGTGCGCCCTCTGCAACACTGCCTTTAACAAACTGTTGAATTTGATTGTGATGTTCGTTTGCTCGCGATTGTTGCCTCACCAGATCAATCTTGTTTTGTACGATGATAATATTCTTTAGTTTCAATATCTCTACGATTGCCAAGTGATCGGCTGTCTGTTGTTGAGGACACGGCTCATTACTGGCAATGACAAGCATCGTTGCATCGACAAACCGTTCACAGTTGAAGAGAGCACCCATCAAAACGTTGTGAGTAGGATAATCTATGTAACAAACATGACGAATCAACTTCATCGCACTTCCACATCCATTGTTTTCACACTTTGGGTTATCAGCGGTACTGTTACTTCTATGCTGTCGGTAACAACCTGGTCTATGACACAGTGGATTCTCACACTTGTAGATCTTTGCATTGGTAAATTTAATTTTATGTTGAAATTCACTTATTCTTTGAAAAGGTTGTCCAAAATTACATATCATCTAAAGATAATTAAAATGATTTGATTATTTGTTAGTTAACTAACCACATACAATGAATGGAATATTTAATATTTACATTTATTTGATCGGTAAGTGCTTTCACAGTAATACTCTTTCCGTGTGAGAATTGACCGATCACACTAATGTTGGTAATGGCTTGTTTTGAAATGACATCGTTTAATTGTATAGATGTATCTTTTGATTCACTACTCATGATTTCAAAAGAAAATTAAAAAGATTATCTAATCTAAATAAACTATATTATATTTTAAAAGCAAATATTGTTGCAACCACGTTATATTATTCTTCATTTGCTATGCTATTTATTATTATTGTTATAACTAACGATTGGTTAATTAACAAGCACATCCCTCATGTCATATCTTTGATTTCAAAAAAAAAAACATCTTTTTTTCTAAAAATTGAAAACAGGTTGTTATTTTTGGGTTTGTTTTTTATTAAATAAAATAAAAAAACAGGAATATTAAATAAAATTAAATTCCTATTAGAATTCTAGATGAGGTGAAAACAGGTTGCAAAGTTTTTGATTAACAGAACAGGGCAAAAATCTCATTTTTCCTGGTTAATTTTTGTTTTTTTTTTTTTTTTTTTATAAATCAGTCGATTTTTTTGGATACCATTATTTTGATTTTAAAAAAGATCTTTTTATGTTTTACTATTTTAATTTATAGTTATATATAAAGAAAAAAAAATGATAAAATATTTAATATTATTTATATATTTAAATTTATTTATTACAAGTTCAAAATCAACAACAGTATATAATTTATTTTTAAATCCAAATTGTACAGATTTTACTATTCCATGTGGAAATGATATAAATAATGGTTGTCCGGATATAACTACTGCACTGTTATCATATGGTGAAATAGAAACCAAAGAAACAAGTGTAGTTTTAAATCTTGGAGATTTCATATTTAGTGGTATAAACAATACAAATTTATTATTGTTTGGTAGAAATATCACTATTAAAGGTAGTTCCACTTTGAATATGGCAACCATAGATATTGATAATAATGGAAATTTCTTTACTCTAACGGATGACAATCAAAATAGTAGTAATCAATCAACAACTCTAAATCTACAATATTTATATTTAATCGGTGGAAATGCTTCGATTGGAGGTGTCATTACAATTAATAGTTCATCTAGTTGGAGTCAGATATATTTATCAATGGATTCTGTCAATGCTATGGGTAATACTGCTAATTTAGGTGGTGTTGTTGGATTAGTTAATTCTTCTAGTTTGCAAACTGTCGTGAACCTTACAAACTCTGAGTTTAATATCAATACAGCTGATGAAGGAGCTGTATTTTACTCAAAGACAGTCAGTAGATTAGTAATAATCAATTGTAAACTTTATCAAAACAATGGAATTAAGAATGGAGTTATAACATCATTAAACGGAAATGTTGGAATGAGAAATGTTAATTTCGATTCAAATTCAGCAAGACAATATATTATTTATATGAATAATAATAATAGAACTTTAAATTTAAATGGAATGACTTTTTATAATAATCAAATTACATCTGGATCACATATCTATCTTTATGGACCGACCTATCTCACCAACTCACAACTGACACATAATAGAGGTTCGACGGTAATTCACTATGCCTCTAGAAATCAATTGGTAATTATCAACAGTACGTTCGATTCTAATGTAAATAATATTGGCGATCATGGTAAAGGTGGAGCATTATTTATGTCAAAGAATACAAGTCTTGTAGTGACTTCTTCGAACTTCACCAATAACTATGCTTCTCAAAGTGGTGGTGCAATCTATTTCGAAAAATCAAAAAAGGCAACCTTTGACAATGTTAATTTCATCGGTAACACTGTACCTACTACTACTGACGGTCAATTTAACTATGGTAGTGCAATTCATATCCGATCTATCAAGCTATCGTTGAATATCACCAATTCCACATTCAATAGTTACGCATTAGCATCAAAGACATTCCCAATTGTCTGTAACTATGCAAAATTGGTACTTAACAATATTACAACGAATGCTGGCAATCAATTGGTTTTCTGTAATGCTAAATCGTGTGATCTTAGTGGTGACAGTAGCTCAATCAATGGACTTTGTCCATCGACCACCACCACCTCTGGACACTCGACCACCGGAGGAGGAACACCATTACATCCACATAAATTCACAGGAGCACAAGCAGCTGGAATTATTATTGGTGCAGTAGCTGGTTTTGGTATTGTACTGGTCATTATCTATTTTATTTACAAACAATATCACAAACGAAGATATCAAACCTTACAATAAATCGAACTTTTTAACTTATTCTCTTCTCGAAATTTATTACTCTTATCTCACCTACATACAATAAAACCAGTAATGTGAACAAATTTTACAAAAGTATTTTATTATATAAATTAAATTAATTACAAAATTATATAGTTTGTTAGTTTCTCTTTTTTAAATATTATTATTATTTCTATAGATAATTTCCAAATAGATAAACCAAAACCTTGACCCAGAGTGAAATTTTTCTTTGTTTAAATAGCTCCATGTCTGCAACTTGAGTGTCTTGCCACAGATAGGTTCTTTCATCTTCCATCTTTTGTTGTAGCGATTTGTCTTGAGTTAAAATAATCATTTGAGCTTCGAGATCTTTCTCGACACTTCTCGAACCAAAGTTTGGACTTCCAATCAGTGTTACGCTAGGCAGTGATTGTTGTTGTGCGGTGATCCACAGTCCCTTGGCGTGATACGTCCACTTACTACGAATGTACTCATCGACTTTGATACGCTCCTCGTTACCGCTATCGACGACACGCTCGAGGAAACGTCGCTCGATGATGGCGTAACAATCGGGTACGGCACTCGACAGTCCCTTGGCACCAAAGAATCCGTTGGCTTCCGGCGAGCAAGTGATGATATCGAGTTGTGGTTTTCCGCTGAGAATCAAATTCAGATAGTTCTTGGTGAGATTGAAATAGGGTGAAGTGATATAGAATTTCGAGTCGGCAGGAACATTTTCGAAAATATAAGAAGTCAGTACTTCGTCGTGACGGATATTGAATGGTCCCATCTGGATTGTTGGGAAGATCCAAGTTGATTTGGTGGGTGCGTCGAATGGCGATGACAGTGATTGTTTCGAGTTGTTTGGAAGATAGAATGTGTTTGGTTGGATGAGTGCGGCTAGTCGCTTCTCGGCCAACAACTTGAAGTCGGCGGATTGCGCTACTGGGTCGAGTGAACCGCTGGCGAGTTGGACGGCGCCTTTGCTACCGAGATGATAGGAGATAGTTCCAACGGTGGCGACTACACGATCAAAGAAAGTGGCGATCGATTCTGTTCTGTAGATCCACACGTAACGGTCCTGACGATTGGTGAAGTAGTCTTTCGAGAGGTTGGCACCGCTCATCATCAAATCGTTGTCGAACACGTAGGTTTTCAAGTGATTGACACCGATTGTCTCATTGACACGCGGTGGCAACATCTTTTTGAGTAGACCGTTCAAGTCTGGTGTATGATAGAGACTGATGGTGACACGCTCTGGGAATTGGTCGTACAACGGCTGCAACATAGTGGCGGAACTGACCTTGGCGCTGGCCGGTGTTTCACCTGGCGATTCACGAGTGCCACGCAAACCGTCCAACAAAATATGGATTTTCAACTCTGGATTGCGCTCGCAGGCAGCGATCATCTCGCTGACCAACTGCTTCTCCTGTTTGCCAGTTCCCAAGTAGAGCGATGCGAAAGTGATACGTTTGGTAGCTCTCTTGACACCCTCGATCAAGTGATTATAGAAATCATCGGGTTCACGAATGAACTCGATGTTCGCTGGATCCACAGCGAAAGCGGGACCTTGCGATGAGAAATTCCAAAATGAATCATCCAAATAATTATCTTTGAAAACTCTATTACTATTGTTGTTACTAGTTGATGTGGTTGATGATGTATAATTTCTAACTTGATTATTTTGTATTGGTTTCGATTCAAAGGTTGAACGACGTGGTAGATTCATCGACTGACCTGTGGTCGTTGTTGTAGATGATTTACCTCTATTGTAAATCATCAGTGCAGCAAACAATCTCTGAGGTTGCAACAGAGGAAGTACACGTAGTTTTATCATGTTGAACAGTGCAACAATGAATGTAATAATTGGGTGTGCCATGTGCCCAAGTAAGTTGCAAGCAAAGCCGACAATGAAAAAATTAAAAATTAAAAAAAAATGAAAAATTAAATGAAAATTAATTTAAATTTAGTAATAAAAAGAAAAGATCTGATAAAAACAATAATGATAATTGATAAATAAATAAATATTAAGATAAATTAAAAATAACTAATCTAATCTGTACAATCTAATCTAAATAATAATAAAATAAAGTAATAATATATAATATGTTTATGTTATATATGTTAAAAAAATGAAAAATGAAAAAAAAAAACAACTTAACTTATTAAATTATAAAATTGTTATTATTAAATTTAAAAATTAAAGAATGACTAACCACACTGGGTAAATGATTATTTGATTAAAATTAGATAAGTTAATCTTTGTTGATGTGTGTTTGTTTGTGTGTGTTTAAAGTATTAAAAAAAAACAACTAACAACTAGATGGATGTAAAAAATTAATTAATAGGTTAGTGGTGAGTGTGGGGGGTAAGTAGGTATGTTTTTTTGTAATAATAAAATATAAAAAAAAAAGGTGCTAAAAATGTAAAAATATTTTGAAAAATCAAAACGAAAAGTCGGAGTCACAATAAAAATAATCCGAATGAGAAGTGCCCAAATAAAACAGATGATTTTTTTTAAGATAAAATCCTTGTTTTTTGATTTTATTTTCTATTTTTTTATTTTTTTTTTTTTTTTTTTATTGCTTATTCACCTTTCGGAATACTCCAAAATCTTTTCAAACAACGAAAAGTTTGAAAGCAAAACAATCCACTTACTTTGTAACCCTATAGTTTTTGAGATGTGGGTATAATTAATATATTATTTTATTATTATATTTATTTTATTTATAAATCAATCAATCAAATCATCATTTTCAGTGTGTTTTGAACTTTCAAACTTGATTTCAATGTCAAAAAAACATTGTTGTGTTTTATAGATTTTAATAATAATACTATGATTTTCTTATTTATTGGGGTATGATCATTTGAAGATCAACAATGAATCTTCACACCTTTATCTTCTTCTTTGCAGTGTTATCAAAATTTTTGTTTTTTATTTTTATTTTTACACTTTTAGTAAAAAAAAAATCTTAAATGGTTTATTATTTAAACATGTCAACAACAATTAAAAAGAAAAAAACATCTAATACCAATTCTGATTCTAAAACAACATCAGCTAAAACAACAACAGCTAAATCGACCGCAACAAAAGCAGTAGTAACATCAACAAAAACAAGTAAGGTTGCAAAACCAGCAGCAGTAAAAGTAACAACAACAACAACAAAAAAAGGAAATACAACACCAAAGAAAACACCAACTAAAAGAAAAACAAAGAAACAGAAAACAGCGACACCAACTAAAGTAGGTGCGGCAACAACAACAAAAGCAGCGGCGGACTCTGACAATGACAATAGCGATTTAGATCATGACAATGCAGCAAATAGTGATTCTGAAGAGGATGAAGAATTCGATTATTTCTCATTCAAATCAGATGTAAATAAAACATCGAATCATAACTTTTCAAATTCAACATTAATAGAAGGTTCTGTAAGTATTATATATTATAGTAAAGAGTAGATTAGATTAATTTAATCATTCATTGATTATTATTATTATTATTATTTACTATAATAAGGAAATTGCACAAATCTTAGATAGATTACCAGAGAAACATTTAGAGGCAAAGAAGAATCTAATCAAGAGCTATGTCGATAACCATACATTCCGTGAGATGTTCAATGACCTCAAGATGTCATACAATCTACTGCTGAGTGGTTACGGTTCGAAAAAGGATTTCATTCAGAGTTTCTTAAAGGAGTATTGTACTGATGGACCTGCAATTCAAATCTATGGTTATCTACCTTCATTCAATATAAAAGATGTATGTTACAATTCTATATGTTCATTACTTTCAAATGAAATGAAATGTTATGTTTTTTTTAATTTCTATTCTATAGTTTACTAATTCTAATTCTAATGCTAATAATAATAATATTGTTAATAATCAATCACAACTATAGTTACTTTATTGTATATCACATGAACTGTTTAATTCACAAGAGAGATTCACATCACCTATTTTACATTGTGAACATATCAAATCTTTATTCGATATGAAATCACACCAGTACGAACAACAACAACAACAACAACAAAATCAACAACAAAAGAAACATAATTTAACAGAATTCGATTCATATCAATGTTTATACATTGTTATTCACAATATAGATGGTGTTGCATTAAGAAATGCAAAAGTTCAAAGATTACTTGCATACCTTTCAGAGATAACCAATATTCATTTCATTTGTTCAATAGATCATTTTAATAGTTATATGTGTAAGTTATTTGTTACAATTAAGTTATATATATGTTATTTATTCTAATAATCTAAATAACTTCTTATTCTTTTAGTATGGGATATAAATTTACAAGTTCAATTCAATTTTATCACTTATTCAGTTCCAACTTATTCTAGTTATACAGTAGAGACAGCCTATGAAGTACCACTGATGAACAAAGGATCAAAGATACAATGGAAATCGATTGTTACAATCTTAAAGAGTTTACCACCGAATGCACGTGGCGTCTTTAAAGAGTTACTTGAATATATCATTGCCAACAAAGAGCAAGAAAGAGAAAAGAAGATGCCATTCAACTTACTCTTTGAGAAGTGTGTTGATTCATTCTTGGTATCGTCAGAGTCAATGTTGAATACCCTTTTGGTGGAGTTCAACGACCACGGTGTCATTCAAACAAAGTTGGAGCATGGTGAATCTTACCTGACTATTCCTGTTGTTCATTCGTCACTTAAACAGATTTTAGAGGAACTTAAAGAAATGAAATGAAAGTAAATAAACTAACACGTATTTAATTTCTTTTTCACTCTACATTTATTCCAGCTATCTCTTTGTCTGTTCAAATCATCATATTTAAGTTAATCTTAAATCATGTAATAAAAATACTTGTAGTTAAAGTAATATACAGAGAATTTAACGATGTTAATTTCAATATAAAAATGTCTTACCTAACTGTTTTTTCATTCTCAATGAAACATATTTTAGATGAGCTAAATGAAAAGAAATGAAAATAATAAAGAAATAAAAAGTGTTATATTTATTTTATCAAAAATTATTTATCAAAATGTAATTGATGAGGAAGCACACCACGAACTGTTATGATTTTTAATATCTCTAAAGATTGGTTCACATTGATTGGATTCAATTGAATATTTGAAATTACTGTCAAGAGAGTTACAAAATGAATAGATATAACTTGATGTTGGTGATTCTCGATGATACATCACAAATGGATACTGTGCATTTACTAGATGATCAGCATTGAGATTGATTGTTTGTTTGGTTTCAACATTGTATTTGATGAATCGTTTGTTTGTCACATCTAATATGAAGAAATTTCCATTGTTATCATGACATGATGACAATGGTATAATGTCAATTTGATGATCTGTTATCGTTCTGTTTGTCAAATCGAATTGAAATAGCTTATATTGATTGCATGATATTGAATATAATGAACCTTTGAAGATCATTGATGATGCTTGATTATTATATCCAAAAGGTAATTGATGATATGATTCAAATTTCATTGTTTTGATGTTGAATCGATCAATTCTATTCTTTATATTGCGACCATTCACTAAATAGATATGATCTTGACCATCATAACAAACTGATATATCACTATCACCTTTGATTCCTTCGATATCACCAATATGTTCAACTGATTTCGATCTAATTGATATTTTAATCCATTTGTTTTCATTGTTATATCCACCGAATATATAGATATATTCACCAATTGAAACAATCGAGGAGTATGTACCATCAAATTGATAATCAAACTTTAATTCTTCAATTGAATTGTTGTTTGATGTGTTGATCAGTGTTGCTCCTTTTGCTTGGTGTGTTATGAAAATATAAGATTGTTTATTATCATTGTTGTTTGTTGTTGTTGTTGTAGTAATTGATGCATCAGATGCAACGATGTCAACAAGGATGAATGGTTGAACGATGGAAGACTTCTGATGAATGACATGATGTTGGATGATTGATTAATAAGATGATGATGATCATAAATTATCATCGGCGGTGGTTGTTGATGAATCGAAGAAATGGTTGTAGTAATTAAGAATGACAACTAATATTGATGATGAATAATATGAATGATGTTGGATGAGAACATCATCATTAAAGTAATTATTATTATAATCATTGAATAATGTTTGATTATTATGATTGATGAATGATTGTAATGATGAACTTGTTGTTATTGATTCCATTATTGTTGTTGTTGAATATAATGTTGTTGTATCTGGTATGATTGATGTATCCTCGTTAATAATACCACTACTACTATTATCACCACTACTATTATTATTATTATATAATTTATTAAATAATATTATAATATTTATTAAATATTTCAAATTCATGATATTTTTATCGATTTGATTTGTGATTGTATGTTTATCATTGATAATATCTCTTTCTACAATGAGTACATCAAGGAGTAAATGTTGATGGAGTTGTTCGAAATGATTCTCGATAGCAGACACTGATGGAGATATGGATGTCTATGATCTTAATGATACCCAGAGAGATTTAATTTTATTTTTGATTTGAGAATGAAAATAATTATTACTGCTGTTAGTGCTGCCACTATTGTTAGTTGTTGTGAAGTCAATAATATCATCCAATTTCAATGTACTCAATGAATCCTTGATTTCATCGATATGTTCTATTTTATCGGAATGATCAGGATGATCTTTGATATGAATGGTAATACATTTTGAACACATCAAACAATTACATTGATAACAAATGAATTCGTGTGATCTTTGATGATTCAAACATTTAATTGTCATTTCCTCTAATTATTATTAACTTTCTATGTATATTTGATTTTTTGAAGGTATTGACTAAATAACTATAATTTTTAAACAAATGTGGTGACTATTTTTGAACAAATTAAAATAAAAAATAAAAAATTGAATTTTCTAAAACTTAAAAACTCGATTTAAAGTTTTTGATGGTTTTTTTAGCATTTTTTTTCTTTAAATACACGAAACGATAAAGATCAACAAAGAATGTCAAACTTAATTTTAAACCATATGTAATTTTTCTGTTTGGTAAATACTAAACCGAAAAAAATTCATAATATCATTGTTTTTTCATGATATATGTTATTTTACAATGGTAATAATATACATATAAACATATAAATATAATACTGACAACTTTGATATAAGATTAGGAATTACTTTAGGAATAGTTTTGGTACGAGGAATATAGATTTAATGAATGTAATAAAATTTAGAGATATAATTTACAGTATAATATTTAAAGATAATAATTTATTTATTTTACAATTTGAAGATAAGAATAATATTTGGTAATGTTGAATAATGTTGAATAATTAATTAATTTCTATAATGGATTTCCAAGATATTTATACTGTTGGATTTCTTCGACCAGTGCAGTTGCTCAATCTCAGAAATCTGTTCTTGATTAACTAGTTTGGTATTCATTGTAGATTAACTTGTTGGTTATTTCTTTATGTTAACTTTGGTAGATTGATATTTTGTTGATTCACTGAATGTTGATATTATTCTAATATATTTAATTATTGTTAAACAGCTGGATTATTAATTTAAGTTATTTGAAATCGTGTCCATAAACTGTTTGAATTGTGATAGTTGAATTCTTAATAAATTATTGAAGTGTCGGTTGATTTGATTATTAGAATTCTAAAATGTTAATTTTAGAACAATATGTGTGGTCACTTGAGTTAAATCTAAGGTAATCATGGCTATCTTTGGAAATTAATTTGTTAAATTATCTTTCTAACTCTTTTTTTTTGGCTACCTATGAAGTTTGAATAGTATCGGAACTACTTGTCGAACTGTGTAATACGTACGTCAAGCGAGTCTGAAGAATGCATTTGGAGAAGAGTTGATTCGACAATTGTAGAGCAGGTGTAGTTGTTTCTATTGGTCTTCAGCTCTCATTGCTTCACCAGATGCCAGGTGTTGGTACTCTACCAATCTTTGTTTGCGATTTGGTGATGATCTCTGGAATGTAGCCACTCTATCTTGATAATTAAATCACAAAGATACTTATGGTTCTCGTCAAATAACATGTTTAATTGTAGTTTTGCTAGCAGCAACCTCTTTCTCTCTTAAACATTTACATGTAATTGAATTGCATTCAATTAGTAGTTCTTATTGTAACCTTCTGTGCCGTTATGAGATTGGCTGTTAAAGTGGGTGGCAATTATATCATCGGTCTGTCTTGACTTTGATTATTTATCATAAATGAAATGAAAGATGAATAATGTAGGTAAGTAGTGTGTCGCTTTTCAAAATTCTATATACTGTATAAGATTAATACTAACGATCCACAACCACCTACGTTTTGATCGAAGATTTTTAGATTCATTCACATTTATCATGGAAAGAGAAAGAGAAAGAGATCGTAACGACATGTATAACAATAAAAGCAGAGTCCAAACTTTAATAAATGAGACTTCCAACAGAAGTAGTTAAGAAAGAGCAATTATAACAAATAGAACAACTAAAATTACACAACAATAATGATGATTTAAAAGAAATACAGATTTTTTTTTAAACACTATTATTAAACTCTATTCTTTGATGTAGAGGACATTACTCTTAGTTATATATATTCCAATTTATTATTATTACATATTTTAACAAATAAATAATTGTCTCATAAAAGTCTAACTGTCCCTTATTCGTCAATCTATTATCAACGTATAATTATTTGATCACTATATGACTTTATTAAAATTAAAAAAAAGGTGATAAGTTAGATATATGAAACGGGTGTAGATAGATCTGCTATCCTAATATATAGATTACAAACTGTTAAGTTATTGTAAGAGGTTCTTCTGTTGGTCAATGGCATTGAGTCTGACTGCCAATCTCGAAGTGAAAGAAACTAGATGCTGAGGTGCTAAGGTAAAGATTTGGCTATCTTCCATTGCCGACAATGCATTACGCTTGGATGCTACACAATCTGTGTTTGGACTGTTGAAGTGCTACTCACCAACACCAATGGATATTGGAGATGCTTTCTACTACGTCTATCCTACAAAAACCGAATGTTATCCAATCTATCAGTCTCTGTTCGTGATATTTGTTATCGCGAATGTTTTGAGACCAGAGATGCATCTTGCCTGACAAACTTGACCAAATACACTGTCATCCGTCATGATCCTCGCCGGAGAGCTATCGACTCTACTACTCGATCAATCTTCCATGTCTTTCTACTATTCCAAAGCGGTGTGCTAAGTCGGCGTACTGATTAATAGCGGTGGTGGTCATATCTCTAAATTGGCATGCCTCATCAAGCTGAGTTATACTGCTTAACTTATACAATATCATCTCGAATAGGCATCCACCATCCACAATATTTATTGTGAATCAAAATGTATCTCTATGTATGGTTGATGTTCACATTGTATGGTACAATGTAGAAATGTCATCTATGATAATAATTTGGTTAGCAATGATCAATTGTGGGATCTATTTGTGTATCTAATTGAAAACTGTAAAGAGTTAGAACATCTGCACCTGCCAATTTACAAACAAAATTGCCAAATGTTACTTACAATGATGATTGTACTGATACTATACCACATGAAAATCAATGCTCAACTAACCAAGTTTTAGAAATTTATACATCTGATAGTAATAATTCTACAAGTTCATTTTCAAAAAATTCTACCAATAAACGTAAATGATAATTAACTTTTAATACAATCTATCACTTTTTGGTATTTATTTATTTGATTTATTTTTTCTTTTTTGTTCTGGTATTTAACTTTTTTTTTTCTCGCACTAATTTTTTGAAGGGGTTCTCCTGAAAACCAAAATTCTGTGTAAATGAAAAGAAATGAAAATAATAAAGAAATAAAAAGTGTTATATTTATTTTATCAAAACTTATTTATTAAAATGTAATTGATGTGGAAGCACACCACGATCTGTTATTATTAATAATATCTCTAAAGATTGGTTCACATTGATTGGATTCAATTGAATATTTGAAATTACAATTACTGGAATAGCCAAATGAATAGATATAACTTGATGTTGGTGATTCTCGATGATACATCACAAATGGATAATATGCATTTGCGAGAGGAACAGCATTGAGATTGATTGTTTGTTTGGTTTCAACATTGTATTTGATGAATCGTTTGTTTAATCGATCTAATATGAAGAAATTTCCATTGTTGTCATGACATGCTGAGAATGGTATAATGTCAATTTGATGATCTATTATCGTTCTGTTTGTTAAATCGAATTGAAATAGCTTATATTGATTGTATGATATTGAATATAATGAACCTTTGAAGATCATTGATGATACTTGACGATCATATCCAAAAGGTATTTGATGATATGATTCAAATTTCATTGTTTTGATGTTGAATCGATCAATTCTATTCTTTATTTTCCAACCATTCACTAAATAGATATGATCTTGACCATCATAACAAACTGATATAAAATAATCACCTTTGATTCCTTCGATATCACCAATATGTTCAATTGATTTCGATCGAATTGATATTTTAATCCATTTGTTTTCATTGGTATATCCACCGAATATATAGATATATTCACCAATTGAAACAATAGCGGAGTATATAAAATCAAATTGATAATCAAACTTTAATTCTTCAATTGAATTGTTGTTTGATGTGTTGATCAGTGTTGCTCCTTTTGATTGGTGTGTTGTGAAAATATAAGATTGTTTATTATCATTGTTGTTTGTTGTTGTTGTTGTATTTATTGATTCAGTTGATTCAATGTTATCAAGTTTGATTGATTGTTCAATGATTGAATTCAATTGATTGAAATCAGGTTGTTTGATTGTTAATTTATATGATGATAATGTTAAGTTATTATCGTCTGTGTTTGTTGTTGATTCATTGAATTGATTGTTGTATTTATGAATGATATCTAATAATATTGATGATGAATCTGAGGAATGTTGTTTGATAAGTTCATCAATATTGAAATAATTATTATTTTTATCATTGAATAATGTTTGATTATTATGATTGATGAATGATTGTAATGATGAACTTGTTGTTATTGATTCCATTATTGTTGTTGTTGAATATAATGTTGTTGTATCTGGTATAATTGATGTATCCTCGTTATTAATAATACCATTACTATTATTATCACTACTATTATTATTATTATTTAATTTATTAAATAATATTATAATATTTATTAAATATTTCAAATTCATGATATTTTTATCGATTTGATTTGTGATTGTATGTTTATCATTGATAATATCTCTTTGTAGTTTATGTTCTTCAATGATTAGATATTGATGTAATTGTTCAAAATGTTGTTTGATATCATTCTCTGTTGTTGATATTTTTTTTTTTTTTTTTATTTTAAAAGTGTTCATATTTTATTTAAATTTGTGTTTAATTAAAACAGAGTTGGTTGCTTTAGTATGTTGACTTCTATTGGACATTAGTTTGAATTTTACAGTTTTAACCCTTGCCAGTGGCTGATCAGGCTGGCTGTTCCGGTGATTGAAGATCGGATGATCTTATTTAAAGTGTAGGAGTGGTCTCTGATGTCTAGCTGCTTCAGATAGTAGGGTAGGTCGTGGACCGTAGGTTGACCTTCTTTGGTTGTCTCTGTGTTGTATGTACCAAAGGCACCAATGATTATAGGTATGACTGCTACCTTGTGGTCTGGGTTACTCTTCTTAAGTGCGGCTGCTAGTGGTTGGTATTTTTCAATCTTATCTCGGCTTCTTTTAACAATGTTGTTGTCATATGGTACTGATATTTCGATGATTTTGATTGATTTCTTGGTTCGGTTCTTAACGATTAGATCTGGTTTGTTGGTTTTGGTTAGTGCATTATCTATTCTGGCTTCATGTAGGATCTCAATGGTATCAGACTGGTAGACTGCGCCTGGCTTGTAAGGTATTCTGTGGAACTTCAGCATCTCTTTGAGTATCACTTTCACTACCATGTTGTGTCTTGGTACTATACATAGTAGTTTCATCGCGTGGCATGAGGATACAATGTGCTCTATGGACTCTCTTGCGGAATGGCACTTTCTACATTTTGGATCGGTTACGGCATTTCCCATGATTCCTTTTGCTGACAGGGTGTTCATGTTCTCTGTCAGTGCAAGCCATAGGTGGTGGTCAACATGTCGAGGTATGAATCTCCATTGGGCTATCCAGTTTCTTGCCATGTTTTCTCTGTGTTTGATCCAGAATTTGGTTCTAGCTGTTGGTTCGATTGGGTGTTGTTCTCTATATACATTCTTGAGGTGAGCTGAAATGGTGTTTGTGATCGTAGGGCTGCCATCGTGATTGTGTAGTATTGTTTCTCCATCCTTATCTATTTGCCATTTTCCATCTTTACTGAATGTGAGTTTGTAGTCAAATGATTCCATGTGTCTCATTGCGCTGGTGTATAGTGGGTTCTTCGTTTCAAATGCATAGTTCATAAGGTCTTGGTTTCTCCTCACCGAGTGTAGTTTGTTGATAATGATTGATATCTGGATGTCGATGATCTTAATGATTCCCAAAGAGATTTAATTTTATTTTTGATTTGAGAATGAAAATTATTATTACTGCTGTTAGTGCTGTCATTATTGTTTGTTGTTGTTGTGGTGTCAATAATATCATCTAACTTTAATGTACTCAATGAATCCTTGATTTCATCGATATGTTCTATTTTATCGGAATGATCAGGATGATCTTTGATATGAATGGTAATACATTTTGAACACATCAAACTATTACATTGATAACAAATGAATTCGTGTGATCTTTGATGATTCAAACATTTAATTGTCATTTTCTCTAATTATTATTAACTTTCTATCAATATTTGATTTTTTGAAGGTATTGACTAAATAAACAAACAAGATAAGATTATAACAATAATTTTTAAACAAATGTGGTGACTATTTTTGAACAAATTAAAATTAAAAATAAAAAATTGAATTTTCTAAAACTTAATCTCAAGTGACCACACATATCATGAAAAAACAATGATATTATGAAATAACTGTGTAATACGTACGTCAAGCGAGTCTGAAGAATGCATTTGGAGAAGAGTTGATTCGACAATTGTAGAGCAGGTGTAGTTGTTTTTATTAGTCTTCAGCTCTCATTGCTTCAACAGATGCCAGGTGTTGGTACTCTACCAATCTTTGTTTGCGATTTGGTGATGATCTCTGGAATGTGGCCACTCTATCTTAATTTAATTAATGTGTTATAATTTATAGTGCTGTCATAATTTAATTAATATCTTAATTTAATTAATGTGTTATAATTTATAATTAATGCTATAATAAATAATTAAATCACAAAGATACTTATGGTTATCGTCAAATAACATGTTTAATTGTATTTTTGCTAGCAGCAACCTCTTTCTCTCAACCTTTGCATTGCATTCAATTAGTAGTTCTTATTGTAACCTTCTGTGCCGTTATGAGATTGGCTGTTAAAGTGGGTGGCAATTATATCATCGGTCTGTCTTGACTTTGATTATTTATCCTAAATGAAATGAAAGATGAATAATGTAGGTAAGTAGTGTGTCGCTTTTCAAAATTCTATATACTGTATATGATTAATACTAACGATCCACAACCACCTACGTTATGATCGAAGATTTTTAGATTCATTCACAATTATCATGGAAAGAGAAAGAGATCGTAAAGACATGTATAACAATAAAAGCAGTCCAAACTTTAATAAATTAGACTTCCAACAGAAGTGTAGTTAAGAAAGAGCAATTAAAACATATAGAACAACTAAAATTACACAACAACAATGATGATTTAAAAGAAATACAAAATTTTTTAAACACTATTATTAAAGTCTATTCTTTGAAATAATTGTCTTGTAAAAGTCTAACTGTCCCTTATTCGTCAATCTATTATCATTATATAATTATTTGATCCTATATGACTTTATTAAATAAAAAAAAGGTGATAAGTTAGATATATGAAACGGGTGTAGATAGATCTGCTATCCTAATATATAGATTACAAACTGTTAGGCTATTGTAAGAGGTTCTTCTGCTGGTCAATGGCATTGAGTCTGACTGCCAATCTCCAAGTGACAGATACTAGATGCTGAGATGCTAAGGTAAAGATTTGGCTATCTTCCATTGCCGACAATGCATTACGCTTGGATGCTACACAATCTGTTTGTGGACTGTTGAAGTGCTACTCACCAACACCAATGGATATTGGAGATGCTTTCTACTACGTCTATCCTACAAAAACCGAATGTTATCCAATCTATCGGTCTCTGTTCGTGATATTTGTTATCGCGAATGTTTTGAGACCAGAGATGCATCTTGCCTGACAAACTTGACCAAATACACTGTCATCCGTCATGATCCTCGCCGGAGAGCTATCGACTCTACTACTCGATCTTCCATGTCTTTCTACTATTCCAAAGCGATGTGCTAAGTCGGCGTACTGATTAATAGCGGTGGTGGTCATATCTCTAAATTGGCATGCCTCATCAAGCTGAGTTATACTGCTTAACTTATACAATATCATCTCGAATAGGCATCCACCATCCACAATAATTATTGTGAATCAAAATGTATCTCTATGTATGGTTGATGTTCAAATTGTATGGTACAAGATAGATATGTCATCTATGATAATAATTTGGTTAGCAATGATCAAATATCACAGTCACACTCTAACTATGCTAAATATTATGGTTATAACATACAAGTCTACATTTTGGTTCGAGAGTCTATTAAAAGAAAAAAAAGACCATTCATACATCTCATTACTGATACTGTTATTAATGCTACTAACTTTCGAACTATTTGCATTATAACTGTTTGCTATAATCAGTAATCATTTTCAGTAAAATTCAAAATTTTGTCAAAACTGATCACGATAAGATTGTTATTTTATAACTTCGTTTAAATGATTAATCTTTTTTTTTTTAAGATTCATTCTCTTCATCCTACTCTACTATTTATTGAAATACATATACATTTTATTATGCATTACAGATACTCTGTTCGTATCCTTGTGTACCGGTATGACATTGTGTTTTCAAAGTGTGTGTCATCGACGTTGATTTACCAGAGCAGTCGCTGTTTTCAAAGGTGGTGATGGTGGTCGATGTATCGTCGCAAGTAGTCACGACACCCTCATTGCATACCTTTGAAATGTAGGTCTGTGTAAAGGTTGGCGCAGTTTGACAGGCGGAATCTTCGTATCTGGCGTAGGTAGAAGCACTGTGATTATTGAAGGGACCTTGTTGACAGAGAACCAGGGATTGTCCATTGCAACCAAGCGGATAGGTAACTATATTCAGAGGACTAGATGAACAATCGTTATCAAAGAACGAGGCGATAGTACCGACATTATCGTTAGGTGAACAGTAGGTGGCCACTCCATTAGCACAGGTGTTCACCTGATAGCTGTAGGCATTGTGAACATCGCCATTGCAATCACCATTGGTATAACCTATATTTGCAATTACTAGATAGTATGGCGAATTTGCATTACATACACCCAATATAGCCAATAATACAACTAATGTTTTGAAGATCATACTACTACTATTATTCATTCTTTAAACTTTTAGTTAGTATCACTAAAATAAACAATCCAAGAATATATAATTATAATAAATCTAAGATTATTTATATATTATGATTCACATGTTGATTGATCATTATATATAACAAAGTTTATGAAAAAAAAATCTATAAGATCTATGACAATTTAAAATATCTTTGATAAAATTTTATCTAAAAATCTCATATTATCATGATTTATGATGAAGATCACTTAATATTTATTGGAAACGGTATTTAGATTTAAATTTTTATAAAATATCAAATAAATTATTATCTGGTTATTTTTAAAAAATCTGATCAAGATTGTCTCAATTCCAAAGAATCTTTTGACTTTTGAGGAAATAGCTTCCATTTTTTTTAAAAAAATGCTTCTATTTGTATGATCCAATATCAACATTACTACTAGTTCTGCCTTTAATTTGTTTTTACTTAAAAAAAACAAAGAAAATTTGCTTGACAATGTTAAAGACCATTGAATACCTATGATCATAGTTAGTTCGATAAAATTAATTTACAACTCTGACCTTAACCTATCACTTCCTAATCTTCAATGATAATCTAAAAAATAAACATAAATTGGTGATTTAGATGCTCTGTTTATCAAAAATTATTTATTAAAATGTAATTGAAGTAGATGCACACCAGTATCTTTTGTGATTAATAATATCTCTAAAGAATGGTTCATATTGATTGGATTCAATTGAATATTTGAAATTATATTCAAGAGAATTACCAAATGAAAAGATATAACTTGATGTAGGTGATTCTCGATGATACATTACACATGAAAACTGTAAATTTGTTAGAGATATTGCATTAAGATTGATTGATTGTTTGGTTTCAACATTGTATTTGATGAATCGTTTGTTTGTTGTATCTAATATAAAGAAATTTCCATTGTTGTCATGACATGTTGATGTTGGTATAAAGTCAATTCGATGATTTGTTATCGTTCTACTTGTCAAATCGAATTGAAATAGCTTATTTTGATTGAACGATATTGAATATAATGAACCTTTGAAGATCATTGACGATGCTTATACCATAGCCAAAAGGTAATTGATGATATGATTCAAATTTCATTGTTTTGATGTTGAATCGATCAATTCTATAGTTAAGACCGGCACCATTCACTAAATAGATATGATCTTGACCATCATAACAAACTGAAATATTACGATCACCTTTGATTCCTTCTATAATACCAAAATGTTCAATTGATTTCGATTTCATTGATATTTTAATCCATTTATTTGCATTGTATTCTCCACCCGAATATATAGATATTTTCTCCAATTGCAACAATCGAGGGGCATGTATTATTAAATTTATAATCAAACTTTAATACTTCAACTGAATTGTTGTTTGATGTGTTGATCAGTGTTGCTCCGTATGATTCGTGTGTTATGAAAATATAAGATTGTTTATTATCATTGTTGTTTGTTGATGTTGTTGTATTTATTGATGGTGTAGATACAGTTCTATCAATGTTTGTTGTTGTTTTTGTGGTGCTGTCAGTAATATCAGCAAATTTAAATGTACCCCATGATTGTTTGATGTCATCGATTTTTGCACATTTGAATGATCAGGATGATCTTTGTTATGACTGATGATACATATTGAACACATCAAACTATTACATTGATAACAAATGAATTCATTTGATTGTTGATGTTTTACACATTTACTTGTCATTTTTTAACTTTCTAAATAAAGAACAAGAAGGATTAAATACACAAATTTTTTGGATTTTGTAAAAATTTTGACAACCCTAAAGGTTCGTTCTATTCCTTTAGATCTATTAGTTTGCTTTAATAGATAATAAAGATTATTGATTTCTTAATTCTAAGAATAGAATTAAATAAAGTCTAATAAAAATAAACAATTATATTACATCAAACTATTAAATTGAAAACAAATAAATTCAGTGATTTAAATATTTATTGTTTTTAATATTAAATTTAACGATCAACTTCATAGGTGACTCTTACAACTCTTTTTACAGATTCCAAATCTTCCTTTTTTATAATATAAAATAGAATTTTACTACAGAATAGTTAAAGGTTTTAGTCACTAATTTAAACTGGGACAAACTTTGATGTACTAATTAGTAAATTAGTAATATAATTAATTACGGTTAGTATCCAGAACAAACAAGTTATCATTAATTTACAATAACTAGTAGTTTAATATTTGATTCAATTCCTATCTCAAAATATTTTTCTAATTTATTCAATAATTTTTTTAAAACCAAACTTATTTGGGAAATAGCTTTCTTATCTAATTTAACTCCTTACGATGTCATTTGTGGTTATATCTTACCTTATCATTATGAGTAGAAAACTTCTCTGAACCTGTTGTTTCAAAAGTCTAATAAAAGAAATAAAATTTTTGACAAAATGAAAATAGAGTTTTTGTTTAACTTTTACGTTACCGTGGGTTTTTTTATGAGTAAAGGTTGATGTCTTGATGATGAATATTTATTTTTTTTTGTTCAATTTATTATAATTCGAATCGTCCGGGAGTTGGTGCGATTTTAAAAAAAAAAAGGTTTAAAATGGTTTCAATATGTTCAATTAAGTTAAATATTAGCAAAATTGAGAAAACATTTTTTTTTTGAGATTTTCATTTTACCAAAAAAATAGCAAATATTGCAAATATGTTCTTTATTTGTTAATTTTAATATTTTTTAGTAGAGAATCAATTATTCTATAATATTTACTATTGGGAATGAATTGAAATAAGTTTTATGATAAAAAAATTAATTTTTATGTTATAAATGACAACTAGAAATTTTGTATTGGTTTTAAAGAATTTGGGATAACATGGACGGTCAGAATATAAACAAGATTGGTGAAACCCCCATTCTTTTAGAGTTAAATTTGACTTGAAAGTCAAAATGTGGTCAAGTTTAATTTCTACTTTTAAGTAATTTTTACACACACTCAAAATATCTAGCACAACAAAAAAATTTATTTTTTAAAAATTTTGCGTCTTATAAATTTTATTTATTTTTATTTCATTTTGTAAGAGTTAAATAGGAAAAAGTTATAATGTCATCAATATTGATGGATGAGGACAATATTGCCCAAGAAGTGGAAACTGATGATGAAAATGAAATTCAACAACATTTGCTGGAAAATACTTTAGATGATCGAGGTAAATAAAATATAGTATATTAGTTTTTCCTACTATGTTTCTAACAGTAAAAATCAAGATTTTGAGGAAAATGATGAATATTTTAATAGAATGAAGGTCGAAGAATTGAAAGAAATTTGTAGATCCAATGGGTGGAACCCAAATCAAACTAAACCAAATCTAATTGATGAAATTATGAGTCGTGGAGAAAAAAGCGAACATGGTTGGACAGATTTAAATTTTTCCTCTGAAAAAATCACTGAACCCGATTTTAGTGGTAATTGCACTAAAAATCTGAAGGCATCAACTCCGTATGAAATCTTTACACTATTCTTTGATCGGACTATTATTACACACATAACAGCAGAAACCAACAGATACATGGATCAAATGGGTAAAAATGTTGAGTTTAAACAACATTTCCAATCAGAATGTACATATGAAATCATTATGGGATTTATTGGTGTCTTGCTATGGATGGGAATCTGCAAATTACCATCTTTTTCTGATTATTGGTGTGAAAATGGTGAAGGATACGATCCAGTTCGAAGTATAATGTCTAGAAATCAATTTACCAGCATTTTTTCAACTATTCATTTGTCAAATAACAATCAAAAGGATCCTAATGATATTTTTTATAAAATTAGACCTTTGATTAAACACTTGGAAAGCAAATTCAAATATTATTGGAGTCCAACAACCATTATATCAATCGATGAAGATATGATCGGTAGTCGTCACAATCATCCTTCCATTCAATATATGCCTGCTAAACCTACTAAATGGGGCTTCAAGGTGTTCAAGAAAGCTGATAGTAAAGGTTACCTCTATTCCTTTATGATCTACCAAGGTAAAGCAGGTAAAGATACATCTCGTACATCTTCTGAAAGAGGATTAGTCCAAGATGTGATCCTATATCTTCTCAAAGATTTACCTAAAGATCAGAAATATCACGTTTATATGGACAACTACTACAGTAGCATAGATATTTTTTCAGATTTATACGAAAAGAAACAATACTATGCAACTGGTACAATCAAGAATACGGCAGCCGGACTACCATATAGTCTAAGACATAGCTCTGAAAATAGTGAGGTAGACTATGTTTCCAAGTGCTTAGATAAAAAGATGATGCTCTGGAGAATTAATGATAGTAAAAGTTTCAATCTCCTTTCAACATTCTCAACAAATGGCGAACATTTTAAAGATGTGAAATATGTAAATAGTGGAACAATAACTAAGGAATATCCTCAAGAGTTGAGCCTTTATCGATCTAACATGGGACATGTCGACAGAAACAACAAAAATATTGGTCAATACCAGTATTCTTTGAAATCTCGTAGATGGTGGTTAAATATCTTTAAATACTTTCTTTACGCTTCCATTGTCAATGCATGGATTATTTACAATGAATGGCATCAGATATCACTTCTAGAGTTCATTCGTGATATTTCTCGTCATATTTCCAGACACTATAGCCTTCGTATCATACCAATCACCTCCACCACATCTTCTTCATCCACCTCAAAAAAAGAACTCTTTCCAAACAATCACACAAAAAGACATGCAATTGTGTTCCAAAATGCAAATTAAGTTCAAACTACAGATGTGAACACTGTGGCCTTTATTTTGCACAAAGCCACTTTGAAAAACATCAAAATGAGACAGATTAAACTTAAAAATAAAATTTAAAAAAACAAAAATTCCGTGGTATTGTGAAAGTTAAAGTGAATTTTGTTCAATTTAGTAGTGTTTTCACACCTTTTTCTCCATAAATTTTTAATTTCTCGTTGTCTCATTCAAAACTTAACATTCTTAATCCAAAAATATACTGGAATTGCAATCAAATAACTAAAAAAGTGAAAGGTGATTAAAGTCTATCAAATAATAGACACAATGAAATAAAAATTTTTGTGAAAAAGTAACAAAAAAAGACCATACAAAACTCCATAAAAACACTATTTTTGGTGGGTTATTAAAGTTTATTATTATTAATAAAAAAAAAAGTGGGTGAAGGATCATTTTGTCTAATTTGTTAACAAAAAGGATAATAATTTTTTAACATCCATTAATTAAAATCTATTATTTCATTCGTTTCAATCAAAAATATGGATATCAATAATAATAATCATATTGAGCAGGTAGAGCAACCTAACTACGAATTTTTATTACTACCTCGAGAGCTAGATAGCTTGACCTATAATAAAATAGTAAAACTCAATTCACAAGTATCAATAGGTGACTACGATCCTTTAGTTCAAAAGCTTAAGATTCCAGTTGAAACACCGGTGAACATTGAACCTCTACTTTCCTTTTTCAGCTTTGACCCTCTTGACGAGATTGTGCAGTTCAACAACCATCTTAGAATTGAGACAGAAGATAAATCAGTTTTGTGGATAAGATACATGGCTGGAAGACCAGATAAACAATGTTTAGAATTTGGAAGTCAAATACGAAACTGGAACAAAGCTAACAACATCAATGGTTCAGTGTTTGGTTCACATACCAAATTCAAATTCAGAGTCAATAATGCTCTTGTTTCTTAGTATGTATATCAATCAAATATTGAAAGAAAAGAGTAGAGTGAGATTTTGCTAATTTTTTACCATTTCAAGTTACCCAGATTCTTGTTTCATATCAGCAAACAGATATGCCAACATACCAGATTCAATAAAAAATGATAAGGGATTTACAATTCAACCAGACTTTGTTGTAGAAGTCCGCTCTTATGGTCCTGGAGCAAACAATGCTCTCATCTACCAACAAAGAAAGATGTGCCGATGGATTTCATCTGGAGTAGAGTCCGGCATCCTATTCGATAGAAAAGGGGGAAATGCATACCTTTATTGTAATACCAACTTGGTCAATCTTGCCAACCAAATTGCTATCCAACAGGGCAACGTTACCAACGAGACGAATCAGTTACAGTTGGACATTGTAGACCTACAAAATGCAGTAGAAAACCTAGCTAACTTCCCACAAGCCGTTGTATTGGCTGTTCAGAGTGTTCTTGACACCAAGCGTCATAAACTACAACAACTTCAATGGCAACAAGTATATTTCCAGAATCTTGTTCCTGTTCCTACCTTCGACTACGATGGGATCCAACAGAATTATCCAAACGTCTTGTTCGTTGCCATACCTCTCAACCTGGCCCAAAATGCAGTAAATGGTCCAAACATTATCATTCATTGTATTGGTGCTGTTGACGGACTAAGATTCGATCTTTCAGAATTACCTCTTGATTAAATTCACTTGTTATACCATTTTATTGCCAAATACATTAATAAATCAATAAAAAATATTAATTAACTATTTTTATTCATATAATTTGACTATTGATTAATATATTATTTATTTTATTTTATTTTTTTAATTTATTTTTTTTTTCTCTTTTATAAATTATACAGATTCAAATTAAAATTCCAATTTTTTTTTTTTTAATTTTGATACGATATTTTTCAAACCTCTATAAACAGTTTTGTTAAAAATTGATGTTTGTTCAAATAAATAATAAAATATTTATAAAACTAATAAAATGAAATTACACAAATTAAAAAAAAAACCTACAACTAATAGTAAAAAAAACTTTTACAAAAAATATGTTGTTATAGGAGTATAGATATAAAATAGGTAGATTTGAATAATTATTGAATTTTGAAGCATTAAAATAATGAGAGATTTCAATCCTCAATTCAAAAACTACAAACATCAGGTAGTCAATAATGTAATTTAGATAAATTTATTATTGGGCACAAAACATATTTCCCAAGAAAAATTCTGAAAGAATTCGTGCCTTGTTAGGAATACTTTGATTGGTGTATTGTTCTGTTTGAAGATCGATTGTGAATATATTATAATTGGGTGGATTGAGTGAAACTACAACCATATATCCATTTGGATCTAAAACAAACTCTGCTGTAGTTTCTAATTGTTGAAAATCAGCTTTGAAAATACTTCGTGTTGTTTTTGTATTAAAATCAATGGTGATAACTTGATAGTATTTATCCTGTAAGAGACCAACATAAACTATTGATTCATAAACATGGATTGTTTCAACGGATGACCAAAACTGCATTTCAAATGGTATATCATAATAAGTTATGTTTTTGGTGATCATAGAATACACTCCAAATGATAATGATGATCTAGTTCCCGTTTCATATCCATATAAATAATATAATTGATTTGTTGGATCATATGCCCCAAAAGTATATAATACACAATGGTTATTAGTTGCTATTGTTTCACTGTTTTTAAATTGATTAATATTTAGTTAATAAAATGTAGTTTACATATTGATTATTGTTATATTTAACGTACACAGTTTCAGTATTCATATCAAATATATAAATATATGACGAACCGGAGTTACAAAAAGTTGTGAATGCCAACCCACTTGGAAGATCAATACTATTGGATTGATAAATGAACATTGGATTCTCAGGAATATAGAATGTTGCTTTGGTTGTGAATGTACCTGTCTAAAATTGTTCGTTGATTAATATTAATATTGTTTGTTTGTTATTTGAGAGAAGGTAAGAAAAAATGAATAACACTTACTTCACCATTTAGAATGGAAATATTGAAATAACCTGGTTGATATGAATCAGGTCCAGACGCTAATACATAATAATCATTACCTGAACATTTTAATAAACTAGTTATAAAATGTGGTGACTCGAAAGCATAGCTTTGAATTAATTGTCCGGTTGTCAAACTTATCGATGTGAAGTTCAATTCAGTACAGGTCAATGTTGTAGGTTGAGAACTTGTTGAATGTATTCTTATAAAGAATAATAAATAAAACAATAATAAAGATCTAATCAAATTATCCATTTTTGAATGAAAATAATGTAAAATTTCAGTACTAATTAAAATTGATTTTTGTTTTTAAAATTTTTATAAACTTATTTTTGAAGTTTCACAAAAAAATTCTAATTGTTTTTAGAGCGGTTTAACTTAGTTGCAACTAACACTTGATATTCAGGTTTTTTAAAAAAATTATCGGATGGCTCATTTTACAAAAGTGTATTGAACATGCAGAAAAACTTTGCAATCGGCTAATTTTTATCATTTTTTAACAAAATTGAGATTTTTTTTTTTAAACCGCTCTTAGTTGCAACAAAACAATCAATTTTGAATCCATAAACTGTAGCTCTCTATGGATCAGATATTCAGTATTTCATTGCTTTCAATCAAACTCATTGTAAGTATATTTTAAATTTAATAATAGTGATCATTCATTTAAGAATATTCCAAGATAAACTCATACTCACAAAATTACAACAAAAGAAACTGACTTTGAATTTTTTTTTCATGTTTTTTTTATTATTATTAATAGTATTATTTTATTTTAAAGTAATTGTACGAAATTGGCAGGGAAAGTACCAGTGAATCCTTGACACTCACCGATCCACCAACCTGATTCGTCAGAGGTGTCGTGAATATTAATAATATCACCAGCATAGAAAGATAGATCACCTTCTGCTGCTGCTTCATAGTCGTATAATGCTTTTGCTTGTTGTCCAGTACCTGCTGCCTGTTGATGATCGTATCCCGATTGATCGTCGTAGTGTTGATTTTGATCGTATCCCGATTGATCGTAGTGTTGGTTCTGATCGTATCCCGATTGGTCGTATCCCGATTGATCGTCGTAGTGTTGATTTTGATCGTATCCAGATTGGTCGTCGTAATATTGGTTTTGGTCGTCGTAGTGTTGATTCTGATCGTATCCCGATTGATCGTATCCCGATTGATCGTATCCAGATTGATCATATCCAGATTGATCGTATTGCTGTTGATCGTATTGTTGTTCTTCGTAGACTGGCTCTGGTTCTGGTTCTGGAACGACAACACGCTTTGGAGGTGGAGGTGGCTTCTTGACTGGCGCGGCAACAACTGGCTCTGGCGCAGCTGGAGTGAATTTTACTGGAGGTGGTGGAGCTGGTTTCGATTTGATTGGAACTGGTGCTGGAGCTGCTGGTTCCGGAGTGAATTTGATTGGTGCTGGTGGAGCTGGCTTGGTGGCAACTGGTGGCTTGGAGACGGCGACTGGTTCCGGTGTGAATTTGACTGGTGCCGGTGCAGACGATGCTGAAGTCGATGGGAATTTTACTGGTGCACCCTTTGGAGTTGGTACTACTCTTGTTACAGGTGCAGCTGCAGCTGGTTCTGGTTCGGACGACGGCTTGAAGGCAGTGGCAGCTGGCTTCTTGTAGGCGGCGCCGCCGAATGGCTTTGACGCTGGTTTAGCAACTGGTTTTGGTGATGGTGTTGTTGCGATACCACCACCACTAAAGATCGCAGGATTCTTACGTATAGGTTCACTCACCACCTTTGACGCTGTAGTTGGTACTTTATCGACTGGTGCTGATTTCTGAACCAAATCTTTACCTGCTTCCAACGCTGATGATCCTACTTGTTTTTGTGTTGATTTCGAATTATCGATATTGTTTTGATTCTAAATGTGTTGTATTCAAAAGTAATATCATATGTTAATTGAATGAATGAATGAATTAAAGAAGAAGAAGAGTAAAGAAGTAGTAGTATGTTGTTCAAATAGATACTTACAACAAAATCTGGATCAGTATCCCATCCATCATCGTCATCATTAAGAGTTAGTTTCTTTATCTATAAAAATAGAGTGTGTGTGTTTGAATGTTGTTAGTAAATGTTTAAAAACTAATGATCATTCTTATTCGATTTTGATTAGGTATTTGAAGCAATCATACATCAACAGAGTTACCAGTTATTTTATTTGTCATTTTACTATAACTTCTTTACTCTTTCTATATATTTCTAAAACTTTTTGTTTTATTTTATTTTTTCTTTATAATAAATAAATAATTAATTTACAAATATTTAAATATATCTTTTTTTTTAATTTTAAATATATATTTGATAAAATACAATAATAATCAATGTGCAATTAATTCTGACTATTTTTATTTGAATGATTTTTAAAATTAAAAAAAAAATTAAAAAAAATTAAAATCTAAAATTTTATGTGAATTACTATAATTCACACTTTGTGGTGGGTGTTGACTTCAACAAGATGGGTGTGGTAATTCACAGAGAGTGATTTTACAAGATAGATAATTATATATCTATCAGTCTATAAAAATTAAAATAACTGCTTTCATATGATTTTATTTTATTTACAATTTTATTTATTTTTGTTTTTTTTTAATTATTATTATTTATAGATAAATTAAAAAAAAAACAAATGTATATTTTCTTTTTTTTTTTTTTTTTTTTTTTAAAGATGATTTGATTTGCTTATGATCGATCATTTATCATCTTGATGAAAGTAGTTTAAATGCAGAAATAGGTGTTGGTACGAATTTAAATAGGTTTGTCATTGAGCTGTGACTGTGTTGCTGTTGTTGTTGTAGTTCTGCTGCATCGGATTTTTGTTTCTCGGTGATCAGTTGGTAGATTTCGAATTGGTTCTCCACTGCCAGCACTCGAGATTCGATCGTTTGGAGATGTGCCGACTTCTTGTTTGACCACTCGCGTATGTCACGCTTCAAAATGGTGAGTTCGTTCTGCAGCTGTATGACGACGGCGTGCACCTCGCGCTCTTGCTTCTTCAGCTCCTGTCGATTGCGTTCGTCCTGCTGCTTCAGCTGTTGCTCAACGTATTTCTTTAGCATTTCAAACTCTATCGCCGAATCGGAGCGGTCGCGTGTCAGATAGGTTGCTCCATGATTACCAACACCGCTGACTCTGTTGGGTGAAGAAGATCCACCCGACTCTGTGGAGACACCTACTCCACTTCCACCACCACCACCGCCAATTCCACCAAGTGTAAAATCGATTGTTTCCACACCGGAATACAACTCATCCATTCGCTTCTTAAAGTGATCGATTACATAGAATATAGGTTGATAGGTAGTGACAAACGACGCTATAATAATGAAGTAGGGATGCAACAGTTGACTCAGAGTGGATAACGAGTATCTCACACAGAAAATCTCTAATGAATACCAACTAAACAATGCAACAAACGGACATAATATTGAAACTATTAATAATCTAAAAAGATAGATAGATACAGATAGAGAAGAAATAGTAAGTAATCTAATGAATAGATATTGTAATTCTTTATTAAATATACTATATATATAATAAACTAAACACTACTTACTTCCATTCTATTGTAAATAATTCTTGTAGATGATTCTTTACGACTTCGCTATCGGGATTGATTTGTTGTAGATCTTTGAGATGCAATGATTTCTCTTTGACTATGAAATATAATTTTAACGGTGTTTTAAAAATATAAATAAAGAACGCTACTGCTATATACCAAACTATTAAATCCAATGCTGCTTGTAATGTTATTTTCTAATAATAGTGGGAAATGAACCAATCATTTTTGTTAAATTCGAAATTCACTTTCAATCAATTTTTTTTTTTTTTGTTTTTTTTTTTTTAATATTTTAAACTTTCTTTACTTACATTGGAATGAACAGCAAGCATCAAAGGAATGACAATGAATACTGTCACTGACTGTAATGCTTTTCCAAAAGACATGTCTTTTTGGAGAGAATAGTTTACTTTTAATTAAAAAAATAAACTTTTAAATTATTTATTATTATCTCTTTTTTTTTTTTTTTTTAATTTTTTCTATTTATTCTATTTATCTATCTATTTTTACATGTAAATAAATGTTCACAACTAATTTCATTTAAAAATATTTATTAATAATATAAATAATCAAAAAAAAAACAAACTATTTTTTTTAACACAATACAATTTATTTAAAAGTTTATGAATGGCTAAAGAGAGAGTGATTTTATATATAAAAAAAGAATGAAATTTTCATAAGTAATAAAAAACAAATACAAATAATAGTAAGTAAAATAAGTAAAAAAAAAAAAATCTTTAACACTTTATTAAGTTTTAAAACACACTTTTAATCTTCAATAACAATAAATGTAATAATACCCCAAAAAACTCACCAATGAACATTAAAAAAACAAACACACACTCACTTTGATTCTCATTTTTAAGCTTAGCCCCACATAAAAAAAAAAATGTGTGTTGACTCAAACCAAAAAAAATTAATTTAAAAATGATAAATTAATTAGAAAATACAAAAAAAGGAAAAAATGACAATTCAATATTTGCAAATAATAATATCTTTTTATATTACAATCTATAAATAAATTTTATTTACATTTTATTTTACTTATTTTTGAACAACCAAAAAAATCTTTTTTTTTTTTTTTTTTTTTTTGAATTTTTTTTTTTTAATTAAGAGTGTTTTTTTTATTTTATTTGATTTAAATATAAATAGATAAAGCATAGGTACACTATTGAATAACTATAATGATTATCACACAAATACCAGTGTTAAAGTTGATTGTTGAGTATATAGATAGCAATTTAGATAGGATTTGTTTCGTTTTGACATGTAAGGATCTGTTTGATAAGAGAAACAAGATTCTCACTATTAAACCAGAGGTTTTAGATCATGATATGCAGCACTACTTCATGGAGTTCAAGATGAAGAGTTTTCTAAAGAAGACTTATGAACAGGTGAAGGCGTTATCAAAGATATCGAGTGTCGATGTCGATGTACCTAATGTCTCTGGTCGGTACACCGGTCCAATCCGCTACTACCAACCGGACTTTAAGTTATTCCAGCTGGATCACTACATTGAGCGGCCACGAGCGACATCGGTGAAACAGCGTATCTCTTACTTGCAATCGTCGAACCCGCCCAGCCAAACCGAACGACAATCACTGGCGAATCAGATCGGCGACGAGGTGACCGATCTCGAGTACTGCTACTTCAGTCACTGGTTGGTGGATTTCGAGCGAATCCAACAGGTTCAATCGATACAGTTTCTCACGTTGCCAAACGCGTACAACGAGAAGATACGGCCTGGACAACTACCTCCGCGTCTACTCTATCTTCAGCTCGGAATTTCTTACTCGCACCCATTCCAATTCGGGCTGTTCCCAGAGACTTTGGAGCGACTTATCATAGGGACCAGTTATAATCATCCTCTGGAGCCAGGCGTGTTACCATCGCGTTTGAAAACACTCAAGTTCCTAAAGGTATCGTACTTTGATCATCCCCTACAAGTCGGGTCACTACCGAATTCACTGATGTACTTGATATTCGGTGGTAATTTCAATCAACCTATCACCTCAGTCGACATACTACCGCAATCACTGATTGCACTTGATTTGGGAACTTCTTATAATCATCCACTTTTCATTACAAACATCTCCATTGGTGATAGTAGTACTACTACCACTTCCACACAGAAAAAAGATAAAGATAGTAACAATAATATAGAGACGCACCACACAGTATTACCAAGATATCTAAAGTATTTGGTATTGGGTAAATGGTTTTCTCAACAGTTGGATGCTAATTCCATACATCCTGGTATCACTCATTTGGCGCTGTCCAATGAGATGTATAAAAACCTATCGAAACTACCGTCAACTGTTCGTTCGCTCGCTATCATCGATCATGCCAAAGACATAGTGCGATACATACCGAAATTCATAGAGGAACTGCATTTCGATGACTTTAAAAAAGTAGATCTCTCAAAGATACCGGATAGTGTACAACGACTGTCAGTTTACTCCACCTTTTTCACAGAAAACAAAGCGCTAATGTCTAAGCTTCCGAAATCAATACAGTCACTCCGATACGCCTATGCCCAATACGCTAAATCAATGCTAATCGAAATAAGAAGAATATCATCGACACACTGTCTCATCTTGTCTGAAAAACTATTTGGTGGAATCACCAAAAACAAAGATATCGACACAAAGATTAATACTTTAATGACATTGTTTGATGGAAATATAAATTTTAAATTATTACTATAACAAATAATAAACCATATGGTATTTTGTAATTTTATACTCTTTAGATTTAAATGCAATATTTATTGTGTTTAAATTCTTGAGCATTATCATATTTATTATAATGTAATTGAAGTAGATGCACACCACGCTCTATTGTGATTTTTAATATTTCTAAAGAATGGTTGACATCGATTGGATTCGATTGAATATTTGAAATTACAATCAAGAGATGGACCAAATGAAAAGATATAACTTGATGTTGGTGATTCTCGATGATACATTACAAATGATTGCTGTCCATTTGTAAGAGAAGTAGCATTGAGTTTGCTGATTTGCTTGGTTTCAACATTGTATTTGATGAATCGTTTGTTTATTCGATCCAATATGTAGAAATTTCCATTGTTATCATGACATGCTGATAATGGTATAAAGTGAATGTTATGGTTTTCTATCGTTCTATTTGTCAAATCGAATTCAAATAACCTGTTTTGATTTTGTGATATTGAATATAATGAACCTTTGAAGATCATGGATGATCCCTGTGTACCATAGCCTTGAGGTAATTGATATAATCTTTCAAATGTCAGAGTTTTGATATTGAATCGATCAATATTGTTCTTTTTATGATAACCATTCACCAAATAGATATGATCTTGACCATCATAACAAACTGATATATTAGAATCACCTTCAAAATCACCAATATGTTCAGCTGATTTCGATTTCATTGATATTTTCATCCATTTGTTTATATTACCATATCCACCGAATATATAGATATATTCACCAATTGAAACAATCGAGTTGTATGTTTGAGTAAATTGATAATCAAACTTTAATTCTTCAACCGAATAGTTGTTTGATGTGTTGATCAGTGTTGCTCCATTTGGTTTGTGTGTTATAAAAATATAAGATTGTTTATTATCATTGTTGTTTGTTGTTGTTGTTGTATTTATTGATTCATTTGATCCAATCTTATCAAGTTTGATTGATTGTTTAATGATTGAATTCAATTGATTGAAATCAGGTTGTTTGATTGATAATTTATATGATGATAATAAAGATAAGTCATTGTCTATGTTTTTTGTTGATTTAAGTTCATTGTTGAAAAGATAAATGGAATCTAACAATACTGATCTTGCATCAACATCATCGGAGGGTTGTTTGAGAAGTTCATCGATATCAGTATTGAAAAAAGAAAATTCATTTAATAATGTACTTTTACTATCATTGATGAATGAATGTAATGATGAACATGATCGAATTGATTCCATTATTGTTGTTGTTGAATATAATGATGCTGTGTCTTCAATTATTGATTGATCATCACTACTATTATCACTATCATCGTCATGGTTGTCATTATTACTATTTACTTTATTATATATATTTATAACAAGTATTAAAGTTTTCATTCTATCCATATAAAAATTGATATGGTTTTCGATTGTATGTTTATCATTGATAATATCTCTTTGTAGTCTATGTTCTTCAATGATCAGATATTGATGTAATTGTTCAAAGTGTTGTTTGATATCATTCTCTGTTGTTGATAATCTTTGGTAGAGTGAAGACGATGATCTTAATGATTCCCATATCATTTGAATTTCATTATTGATTTGTGAAATTTTATTATTACTGCTATTATTATCATTACTACTATTAGTACCGGTACTTTCATTAATTTTATAATTATTGTTCGTTGTTGTTGTCGTTGTTGTTGTTATCGTTGTTGTGGGGATGGTGTCAATAAAATCATCTAAATTCATATTGTTCAATGAATGTTCGATTTCATCTAAATGTTTACACTCCTTTGAATGATCAGGATTCTCTTTGATATGATCGAGCATACATTTTGAACAAGCAAAACTAAAACATTTATAACAAACGAAATCGTATGTTTTATGTTTATCTAAACTTTTATTTATCATTATTAACTTTAAATTATTTATTATCAGTGTTGATATTATATAAACAAATGAGCGACAACTAGTTTTGTTTTAAAATATTTATAATGTTTAAAAAATAAAAGAAAAAAAAATAGAAAATTATTTTTGTTCGTTATTTATTCATATAGAAGTTGCACCACAAATTTAAAATAAATGCGCGCCAAACATGTTTAACCCTATTTACAAATAAGGGCTAGACAGCAAAACAGAACCAATACACACAGTTGAAGAGTGTTAGAGTCGAGTGTTTCATTAATCAGGAATTCTATTAAGAAAGCAATTTGGAATGTTTGGATATTTACATTTACCATATCTGCAATGATGAATACCGAGATTTAGATATTAATGAACAAACAGGTTGTCTACATCGTACTTATAACACATAGAATCTAATCTAAGAGAGAGTGCTACAAGTAACCATGCTGGAGAATCAGGAATGACTAGGAAATAGAAGACATCTATTCAGAGATGAACTAGTCGATTTCAATCCATCTACAACAAAAACAGTGAACACCAATCAACACCAATTGAACAGTCAACAGAATCTATCATAAGAAACAATAGATAGTTTAATATCAGGATAATAATAATAATGATAATAAACCTGAATTTTGTATTTAATATTTCATTATTAAATGTGTTTATTTATGTTTAATTTAAATATGATTATTTTCATCACCGAAATAAACTTTCTTTGGTCTACCTTTGGCACGTGGTCCAGTTGGTTTGCAATAGGTATCGAGCTCTGGGAACATCAATGACAGCGTAACACTTTCACTGATGATATGACGAATGTTAGTGTGTGATGTCCATTTCTGTTTGTGTCTGGCACGATGTTCTGTTACTCGCTCCAACATATCGTTGATAAACAAACCAGTTACACCAATCAATCGATTCATTTCTTTTGGAGTGCTCTTAACCTTTTGCTTTGTGAGAAGTTCACCGAGAATAGATTCGATTCTCTCTTGGTTCAAGTATTGGAATGGTTGAACAGTATTACTACTATCATCTTTCTTTTGCTTCTTCTGCTCTGATTCGTAGACGTTTAGCTTGGCTGTAAGTGTTCTTAGGAGGACAGGGTGGAATACTTCATCCAGAGAATGTTGGAACAATTCATCTTTGGCAAGGCCACCGACACTGCCTACCAACGATTTCTTGAGCAATTCAAAGAGTGAGTTGAATTGTGTATTCAACTGCTGTTGAGCACAGTTGTAAAAGATCATCTTTTGTGCTTTGTACATTGCAACGATATCTGTCATCTTCAATAAACTCTCACTATCGTCAACCGGTTGAAATCTAACTATCTCCTTTGTCTTTGATTTCTTTTTCTCTTGTTTCTTTGGTTTATCATCTTCTTCTTGTACTTCTTCATCTTTATCATCTACTTCTTCCTTTACATTCTTTTCTTCGACTTCTACCTCTCTCTTTCTCTTTGAACTCTTACCCTTACCTTCTACTTCTTCTTTCTCTTCTTCCTCTTCATCTTTCTTTTCTTTTTTTACTTTATTAGATTCTGCTTTCTTTGATGATGATGATAATTTATTTGATTTCTTTACTTTTTCTTCATCTTTTACTTCTTCCTCTTCTTCCTCTTCTTTAGTATCTCTATCATTTACTTTAATATTGATAGTGTACAAACTTTCTTTGACTCTCTTTCCAAGTTCAATAGATTTATGTATGAAATCTTCAGAGACCAAATGTGAAGAATCGATTGTTGCCAATGCTTTCTTTACATTATTCGTTTTCTTATTGTAGTTGGTTGTTGTTGTGATCAAATGAGTGCATCTACTCGAGAAACTCTTCTCTGTCTTTCCACCATTTGCACTGATCAACTTGTATATCTCTGATTGAGGTACACTGAATGTACCACAACAACTAATAACACAATCTTTAAATATATCTTTCATAATATTGTTCAAGTTTAGCAAAAACAAAAACTTTTACAAAAAAATAAAATTTATCATCTATTGTTGGCAAAAACAACAACCATTTCCAAGAAATCGATTATGATCTTCATTAAAAAAAAAAAAAGAATTAATTAATTAATTATTTCTGACTTATAACATCCACTATCATTAATTAATTCCACTATCCATTTGTTGTTGTTTGTCATAAACTTAAGTTTTTTTTTTAATTTGGCGTAATATCATTGACATCAATTTGTATGTCATCCGTAGATGATCGTTTAATAGTACAGATGATTTATTGGGTGTGGTTCATTCAATCTTCTTGGAAATGGATGTTGTTTGATGTGTTGATCAGTGTTACTCCTTTTTTAGTGTGGTATGAAATTAATTAAGATTGTTTATTTTTTGATGTTTTTTAAAAAAAAATTGAAAAATAACAAGAAAAAATTTTTAAAGTCATATTATTTTACGTTAGAAAAGGTTTTTATTTTATTACAAATACCTATTTTTCAGTTTCCTTAATAAATAATAAATATTTTAATTAAGTAGTGGTGATTTAGATTAATCAATAGCAGTGTTTGTTCGAAGATCTATAAAAATGATCTAAAGATTCTTCTACAACACATATTAAAGTCTGGATATACATTGGAATAAACTGTTTAAAGTAGAAGTTTTTTTTTTTTAAAAGAAAAATAATATTTATTATTTATTAATATAAATAAAGAACAAAGAAAACAAATTTATAATTGAATTGATGTAGATGCACACCGTAATCTATTTATATTTTTAATATCTCTTAAGAACGGTTCACATTGATTGGATTCAATTGAATATTTGAAATTACGATCATTAGATTTACCAAATGAATAGATATAACTTGATGTTGGTGATTCTCGATGATACATCACCCATGGATACTGTGCATTTGTGAGAGGAACAGCATTGAGATTGTTTGATTGTTTGGTTTCAACATTGTATTTGATGAATCGTTTGTTTTTTCTATCTAATATGAAGAAATTTCCATTGTTATCATGACATCCTGAGTATGGTATAATGTCAATTTGATGATCTGTTATCGTTCTATTTGTTAAATCGAATTGAAACATCAAATTTTGATCGAACGATATTGAATATAATGAACCTTTGAAGATCATTGATGTTATTTGTCGATCATATCCAACAGGTAATTGATGATATGATTCAAATTTCATTGTTTTGATGTTGAATCGATCAATTCTATTCTTTATTCTCCAACCATTCACTAAATAGATATGATCTTGACCATCATAACAAACTGATATATCAAGATCACCTTTGATTCCTTCGATATCACCAATATGTTCAATTGATTTCGATTTCATTGATATTTTAATCCATTTGTTTTCATTGGTATATCCACCGAATATATAGATATATTCACCAATTGAAACAATCGAGGAGTATGTACAATTAAATTCATAATCAAACTGTAATTCTTCAATTGAATTGTTGTTTGATGTGTTGATCAGTGTTGCTCCTTTTGATTGATGTGTTATGAAAATATAAGATTGTTTATTATCATTGTTGTTTGTTGTTGTTGTTGTTGTTGTATTTATTGATTCAGTTGATTCAATGTTATCAAGTTTGATTGATTGTTCAATGATTGAATTCAATTGATTAAAATCAGGTTGTTTGATTGATAATTTATATGATGATAATCTTAAGTTATTATTGTCTGTGTTTGTTGTTGATTCATTGAATTCATTGTTGTATTTATGAATGATATCTAATAATATTGATGATGAATCTGAGGAATGTTGTTTGAGAAGTTCATCAATATTGAAATTATTATTATGTTCATTGAATAATGTTTGATTATTATGATTGATGAATGATTGTAATGATGAACTTGTTGTTATTGATTCCATTATTGTTGTTGTTGAATATAATGTTGTTGTATCTGGTATAATTGACGTATCCTCATTATTATTATTAATATCTTTATTATTTAATTTATTAAATAACATTATTATATTTAATAAATATTTCAAATTCATGATATTATTATCGATTTGATTTGTGATTGTTTGTTTATCATTGATAATATCTCTTTGTAGTTTATGTTCTTCAATGATTAGATATTGATGTAATTGTTCAAAGTGTTGTTTGATATCATTCTCTGTTGTTGATAATGCTTGATATCTGGATGTCGATGATCTTAATGATTCCCAAAGAGATTTAAGTTTATTGTTGATTTGTGAAATGTGATTACTTTTAATATTATTATGAGTAAAATCATTATTGGTTGTTGTTGTGGTGTCAATAATATCATCTAATTTTAAAGTACTCAATGAATGTTTGATGTCATCAATATGTTCAAACTGATGAAAATGATCAGGATGATCTCTGATATGACCGATGATACATTTCGAACACATCAAACTATTACATTGATGACAAATGAATTTGTGTGATTTTTGATGATTTAAACATTTAATTGTCATTATTATTGTTATATTTAATATATTATATATCTTGATTGTATGATGTACAATCAAAAAAATCAAAAAATATTCAAAAAAAAAAAAAAAACAAAAAAAAATAAATAAAATTTTGCAAAATCAATCAAAGAACTTTCTTTTTAAAAGATCAAGAAAAAGGGAAGGGACAGTGAAAACACAATTTTGGAAGATTTTGATATCACTGAAAAATCTTTAGTTTACATGTAAAAACCTTACTTTTTAAGTTTATTGTATAAACGTTTTTACGCTCTTGACTTCTATTACGAGATCAGTTAGTGAAATGAATAATATTCAAGATTTATCATATCTATTGCTATCTAAAATACTAGGTTTCGAAGAGCTTACAGTTTTAGATTCAATATGCTTTAGTTTAATATGTAAAAAGTTATATAACAATAGAGATAAATATTTGAAATTCAACGATCAGCATCTTACACATTCACAAGCTCAATTAATCTACACAAAGAGCAATCATGTAACACTACAATCATACAATACACAATTTCAACGTATACCAGCCAGTATTAGATCTTGTAGACTATTAATAGGTGATAACAAAACAATTCAACTACAAAGTTATTCAAAATATTTTGATTATATGATAGATAGTATGTTATATTATGCTAATAATATTATAAATTAAAATCAACTAATCTAATATATATCTATAGTTTCGAAAACGAATACTCTTATCGGCAAAATACCTTTGAATGTTCGTGTATCTAATTGGCCAAACAATCTTGTTTTCGATATTTCCTATAGTCAAATAAGTGAACTGAATATCAGATGCGATAATCTAAAGATATCGCCAGGGTTCTCTACCAAAAACTCTTTGCCACTTGACTGTAGATAAAATTATCAACCCATTGAATATGTGGCCAAATAGTATTAGAGTTATGACAATCGATTGTAAAGAACAAGAATTCGAACCTGGAATATTCCCTCATTCGTTGGAGATGCTCACGCTCTATTTGTATAGCCATCCATTGATGAAAAACACACTACCACACACTCTGAAATCACTGGTTTTAAAAACACACACCATTTATTCCGATATTCCCAAGTTAGATATTGGGAACCTACCGGAATCACTTGAAACCATTCAACTCCATCCGTATCTTGCCTACAGCATTGAGAACGCAGCGGCTCTAGCTAAATTTCATAATCTGACAAAGCTGGATGGATTCAATTGTAAATGGATCACCGAAAACATCGTACTGCCATCATCGGTCGCAACCCTCCGATTTACTGCATGCGTTTTCGAATATAATTCGATTGAACCTGGTGTCATTCCTTCGACGATCACCGATCTCGACTTTGGTCACATGAGAGACTTCGTGTTGAAACCTGGGAGTATACCTTCGAGTGTCGTAAAACTATCACTCGGTAACTATAAAAACAGTATCGAACTTGGTACCATACCGGTTGGTGTGAAGAAATTGGAAATGACTTATACAATTGGTCCTTTTTCAATTAAATCGTTACCAAACACTTTGGAATCATTGAAATATACCAACTATGAATATGACACAATATTAAAGTTTATTGATAATCTCTCTTTGCCATCGATAAAGAAACTCTCATACCCTTCAGTTTTACAGATAACTGTATTTCCACCGAATTTGGAATCACTCGAGATCACTGGAGTCAATAAACCGCTATTGTATTCATCGTTACCACCGACTTTAAAGAAACTCTCACTCGATAAGATTACTCTTGTAAAAGATGTTTCGAATGACAGTCTAAACCAACCTAAAAGATTGTTATTGAAAGTGAACGTTCAATTTACCACATGTAACTCATTGGAAGATCTGCCACTCTCTGTGGAAATCATCATAATCAAACATATAGAACTTCGAAGATACAACAAATCCAGCATTTTTATTGGATACAACTGTGAGTATCCGGTGAATGGTGGATTTATAAATTCAACTGAACACTTAAAAGAATTAATTCAGAACAAATTATTTGATAGAACTACAAATTATAATAAAACATCGAGAATCATTTCATAAATAGGGTAGAGAGTTTATTTGGTACATAATAATAATACATTTAAATACATTTTCTAATATTACTTTGAATTTACTTTTTATTAAAAGCTGAAAGAATTAACTTTCTAAATTCTGGATTAAAAGGATTTTGCCATTGATCTTTTGGAGGTGACAAACCAGCTTGATCTAAATTGTTTCTTAATAATAGAATAGAAAGTGGATAAAGTGTTCCACTTTTATCTCTACCATGTCTAATTTCAATTACATTTGGACATTTTTTGCCATTTAAATAAATTGCAAATCTAGAACCACGAACTCCTTCCAATCTACCACCCAAAGCTGATATTAATCCTTGAATTTTAGATAAATCTATCCAATTATCTTGCTTACAAGTAGGAAAAAATAATTGATCGTATGTGTTTCTTGCTCTTTGATTGAGATTATTTAAAATAGAATTATGATAAATTGGAGACTCATTTTTATGAATTGGATGTTGTTCACATGATTGATCTTCATTATCATTTGTCTTATCGAAATTTTCACAAACTTCATTGGTATCATCCTTGAAACCATCAATTAGAGTCTCTGCCATATCAACAAATGGAGTCTTAATTGTATTGTTAACTAATATTTCATCATTGGTGATGGGAAGAGAAATTGATAGTTTATCGATTGGTTGTAGTGTCTCTGATGATGATGAGATTACAGGTGGGTTTGTTTTTGGTGATTTACGTTTAGGTGAATTCTTTGATTTTCTAACTAAAGGAGTTGGATCGAAAAAAGAGTTTGCCATAAATTCAATAACTTGATTCAAATATTCCTTGGTCTGTTTTTGTAGTGGATCAAGAACATCCAATAACTTTTCACAATACAAATGAGGTCTAGCATCCTCTCCAGATCGAATAAATCCTAATTTATCTACTGCATCAAATCCATATAAAAAGAAATTCTTGCTAAATTTTATAAAACCAATTTCATCATCTATTGCGGCTATCCATTTACCAATTGCAACCGTATTAATATTATCTTCAGAAGTGAACTTGAGTAGATTCTCTGTTTCAGCGGAAGCATTTCCAAGAGAAACTATAATGTTGATGCATCGATCTAAAATTCCTGGCAACAATATCTCCAATAATAATCCAGGTGTATATTTAAAATTCAAATGTGACTCTAATAAATCTATTTTATCTCCACTTGAAATATCAGTAGACAATATAGACTCTATCCAATGAATTTCTGTCTCCAATGTTTCATTTAAGAATCGTTGAAATTCTTGAATTGTTTTGAAAAGTTCAACATAGAACTTGTTATCTTTTGAGGGAGATGAAAATTTGTCAAGACCATTCAAATTTTCAACTGTACCTTTCGACTGACCAAAGTTGGATTGCAACAGAATTAGCATAAGGCAGGGTACATCATGACTTAACTCCCTTATATTGACTAGTAGATGTGAAGGTTGATCTGCATGTATCGATTGTAACTTGGTTGCAGTGAAAATCAAAGAATTGACATCCAGTAAAAGGTTGGTATAAAAACTTAGTTGTTCTATAAAACTTAACTCCAAGATTCTGAAAATGGTTTGTAGAGAGGTTTTCTTTAATTGTAAAGTTGAGTTTTCCTTTAGAAACCGTTCGATACGAGCTAAAAGTTTTTCAGCTTGTACCAGTTTATCTGGAGACAATGGTGTTATATTGAGAAAAGAGTTTTTTACTCTTTCTGACTTATTTTCCAATCGATTGTTTGGTAAAATTTTGAGATTTGGTAATAGTGAGCTGATTAAAATGCTTCTTAACTTTGAAGAATTTTCACACAAATCATCAATAAGACGAACATTTTGAAATTGTTCTTTAGAACTAGCTCTATTAAATAATTGTTTTCCCAAAGTCAATATTAACTTTTGAATAGATGCTGTTGGTTGAGTTTTAGAATTCATTGTTTTACTAATAAATATATACAAAATTGTGATTGTTAAATAATAAATAATAATAATGTAATATTAATATTTTTAACAACCTCACACAGATTTACCACCACATTTTTTAATTAAATAAAACAAATCACTTTAAATTCATAGCACATCAATTTGCTCATCATTGTTTTTTGTTTAATGGGGGTGTTTTAACACCATTGGCGAAATATATTAACTCTATTTTATAAAATATTGTTGATTTATTATAACATGTATATATATATTATCCAAAAAATAAATGTTGTTGAAATAATTTATTTGTGAGATTGCAACCATTGATTAACTTGAGATTCGATGGCGGCCAACCAACGATTGTTGTCATAGATTGATTCGAGATCTTGCTTGATTGAACGCTCAGCAATTGGGATGCTGTGTTGTTCAAAGAATTGTTCGACAACTTTCAATTTCTCTGGGGTGAGAGTAGCTGTCATGGTGGCAGAGATCATACGATGGAAGAGTCCACTCTCTTGGAATTTCTTGTAGATATCATCAAAGTTTTGTACGAAATACTTCCATGAGTGGTCACGCAACTTGTGGTTTACGCTGAGCCACACGATAAAGGTGTCTTGTGAACGGACATCGGTGGACAAAGAGAAGTCCAATGCCTTGGCGACGAGCGATTCAACCGACGATTGTCCAATAACTTGGAGAACGGCTTGACGCTCAGAGTTATCCTTGGATGCCTTGTAGAATTCGACCAATTGGTTGTATTCATTCTCACCACCGTTGGCAATAACGGTGGCAAAGACGACGGAACGGACGTCGCTTGGAATCGATTGACCTGACTTGAGTTGCTCGAAACGCTTACGTGATTCGGCGACAATGTCGGCTTGTCCGAGAACACCGAGACGAGTATTGACCTTCTCACGCAACAATACATTTCCTGGAGCTTCTCCTTGGATTGGATCGAATCCGAGTTTCTTGGAGACTGGTGTGAGCAGCTTGACGAGGAAGTTGTTCAACTCGCTGTTGAATGGGCAGCGCTCGACTATCTGACTGAGACGGGTGAGTGAATCGATGATGTAAGACCAGATGGTGAATTCAGTTTCGGCGGTCGACGCAGCTGCCAAGTCGAGGAATGCAGTGATTGGCAATTGACCGGCCTTGGAGAGCGAGACAGAGTCACTCAGCAAACCGAGACGATCGACAGCTGGCAATTTCATCGATTGAATTTGTGGGAGCAACGACTTGATAATCGATTCATCGTAGGCAATACGATAGTAACCGGCTTGACCAAAGTTTGGCTTCATCCAACCGTTGGCATTGAAATTTGGAATAGTAACAACAGTTGACTTTTCGCTCAAAACCAACTCGTGTTCACCATTGTCAGTTTGAACCTTGATATAACAATTCCAAAGTGGATCGACAGCTCCTTCCTTTGGTGCAAATCTGAATTGCTTTTGTGATAATTCAAATTGTCCTGGTGTTGAAGCTAATAAATTTGAAAAAGATAAGATCTTATTAGTATTTTCTAGTAAAACTTACTTGTTTGTTTTAGTTAAATAGTTACTACTCTCTACTTACTTGGTCTGAAAGTAATAACTGGATAACCAGAATATTTGGTATAGGAATCAATGAATTCTTTGACGTTTGACTTGGCAATGTGAGCGATGGAATCCCAGAGATCTTCGGTGTTGGTGTTTTGGTAGGAGAATTTGTTGAGGTAGTGAGTGAGACCGAGACGGAAGTTCTCACCGTAACGCGATGCCAACATCATAATGACGCAGGCACCCTTGTTGTAAGAGATGGCGTCAAAGATTTCATTGATTTGCGATGAACTGTACACTGGAACTTCGATGGGATGCGAGTTTTCCATGGCATCGAGACCGAGTGCACCGTTACGGTACATGTTGGCAAAGTCCAACCAGACTCCCCACTCTGGGAAGAGATGGTTGGTGACGAGATCACCCATGAAAGTGGCGAAACCTTCGTTCAACCAGAGTTGAGACCACCATTCCATGGTGACCAAATTACCGAACCATTGATGTGCCAACTCGTGACCGATGACCGAGGCGATTGTCTTTTTGGTACGGAGAGCGGTGGCTGGCGATGTCAAGAGAATAGTCTCACGATAGGTAATCAAACCCCAATTCTCCATGGCACCGAAACTGAAATCTGGAATGGCAATGTGGTCGCATTTATCCATGGGGAATGGAATCTGGAAGTACTCACAGAAAAAGTCGAGTGCACGAATGGCAACATCGAGTGCGAAATCACCGGTATCTGCCTTGCCGATGACTTGGTAGATACGGGTGCGGACACCTCCCTTGGTGACACCCTCGACGTAGCTGAGTTCACCAACGACGAACGCAACGAGGTAGGTGCTCATCACTGGTGTCTGACCGAACGACACGGTCTTGGTACCGTTGGAGTTGTCTTTGGTCTCGGTGTCACGCATGTTGGAGAGTGCAGTCAAGTGGTTTGGCACGGTAATCTTGATGTCAAAGACAGCCTTGAGACTTGGCTCGTCGAAACAGGGGAAGGCACGACGTGCGTCGGTCGCCTCGAATTGGGTGGTTCCAATGTAACGATCCTCACCGTTCACCACGTACTTTGAACGGTAGAATCCCTTGAGCTTATCATTGAGAATACCGGAATAGGTGATTTTCAATGTCGGTGTCGATCCCTTGGCAAGCGCAGCTGGGAATGTTATGATGGCGACTTCGTCGTGAGTGTCGAAAGCAATGTTGCTAGCGACTTGTCCGGCTACTTCGGCGTGCTTAATATCGATATCCAAACAGTGGATGACGATGACGTTGGTCTCCTCGACGACACGCAAATCGATATCTACTTGACCGTCGAATACAAACTTGACGACGTCTGGCGACAAGTGCAATTGGTAACGCGATGGCACCACCTTTGATGGCAACACCAAACGATCGCCATTCTTTCCCTCCACCAAAAAGTTGGTATGAACCTTTGAGCACATCTTTAAATATCTATTGTAATCCTTTGAACAATATTCAGCTAACTGACTTTCTTTGTATTGATTGTAGTGATGTCTGAATTTCGGATAGTAATAATTAAAAAGAATTGCAATTACTATGATAAAAATATATTTTTTAATGTGATCTTGAGACATAAAAAAAAAAAAAAAGGTGAATACTTTAATTAAACTTTAAAAAAAAAAAAAATTAAAAAAAAATTAAAAAAATTCATTTTGGTGATGATCAAAATTTAAATTAAATTCAATTCCCACACCACCAGTGAATGAATTGATTAATTTCACCCACATTTTGAAAAAAAAAAGTCAAAATTTACAAAACTTTTTCATTCCGCAGAACTGTTTTTTTTTTTTGCAAACAAAAAGCACACAAAACAAAACTGGCTCCCAACAACTTTCGCCTGCGCATTAATTTTAAAAAAAAGGGTAAATTAAAAATTAGTGAGGTTACATTCACTGTTAACAAGCAAGAGCCTGTTTTGTTTTGATTTATTAATTTTTTTTCTGTTTTGCAAGAGAATAAATATTTGAACTTTTGATGTATGAAATAAAAATTAATTTGACTTTGCAAAGTTTTACTTTTCAAGATCTTTTATTTGATTTAAAAGTTAAAATAAATAAAGTAGAGAATTGTCAAATTCTTTTGAAGAACAGAAAAAAATTTAATGAAACGTATGAAAATGAATATTTTTGATTCTAGAAAAATTAGTTGTTTAACTTCAGTTAAATGAATAAAGTAAATCATGAACGCAATACTTTTTATTAATTTAAAAATAGATAAACAAAATAATTTTATTGATTTTTCTATAATGTAATTGATGTAGATGCACACCATGCTCTTTTATGATTAATAATATCTCTAAAGAATGGTTCCCATTGATTGGATTCAATTGAATATTTGAAATTAAAATCATTAGAATAACCAAATGAATAGATATAACTTGATGTTGGTGATTCTCGATGATACGTCATGTATGAAAACTGTAAATTTGTTAGAGGAATAGCATTGAGATTGATTGTTTGTTTGGTTTCAACATTGTATTTGATGAATCGTTTGTTTCTTGTATCTAATAGGAAGAAATTTCCATTGTTATCATGACATGCTGACCATGGTATAATGTCAATTTGATGATCTGTTATCGTTCTATTTGTCAAATCTATTTGAAATATCTTATTTCGATTGAATGATATTGAATATAATGAACCTTTGAAGATCATTGATGATACTTGACGATCATATCCAACAGGTAATTGATGATATGATTCAAATTTCATTGTCTTGATGTTGAATCGATCAATTCTATTCTTTATATTATAACCATTCACTAAATAGATATGATTTTGACCATCATAACAAACTGACACAAAGGTATCACCTTTAATTCCTTCGATATCACCAATATGTTCGATTGATTTCGATTTCATTGATATTTTAATCCATTTGTTTTCATTGGTATATCCACCGAATATATAGATATATTCACCAATTGAAACAATCGAGGAGTATGTATCTGAAAATTGATAATCAAAATGTAATTCTTCAATTGAATTGTTATTTGATGTGTTGATCAGTGTTGCTCCTTTTGATTGGTTTGTTATGAAAATATAAGATTGTTTATTATCATTGTTGTTTGTTGTTGTTGTTGTTGTATTTATTGATTCAGTTGATTCAATGTTATCAAATTTGATTGATTGTTTAATGATTGAATTCAATTGATTGAAATCAGGTTGTTTGATTGATAATTTATATGATGATAATCTTAAGTTATTATTGTCTGTGTTTGTTGTTGATTTATTGAATTGATTGTTGTATTTATGAATGATATCTAATAATATTGATTCTGTATCGTTGGAATGTTGTTTGAGAAGTTCATCAATATTGAAATTATTATTATATTTATCATTGAATAATGTTTGATTATTATGATTGATGAATGATTGTAATGATGAACTTGTTGTTATTGATTCCATTATTGTTGTTGTTGAATATAATGTTGTTGTATCTGTTATAATTGACGTATCCTCATTATTAATATCATTATTATTTAATCTATTAAATAACATTATTATATTTATTAAATATTTTAAATGATTAATATTTTTATCGATTTGATTTGTGATTGTTTGTTTATCATTGATAATATCTCTTTGTAGTTTATGTTCTTCTCTGATCAGATATTGATGTAATTGTTCAAAGTGTTGTTTGATATCATTCTCTGTTGTTGATAATCTTTGATATCTGTATGTCGATGATCTTAATGATTCCCATATAGATTTAAGTTTATTGTTGATTTGTGAAATGAAATTATTATTATAAGTACAATCATTATTAATTTGATTATTGGTTGTTGTTGTGGAGTCAATAATATCATCTAATTTTAATGTACTCAATGAATGTTTGATGTCGTCAATATGTTCCCATTTTGAATGATCAGGATGATCTTTGTAATGACTGGTTACACATTTTGAACACATCAAACAATTACATTGATAACAAATGAATTCGTGTGATCTTTGATGATTTAAACATTTCATTCTATAAATTTGAATTTAATTTATTTATAGTTAATCTTATAAAATTAATGAATAAATGATTTATGATATTAAATAGGGATGAAGAATAAAATTTGTTTGAAAAAAGTTTAATTTTTTTTAATGTGATAAAAATTTGAAATTTAAAGTTTAAAACCTAAAAACAGTGTGGTTGTATGTAAAAACAAATAAAATTAAACTTATAAGTTTTAAACCTAAAAACAGTGCACTATAAATGTAAAAAACAAAAAAATTATTGAAAACAGATTGCACCAAACTATTCCACTACCAATAATCCTGATTCAGATATCTAAATATGGTATGTGTTATACCATATTATTAAGTTGGATGGAACTTTTAAATAATCTACATCATTTGGTTACTGGAAAACTGATAACTAGAGAAAGGAATGATACTATTCTTGAGTGAGAATTGCTAACAATCGTTCATGCGCTAAAGGAGAGCTATCACCACTTTACCAGAGCGGAGATAGTATACTTTTTCACATTACAAGTTGTTGTTCCTCGCTACGATCACATTCTCTTATTATTATTAAAAGCAACTTTGTTGTTCTCAGTATAATAATGAACATTCAACACTCAACAACTAAAATATTACTATCAATCCTATTTATCTTTAATTTTTAATTAACAAGGGTTTGTTAAGAAGTAGAAAATTGTCTAAACCGATCGTGGAAATTCTTACAGGTGATTTCAAACATTCTAGATATTATGATTTTATCTACATTTTTTCAAAAGAGTCTGTTAAAAGAACCGTTGAACACAGGTCTCATTCTTTGCTATCATTCAAGTAATAAAACAAATATTTATAGATAGATATTCTTTAAGCGAATCTGAAACAAAAATTATCAAAAATTATTTATTGTTCAATAAAATGTAATTTTGAACAGTATAAAATTTTAAATGGTCAATAATCCCCTGTATGCACGCTTAAAATGTGAAGCTACTGTTACGCACAACAAAATACATCTTTTAAACTATGAGTTCTCTCATTAATATTTAAATAGAAAATAATATGATAATCGAAATAGAAAGTACAAGAACAAGTAAATAATATTCTTTTTTTAAAAAATAAACGATTTATTTAAATTATTTTTCTGTTTTGTTTTTCAATGCTTACAAAAAAAATTATTTTATTATAATGAAATTGATGTAGATGCACAAAACCATCTTGGATGATTAATAATATCTATTAAAAATGGTTCACATTGATTGGATTCAATTGAATATTTGAAATTACAATCATTTGACAATCCAAATGAATAGATATAACTTGATGTTGGTGATTCTCGATGATACATCACAAATGTAATCTGTGCTTTTGTGGGAAGAATTGTATTGAGATTGATTGTTTGTTTGGTTTCAACATTGTATTTGATGAATCGTTTGTTTTTTGAATCTACTATGAAGAAATTTCCATTGTTATCATGACATCCTGAGTATGGTATAATGTCAATTTGATGATCTGTTATCGTTCTATTTGTTAAATCGAATTGAAACATCTTATTTTGATCGAACGATATTGAATATAATGAACCTTTGAAGATCATTGATGAAACTTGTCGACCATAACCAACAGGTAAGTTAAAATATGATTCAAATTTCATTGTCTTGATGTTGAATCGATCAATTCTATTCTTTATATTATAACCATTCACTAAATAGATATGATCTTGACCATCATAACAAACTGATATTAATTGATCACCTTTGATTCCTTCGATATCACCAATATGTTCAATTGATTTCGATTTCATTGATATTTTAATCCATTTTTTTTGATTGGTATCTCCACCGAATATATAGATATATTCACCAATTGAAACAATCGAGGAGTATGTAGCATAAAATTGATAATCAAACATTAATTCTTCAATTGAATTGTTGTTTGATGTGTTGATCAGTGTTGCTCCTTTTTCAAGGTGTGTTGTGAAAATATAAGATTGTATTTTATCATTGTTGTTTGTTGTTGTTGTATTTATTGATTCAGTTGATTCAATTCGATCAAGTTTGATTGATTGTTCAATGATTGAATTCAATTGATTGAAATCAGGTTGTTGGATTGATAATTTATATGATGATAATCTTAAGTTATTATTGTCTGTGTTTGTTGTTGATTCATTGAATTCATTGTTGTATTTATGAATGATATCTAATAATATTGATGATAAATCTGAGTAATCTTGTTTAAGAAGTGAATCAATATTGAAATAATTATTATATTTATAATTATGTTCATTGAATAATGTTTGATTGTTATGATTGATGAATGATTGTAATGATGAACTTGTTGTTATTGATTCCATTATTGTTGTTGTTGAATATAATGTTGTTGTATCCGATATAATTGAGGTATCCTCATTACTATTATTAATATCTTTATTTAACTTATTAAATAACATTATTATATTTATTAAATATTTTAAATGATTAACATTTTTATCGATTTGATTTGTGATTATATGTTTATCATTTATAATATCTCTTTGTAGTTTATGTTCTTCAGTGGTTAGATATTGATGTAATTGTTCAAAGTGTTGTTTGATATCATTCTCTGTTGTTGAAAATGATTGATATCTGGATGTCGATGATCTTAATGATTCCCATATAGATTTAAGTTTATTCTTGATTTGTGAAATGAAAGAGTTTCTATTATTATTATCATCTATATTATCTTTAGTATCATTTTTAATTTGATTATTGGTTGTTGGTGTTGTGGTGGTGTCAATAATATCATCTAACTTTAATGTGCTCAATGAGTGTTTGATGTCATCGATATGTTCCAAGCTATCGAAATGATCAGGATGATCTTTGATGTGACTGATGCTACACTTTGAACACATCAAATTATTACATTGATAACAAATGAATTCAAAAGATCTTTGATGATTTAAACATTTCATTTTATAACTTTGAATTTAATTTATTTATAGTTAATCTTATAAAATTATGAATAAATGATATTTATGATATTAAATAGGGATGAAGAATAAAATTTGTTTGAATAAATTTCAATTTTTTATCACATTAAAAAAAATAAAATTAAACTTTTAAGTTTAAAACCTAAAAACAGTGGTAGTATGTAGAAAGATGGGTTAAAATAATCAACGAAAACAAAGAATTTAATTCATTTAATATTTTTATCTTCATCAATAATTTTAAATAAATAGTTGGTAAATAAAATAAAAAGCGGTAATAAGATACACTTTTATGCAGCTAAAATCTTTGGAGTCTCCCATTTGATTGTGATATCACCTTTGAATACGTTGGTAGCGGTGAGATAAGCATCCATTTTCTCTTCGGTGCTATCGGCTTGAGTTCTGATCGATCTGTTGAATGGGAATCCCATATCCATTTTGAAGGGATACGGCTTGTTGTAGGTACCGCAGTAGATGTTGCCGTCGCAGCACGACGATTGTCCGTCACCAATAGACGATAGTATCGAATTTGGCATCGGTAACAATGACGGCGATCTTGAAAGGCATACCCTCTTTGGTGCCACGTGGAAGCAGTAGATTACGTGGCAATCCACATTTGCAGTAGGTCTCGGTGGATGGCGCCGGCACGTTTTCCAGACACTCCCAGTTGCCTGGCCATTCTTCGGTTGCTGCCTGTTGGAGAATGGTCGATTCACTCGATGATCTGGTGATGGTGTACTCTTTCTGACCTTCGGGTAGCGCAGTGAAGAACTGGTCGAGCGAGATCCACTTACGACGGTCTCCATAGTCGTCGCTGGCGACAATATACACACGAACGACCACCTTCTTATACTTGGCGTCATCGTTCAGCACTGAGATTTCATAGTTGAATGGCACGTAGTAGAGTCTGTTGGTTTCGTAGCAGTTGAGGATGGATTCACCGTCGTGTGAGCGTGGCGCGTTGACGACGGAACCGTCGGTTTTAATGGCAATGATCTGAGTTTTCATGTAGGTGTACAAATTGTTCTCTGGCAACGGTGTAGCTGCTTGTTTCAGCTGGATATCGACCAGTCCTGTCTCGCGGTCAATGAAAGGCGCGGTGGTATAGACAGGACGGACAACGGCATTGGCGATTCTAATGTTGGCCGGTGCGTAGTCGACGATATTGTATGGCTGGAGGGTGAGTTCGAAACGATGGAAAAACTCATCCAAATGCTTATGCCATCTCCAGAACATTGGATCACGGAATGCACCGATGATGTCTCCCATGATACCAATGGAAGTTTGTTCCTCTCCCTGTGGATCGAATACACGTGACATCAAGTTGTGAGCCTGTTTATTCAAGTTACCGTAGTACGATTTGTTTGGACTACCCATTGTCGCTTCAAGCGAAGATCCTAGGTCGGCAATAGTCATAGGGATTTCAGTGGTTGTGACGGTTCCGTCTTGCTGAGTGACTGACTTTTTGAATGAACGATTCTGGATTGCTTCGAACAATCTCTCACGCCAGATCTCCAAGTCGACAATCGAGATCGAGTCGAATGGTGGTGTTCCAGAGACGTTGTCACGCATCTTGGAATCGGCTGGACGTGGTACAAACATGGAGATCAACGGATCGAAGGCGTCTCCGAGTGACTCACGATAGGAGTTTGATCCGAACTGATCGATTGGCTGCAATCCAAGTGCGGTTCTCTCACAGTCGTAACGTGCAACCATCTGACGATGCATAAATACAAACAACTCACCCTGACGATCCTTCAACTTGGCTGGAGTAACACCATCCAATGATACACCAAACGATGGATATGCAGTATGCCAATTCCAATGATGAGAATTTAACATTGGATCTTCACGCCACCATTTTAACAATGCATCCTATTATTAAAAGATAAACATAATGTTAGAAATGTTGTTACAAAATGTTATGAAAATTTTTGAGTTTCCGTGAGCGACAACTCAGTTACGCGGCGGCGGAAGTTTGAGTTTCCATGAGCGGTAACTGGTTGCCACCACCACCAATAATTTAGTTAACAATGTTTATTGTATAATTATTTACTTACAGGATTTCTCCAACGTTTTGGAATATTTTTATCGACGAATACATGGGATGGTGCGATTACTAGTGCTTGTGGAACTTGAGATTTGAGGACTTGGAAGTGTGGAGAATGGTTGATGGCAACGGCCAACGAGTATTTAACCATGAGTGGATGGTTGTTTGGTAGGCTGATTTTCTCGATGGAGAGGAGTAAGAGTTCTCTGAGAGTAGTCAGCTTGTACATTTGTTTGATGAGACGATCGGAGGTTTCGAGATCTTGGTCTACAAACAATGAGAAATGACGAACTTTTGGATCGGCTGGGATTGGCAAGGCAAAGAATCTCTTGAATGCTCCCGATGCCAAAATTTGCTCATCGCTCTGAGTCGCCAACGATCCAGAAATATGATTCAAATCATTCACTGACATACTACGAGAATAGTGTTTTGCAGTCTCACTGACCACATGATTGATTTGTGAAACATCCATTCTTTAAATAAAATTTACTTTACTAATATTATTTTGATAATATACAGATAATTAGATAAAAGATATTATTACTAAATTGTTATTGCTAAGGGAATGGAAAAGAAATGAAGTCAAATTAAAGTAGAAAAGAAGAAGAAATATATAACAACAATCAAAATGTAAATTAAAAAATAAATAATCTATTTGACAGTTTATTTTTAATCAGCAATTACAGTATACTTACTGGTGGTGGTGGTGGGGTATGAATATAAAAGCAATGGTTGTTGAATGTTGTTGATGATGATGAAAGAGAATGATTTATTTTATTTAATTTGGAAATGGAATAGGGAGAGATGATCAGATTGTTATGCTTGCTTGCTTCCATTATTATCATATTTATATCAATACCAAATGTTTTTTTTAAACACAAAAAGAATTAAACATCCCAATATCAAAAAGAAACCACATGTTTGCAGTACAATAGTCATTCATTTTTGTATTTTAATAATAACATGTGTGCACACAACACTTTGGTATCTTTTAGAATGAATGATAGATACTCTGTAAAGTCATTGACACAACACACAACTCACACAAGCAACAACCAATAAAAATAAGTTGTGGGGGTTTGAAATTAAATTAAACATCACACACATTTAACTGATTTTGATTTTCACCACCAATGAATAAGATATCTAATATCTTAAGTGAAGTGTGTGTTTTGTGTAATGGGCAACGCACTGTAAAATTCCGTTTTAAAAATCAACTTTATATTTTGCATTAATTTAAAAACAAAGGAGTTGATTGAAACAGAAAATTAGATGTTTGTTGTTCATCATCACATGTGTGTGTTTTGTGTGGGTTTTACCAAAATAAGAAGTAAAAAAAAAAGGAGTAGCAATGATACTATCCAAACAGATATTAAATCGTTGACCAGTATTTTCTTTTTTGAAAATCTTACTTATACTTGTCAAGGTAAACAAAAGCTACTATTATTACAAAACATTACCATGGTTTGTAACACTCTTTCTTTTTGTACGATTTAATTTGGTTTGTTTTGGTTCCAGAATCAAAAACAAACATTTCATTCTAAATGTAACTATATTTATATGTATTGCCATAACTACTATATCTATGTATTATAATAATGTTCTTTTAAATTGAAAAAAAAAGGAAGTTAAAATTTGATCAGAATTGGTCATGATGTGAAAAAATCTCCATTTTAAGTAATTTATTTATTTTGATGATTAGTCTCGTTTCATATCAGCTTCTGCTTAGAGATAAAGATAAAGCGATATGAGTTCAAGATTTAAATTTACAACTGGTACAAGTAGTATTGTCGGTTCAGATCCAAAGACATTGGGAAAGATACTGTTACGACGATCGAAATTCGAAAATCAAACAGTTTTTAATGAAATCGATCATTTAAGAACATATATATATACACATTGGTTTAATCAAACAATAAGCATAATAATTGCATTTAAAAATAATAATAATAATAATAACAATAGTAATGAAAGTAAACAATCATCATCGAATAAGAATACATTATCATCACAATCATCAGTTAAACTACAAATAGAATCTGAACTCTCAAGTATATTTGGTGAGAGAATCTCAACATCTACACCATTCAATTCTTTCTATTGCATAGATGTCACACTAGATCTTTTAATTTCACAATCATTTTTAAATACATATATTAAACCAGGTATTGTATTATATTGAATCATAAACATTGTATTGTTAATAATGTTTTTTTTACTAATTACTTTATATATATAATTATAGGTGGATTCTATGCATTATCACAACTTAATAGATTAGATGATGGTAATGTAGTTGCATTCCTACCGGATTCAAAGATTATATTGAATGTAGATAAAGAGACGTATCAACAACTCGGTCTAAGTGGTAGAGCATCGAAACTCACATCAGACTCTAGATATATCATTGTATTGGATTGTAAATCTAAAGATTTCCTACCAGAGAGTGCAACATATAAACGTATTCAATGGTGTTTTAAAGATCGTTTATCAACTGTTAGATTAATATCATTTGCATTAAATAGTATGTATTATTCATTCAATTAGTTAGTTATAACTAAACAATTTAGAATATAACTAACTAAACTTTGTTCACACTATTCTATTTGAATATTCATTCATTCATTCATTCATTCTTTTAGATGATGGTAAATTAAAGGAAATTCAATTCCCTGAAGGTACAGCCAATATAAAGGTTCTACCGAATAGCCGTCGTCAATCGGTAGATAAATATAGAGTGCCTGTGTTACACAACTCTGCTGCTGCTGTAGCTTTCGAGCAGTTGGATAAGCTTAGTCAGTGTGATTTCATCAATGGTTGGAATGAGTATATCGGTATGATTCTATGTGGTGTACAGGCGGACGAGAAAGCAGAGGTTGGTTCGGTTGCACCCGATGGTAATGACAGCTATCGTGTCGGTGAGTGTTTCGTTGGCTCGGTCAGTGGCATGGTAGATCCTGCGACGATCGTTCGAATGGTGGCAGGCTCGAGGAAACTACTGAAATCTACCAACGATCAAATCGAATGGATCAACATACAGGTTCATGGATTCGCAGATTCACCCGTAAGTTGGAACCAAAACGAACACGGCTACGAAGTAAATGGTGACAACGACTATTCGATCATCTTGAACAACAACAACGAATACTGGACACTTTCAACAATAAACTCTGCCGACACCTATAGTTAACTTTAACAAAACAAAAAGCAACGAAACAAAATCTAATCTTTTATTGATGATAATATGTAATGTATAATTTTATTATATTTATACATTAACACTTGTTTGTTTATTTATTTATATGTTTAAAATAGGAAAGAAAAGAAAAGAATTAAAGATAAACATTATATTTACAATTATATACATTTAGATTAATATTAACTAGTTATGTATTATATATATATGGTTTGGTTTGCTAGCTATATGACGTACTATTATTATTATTATTATGTTGTTGTTCTTGTTTGTATTATATATGGTATGGTTAATATATAAGTGTGTTGTTTTATATTTGTTGTGTTTTAGTTTGTTTTAACTAATTTTGGTGATTCTGCAGCGATGATGTTAACTCTTTTGCTTGTTGTAACTTTTTGTTTCATCTTTCTAATGAGTAGATATCCCCAGTTTAGATTTAGACACATCGAGAGTATTGCTGAACCAACTAGTACTACGATCTTATCGACTGGTAACTCTGTGTAGTGGAAGTAAAGATTATAAAGGAACTCCAATGTTACATAGACACCCCAGACACAACGTGAAAACAAGAAAGAAACAGCGAAAACCAACAAACATCTCTCGTAGTATGGTGACTTTGGATTGACAACCTGAATGAATCCCTTCAAATTCAAAGGTATAGTACTGATTTCATAAAATAATAATGATGCTGTGAATGCTGCAAATACATTTGGTGCATGAAGAGTCTATTATTGTTATTATTAGTTTAACATTGTATTAGTTTAAAACATACAAAAAGATAATATTATCTATTATATTCTTTCTTTTCTTACATTAACATATTGAGTACCGAAAAATCCTACCAATGCATGAATACACATTGGAATACCAACAATATCTGGTCTTGTGAAACTAACTTTCATATCCCAAATGAAATAGCCACCAGAGATAAGTAATGTATAATAAATTAAATCATTATAATAGTAAATTAAATCTTGCTATAAAATATTAACATGTTAATATTATAATATTGATTTTGTTGTTATTTAATTGTGTGAAACATACACCATGATAATCATATATAATTTTAAAGGTCAATGGTAAAACGATGATTGCGTGTAACATTGAAACAGTTCTTTGATTCCATTCTATTTTCGCTTTTTCACCAAGTTGGTCATATTGTTTGGAGACACCAAAGAGTTTTGCTATTTTTCTAGAGTAGTTATCGGTTGCAAAGAATATCATTGAACACATGATAGTCTGCAGTAGATAATTGAAATTGATCACTCGACTTGCTTCATGTAAACCAAACAACTCTAACGTACTAGTTGTTATATTCATGATTTATATATAATAAAAAAAACAAATAATAAATAAATTTAAATTTTGGAAATAAATTAATTAAAAATAATAGAAGAAAGAATTGAATTAAATATAAATATAAAATCGATTATCTTATTTAATATTATTTATATATCTGATTGAAAAATAAAAATAAAAAATAAAAAATAAAAAATAAATAAGAAATAACTAACTATTAAATTATAAATATTTATAAGTTGTCAAAAAGTAATTTAAACAATTTAAAATTAATTCGATTGGAATAAAAAACTATGTATAAACACTGCGTATGTGAAATTAAAAGAATAAATTAATTGAACTGTTCTGTTTTGTTTTTGTGTGTTTGAGAAAAAAACACTACTATTTGTTTTTTTTTAAAAAAAAAAATTTGTTTTTCTATCTATTTGTGTTTGTGTAAATATTTGTTTCGTTTTTTTTTTTTTTTTGGGTGAAACTGTGTTATTTATAAATAAAGGGTTAGATTGATCAAATTAATTAATAAAAAAAGTGGTAACTTTAAAGGTTCCCAAATTATTTGAATTTTTAAAATTTGCCTGGTTTTTAAAGATTTTGACACAATCGATTTCCATTTTTAGCATACTCTTGTTATGATTTTTGCAAAAATGAACTTGTGTATTTAATTTCAAACAATTAATAATAATGTTCTCTTTTTTAGATAAATGTGATGATAAAGTCAATTCGAACGAATTAATCATTGATCTTAAAAATAAAAATAAAAAACAAAGAATATTTTAAGAAATAAAAGATTTATTAAGTTTATTTATTATTAACTAGTGATAAAAAAAACAAACATTTATTTTAATAGTCCAGACAGATTGTGCAGCATCCAAGCGTTAAGAGTTGTCGGAATCTTATCTATTCAAACTAATTTTATTCTTCTTCTCTATTCAATATAATTAATCATTTTATTCATTAATAAGATTGGTTATAAATAAAATTAAATTCAAGATAAATAATGAAATATTTAAATATTTCACCTAAAATCACACGAATTCATTTTTTATCAATTGTAGTGTAGTGTACTAAATATGATTTTATTTATTTATTATATTATTAGCATTACAAAAGTGGTTTATTGCAGGTGGGTAATTCACATAGTTTAAAGATAACATCTCTACACCTTGTATGTGCTTGATGATTATTGACAAGAGGTGAACTATACGGTAGACCTTTAATAGATATGTCAGCCATGAACGTCAAACATTCGAGTACCAACAAAATCAGATATGTTCGAGAGATTGTATTATATTGTTTGGTAGGCAGATATCTAATCAGTCACACGGCATTGACCAGTGCACTGTCACGGAAGACCTCATAGCATAGACATTAAGTTGTATGATTGGTTGAGCACATAACCAGCAACACTTGAAGCAATCGGTAATACTTAACGGAGTTTGTTGTGAGCATCAGTAGCATCATATTCGAAGCGTGAATACAGGTTCATATTAGTAGTGGAAAGCATCATTGGGTGGTGACAACCGACCCAGACCCATATTCTGTTGGATGGAGGTGTAGTCATTGTATCTACACTTCAACAGACAGTTGTCTAGCTAGACGGTGCTCAGCATCCATGGGAAAGTAAAGGGTTAATACGGTTGTTACTTCATGTAAAAAATTAAAAAACCAAAGGATTCACTTTAACAAGTTGTTAAATGGTTGTTACCAAACATCCTACATTGGCTATAGTATCGAAAGCTAGAATGATTGCATCTCAACTTGGAACACTCATTTAAATAAATTATAATTACTAAGTTTTTACTGAATATGATTATTGATTATTTTTATTATTGTTATTATTATTATTATTAGTATACAGATTACAGTCAACTATACATTTTATAGAGCAGATCGATCGAATGATGAGAGTAGCAACCAGCAAAAGGGTCTATGTTCTTTTAGCATTGAACCCAAATATAGTTCCACAATTGTAAGCTATAACCTTAGTATCTAACATTGTTAGAGAATAGGAATTTTGATCATTGCTTACCCAATCAAAGAAAGAGTGATGGTAGACTAGCCATACTGTGAGAGAGATTCATTTTGAAAATGTGGTTGTTAGATTGCTATGCTTATTCGAGAAGATATTGTATTGTTTAAGCTGTCTAATTGAGTAAAAATAATTGGTACTACACTGCAAAGTGTAAAAAAACACTATCCACTTTCCATACACTTCACCGCACTGCACAAAGATTCTTCTACAACTACATACCACTGTTTTTAGGTTTTAAACTTAAAAGTTTAATTTTATTTTTTTTAATGTGATAAAAAATTAGAAAATTTATTCAAACAAATTTTATTCTTCATCCCTATTTAATATCATAAATCATTTATTCATAATTTTATAAGATTAACTATAAATATATTAAATTCATAGTTATATAATGAAATGTTTAAATCATCAAAGATCATTTGAATTCATTTGTTATCAATGTAATAGTTTGATGTGTTCAAAATGTATCTTCAATCATCACAAAGATCATCCTGATCATTCAGATAAAATCGAAGATATCGATGACATCAAACATTCATTGAGTACATTAAAGTTAGATGATATTATTGATACCACAACAACAACAACCAATAATCAAATTAATAATGATACTAAAGATAATATAGATGATAATAATAATAGAAACTCTTTCATTTCACAAATCAACAATAAACTTAAATCTATATGGGAATCATTAAGATCATCGACATCCAGATATCAAAGATTATCAACAACAGAGAATGAAATCAAACAACACTTTGAACAATTACATCAATATCTAATCATTGAAGAACATAAACTACAAAGAGATATTATCAATGATAAACATACAATCACAAATCAAATCGATAATAATGTTAATCATTTAAAATATTTAATAAATATTATAATGTTATTTAATAGATTAAATAATAAAGATATTAATATTAGTAATGAGGATACATCAATTATAACAGATACAACAACATTATATTCAACAACAACAATAATGGAATCAATAACAACAAGTTCATCATTACAATCATTCATCAATCATAATAATCAAACATTATTCAATGAATATAATAATTATTTCAATATTGATGAACTTCTCAAACAACATTCCAACGATTCATCATCATTATTATTAGATATCATTCATAAATACAACAATCAATTCAATGAATCAACAACAAACACAGACAATAATAACTTAACATTATCATCATATAAATTATCAATCAAACAACCTGATTTCAATCAATTGAATTCAATCATTGAACAATCAATCAAACTTGATAACATTGAATCAACTGAATCAATAAATACAACAACAACAAACAACAATGATAAAATACAATCTTATATTTTTATAACAAACAAATCAAAAGGAGCAACACTGATCAACACATCAAACAACAATTCAATTGAAGAATTGGAGTTTGAATATCAATTTTCAGATACTTTCTCCTCTATTGTTTCAATTGGTGAATATATCTATATATTCGGTGGATATTACAATCAAAACAAATGGATTATAATATCAATGAAATCGAAATCAATTGAACATATTGGTGATATCGAAGGAATCAAAGGTGATAGTTTAATATCAGTTTGTTATGATGGTCAAGATCATATCTATTTAGTGAATGGCTCAAAGATATCGAATAGAATTGATCGGTTCAACATCAGGACAATGAAATTTGAATCATATCATCAAATACCTGTTGGATATAATCATCAAGTATCATCAATGATCTTCAAAGGTTCATTATATTCAATATCATACGATAAAAACAAGATATTTCAATTCGATTTAACAAACAGAACGATAACAGATCACCGAATTGACATTATACCATGGTCAGCATGTCATGATAACAATGGAAATTTCTTCATATCAGATGTGACAAACAAAAGATTCATTAAATACAATGTTGAAACCAAACAAACAATCAATCTCATTCCTATTCCTCACAAAAATGCACAGACTTCATTTTTGATGTATCATCGAGAATCACCAACATCAAGTTATATCTATTCATTTGGTTCATCTAATGATTGTAATTTCAAATATTCAATTGAAACCGATCAATGTGAACCAATCTTGAGAGATATTAAAAATCATAATAGAGCATTGTGTGCTTCCACATCAATTACATTATCGAAAAATCAATAAAATTATTCTGTTTATCTATTTTTAAATTAATAAAAAGTATTGCGTGTTCAAGATTTATAATAAAAATAGAATTCATTATGTATTTTAATATATCTTTTTAAAAATAACTTTTATTTCAACCCACTATCTTCAAAACTCACATTGTGTTTACGATTAAAAGATACATGTCTTGTTAAATAAAGTACATTAACATTTTATTATAGTAATATATAGAAGTGGTATTTTTAAACTATATAGTTTTAATCTTTATTCTTCACCAAATTCCAATATAAATTAATAGCCTTACTTAATATTTAAATAAAACTATTATTGGTTTGTGATAGTAATGGAAATAAATAAATTAAAAAAAATTAAAAAAAAAAACCAAGAAACTTGAAAATTAAATTAAAAACAAATGAAAATTAATTAATTGAATTAAAAAAATGAATGATAATGATAGCAGTAGTAGTAATAATGTATTAAATGAATTAGATTATAAATTAAACATCAATAGTAATAGTAGTAATAATAATATTGATTTTGGTTTAGTTAGTAATCAGAATGATGATAATGTTGAAGATGATATTGAAGAAGAGGAAGATGATGACGATGATTTAGTACCTGATCATATACTTGCAGATGACTATACAACTAAATATCAAGATGACGATTCATCGGTATTGGATATAGATGTATCGACACTCTCGTTGCTCATCAACAAAGATGGCAAACCATACACCTCGCTGAACGACTTGATGTTTGACATTGAACAACATCCACACCACGCACTGAAGATGTCGAATGCAATCGATCAAGATTTACAATCATTGCCATCTGGTGTTATTAATACATGTACTTAGTTTATCTATTCTTCTATTCTCTTTAACTATATACTAACTATTCTAACTATATACTAACTAATATTATATTATTATAGATCTTAGTCAAGCAGAAGAACTTGTACATTTACATAAGGTTATTGAATCGAATGATTTGATTTTATCAGAGATTGGAGATGTCTTTAAATCATTCGATGACGAACTACAGAATCTAATTAAAGATATGCCAGACACTCATATCACTACACAACAACTCTCACAAGCACTAGTAAATAGAATGTTAGTCAAAGATTCAATATCAAAAGTTGTTAAAAAGATATTGATACCACCTGATCTTATTAGGTAAATATAAATATAAATATAGGAATTTTAATGAATACTATCTATCTGATTAAACTAACAAACTAACTTGTTATTATATCTATCTATCTATCTATCGATTATTATTATTATTATCATTAGTGGTATTAATAAAGATGATATAAATGAAGATTATATCAATTATATAGAAGCATTAGAGCATAGAATTGAATCATTAGATGACTTTATGTCGAGTGAAGCTATGTTTGCACAAGATATGGCATATGAAATCGATTTATTAAAGAAGAAAGTATGTATTTACTTTGAATTAAACTGTTAACTTATTAACTTATTAACTTGTTGATTAAACATTTACACTATTTAATAGGCAAGCAGACAAGTTAGAGATTTCATGTTAAAGTTAATTATTAGTTTGAGAAAACCAAGAACAAATGTGCAGATATTACAACATTCCAAACTATTTAAATACTCGATATTGAATCAATTCATCTATAAGTATTCTCCTTTATTTGCAATAGAGATTAAACAATTATATGTAAGTTATTATTAAAATGTCAAAACAGCAATAACAACAACAACAACAACATATATATATTAACAATATTAATATATTCATAACTTATACAATATAATATATATAATAGACAGAAACAGTATCAAGAATATTTATATCATATTTTAAGAGTTATTCTACATCGTTAGCAAAGGTATACTTTCCCATTGGTTCAAAGTCAGATGTTGTAGGATGGTACGATAATGTTATTAAAGGTTATTTCGGTAATTCAACGAAACAGGTCGATACCAACAAAGCATCGGCATTCAACCTCAACATACCGAATCTACCCAATGACATATGGACCAGTATTCGTAGTGAAGTCATCAATGAGATACCAGAGAAGATCAATCAAAACCTACTAAGAAGATCTCATATGATAATAAGAGCAACCGATGCACCTCTAATCATTCCACATGCCGCTGTTAAAGTATTTAATTAACAATAACAATAATAACAATAACCATATCATAATTATTAATATCTTTTTCTCTTAAAGAACAATAAGAAATATCCATTAGAACAAATATTTAGATCGATGAATATATTATTATTAGATACAGTTTGCTCAGAGTATATATTTACACAACAATGGTTTGCAAGACCTTTAGTATCTAATCAAGAGACATCAGGTATTATTAAACCAATATTTGATAATATTTTTAATATGTTTTATGTATGTATAATTATAATAAGTAATGTACATTATTAAATACTTCTACTAACTACTAAAATTCATAACATACATAAAATACATTGTAGGAGAATATATATCAATATGTATCGAATAGTTTTGATTGTTTAGGAATATTGATATCGATTAAATTGAATCAAATCATGATAGAGTTATTAAAAGAGAGAAAACTAAGCATACCTTGCTTATCTTCATACTTTTACAAGGTAGATGTCATCCTATGGGATAAGTTTAGTGAACTATTCAAGAGAAATATCGATAGTTTGAAATTAGCACTAACAAACAACAATGGTACAATAGATCTTCGACCTCATATTGTACGTATAAATATATACATTGGTTTAAGATTACTATTATTTTACTAACTGTTAATTAATTTGTATATATAATGATTATATTAGTATACAAGAAGATTCTCAGAGTTTTATACAAGTGTTTCTGAGATCATTGGTAATACGGTTGCAGACTCTAGGGTGACTGCATGGATGGCTGTGTTGCGATCGTCAATGGAGAGAGTGTTGCTACACATGGCACAGAACTTCCCGGATGCCAAGAACAAATCGATATTCTTGATTAACAACTACGATGTCGTTATTACTGTGCTGTCAGAGAATAACATATCGTTCAAGGAGGATGGCTATCTGCAGTTCAAAGAGTTGCTAGACGAGCAGGTCAATATCTATTTGGAGGAGCAGTTGTTCTCTTACTTCCGAGCGTTGATCACTTTCGTGAAGGAGGTGGAATCGAAGCTGATCAACAGTCCAACCACTACCAACGCCGCAACGAACGTAACGGTATCCACTTATAACATCGATAAAGAGGTGCTCGGTAATTTGGTCAATGATTTCTCGAGTCGATGGCGAGAGGTTCTACAGAGAATACAAATTGATATTATGAATGCATTTTCGAATTTCAACATCGGATCGGAGATTACAAAGAAGCTGATCGCTCAATTCTTGATATACTATAAACGATTTGAAGAGATCTTTAAGAAAGCAAACAAACAAACGTCCGCTTCATCAACGACAGCATCCACACAACCAAAACTCACCAATTTCATACCAATTTCAACAATCACCTATGAAATTTCAAAGAACTTCTCAATATCATAATAGAAATAAAAAATAAGCTAATAAATCAATTCATGTACAAAAAGAAAATAAATTTACACAAAAAGAAGAAGATATGAATTTTATTTGCAAAAATTTTTGAAATCTTTCTTTTTGAAAGGTGCTCTGTAGCAAAACTATAGTTTAGTATAATATACTAAATGATTTATTCTTGAAAAACAGAAAAAAAATTAGTAAATTGTGCGAAGGTGACATCAAGCAAGAAGAGTGGTTCCAAGACAGCTACCAACACCAGTAGTGCGAAGGTGACACCAATATACTAAATTGTAAATGAAGTACATGCACACCACTCTCTATCGTGATCTATAATATCTCTAAAGAACGGTTCACATTGATTGGATTCGATTGAATATTTGAAATTACTATCATTGGATGAACCAAATGAATAGATATAACTTGATGTTGGTGATTCTCGATGATACATCACTATAGAAAAATGTCCATTTGTGGGAAGAAGAGCATTGGGATCCATTGTTTGTTTGGTTTCAACATTGTATTTGATGAATCGTTTGTTTGAACCTATTATGAAGAAATTTCCATTGTTATCATGACATCCTGATAATGGAAAAAAGTTAATTTGATGATCTGTTATCGTTCTGTTTGTTAAATCGAATTGAAATAGCTTATTGTGATAGTATGATACTGAATATAATGAACCTTTGAAGATCATTGACGATGCTTGTATACCATATCCATCAGGTAATTGATGATATGATTCAAACTTCATTGTCTTGATGTTGAATCGATCAATTCTATTCTTTATATGATAACCATTCACTAAATAGATATGATCTTGACCATCATAACAAACTGATATATCAAGATCACCTTTGATTCCTTCGATGTCACCAATATGTTCAATTGATTTCGATTTCATTGATATTTTAATCCATTTGTTTTTATTGGTATGTCCACCGAATATATAGATATATTCACCAATTGAAACAATCGAGTTGAATGTATTATAAAATTGATAATTAAACTTTAATTCTTCAATTGAATTGTTGTTTGATGTGTTGATCAGTGTTGCTCCTTTTGATTTGTGTGTTGTGAAAATATAAGATTGTTTATTATCATTGTTTGTTGTTGTTGTATTTATTGATTCAGATGATTCAATGTTATCAAATTTGATTGATTGTTTAATGATTGAATTCAATTGATTGAAATCAGGTTGTTTGATTGATAATTTATATGATGATAATCTTAAGTTATTATTGTCTGTGTTTGTTGTTGATTCATTGAATTGATTGTTGTATTTATGAATGATATCTAATAATAATGATGATGAATCTGAGGAATGTTGTTTGAGAAGTTCATCAATATTGAAATAATTATTATTTTTATAATTGTGTTCATTGAATAATGTTTGATTATTATGATTGATGAATGATTGTAATGATGAACTTGTTGTTATTGATTCCATTATTGTTGTTGTTGAATATAATGTTGTTGTATCTGTTATAATTGATTGATTTTCACTACTATTATCATTTACTATTATTATCACTACTACTGAATTTATTAATTAACATTATAATATTTAATAAATATTTTAAATGATTAACATTATTATTGATTTGATTTGTGATTGTATGTTTATCATTGATAATATCTCTTTGTAGTTTATGTTCTTCAATGATTAGGTATTGATGTAATTGTTCAAAGTGTTGTTTGATATCATTCTCTGTTATTGATAATCTTTGATATCTGGATGTCGATGATCTTAATGATTCCCAAAGAGATTTAAGTTTATTGTTGATTTGTGAAATGAAATTGTTACTATTACTATTATTATTTGTTGTTGTGGTGTCAATAATATCATCTAATTTTAATGTACTCAATGAATGTTTGATGTCATCGATATCTTCGATTTTATCTGAATGATCAGGATGATCTTTGTGATGATTGATTATACATTTCGAACACATCAAACAATTACATTGATAACAAATGAATTCGTGTGATCTTTGATGATTTAAACATTTAATTGTCATTATTAACTTTTAATATCTAAGAAATGTTACAAAATAGAAAAGTATATATTTGTGCAAAAAAAAAAAAAATTAATTTTAAAGTTCATAATTTTTTTTGTATTTAATTTTTTTTTTTTTTTGAACTTCACACAAAAATCAACTGTTATTGTGATTGATTATTACTTTATAATTTATATATATATCTTACATTTCATTGGATGAATTATTCGATATCACCAATATCAAAAGTTGTCTTGTGTAATGAAAATATAAGATTGTTTATTATCATTGTTGTTTGTTGTTGTATTTATTATTCAGTTGATCCAATTTTATCAAGTTTGACTGACTGTTCAATGATTGAATTCAAAGCGTCATTACCCTTATATACTGGTTCGAGTTCATGTTGGCATCGGAGAATCCTGCTTGTATGGAATAAAGGTGCTATTAATACCTCTTGGTTTGGTTCCACAAGTGTCTGACACAGTGACGTTTAAGATATCGAACCACCTTTACCAACTGGAAGTACCTCCGGTCAGACACACTTGTCTCTCAACTTTATCTAGTTATCACTTTAATATTATTGTTTGCTACCCAATGATCGAATTCTATCCCAAACTCTATTCAAATAGGTATATGTTCAAACCCATCTATTTCATTCAATAGTAATAGTAATAATATTAATATTGTTAATAGAACTGATCGGTTTTAATAATTATATTAAAATAAAATAATTACTCATTACACTTTTTTTCATAAATTCTAAAACTGTCAAGATAATGATGATAAATATCATATGATATAATAAATATTATAATATGTATTCGATTAGATTTGACATATGTCAGTAAATTTGAGTGCTATTGTCCAGTGATTACAAATCGTGTTTAATTATTATGTCATTCAGCGGCACATTAATCAAAAAAAAATATTTGATCAGAAAAAAAAAACAAAAAAAAGATATAAATATATATTTTATTTTTAATTAATTAAATATAAATGGATCATAATAATAATAATAGTAATAGTAATAATAATGAAAATGAAGAAGAATCAACAATGAAACCATTATATGGTATGTTGGGTGTTTCATCGGATGCATCGCAATCAGAGATCAGAGATGTCTACCTAAAGAAATCGAGACAGTATCATCCGGATCGTGGTGGTGATCATCAGTGGTTCATTCAACTCAATAGCGCCTATGTGATTCTCAGCGATCCCGAGCGTCGTCGTGTCTATGACATGTGGCCAGGTTCGATCGAAGATCCGACACAGCTCGATCTTCTCGCCAAGTACATGCCGACCAAGTCAAAGTTCTCAGAGTTCTACACGCTGCTAGCACACGCAGTCGTCGACCGATTCTTCTCGTTCAAAGCACATATCATCGCAGCTGCACTCAGCATCCAAAGAGACGCACCCAACATCCACCTAAACCTCTCACACATAGCAGCATTCCCCATAGTTCATCTACTAGTCGACAACATTATAGAGAAGTTAATAGATAGAAAACTATTACAACAACAAGAAAAACAACAACAAAAGAAACAACAACAAGATAACAATAATAATAATAATAAGAAACAACAACAACAACAAGGAAAGTTTGAAGAGATGATGTTATCACCTATGAAACGTGCATTGGTAATAGAGGTTTTGGCAACTTTGATAGCTGCTCCATTTGAGCTGTATGCTTATCGTGCATTCCGTAGCAAGTATGAGGGTAATACGTGGTTCGATTACTTTACACTGGGAACAGCCAACGATTTCTCGCCACTGAAACGAATGTTCCATAATACAGCGTTGTATCTCCGTTGTTTTGTTAGTAGCGACCTCAAGTATCTCATTGGTCTGTCGGCATTCCGTGTTGGCTATACACTCACTAGCTACTTCCTCTCGTCGATGGCCGACTATTGCAATCATAGAGCACTACTCGCAGGAGTAGAACACAAACTACGTCAGAGAAACAAACAAAACGATGAAATAGATGAAGATGAAGAAGATAGTGATAGTGATAGTGATAATAATGATAGAGATAGCGATAATGAAGATGACGATGATGAAGAAGATGAAGAAGAAGAGGAAAAAGATAGTGATCAAAGTAAATCAGCAAAAGAAATCGTATGGAAAGGAGCATCTTATGGTGCTAAATTCCTCTCTTACTTTGTCCCAGCATCGATGTTTTCAGTGTACAGATTGTTTTACAATATAGAATCACCTCGAATTTCATACTTTAGTCAGTCATTGTTTAGAAGTGCTTTTCTCGATACCGTTTCTGTATCGTTTTTCGATTTCCTACACACAACCATCGATAACAATGAAATCAATATATAATTACCAACTTTAAAATCATATAATAGAAACTTATTAATAAACCTAATGTTAGATTTAGTGAAAAGAAGAAAAAGAGGAAAACAAATATTTTCTATCATTACATTAATTAAATTGGCACTTATGTATAAAAAAAGAGTTATAGTAGAAATCTTTTTTATTAATTTCACAACTATTAAGTTTGTTTGCTACCATTAATATATTACTTTATAGACAGAAAGAAAGAATTATAAAGTTTCTGTTATCATTACCAGTTTTTTATAAACAAATAAATAAATAAAATTAAGATAAAATAAAAATCTGATCATTGTGCTTGTTGGTAATAGTCCTTTATTTTTGATCTAAATTTACATCCTATTATAAAGGTAGTCTCAAAGGAATTCATAGATAGTTTTGTGTAACTAAAACATTTCTCGAAAAAAAAGATCATTAGATTTCAATTGTTAATTAATTTAAAAGAAATTGTTAATACAGGTTTAGTAGTGACTACATTTCATCAACGTTGCAATATTTGAACTTTTTTAGTAAAGATTTAACAGATTGTTTTGATTGGATTTTGCTATTGACTATAACTACTTCAACATATACTTGAACAACAATGTAGTTAGATATGATTAATTCATCATGGTGTTTTTTATTTAAAAATAACAAACCAACCAACTAATCTATATATTTTAATACAATCTATCAAGATAAGATATAAAATCTATCGAATGCAATGCGATATACATACATTGTGCCTACCTATGTAAGATTAGTGTTAGGTGTCTTTCTTTTCTTGAATAGATTGATTGTGTAGATAAACCTCAAACAATGATGATATAGTAATAGATTCTGATTAATAAATAAATCCAACAATAGATCAATAGAATACAGTATATCCTTTTTTATATATTTGGCTCTATTGAGATATTCAGTGATTTGCCATCAATCAAATTGCAGTTTGAGCAATTGATCAAGAAATTCAATTAATTTATGTCATCACAACCAATAATTATTTGTCATTTACATCAGAACAACCAACAGAATTAATTAATTGGCTATGTTGTTACTCTACTACTATACTACTACTACTCTAAAAAGATCAAATTGAATGTTCAATAAATTGTTATTTATTTTTAAGAATGATCTAATTTTTATTTGTGTTTAATGTGTTAGTGTGTGTATGTGTGGGTGAGTAAGTGTGTTGATTATTACTTTTAAAACACACACACACTCATCAATGCCACCAGAATTTATTGGTAAGTTCCTTTTTAACACATGAAGATGTTTTTTTTTAAAAAATTCATACTCCCATTATCACCTATACTATTCATTTCAACAACTTAAAATCAAATAAACAACAATAGTTAACAATTAATTATTTATGTTATTTGTGTGTGTTTTGTTAAGATAAGTTTGTTTTTTTGTTGTTTTTTTTTAATTGTTTGAATGTGTTCCTTCCTTTTTATTGCTTTTTTAAATTCATTCTATAAACCCAATTTTAAATAATACTCTAAAAATTGAAAAAAACAAACCTACTAAAGTATACGATATATGGGGAGTGAGATGTACTTTGGTGTTCTTTCTTTTGTGTTATTACTTGGAGGGAGTTGGGTAGTAGTGTAGTTTGTGTTAGTTGAATTTAACACCAATCAAAGATATATTTTGAAATTTATATTTAATTTTAAATTAAAAAAAGTTTTTTTTTTGTAACAATCATTTTTAAATATTACATTACTACTTAATGATCATGTAAAGAGTTGATTAATTTTTTTTATTGTTATAAAAGTCAATAGAATTACAATTAATTTTAAAAATCAACCTTCTAAATAGCCATTTCATAGGACCATCAACTTTTATATTTTGATTACTATCTTATTCTTAAGATATCATTATATAAAACAAAAAAATCAGACTTTTAATTTAATTTACCTTTACTTTTAAAAATATATAATAATTAGATAAGTAGGTCAAATATATTCATTTGTATATTTTTTTTGGATTAGCATTCTCTCATTCACAATAAATACTTTGACAAATTCATTGTTTCTAAAAATTTCTTTGAAATAAATATAACATATCATCATCTCTTGTTTCCACAATAACCAATTCTTGAAGATATAACAAACGGTAATAATTGAAATTTTTTTATTACATACCTCTATTGATATATAGCACACTCCTTTTAAATAGTATCTAATGGTTTTAACTTCTTTCTTGTGTTTGTTTTCACCACAAAAAACTACATAATACTCTTTGAACTTGTTTACATTTAAATAATAGATCATAACACTTAGAAGATAATTTAAATTTTAAAAACACCCATAAAATTTATTTAATAATAAAAATAAAAAGTTTTTTATTTGTTAGGCTATGTTCAATTCATTGACCAAAAAAATAACTTTTAAATAAATACCTTTTAAAATAATTTCAATAAATATTTTTTTAAAACAAATAAGTGTTATAATTTTCTATTTCCATTCAAAGTACTACTGTTTTTTGTTTTTTTTTATAAATAATTTTGTGTAATTAATAATATTAAGATTCGATTCCAATAATCAATTGATTTACATTAATTGATTGGTTGGTTGGTTGACTTTCAAAAGTAAGGAATAAAAACAAATCAATTTTTACTCAATTTTACAATGATATTTAAGATATTAATCAAAAAAAACTATTAAATTTTTATTTCTTAATAAAACAATATAATCATATATATTAATTTCTATCTATTATTATTTTTCTTTTTCTATTTATTATTTAAATTCTTTTATCTTTTTTTTTTTTTCCAAAAACAAAAATAATTTTTTTTTAATTTTTTAGGATGAATGGTTTTATAAAGTCATTGATTATAAATAATAATGGTGGTTTCTACAATACTCCAAGGATAGATATCTCTCAATATAAAGAAGATTTTGTTCATGAACATGTCTATGTAAATGGATTTCCATTGTTAATAGGTGGATTCAATCAAAATCTAAATGGTGTAGTTATTAGTAATAGTAACTCGAATTATAATCATAATCTATCTGCTCCACCTACTCCCAATCAAACAAGTAGTAGTAGTAATAATAATAACTATGTTTCATCTGAATTCATATCAATACAAGGAAATAGTAGTTGTAACAATAATAACATTAGTATCAATAACAATAATTATTTATTCAATTTGAAATGGTTGAAAGATCATTCCAATAAATTAAACGAAATAATCTATCCTGATAATGGATGGACATTAGGAAGATTTATTGATCATCTTATGGGTGATCAACAACAACAACCATCACCATTATCATTGTCAATGTCCATGACAGACCAACTAAATCAATCGGGTGTAAATACACCTATATCTTCACCACATGTACCATCAACACCAAACTGCTATTCATCTGGATCAAACAGACAAATCACCCCAACAACAACAGCAGCAACACCACCATCTGTAAGAAGTAAGAAATCAATGGAATGTCCAGAGGAGTGGTCACAGTACCTGAAAGATCCTCTAGTTAGTAAGATACCATCGTCTCTAATGGAACGGAATGCAGTGTACGATTTGGTATCTTACCTGCCATCAAACTATATGGTACCGTCATCAATGCGATTCTCTATCGATGGCGATGACTTTTGGTCACATGGCCAAAGAGATTGTTGTGCCAGTATCAGTCATAGTCTAATGGTGAGCGGCAGTGCCAATACCTCTACCTTTTGGTTCTGTACGGACAGCGAGAGTCATAGCAAAGTATCAGAATTTTGGAATTCAAAACTGAGCGGTGGTGTATCACTGGAGAGCGAAGAGAATGCATTGATTGTCCCTATCAATGATCTGATGCGATCCGGTATCAGATTCTACGTTATCGAGCAAAAGGTTGGAGATCTAGTGATCTTGCCATCCTGTAGTGTCTATCAGTGTTTGAATATCGGTGGTAACAGCATCAAGGTATCTTGGCAACGAGTTACACCGCATTCACTCTATCTTGCCTATGAATACATCATTCCATTCTACCGTACGATAAAGAAAACCGAATACTATCCAACTAAGCTGATAGCTTATCATAGTTTGAAAGCTAGTATTTCACGAGGAAATGAATGGTTGTATCGTAGTGACATCACGCAGGAACAGGTAGTTCGATATGTTCGTGAGACATTGATGATCTACAAGTTGTTACTCGACCTAAACTGGAACGAAAAGATCTTCCACGAGGAAACGAAACTCAGTAAACCAGTTGGTGTTCGTCAGCTACCTGAAAGCAGCACCGATCCAAACTCTCCTAATTTCCAATCACCTCTACTTCACTGTGCAGATTGTTCAACTGTCATATTCAACCGATCCTATCAACATAATAATCAAGCAAAGAGTGGCGGTAGTGGTGGTACTGGCTGTGGTAGTGATGATTGCGTTGACTATTGTATCTATTGTATTGCCGAGGGTAAAGAACAACAACATGCCAATGATATCAATCTAACACAGATATTCCCACCAAATAGTATTGACGACCTTTTGGAGCAATCAAAGAATACTCTCAAGGAAATTCTCATCAAAGTTAAACTCTTTGAATCACAAGCAATATTTGACGATTGTTTTACACCTATGATATCGAAAAACAGTGTTTCCATTGCAAGTATAGCATTCAACCAAGTTGTGCTTTCCAACAACGATGTTAAATCGACATGTCACCAGTGTAAACTGAACAAACCGCTATCAAAAATGGCATTCTGTTCTGGAGTATCATCCGAGAACCGGGCACTAACACCAGCCAATTGTAACAAGAAATTTTGTTTTCATTGTTTAAGAAATAGATATAATCTATCGTAAGTAGTTATATAATCACTCATATTCATATCTTTTTGAAACTAACTAATTCGATTATTATAGATTGGTTGATTGTCAGAAATCATTGAATTGGTTATGTTTAGTTTGTCAAGGAATATGTAATTGTGGTGCATGTGTTAAAAAGAGGAATATGGCAGTTTCCATTCCAAACAGTCCGAGAAAACGAGATAATATCTCATTATATCAAACACATTATTGCGCATCACCAATGGTGTCGTCACCATCTCCATTAACACCAACAGTCTACGATTGTTATGTTAACAACAATCCATTTATTTTCAATTCGAAATCATCTACACAACTCTGGGCACAATATCCTAGATCCTCTAATTCCTCTCCTTCTTCCAACCATAATAATAATACTATCAGTATCAATAATAATAATATTGTATCTAATCCAAATGTTATACTTCATAAAAATAATAATACTCTAATTAACATTAATGGAAACACCAGTGGTATACAAACATTCAATACGAATACAGGTCTACCATTGCAACAGTCGTTATCGTATATTCCTGTGGTACACCACCAAACACCACCATCTACACCGTCATACTCACCCTATCATACTCCAAGGGCAAATAACAATTGTACATACTATTCTACGAGTTCAAACTCCACTCCCAATATGAACTCACCATACATCTCACAAACATCACCCATTTATTCACCATTTATAACATCACCTTTCAAATATACTAATATTAATCCCACATTTGTAAATCAATCTATTTCTTCACCCGATAGAACATCATCCTATCAAAATTATCAAAATCATTATATTAATATTAATAATTTTAGAACATCTACATCATCATATCCACTCTTTTCATCACTAACAAGTACTGATTATTCATTTGAAAACAGCGAATTTACAACGATGGCAAATAAATCAACAACATCTACAACTACAGGTGATGAATCCACAATTACCAAAGCAACGGCAGAAGTACCAGTTGCAAATGAACCATCAAAAAAAGGAAAGAAAGGATCAAAGAAAAGAAGAACCGATGACTCCATACCACCCATCAAGAAAGAAGGTTCAGGTAAATCCAGATCCTCCAAGAAACAATCGCCACCAACCATCACTGCTTCAGCATCGAGCACCGATCAAAAGGTTTTGAGTTCAAGTGGTAGCAATTGGTTCGATCAAAAGGTGCCTTCTGAACAACAAACACCATTCACCACACCCAACAGTGTTGTAACTCTTACTAATACAACTGCAACTCCTAATGTATTAGCTATTAAACAACCACAACAACAACAACAAGCAACAACAACTACAACCATCAATAACAACACCACAATAACATTTACCTCGCATATACCACAACCACCTGTGTCAAAAGATATCTATTTATCAGGATCAATGGTTTGGGCGAGACTGGGTGGACTTTCACACTTTTTCCCTGCGAGAATCAGTTTCCCTGAGGAAATACCGGTTGGTATGAGACATCCAGATAATGCCGTCTATCTCTACTTCTTTGGTGATAACTTTTTCGATTGGGTTCAAAATAAGAACATATTCCAGTTTATAACCGGTGCTGAATTTGAGTATCTGCAGACACCTGCTTTTGGTTTGGCTATCAAGGAAGCCTACGAGTACAAAAGAACATTTATTAATGGTGCAAGCACTCCACTTCAAACACCACTTCATCATCCAATGTTTAACTATCAAGATTCTATGCAACAGAATTGCTATCAAACAAACAATGATCATTTTACATCCCAACAACAACAACAACAGCAACAACAACAACAGCAACAACATACTCATTTTGTTAATGTTACGATGAATGATCCACAACTTTCATCTAATTCTGTATACTTGAATTCAAATATTGATTTAACACAAATCCAAACTACTACTTATCAATTGGACTCTTCTCAATCAATTCATCAATCAAATGAGAATGTTCCAATCTCTGGTGATTCATCTCAACAACAAACGATTACAGGTTCACAGCACAATATGTTAGCAGAGAGTTCCTCTGGAATTACAAACGCATCACATTTTCTATCAAACATGTCATTACAAAGCACTGGTAGCTTAGAGCATTTCTTTGTTCCAAACAATAGTAATAATCAAAACAACAACAATGCTAACAATCAACAATCTATTGTTCAACAAACAGCAACATCGTTTTCCAACAACAATAACAACACTCCAATCGTAAAAACAGAGAATCAAATGGAAGATCAATTCGACACTTTGTATCAAACAGTTCAATATCCACAATCAAATGAAAGCAATGATAGTCCAAATAATTCATTTAATCAAGCTATCCAAAATCCAATCATTGACGATTTAAAATCTGGTAATAGTGGACTAACTGATTCTCCCAAATCACAATTTATAAGCGAGCCAAATACAGATGTTTTCTTTGAAAATACTTGGTGGAACAATCTTCAACTATAAATTGAGTTTATTCATCTTATGAAACTATTCATTTTTGAATATTAAAATTCTTCTTTGTCCTTTTAATATGTTGAACAACTAATAAATATAAATCATTTTCTTCTGCCTAAGTTGAGCAACATTGTTAATAAATAAATGGATTTTTATAGTCTTTTAATTTATTATTTTTTTTGTATTTGTTTAAAATTATTATAATTGTTTTTAAATTCTTGTATTATTTTTAATAATTTTGATATCAATAGATTTATCGATAATCCAGATTATCTTTTTTTTTTGCTTTTAAAAAAATGATTTATTAATTTTCTTTTTTGAAATTTATAAAGCATCCAAAAAAATTCTATAAATTTCTTCACATTATTAAATACACATCAATAAGAGTTTTTGTTATGATCACTCTATGATAAATAAATATAATTATAGATAGTTAGAATATTATAACTATTTGTTAAAAATCATTTAAAACATGACAGGACAGTTTATAGTTGGAGTTGTAAATAGTATTTTCTACTTTATTGGTCATAGAGTTTACCCTATATCTTATTAAAATATCGAATGTTAGTAATATTGAGATCTATTAACAATATTTTAGTTCTTTTAAAATACCCTTGAACTAGCAAGTTCATAGAAGTTTATTCTAATGTAGTTCCAAACTCTTCTAAGATTTCTTACACCTGTAATAACAAAAACAACATCCTAATATATATTCAAGATAAATAGTATTCACAATTTAACCTTTTCAATTTATTTTTTCATTTTACTTTTGTCATCTCCCAACAGTAAGAATAATTTTAAACAGATTTATCTATCTAAGAGAATAAAAATAAAAAAAATTTCTTTAATTTATTTACTATAATGTAATTGAAGTAGATGCACACAACTCTCTATTATAATTCATAGTATATCTTTCGAATGGTTCACATTGATTGGATTCAATTGAATATTTGAAATTACAGTCAAGTGAATTACCAAACGAATAGATATAACTTGATGTTGGTGATTCTTGATGATACATAACAAATGGTTGAGCTTTGTTAATGATAGGAAATATTTTTAGAATGATTGTTTGTTTGGTTTCAACATTATAATTGATTAATCGTTTGTTTGTATCTAAAATGAAGAAATTTCCATTGTTGTCATGGCAAGCAGAATAAGGTTTAAAATCAATTTGATGATCTGTTATCGTTCTATTTGTTAAATCGAATTGAAATAACTTTTTTCTATTTTGGGATAATGCATATAATGAACCTTTGAAGATCATTGATGATGCTTGATGTCCATATCCAACAGGTATTTGATGATATGATTCAAATTTCGTTGTCTTGATGTTGAATCGATCAATTCTATTATTTATTTGACCATTCACTAAATAGATATGATCTTGACCATCATAACAAACTGATATATAATTATCACCTTTGATTCCTTCGATGTCACCAATATGTTCAATTGATTTCGATCGAATTGATATTTTAATCCATTTGTTTGGATTTTGATATCCACCGAATATATAGATATATTCATCAATTGAAAAAATCGAGGAGTGCGTACCATAAAATTGATAATCAAACTGTAATTCTTCAATTGAATTGTTGTTTGATGTGTTGATCAGTGTTGCTCCATTTAGATTGTGTGTTGCGAAAATATAAGATTGTTTATTATCATTGTTGTTTGTTGTTGTTGTTGTATTTATTGATTCAGTTGAT